AAAGTGACCGAGAAAGTGGTGTGATCGAGAAAGTGGTGCGACCGAGAAAGGCCTGAAGTACGATATTTATAGTTAAGGAAGGGAATGCTCGATTATACATACAAGCAAGCAGTGCTCAGGTTTCAACGATATACGAGATATTATTGCCTAGGTATTATCTCCGACAAACAGTGGTGCGTTCAGTACAGGCCACCGGGGCAAAGCGGCTCTCGCACCACTGGCGCTATGCTGGGAGAAGCAAGAGGGGATAAATATCCCAGTATGTCTTGCCCATACGTTCGACAAGTAGGGCTGCGCATTATCAGACTAAACATGTAATCTGTAGTTAACTACTCCGTACTCTGTGTCTCATTCTACCATACGCTGTAGAGCTTACTGCAAATCTTGCTTTTAGTTTCTTGGCTTGTTACATAGTTGATCTGAGCAGTTTTGCAAGTAATCGCTCGGATTAACAGAATTACCCCTTTTAATCACTCCGTAGAATCTATACAGTTCATACTAATATTCAGTAACTCCGTGGTGATACTCGGGGATCACATTCTGCTTAAATAACAGTTGCTAGCTAGTTACTATAAAGGAAGAGAGATATTTATTTATTCTATTGCAACTCAGAGCTTTGAAGTTACACTTTTATAACTAGAGCTTCCTAGCTATAGGAGTATTGATGCGATCATCTCTAATAAAATAGAATCTGAACAGGAGAAGCGTCTGCTGCCTGGCCAGCCCACCGTACACAGCACGCTCTATACACAGTGTATACGGAGTAGTTAGATAAATATAATTTTTAGCTCAGTAACTTACTCCTTCCGACCAGCCTAAAGAAACTCTAAAATTCCGATCCTGGTCGAGCACCGAGGGACCTGTGGCGCAACGGTAGCGCGTCTGACTCCAGATCAGAAGGTTATGTGTTCAAATCACATCGGGTTCATCGCAACTTTCCTTTTTTTTTCCCAATCCCGCCGCCGGGTAGCTTCTCGTCCCTCCGGCGGACTGTGTCACGCCACTGTTGCGGAGACATTCAATCTTTGATTTCCTCCGAGCGTGGTCGGCAATAATGGATGTGGATTTGAACGCCTCGCCGATGCCAGGTGGTGTTGTCCGTGAGGGATGTCCGGAAACAAATACTCCGTACTACTCTATACATTATTTCATTATCAGTGCATCGCCGATGCCTTATTGGAAGCGGGAAATAACCCTTCCGACCTGATCGCATCTGGTCTTTTCCCCTGTTTCAAGTTCTCGGTTCCGGCCCTGAGATCTCGGCTTTGAACGACGAGAAATCAAGTTATCTCATCGCACGCCTTGGCCTAATGGCAAGTTGCTGCAAGTATTGAATCTTGCGTGGCCATTGGCATTTGCGCTCAGATTGATGCATTGGGTTTCCTTGCATGCATGCCCCGGTATGAATGTTTTGTTTTTTGCCTTTTCACTCGACAGTAATCTCGGGTATTCGTGACCTCCTGGCCTGTTCCAAGGCTTAGGATACAGCACTGACCTGCTTACGCTGCGTATCTCCTCGTTGCCATTCTGGTGTTATTAGGGGGATCATCTACGGCGACTTAAACGCCAATCCAGTTGAAGTTTGCATAGCCTGAGGAGTGTATGTGTAGGAAGGGGGGTGGGGGGTGTGCTCTCATTTGGCAACAGAAATATTTCCAAGATGAGCCGGACCCCAGAAACGAATGTAACAATCAAGAGTCATCGGCTTTTCCGCGTGCAGGGCGGCCGCAGCTGGAGTAAGCCATCGATTGCGGAGGGAGCCTTGGTCTACGCCAACGTGCCGGCGGAATTCTGACCGCCCCAATTAGCTGCGAAGAAGTATATATATTCGATTTTTTCGCCCGTGTTTCTGTTTCGAATTGTTGGAAAATAACCCGTGCCCCAGTTATCCTGCGGCGTTGTTGGAAACAGCCATGATAAAAATTATGACCCGCCTGGGCCTGCTGTTCACGCTCCTCGGCCTGGGTCTGGCGTCGGATCCGCTAGACTCGGTGTGCCGCTCAAAGCATGTTTGCTTGAGGATTGGGGGACGGTATCCGGGGACGGTGTTTTACCCTGGGAGCGAAACGTATAATTCAGAGAATCATCGTAAGTGGTGTTCTTGCGGCTTGGACTCTCAGTTGCAGTGATCAACTTATTTTATGAGACGGTCAATATTGACGTGCGATGATTAGACTACTTCAATGCAGCGGCCGCCTCAAAACCACTTTGTGTATTTGTCCCGAGAAATACACATGAAGTCGCTGGTGCAGTCGAGATTCTTGCAGCATCACACACGGAGTTCGCCGTCAGGGGAGCCGGACACATGCCCATTCCTGGCTATGCGAATACAGACGGCGGCGTCTTGATCGCATTCACAAAGATGAAGCAGCTGCACCTTAGTGCGGACAAGTCATTTGTCTCCGTTGGTCCGGGGAACACCTGGCTGAATGTGTATCAATATCTCGAACCGCATGGGCTGGTGGCCCTGGGAGGGCGCGTGGGATCAGTTGGGGTCCCGGGACTGTTGCTCGGAGGCGGTATTTCCTTTTATTCCAACCAGTATGGCTTTGCGGCAAACAACGTCGTCTCGTATGAAGTGAGTAAAGCATCCTTTCTTATATCGCGACATGTCGATGTCTGTGTTGGCGACTGCTGAAACATAACTCCCAAAGGTCGTCCTCGCCAACGGTAAAATCGTCCAAGCCACCGCCAAACAGAACAGCGATCTCTTCTGGGCCCTTAAAGGTGGAGGAAACAGTTTTGGCATCGTCACCCGCTTTGATCTTGTTACGTTTAACTCCCCCCAAACTTGCGGTGGCATTATGGTGCATCAAGGCACTCCACACGATGAGTTCTCGAGAGCCATTTCTCGCTTTGTACAGGATGGATCAAAAGATGCGAAAGCAGCGATAATCCCGACAATCACCTTTATTCCTTCACAGGACGTCACGGCTTACATATCCTTCCTCTTTTATGACGGTGCTGAATGCGACCAACCGGCCCTGTCAGATTTCCTTGCCATACCGTCGGTGAACAACACATATCGCCAAGCCACGATGGCCCAGCTGGCTGCCGAGCAAGACGCTTTTATCCCCATGGGGACCAGGCGGAGTTTTCATGTCGTGTCCAGTTTCGCTACCCCCGAGGCAATTGAAATAATTTACGATGTTTTTGCTACCACTTTCAAAGCTGAGCTCTGGGATGTACCAAACATCACCACTAGCATTGCGTACCAACCCATGACGAAGCGATTTGTAGAGGAGGGGGATAGGAGGGGAGGTAATCCACAGGGTATAGATGCGTCTAAGGCTCCATATTTCTGTATGTGTCACCTCGTGGCTGCTGGAGGGCGCCGACCCCAACGCAATTCCAAATCCCTGCCGTCATTTCTTTCACTCTTTCACTTTGCCTTGCCCCAATTTTTGATGTATTTCTATCTGACTACTAGCTAACCATCTGCCTTTTTAACCTTCCGGGAACACAGGGGTCGTACAAGACTTATCATGGACAGACGCCAAATACGATCAAAGAATTGCCGAGTATCGCAGATTAGCCGCGGCGAAAACGGAAGCGAAACTAGCCGCTGCAGGCCTAAAAGCGGAATACAGGTACATGAACGATGCTGATAAAGGGCAGACGGTTTTCGAAACCTACGGCGGCGATAACCTTGCCAAACTCAAGGAGATCCGCGCGAAATATGATCCGACACGGCTCTTCACCGATTCTCTGGCCGGCGGATGGAAGGTTGAGCATGCACAGAGCAAGAATTAGATTTATTGGAATACATGTTTTATATACTTATTTATCTTTAATTCTTCTTCATTATTTTGAACCATTGTTGCCAAGTGACCCTCGATTGGAATGGATAGGCGAACAACAAACTACACTTATTTATTCTGCTTTTGTACTGGTATCTTGCATACGCCCAGGGCAAGAGGTGCTTTCTCAAACCTCATATGTCATCTTCTGGCTTGATGGAGCAGCCAGAAGAGAGCCAGGAGTTGCCGTGGCTGTCGTGAAGCCCTAGCTAGGTGCTGTAAATCACCCACTGGCGAGGAACTGAGCTGCACACCATTTTCCCTTATTTATTTACCCTTGAGCTCGAAGGAAATGGAATATCAGTACAACGACCTTACCATGGCTTTCCGTTATTTTATTTTATTTTATTTTATTTTATTTTATTCCTTCCTATCTTACAACTCCTTAGTGTGCTCTTGGGCACCTCTATCGCTGGGCCGAGGGCGTTAGTGATGGTTGAAGTCCCAAGCATGGAGGGCTTTCCTTTCTTTTTCTTTCCCAGGACAGATATGATAACTCTCCCCCGAGCGGAGTATGACCTCTAGTGCCTGTCCTCCACGCTTCAGGGCTTAACTCCGATCCGAGCACAAATAAAAAAGGTGCATATTTCTGTCATTCGAGCCAGATTGATAGTCTAATTTGGGTTTTCCTCCTGTGGCGGGTTGACATGACGCGCAATTGCCGAATTTTTTCGGAATCATGACAAATAGCGAGACTCTCGCAACTAACCTGGTGCGCCGGGGAAGCCCTAAGGTGAGAAGGGAAAATGATCACCAAGTTCTATCTCAATTTGCGATTGTCATACTAAAAGAGCAAATCGATCCATCTAATTCGACCATTCGTTGACAAAGGGCACGAATGCATCTCCCGCTATACGAGGCATCGAAGATTGCGGACCCTTCGCGGACCCTTTTCATTTGAGCACTCATAGGAGCGGCGGAGCCCTTCGTCGCTCCAAGTCTTCCGTTCTATTATGACGGTGAGAGTGTTGCTAGAGTGTTGCTACAGAGCTCTAGGCATCCAGAGGAGAAAAACATATTCAGCTGTCGAGTCAAAAAAAAAAAAAAACCAAAATCCAGTCTTATGCCACTCTTGACTAAATTTCACAACTCCTTTGAAGCCGACCCTGATAGATGTGGCGGTTTCCAATACCCCAATCGCACCTGACACGCCTCAATCGTTGATTCTAGAGTATCCGGAGGTCCTGGAACTCGGGTATATTACCAGCCATCATCCCCCCAGAGCGTTCCTCTCCAAACTTTTGCATACCTTTCCCCATTCTGGACACTCTACCCTCTTTGCCAGCATCTTTTCCCCAGTGGGAGTTTCGTCATTGTTACTGAATTATTCGCTCTCCCGATATACTGCTGGGGGGGTTGAGACCGCCTTTCACCACGCAGGCTGTCGAGAGTGATTTATTGAATTGGATAATCGAGCCCTTCGGTATGATTTGTTTGAAAATTATATCTGAATCTGCACCGTGATAAAATTTTCTCCTTGTCCGCTCTACTAGATGCTCGCCGATGCTTGGATCTCCTCTCTAAGTATAAATGCTTAGCAATAGCACATTCTGGGTAAGTATTCCATTCTCGTAGTGAACTTCAGGCCCTTGACTTTCCGCTCGTTGCGCTGAGTCGGCTATTTATATTGTATAGGGCGCGACATGGAGCCTCTGGGGCCTGGGGTTCATTACCACGGTTGGGCGGGCCATTTTAAGATTCCAAGTCCAAGAGACATATGTTGCGGAGGATTATCTTGCGTTTCTTTGCCTCGTCCTTCTTACCGCCGTGACGATTCTGGGTACAATTATTGAGCCTATTTTCGGGGACTTACTGCGCTACATGCTTGCGGTCAAGGTACACCCAGATCTTTCGCAGATGGTGGACGCTGTTCAATTGTCTGCCAGGATATCTGGCGGTCTGAAACTCTTATTGAGGTAGTTTTACCTCCTGCTACTTCCCGTCTAGATATGTGGTATGTGGTGTTTACATGACTGTATAGCGAGACGTTGCTCTTTTGGACAACCTTATGGGCAGGTATGTTTCGTTCTGCCCTACACTGTGGTTATGGATGCAACTCCTGACCCAATAGCCTTCTCTCGAGGTAGCAAAATTTTCTATCCTGTTATTTTTTGGGCGTATCGTCACCGGTCTACCCAAATATGTAATTATTTTCCGGGTTGTATTAGCAGTCGTGCTGGCAACATACCTTGGGTGCATACTCACGACTTTCCTATCATGCAACCCTCTATCAACATATTGGAATCCAGGTTGGTTCACAGTCTACTGTTTCGGCCTGATAACATAGACAGTGAAGCTGATACTGCTCGCTTTTCTGAAGACCGGAGCGCTTGTCCGATCAATGTTCAAAGAGTGGACATCAATCTCAAGGTCGCCATTGCTTCGGATATCGGTTCGGATTTACTGAGTAAGGTCGATTCTCTCATATTTATCGTTCGCACTGATCATACGCCTTTCTCCTTCACTCAAATCAGAAAACGAATGACAAAAGGGGCCCCAAAGTTAAAAATTGAACAATAAAATAGTTATGCTTCTCCCCCTTTCTCTTCTCATGAAAGCTCGGATATCCACGAAGCAAAAGATTGGCCTCGCGTGCATGTTTTCCCTAGGCCTGATCGTCATCGCTTTTGCCTTCGTCCGCTTCCGGGAGATCAAGAAAGTTTCAAGCCTGAACGAAACCGATGAAATCGTGCTTGTACAAGGGCCAGTGCGCCTCACCTTGTGGTCTCAGATCGAGGCTGCTATGTCCCTTCTCATCACGAACATCCCTGCGTTCCGCTCCTTAATAGCACCGCCGGGGAGTACCCCCATCCACCCCGCGAGAAAATACTCCGGCAGGCCCTCATATCCAGAGAGGGGTGGCGGAGTTAGACTGGATGGGGGATTAGAAGATGCTGCAAGCCAGATGAGGGTTCCAAAGCGTCACCTGTGCCGCGCTTCGTTCGAGATGGATAGTCTGCATTCAGAATCGTCGGTGTATGGAAGCCGGGTGGAGCTAGGGGAGGAACCGACAGATGTACGACGCTTGACGCTGGGAATAGTGAGAACGACGGAGGTCGATGTTGATTCGCACTTCAGGGGTAATGAGCTATTTGTGTCCCACCCTTTCGTGCCGCCTACGTGAGGCCGGCGCGGCTGAAAGGGACTTTCATAGGATATGGCTCTACGAGAGGAGGGGACCAAATTGTTTGTATCGGTCCCTCTATGTGTAACTGCACAGTACGTTAAGAAAAGCTTTATTTCGATCCTCAAATGCTTAACCTACACACTTTTTTTTTTTTTTTTTTTTTTTTTTTTTGAAGAAGAAGAAGAAGAAACTTGTGTGCTCGCGATGGATGAGGTGGTAAGTAACCCTTATGACGATGCTCATAAGGATCCTAGAATAGCGTTGACAGAAAATTGTATACAACATAAAACATCGTCAACATTAGCTGGTTAAAATGTTCATGCCTAGCCGCCGCGATAAGACTGCACAACTTGAGAATCGTTTTGCCCGAGGACGACAAAGATGACCGCCGCATAGCGCGTGGTTATCCTGCAAAATAGTGTCTGATATCACCTCTCTACTCCGTACAGTCGTATCAAAGAATAAGAAGAAGGGGGAAAATATGTAAGAATAGAAGAAGCGATTCAATAGTTGGGCAACTTATGTGTCCCACAATTGTGGTATGTATTAGTTATTATGAAAACCCGAAAACTGTTCCCTGTGAGTCTGTCTGTCTATCTGAGAGAAGAAACAGAGCTCGATCGGCCAGTGATGTAGTAGTATCTGCGGACTACCGAAGCTCCTGGAGCTCATATATAACCCTCGGCTAGCGCATGAAGTATGAACATAACATACCCCCTTGCGTCTTCCAGAAAGCCCATGGTCAAGCTTGCCTGAGTAGCTTATTGGCCCATGGCCTGAGGATCGGCCTTGCATCGCAAATCTGTTCTTGGCGCTTGTTGGTGATCCCTGGCCTAGAATACTATTAAATATAGGTTGGTATATCACCAAAAAAAAAAAAAAAAAAAAAAAAAGCATGTCCTACATCGCCTTTGAAATCCCTAGGAGTAGGCAGGCGCCACACTCGAGAGGTCCATGGACCCTTTCATTCTCCTTGACCATGAATAAGCGAAATTACATCTACCGGCGATATCCAGCCTGGATACCAGTAAAGTTGGAATAAACATGCTGAAAATACGAATATGGATTGCCTCTTCGTATCGGAGGGCTCAGAAATTATTATGCTTTGGTCGTGAGGACTGTTTGTATTTAGGAGGGATGTTGGGTGGGGTTTCCAGTTGTATTTGTATTTGGAGAAAACCCCTTAAAATTGATATATATTTATACTTATACTATATTTATTTATGTTTATTTTTGAATTGATAGTTTCTGATGAATCAGCGTCCATTTTCACGGATGCGGAGTAGCCACAAAATGAAATGGAATGACCAGGACCAGGCTTATCATGGCTTGTGGGGATGGAAGAGGAAGGTCATAGGTATAAGGCTTCCTCATCGAAAGAACAAGGATCTACCTTTGGGGTGAGGTTTTATGGCAGGCTATCGAATGGGGTCCATTCATTGCTTGGATATGTCTACATGTATATATATATAGTGAGAATAAAATGAATATGGGGAAAAAAAACCAAGGGTATATTAAAACAAAAGAAGATTCGTGGAGCGCTGTACATGTATGCAAAATGGGAAATGAAAAGTCAGGTTAACCGAAAAAAAAAAAGAAAAAGAAAAAAAGAAAAAATTGCATGGGTCTCTTGAAAACAGGTGCTGAAGCGCAAAAAGTTCAAGTAGAAACGACAAGAACGCCAGCGGGGTACTCCCATTTTTTCAAAAATGTATATATTGCACACATGGGGAAGAAATAACAAGATTGCTGAAGTGGATGATGCGTGACTTTTTTGAACTTAAAGAGAATACCACATTTCATATTCCCGTCAAATTGTACGTCAGGAAGCGGGCTCGGCAGACACTGCAGCTTCAGTATCATTTATAGCCGAGCTGTCATCCTTTTCGTTATTATTGGTATTTTTGACCGTGTAAGTTCGCACCTTCGAGCTGCCGTTGGGAACGTGGAATCTCAAATCCACCCGCGAAAAGAAATAGAGAAACACCACCGTCGCTTCGATACCGAAATTGAAGATGTAAAAGCACGCCTTGTGGTGATACCACGCTGGGTTGTTGGCCATGCGTGGAGGCATGAAGGACGTTCCAGCACGGAATGACGCCCCGAGGCAGAGCAACACGGAGGCGGTACCAGCAACGAGGATTTTTGCCCTGAGACTCCCTTGTCCGAACTGCTCGGTTGGTTCGCGGCGCGGGGCTAGCACGATGAAGGCGAGCAATGGGATTGGGAGGAAAGAGAAGAAGGTGAAATAGGACATGCCCCACCACCGGAGATTGCGGTCGATCAATAGAATGTCCTTGTCTAGGGTGTAAAAGCTTTGGACCGCGGCAGTGATAACCATGATGAGGGTCAAGACGATCAGGACATAAAGCGCCTTGAAGGCATAGGAGAAAGCTCGTGACCAGCCTATCCGCGGATGGGTGGCGCGGAAGATGCGCTGTGTGTAGAGGAGGTTGAGGATAAAAAGGAGGATAACACCGGCGGCGATGAAGACCTGCGCGGCGATTGCGATCTGCGCGTTGGTGAGGCGATTCGCCCATACGATTCGGAGAACGCAGGCGGTGATTCTGGCCATGCAGAAACCGAATGTAACGGCTGAGGGGATGAATTTATGGCCGCGTGCCATATTTATTCGAAATCGGGTCATGTGGCACACTGCGCCGGTTACAAAGATCGCGAGAAAAACTGCAGTGATGGGAACATCTGCTGTGATTGACGGCCGACCTCCCATAGCTGCGATAGGAGGAGGGTAGGGTGGGCCAGGTGGGGGACTCATGGGCTAACACAATTGTCAATTCAAGACTCCCTCATGTATCTGCCATCAGTCAAGAGACAGAAGTAGTCCAATCCATACCTTTGCCCCTGGGGAGCCCGGTGGAAAGGCTGATTGTTGCGACATCCTCAGGCTGAGGGAAGGTTTCTGCCTTCAACGAGGTAGCCTCTTCTTCTCCCTCTCTACCTATGCGGGCGTGAGCGTTCCCGCGTGGTATATTCTTTGTGAGGTTAAATTGCGGGTTTGTCAGGGCATATAGCTAGTTAGATCTATGAACTCCGGAAGTATTGAAGTTAATCCAGGCAATGTGCCCTTGAAAGAACGAGCTTGCAAATATCGATTGTCAAAAGTAGTGTGTACACCCGAAGTCGAGATCAAAGTTAATTTCTCCTTTCGACGCAGGGAGGCAAATGCCATTTATGTAGTCAAATTTTGGCTTCAAGGGGTATTCAATGAACCCCCATGATGAAATGCAGCCAGGATGGATTTGTCCAAGCTCCCGCACCGAGACCGTCAAATATCGCCGCTAGCATCTTCACCATCGGGAGAAGGTTCGTTTCCTCCGACAGCCAGATGTTGAGGAACCGCGAACGGGCCACCCAGCGTCAGCAGTCCCACGGTCCATGGCCCATCGACGTCCTGCAGCTACACTTTGTTCCCTTGCGTTGACTCCGCAATGTTCGTATCGGTGGAGGTTGAAAGAACGCGACCAGATCGCGGGCGGCGAGCAGAGCCGCAGATTGGCTGGGGCCGCGGTACATCGGCGGTTGCGAAGGCCGGGCGCCGATGGCCCTGTTTGCGCTGTTTGCACTGTTGGCCGCCGAGATCCCGATTCCCGATTCCCGATCCCGATCACGTGTCGAGATAGAGATCTGTGCAGAGATCTGTTGATGAAAAAGCGGTGTTCTATAGCGATCTTTTGTCGACCAAGTGACCAAGTGGTGCTATTTTAATTCGTATTTCTATGATATCGCTTGCTCAACTCCTTCGTTGTGGCTCTAGTGCTATTACTCCTCGTAGTTGGCCAGGGATACAATGCCACGAGGAAGAATCTCAGCGATGACGATGACGTCGTGCGACATTGTCAGCCACGAGAATCCTCCTGCAGAAGCTGTCCCACCGTGGCTTAACCACGTGCTGGTGCACCCGCAGCCATGCTCAGCATCTGCAGGAGAGCGAGCGATCTCCAACTGTTTGCCCGTCAACACCAATTGCGTCTCACTCCTCCCGCAAATCGCTGGTGAGATTGGGCTTGGACAAACCGAGAATTTTGGGTTTCTCGCTGCACTGGTCACCAGCCAGCCGGTTTCCCGTCCGCGATGGCGGCACTTCTCCAGTGTATCCGACCCATCTATGATGCCCTGTTCTGTCCAGGCCTCCCATTCAAGTATCGCTGGCGTCTACTTGCTCTTGCCCCCATAAACGCTCTCGCCTACTCCTTCAAATGGCTGCCATGGGTATTCTCGCGATCATATTCCGTCGTCAGACTCCCGCTCGCTCGAAGTCCCGGCCGCTCTAGTCGTGCTCTGATTTTCACCCCTGAATCCTCATCTCGATCCTTGCGGCCCCTCCATATCCACGTTCATGGCGGTGGGTTTATAGGCGGCGTCCCAGAGCTGGACAATGCATTCTGCAAGCGCATGGTTGAGGAGACTGGCGCTGTTGTTGCTTCCATTTCATACCGCCTAGCCCCCCGGTATCCATTTCCAATGGCTCACCAGGACGCGCAGGACGCCGCGGCTTATATTATGGAGCATGCGGAGCGACTCTGGGGAGCTAATCCAAAACTGCTGACGCTTAGCGGGTGTTCAGTGGGCTCGAACCTCGCTCTCGCCATTTCCCAGGGTCTTGCGGATTCAAACACTCCTGCGAGGGGCGCACTTATGATCGACAATCCTGTTCGTCCCCAGAACTTTTCTCCTTTAATTCATCGAGGACCCTGAACCAGTCGGAGTCCCACCATCTCCCCCGTGTCTATCATGCAGCCAGATATTACATTGGCATATTGAAGATCTGGCGCTGATTTACTCTTGGTTTGGTTTGGTCCTTTGCTCTATCATTAGGTCGATCTCCGTATCCCTCCGTGGGAAAAGCCGCGACCACCTGGATTTCCAAAATCAGACCCCCTTGCTTTCATTGTCCCTCTCTTCGACGTCTACGCCGAGTCTGCACGGTCTCGGAGATCCGATGACCCCCTTCTAAACCCTATCCTAGCTGACATCCGCACCCTTCCGCGGAAAATGTTGTTTATCATCGCTGGCGCGGATATTCTCCTACATGAGGTTACGACCTTTGTAGATCGGCTGAAGAAGGATGCAGTGGTTCTGAATTCCCAACGTGATAGTAGCGCGGATTCCGACTCGACGAGCTATGAGATTGAAGGCATGGTGTTTGATAATATGCTTCATGGTTGGTTGGATCGTAAGTGGCTTGCGTATCTCCTCCCCCCGGCTCCCACATTTTCCTTGCCCATGCGTGCATCCATTGCTTGCTATATATTCTTTTATATATATATGTATGTATATATATATACGGAACCAAACCTACGCATTAACATTTTATGTCTTATTATTTTAGTCCCATCATTCATAATTGATGAAAATTTGAGAACGCAGGCTCTCGATGCCTCCTACGATTTCATCCGACGTATCCATGCAGAAAACGGATGGCACAACGACAAAAGAACAAAAAAGGAAACATGATTGAATAGTATTATCAACCGTATTGGGTGTGAGTTTTGTTATGCACATGTATTATTATATATTAGATGGTAAAATTTAAAGCCACTCTCCCCTCCTTGACGAGTTTTTTTGTCTTCTTCGACAAAGATACCATCACCAGCCCCATAAAAAATTGTAGGATACATTCTAGTAAAGGCCTGGAGCTATGCAAGGTGAGTATCGAGGAATCATATCCCATTTTGTCTCAGATTAAGCCACCAAGAATGACCCTTCATTTCTCCAGGTCACCACTTAATAGGACGCGGTTCATTTTCGGGGAACGGGGTAGGCATGAACTAGTATTTCCCGTTGGCCAAAAACAAAAAGTGTTTGGGTGCCATCCGCGGTCTGCATACCGCTGATAGTTACTATGATCCGGAATAGTTGGTGGCCACTAGGCTGGTTTCTTCAAAAAGCCCCGATCGAATCATCGCCTTGGCTTCTTCAGGCCGACCTCTCCTGAAATAGTCCGGAATAGCTAACGGCTCAGAGTTTCTGGTCTGATTGTCCATTACGCCTTGCATAGCCCTCCTGAATGTTATCGGACATGTGGAACGGCTTGGGGAGGGTAAAAAAGGAAAAATACCCTGCTACGAGTCTATATATCAATTCATGCATCATACTTCGTTTTTTAAACTATCCACTAGTATGCTGGCTCCCTTGTCCCTCTGGAGGAGGGGAGGACGAGCAGTAGAACCAGAGCCAGGATTGAGGTCTCTCTAAGGGAATGCGGAGCGTTCTATCTTGGTAGATGATTCAAAGCCAATCATTTCACTCATCGAACTGTCGTTTCAACTGCTGGGTAGGAGTGTTATTCACTAAATGACAAAGAATTTAATAGTCCTTTTCTCCACAAAGGGGCTATAGAAGCATTGACGTGGAGTGTCAATGTTCACGTAACGACCAACAGAACAGGAGATCATGAATTGGATCAACAGGTGATGTTATCACGGAGAAGGAGGGTAGAAACGCAATTCTGCTCGTTTGCTTTATCGCTCAGGAGGTTTCAGAACAAAAGTACCCTACCCAAGCTCCAAAACTGGCTCTACAGTCTCTTAGGTCTGTAATGTGAGCTGGGATTATATCTGCACCTGTACACACAGCGCAGTGGCAGCTTGAATGAAATTGATCCTTCTTCAGTTGCCAGGTTCTTATGCGGACATCATCCTCCAATTGGAACGTCATCCGAGTCGCTGAATTTGCCAGTGATGTGTCCATAACTATCATCGGTTCGTTCCTGGTTGGAATTTGAAGCCATTAAAAGAGCTAATACCCATGACGACTTTCCCCTCTATAACACAATGGGTATCCCTTATCTACAAACATGCGTGAGTCTCTCATAAACCTCTATTCTCTGGGCTAGCAACACCCAACCCCTATCCACGTAAACGAAAATCAAATCACAACCCACTCAATTGGCTAGTGTTAGTTCTCACGCTGGACCTTGATTCCAAACTTTTCGTAAGGGAAGTTCTCCAGACTCTGTAATAAATGGGCCCAGCCGTCACCAACTTCGCCAGTCTTCCCGGATCCACGGCCTCGCCATGTATCAAGCCCCTCAAGCCCTTCCAGCACCGCATGCTCCACATCAACATCTTTATGCTCGCCGGTCAAACCAGCTAGGACCAGTTCTTCCTTGCCGCGGTATTCTTCAAGAAGCCCGGAATACGGAACCCAGACAACCTGCATCCCCGCCCGCCGCCCGGCCTCGACGCCAGGGACGGAATCCTCAAACACGAGACATTCCTCCGGTTTTATTTCAGGTTCACCGTTATTTGCTGCGCGTATTTCCTCATTGATGGCCTCCAATGCCAGTAGATAGATGTCTGGTAACGGCTTGCCTCTTCCCGCGCCGATGCGGGGATTGTCACCTCGGATCAGTCTCGATTCAGGGAATAAGGAGAAAAGATCTGCCAAGTGGGCGGCTTTCAAGGCGTAGTTTTCGGACGTCGATGACGTGGCTAGTGCCATATGAATTGGGCATGGAGTCTGTGCGGTCTTAGCAAGAGTCGATAGCAGAGAAACTACGCCTGGTAACGGCTTTGTAGTCGGGAAATGTATTTTCTGGAGTGCTGCTTGCTTCTCGCGGAAGTCTTCCATGCTGATGGGCAGTTGGGCCCAATCGTGGAATATCTTTCCCGCCTGGATTTTTGTGGATTTTGTTCCCCCCCTTCGTATCAGTTATATGCTGCCATGAGGAGGAATGAAGCTATATACATTGATATGTGTGTGTCTGTAGTACCTGTGGAGCGGGACGGCCCTGCAACTGTGCCTTGATAGACCATGGCATAGATGGCCTACCATACTCATGCAGAATAGTATTTATCACTAGCGAATAAATGTCCTCTGAATCGATAAGAAGGCCATCCATGTCGAATAGACAGGCCCTAACGGGTGGCGGTCTTGATAGAGATAAGTCAGTCTCTGCGGCGTTTATGCTTAGGAGAAAACACATACTGCTTGCGCCCGGAAGTCATGGCTGTGGTCTTAAATGCAGGTTATTCTCTTGACAGAAAAACACGCGAATTCAATAACGATATGATGTTGACATGTTTTGATTTGAATGGTTTGAGCCAGAACCTGCTGGGAGTTGCAACGGGGAACGATCAATTGCCCACTTCCAGTTGATCTCTGACTAGCTTCACCATAAATAATTGATAACCTTGGCCGCTAGAGCGCCTCTGTCCCGGAACAAGTGCCGGAAAAGCAACCAACCACCGTAAATCCGCTCTAAAGAAATGACCCGTCCAGCTTCATCCGACAGCGACGAGGAGGAAGTATTCCACGATGCGCGCTACCCCTCGGACGAAGAAGCCGTTTGTCTCCCTCCGCAAAAAGAATCCCCTCCCCTCTTGGCGTTAACCACCTGTCAGCGGTCCTTTGTTCTCTAGATAGGTATGCTAAGCTAGTGTTTTGATTTAGGACCTCTTAAACCAATCCAATACCCATAAGTCCGAGGCGAACAAGCTGTTCTCCTCTGCCCGCTACTCGGAAGCCGTCACAACCTACGACCGCGCCCTCTCCTTCTGCCCCAACTATCTAGACTACGAAATCGCCGTCCTCCGCAGCAACATTGCCGCATGCCATCTGAAACTGGAAGATTGGAAAGCTGCTGTCGAAGCAGCCACAGCCAGTATTGATCGGCTGGATAAAGCACTGTCATCGCACCTACAAGGGGAAACGGCATCTGGGGGGAGAGCTAGCGATGGGACTGTGGACAATAATAAAGTGGTGGAACTGCTCGATGGGGACGGGGACGGAGAGTCCGAAGAGGCACAGCTCAAGAAACTCCAGGAGGACGATAAAAGGAAGGAAGATATCCAGCGCATACGTGCCAAGGCGCTCATGAGGCGGGCTCGGGCTAAGATGCAGCTGGGAGGGTGGGCCAATCTGCAGGGGGCTGAAGAGGATTACAAGGCCTTGCTTGGAATGGGGAATCTGCCGGCGCAGGATGAGCGGATTGTGCGAAAAGCGCTGAGGGAGCTGCCTGGCTTGATTAATGCTGCGCGAGAGAAGGAGGTTGCGGATATGATGGGCAAGCTTAAGGATGTAAGTTGTGTGACCCGTTTTTGAATCTTGCTGTCGTGCTTTAGCATTTTATGGTTTCTTACGAATGTCGTGTTTTAGCTTGGGAATGGGATCTTGAAACCCTTCGGACTGTCAACGGATAATTTCAAGTTCGTGAAGGACGAGAAGTCTGGCGGTTATAACATGTCATTTGAGAAATAAAGGTAGATCCATCCCGGCGTTCGTAAGGAGATCATTAAAAAGACTGAGTTTTGCAATAGAATCAGTCATTTTGCCCATACAGAAATCATGCCTAGCTACTTGTTTTATCCATGATGCAGACAAACTCGGACCGGCTACATCGACGCACGCTTTATCACTCTGAACTATATCTCTTGCTTGCTATTTCAGTACCTTATTGCATAATCAGGACATCCGTCATATAGAATAAAATCTTCGTTTTATTTCAGATCTGCGAAAATTGCATTCGTTCAGGAGACGAATTTCCAAAACATCAGTAGTCATATTGTAGGCCACCCCCTGGGTAGATATCTACTGAAGATGCCTCAAGCCCTTGAGGACAGGCCAGGACATACTACGGCTTTTATGTCAGATTAACCCTACCTTATACATATACATCGATATTATAGTGAAAGCCAATAACACCAACGCGGTTGCTGATTATTAATTCTTTTCTGCAGTGCGTAAGTACAATCTGCTATTACAAGTGCGGATAAAATTGAACAATTTAGTATCCCACCATACCATACCGTATAACTATCCCTTGAAAGAACAAAAATTTCAAAGTAAAAGCCCAAATTTAAACAGACGATGACTAACGTTGCCAAGGGGAGAAGACAAAAACAAAACCCTGTGGAAGGAAGTCCTTTTTAAAAGTGCGGCCAAAGGCCACTCCTAATACCGTAAACCAGGGCCAAATGGAGTTAGCGAAAAAAAGGGGGGAAAAAAAGGTCCACGGCGTTAACAATGGGCTGGTATTAGCGCAAACATGTCAGTCAGTCAAAATAGGCAAACTTGGCATTCATGGACATGGCAAACCACCTAGAACTTGATCAGCCGCTGGTGGGAGAGTTGGCTACGAATCGGGTGATTCCAAATATCATTGTATGGCCTGTGAAGTCCAACGGGATGAATGTTTTTGAATCCTTCGAACAGCGGCAATTCCCGATCCTAGAAGAGAACAAAAAGAGAAAACGGAAGGAGAAGAGGGAATTAATGTGGTTAATTGAGAGCGGGAAAGGACATAAAACAGAATCAATCGGAAGGGGTTGTCCCGTAGCTAGCTCCCTGAAAATAGTGGTTCAGAAATCCACGATGTTGGATTAGGTGTTGAAATTCCAACATGGAATGGGATCTAAGTAAATAGAATCTAATGACAGAAAGCTAGCGAAGAAAGAGAAAAACTGAAAATAATTGCATAAAACAGGACGTATGCAAGTTCAAAACGAATTGACCGCGAGGGGAATATGTTTGAAAAGAAGCTGCTGGAAAGGTACGCTGCATCAAGAAGCAACGACGCAGCTTCATCCTGGGTTTCCTTGGGCCATAGGTGTAGGGTAGAAAGATATTCTACGAAGGTGCATGACACAAAGAGACGTTTTCGGCGTGGGTTTCCACGTTTCAAATCATCGAGCCTTCTTCTGAGGGGAAGGGACAAAATCAGAAGCATCACTTTCATCCTGGGAGCGCTTACGGCCGTGTCCGTAAGATGCCTCAGTAGAATGGGCATTGCGTGACCCGTAGCGTGCGGGCGCGGGGCCTGGCGCGTGCTGGTAGGTTATCCAAGGATGTGGAGCAGGCCCCATTGCCCGGCGATTGGAGTTTGGCCCAGGAGAGTTGTAGATGGCAGGCTTGAATTGAGTGGACGCTTGCTGCCTGAACTGCTCTGTCATCTCCTCACGATTGTAAGGGCCATTGTTGTACAGAGGGGTATTCTGTCCAAGTCCATGGATGGTGTTAGTTGACTGGCTGCGCGCAAATCCAAAAGCTGGTTGCCCATATCCAGTTAACCCACTAGAAATCATGGGGTTGAGCCCGAAAGTTCGGCCAGTTGCCGAGGTATTAATTAATTGGGGATGTGCAGCCATAGAAAATGTATTATGATGCATGGGGTAGGCCATATTATCCTGAGTGGAGGGCTCTGTAGGGCTAGAAAATCCCATTTGGTGGGTCCCTTGTGAGTGGGTAAGCGGGCTGCTGTTTAGCGTCATGTTTCGCACATTGGTATTGATGTTCACAGGGGTGCTAGTATCCCTGGTTGGAGAGTCTCTACGTGGAGTACTGAAGGGAGTACAGAGGCCTTCACGGTCCTCAGATGTGCGCTTCGCTGGAGTGGATTTAGAGTCAGTTCTGGAGTGGCCCAGGGCCTTCTTTCCGGCGTTCATAACCTCCCCCTTGCGCTTGTTGAGATTCTTATTGGCCACGACGCGCTAATTGATCGTCAGGGCGTTTCTGTTTGTTCTGGAAAAATGCTAGTCACTCACATTTTTGGCAGAGACAGGGTCGTCAACAAAGGTAAATAAGTAGTACGCATCTAGTAAATGCTTGCAGATGGTTTTCTGGGTCTGAGGAAATGATTAATAGGACAATATATCGGCTTTCCTAGAGAGAGGCCTACCCAGAGACACTCAATAATCTTGTCTATTCGGTCTTTGAACGTCGGCATTTGGCCAGTAGTCTTTGCCTTGCCGTCATAAATAGCAAGAAGTGGACCATTCTCATGGCGACTGATACAAGAATCCTGTAAAATACGTATATTAGCACCATTTGCCCAAATAATAGATATCATCCACAAACCAGGATATTCCAACAAACTATTTCCATCCTGATTGGACTATGTTTCTGTTCACGGAATGGGCGGATCATGCCCTCATTATCTTCCGCATACTCGATGCTCTTCATTGCTTTGAGCATCTCGGTAACAATCTTACGCTTCGCCTCCAGGGTTTTTGGAATGGTGGGGTCGTAGTCCACTTGGACTTCAAAGGCGCGCCATGCGTTGGCTTCTTCGACGCATGAGAATTGGAGCTCAGGATCAGGTCTTCCTTGGTTCGCGGATGACATTGGAGACGTGGGGATAGGATCTTCACACTTCATCTCAGGTTGGTGACCAGTGGCAGTATCCGCACTCTCACCACCAGCCATGTGAGCCGAAAAGTGTGCGTTCTGAGAAGGAGAGGGATAAGAGGACTGATGATGGGAGTAATTCCCACCGATTCCGAAATCCGAGATCTCTCCAGTATCGACGGGGCGAGCGCAGAAATCGGTTCCCTGAGATTTCTCGCGCTCAGAACTTTCAGCCACAGCTTTCGGTTGAAAAAAATCTAAGTTCACAGCATCAGTTGGATCATATTGAGCCTTCTTTGTGTCACATGCGGTGTTAGTGTTGTCCTTCGGTAACGGGCTAACTGCGCTCCCACTAGCGGAGTGAGGAGGGGCTGGCAATGGTTGTGCATGGCGCCCAGTAGATTCTTTGGGTGTAGAGCTGAGCTCAGCGGGAGCCATTCCTGTAGCACTGTGCTGCAGACTGGGAGTCGTAGACGGGGAGGTGGTCGATAAACTTTCGATCGCTAGCGGATACGGCGTAAAGTCTGGAACAGCTGATCGATTATATATTAACCCCGTTAGAACGTTTATTATCGAATTGGCAGTAAATGAAAACTCTTAGATAAATTTTTAAGATAAGGCCATGCATTGTTTTGTTTATGCAATAGTGCTCTGGGTGGTTGGGTGGGAAACGAGAAGTGGTAGATAGAGTCGCTGGGGTCAAGAAGCGGTATGGATACTGTACCTTCACTTCCCAACGCATCAACCGGCTTGGGACCCAGATTTTCAAGAAAACTTGGGTCGATGGTTTCAGGTTCGCTGTTCGTCAGTCCAGAGGATGAGAAGTCCTCGCGGAAATTGTCCATGTGGTACCTATTCATATCAGATTAGTATCACAAGAACTCAGCGCCAATATGAGGAACGCATCTCACGTTGCCTCGTCCACAAAAGAGAAATGCTGCTCCATTATATTGTTGAAGAAGCCCTCCATAGGCACCGGCTCAACCATTGGGTGGTAATAACCGGGAGAGTCAGCTGGATCCATTCTTGGATTGATCTCCAACGACACTGCTTGCAGAGAGTTTCGAAGCTGAAGCTGGAAAATATGAGACTTATTCGCAGTATCGCATTAAATCCTTTGATTTTCAGATACAAACCAGAAGCTCTAGGGGCGTCAGATAGAGAGTGCTAGGTCAGGTGTCAGCCATGATTCTGCACCTGACCGAACGAGGAAGATCTCGACAGGAAATGGGGTGGAGAAATGTCACACCTACTGTTAGAAAGGAGCCAGAGGTCGGGTGAATGGACAGTCGTCTTTGGTACGCTGGATTGCTCGTTTTGACTCGGATGATGCTTGAGGGATCCCACAGAACAAGGGGTTATCAACAAAGTACAGAAGGATAAGCAGGCTTCCGCAGGTGCGAAGTTTCGAAGTGCGAACCGTAGTAAAGTTGCTCGATAAGAGCTGGAATTAGAAAGTGTTTAGGACGAGCTGAAAACGGCGACAGAGATATCAGTAGACAGTCGGAAGTCCGGATCGTCCCTAGCGGAAGTTCGATTTTCAGGTGGCCGATGAGGAACTCTGTTAGGCTATCCTATGGTGTCAAGTAGATTCAACGTGGAGAGAGTAAAGGATGTGAAAGTGGTGGATTGGGATATATCAAGAGGGTGTAGAAGAGAAGGAAATGAACAGCAGAGAGGGGGAGGGGAGAAGACACGAAATAGGGGGGCTGGGTATGTCGGGCTTTATATTCACATATACTCGACTTCGTTGGGGGTGGAATTCACTGCGGATAGAACGCCAGCCACCACATTGTTGGAAGTAAAGGGGTTGCAGAGATATATGGCTGTGGAAGCAGGAAACTGCAGAGAAAACGGAGTTCTTTTTTTATATCGAATCCCGATACGTCTTTCGAGTCATATGGAACAACGCACCATATGACAACGCCTGTAGGATAGAAATCCATTGTGCCCGGAAGCTTGAATTGAATATGAATAGCACGATTATCCCATTTACCAATCCCAAAAGAGCGAAACAATATTATTCCAAACGGGTAAACGAACCAACGATAAGTATATCTAGAGACCTGCCGGGAAATCCCAGTGGTCAGAAAGGATCGCATTTAGTTATCGCTGTAGGAGAGGGCATACATACCAGCCATTATATCTGTCCATGCTAAGCCCAAGTCCTCCCGCAAAACTGCGACAAACACTATGTCTTTTTAGTAAAGACACCAAACCTCCCAAAACCCAGGAAAATCACACCGGACAAGTTTGTCGAGCGCACTATTATTCAAACATACAACGAATATTTTTTGCATGGAATATCAGTAAACGTTTGGATGGAGAACGAAAAATTAACTTGCCTATATTCGTTATTGATGAAATGAACAAGTGATATCTTCCATCCGCGAATTCAAATTCATCTCTCGAAATCCCTTCGCTGAGGGAAACGACGCGCAAAATGGGTATCTGACGCTTTTGGTAAGGCCCTAAATGGATTACAACCGCCACCATCCACGGCGTCAGTCATATCGCACTCATATTACATGATGTTGGCAAGTTGAACTGAAAGGCCGACACCGTAGGACACTTGATCATCTGCTACATCTCTGCGCATAGCGACAGAATGCCCCCATAACCTCTGCTGCAACGAGGAGCAAGATAAGTGAAGAGAAATAGAAGAAACCATGAATCTGACTTCAGCAGGCTCGAAAATAAGTGCCCCCCGCAGCGAACTGCGATGAGGCTCGCTTCACTTCGCGCAAGAGGGAAAGGCTGTAGACGAAAAGGGCTGAGGGAAGGAAAGACGCGAAAGCAGCGATCCAGAGTTTAAGACAGCCAGATAGCTGCCTCATGAGATCCTAAAGAGGAACTGGACGCATGGCTAGTGATCGAGATGCACTGTACAACTATTTGTTCTAGCCTTAGATGAGGGTAAAGAAAATGAGATGTTTGCTTGTGGGCTTGATCTTGTTACCCTGTCAGGTCCGAAGCACAACGAATGTCCATGGAGCATAGATACACAAAGTCAGGAACCCACATTGCGAGTTCTAGGCTAGAAGGAGACAGGCCATGAGTGATCTTATTTGGGATTAACTACTTGAAGACAGCATTGTGCAGGTATCCAAAATGAGCCATCCTGGTGGGATAAGCAAGCAAAGCATTTCCACATTTTGCATGGGGAAAATCCATCACACTGCGAAATACAAAGAAATTGGGTAAGAAAATCAACTGAACATGGTCTATCCTGGATAGTTAGCATCAATGAACAGAGTAAGCCGGTGGGGGATTCCGTCTATCCATTGATGATGTTTGATGATGTTGGTTTGATTAAGCTCAGGTACTCAGCCTGCCAAGTACCGCCTGCATGGCCAAGACCTTAGTCCTGCGGTCGAAATATTACGATCTACACGCAGTGTATTTGGAGTGCCATCAGGATATAAATAAAGAGGTTTCATGTGAAAACGGCATTGTCACCTGTTCCTTTTAGCATTATATAGAATTATATACAACGGGCGTTTCTCTGTTGTGTTTCCAAGAAAAAGATCAAATTTCTCAAAACACCACGCTTCCCTAACACGCCCAGCTATAATGAATTGACATGCGGCAGGCATTAACATTCAATTGATGTTGATGGTTTTTGAAGGGAAATCTGATGGTCACGGCACGGCTAGGGTATGTGCTGCGCTATCTTCAGTATCACGGAAAATTGCTTGACCACCTACAGCCCCACAAGAGAATAATTTAATTCCCAGCAGTATAGTAGCCGGGGATGTGCGAAAGGTCATTTGGCGGGGAGAACCGGAGATGGCCAGCTCCCAAAAATTTAGCAACTCGTCCTCTAATAAACATTATTTTCCAGGCCTAGTATACCTTGTATCAAAGCTGATTTGAGTTTCGAGCACGCAACCAGAAATGTGCGCGTATTTTTCATAGCTATTTCACGGTTTGCGTCCCTAAGACCTTCCCTAGGGCCACTTTTCGGGAAGGGAAAAAAAAAAGAAAAAAAAAGAAAATTAAAGGCTACTTTCTTCGGCGTCTTCGGCCCCCGATATGGTGTTACCCGATCCCCAAACATTTGCGAATATTGATTTCACCTACAGGGATGGGAAGTCATCAGTTGTACCTTGTGTGCCTGAAGTTCCCCGGCTATTTGTCAGCAGAAGCCATCACTTGGTCTAACAGTTCGCCGGGGTCCATTGGAACTCAGCAACGTACGGCGATCCCGTGGATGATCCGGAGTGCTGACTCTAGTGGAAGGAATGTATGATACATGTCCACGGAGTCCACGAGCAATTCCGCTTAGAGCGGGTTATTGATACGGCGTCGCTCGTGGGACAGCGCCCCCTGGTAGGGCTGTATGCGGATATCAAGAACTCCTTCTCATATATCATAGATTGTGGAAGCTCAACTGCCAGTTGGGGACTTAAAGAAAGTTCACGACAGATGATTAGAGCGCATATGCTTTCAAGACTCTTAAAGTGCCCATATTTTCAAGGAGTTGTCGATATTGTTTGCCATATTTCCATCGCTATGATTGCCGTCATTGGCGTTGCCTTCCATCATCCCATCTGCATCGACAGGTGGATACTTTTTTTGACCAGAACAGGTTGCTAAAACACCGCCCATAGGGTGGAAGACAGCACTGGTTACAGGGTCTGTTAGATATGTCGTCAGTCCTATCTAGCTCGTTCGACTTGTTAATGCGATGATGGATCACTTACCATCATGAACTCGCTTCTCCCATTGCGGCTGTCTCCCATTTTCAGTTACATGTGAAGGATCTGACCACACTCTTACCATTCCATCAGTCCCACCAGCCCAAACTTCCGTGGCGTTACGTTCGTCTCCAGGAACAATATCTGCTTTGAGTCTTTGGTTGGTCATTCCGCCTCTCCCCTCCAGCCAACCCACCAGTTGACCGGTGACTCGAATATCGTACACAAGAATCCCACTGCTTTTTCGCTCGATGACGAACAAATATCGGCCACACGGGCTCCAAAGCACCTGTGTAATACCCTTACCACCGATGCGCGAAGCTGCTACCGTGCCTTCAACACTGAATGTGGCGATTGTATCACCGGACCCATTGGATGCGTAAAGGCCTATGTACCTCGTGGAAGTACCTGCTGCCAAAACTCCGTCTCCAGATGGGCTGATGGACATGGTGGAAACGATTCCTTTCATTCCAACACCGCCACCAACGATTTTCTTCCGTTTGCTTGGAATGGTTTGGAGTCTGGACACGGGGCCGTCTTTTCCAGGACGGGACACGTCAAACAGACATATCAAACTATCCGAACCTGTCAGAAACTGCGTCCCGCTAAGGCTGGGTGGGTAGAGGATGGAATGTGGCGTAATGAAAGCCTCAGTCGTAGGTGAGACAAGGCTGTACGAAGCTGAGAATCCGGGATATAAGGCAGAAGTTAGTCGAATGGGGTGGTCTCTAACAGAAGAGAGAAGCAGGGTCGAAGATGCGTCCTGTAACCTGTAGAATGGGTAAATTGCCATTGCATAGCTTGGTTCTGTTGATGGAATTGTATGGTAGGGTTCTAGTTCATGAGGCTGGTCTCTCTGTTCGAGGAGATCCGTGGGTCTGTGCATTTGGGATATATTCAGATGAGTTCGGTATAGGGTCAAGTGAGGGGAGCCACATACAACACAAATGTTCTGATAGTGTTGTCCGCCGAATTTGTAATTACGCAAGTCCCATCTGCTGTCCTATTAACACGATTAGCTCGATTAGCTCGAGTTTTTTTTTTTTTTTTTTTTTTTAAACCGAAAACCATCAGTGCTATAAAGATTAAGACCGGACGCGTACCAAGTAGCTTCTTTAAAATAATTAGATATGGCCAGGTATTCTCCTGGAAGGGCGTCTTTCTTTCCTGATGGCTTTTCAGGTGTCGAGAAAGCAAAATTCCGAGTTGAAGCTACGCAATTCAAATCGAAGGACTGGCCAAATTGATCCATGGTGGTGAGAATTGCTTCCAGCCCTGGACCGGATAGAAACGTGAGATAAAGATTTTAGATTAAGCCACCAGCAATCATGGATTACCGTTAGAATCATCGGATGGCACTAATCTTGGATCGAGGGTCATCATTGAGCCGGTCGTGGTGAATCCTTACTATTCCTTAGAGATCTGGATCGAATCGACCATGTATCTGCGCCCGCGATGTCAAAAAAAGAGCTATTTCAATTTACAGATTAGTGTGGTTCCTGGCAAACCATCTTGATGGCGGGGAAGGGGCCGGTTCAAAAAAGCTGCATGGAATTCAAATTTTCAGTTACATTTTGGGCCCCTGTTCGACTATGCAGTAGTGTGGGATCAAACTACAGAACCCTAATCCTTCTTAAGTTAGAACGCCGAATCTAGAATCTAGTTTAGATGGACCTAATATGGATTAAGCATTTTAAATACCTAGCACTTAAACCCTACACCTTGACGTTCAAAGAGTCTTGAAGTTCGTATCTCGGAAATTGCACAAAAGTTCTTGACAAAATCTCTGTTCACCTGCTACTAGGATTCAAATATCAGGAACGTGAAGATCCAAAAACAGATTACTTGTCGTTATCTGCTATTGTTTTCCTGCTCTCAACTCCCCCAACACACTTTTTACACTAGTGGCAGACTCTAGTATCCTGGTCGACTGAGACAGGAAATATCATGGACGACACTCTCGAGCTCCATACGCAGTACTCCGTATACTGGCTGTAACCGTATAGGCCATACAGAGTCCTACCTTGTTGATCCGCTATTTCACTTTAGCCCTCAGCCTTACCGGCAGCGATTTTCCATCGGCTCGCTCCGGAGCCTCGGCTGATGGTTGACTGATGGTTGACGAGACGGTGCGGGGAGTCAGCAGCTCAAGATCTCAACTGCTCTACTTCAATTATGAACGGGGGTCCCAGGTCGCGAGGGACAGGGCGGGAATCCGAAAACCTAATATGCGAATTATAGAACCGTCCAGTCTCCTCATGGGATGCCTAGGACACATAATGGAACTGCCAATGCCCTATGTAACTGCAACCCAGCAAACTTTTTGCTTTTGTCTTCTTGGCTTCCTATGCCCAGTTCGTTGGACAAAGCCACCGAATCGTCCTGAGTATCTGGTGCCTCCGAGATACCCTGTGGTTGGTAGTTTCGATCATCCAGAATGTTTTGAGAGAGGAACAAACACCAGGAACTACCGGTAGAATTGTTTTTTGAATAGTATCTGCCCTGCTGAGTGGTTTCCCCGGCCTCCAAGGTGCCCCCATAGGCAAAATCTCCATTTCAACCCGTCAAGTCGTCGATGTCTTCATTTGTCGTCATGTGCATAGGACCTTGATTTTGTTTTCTTTCGGAGATCGGCTCGCCCGCATCCAGCCAATGAACCAAGATAGATATTGTTAAACCTGGGGGATCTGCAGTTCTATCTGACTGACTTGCCAGGTCCTCCTGCAATCTCGTCGACCATATCTCCACCATCTAGATGTTTCAAGACGATAGTAATATCCGAGTATCCCCAGCCCAGGGATCACTCCCAACAGGCTGCTGTAACCTGAAATCCCCTCGGCATGACTATTCGGAAATTGTGCTCGAGCATTCACAATTTTTGAACAATGTACCGCTGTGATCAAAGTGGGGTTTCAACTGGTGGAAAATGGAGCAATATAGATAAGGGTTGTTTTGCCTGAATTCCAGATGAGAAGGACAGCAAGTCTTTTTCTGATTAAGGACAACTGTGTTACACCCACAGAATATGAGTTCTTTGGTGTTGTTTCTTGGATTTCTGTCGCTTGTGGTGGGACAGGCTAACTTGTTGTATGATCCTGCAAAATATCCTAATCTTCCAAGCTATGGACCACAGGTAATAGAAAGACTTTTACCCTCACTATCAAGTGTGCAGCCTAGCTGACAATCAATGTTAGCCCAATCCTCCATATATGGTGGACAATCAATACAATTACTTCAGAACTGCCCCAGATAAGGGTGAGTGTGTTTTTTTCCCACTGGCTATCGATGGACGCGCATACTCTCCTGGATATGACATTAACCTTGTACTAGAAGAGCAAAATGGACCAGTATGGCTCAAGTCTGGTAGTTTTGAGGCCTATATGTCACAACACTTGAAAAACCATAACCAAACCTCTGTTGGTACTTCTGAGAACTTAAAAAAAGCTGTTGAAAGTGCTTCAAACAGCACTGCTACAGCTGCTGCTAGTAGCTACTGGTTGCCAAAGCTTGCCCCTTTAGAAGTGGCAAGTACTCCCTCTCCACTGAGATTCTCTACTGGGCTAATCTAGTTTTACAGCAACCCCTTGCTGAAGCCGACTACAAGTTCTACCAAGATGTTGTGGAGTATGATGCTGACAACACAGGCAAGACTGATGCCACAGAGGCAATAAATGCAGCAATTAAAGATGACAATCAGTGTGGATTGGAATGTGGGAATACATTTGTAAAAGGAGCTATCATCTATTTTCCTGTAAGTAGACTCCCCTTCTGTAAATGTGGGCTAGCATTTCAATTAATACCTGCATTAATCTAGTCTGGAACATATAAAATCTGCCAACCTGTCATTCAGTTATACTATACTCAGTTCATTGGTGATGCCCTGAATCCACCCACAATTAAAGAATGTGATACCTTTCAAGGGATTGCTCTTTTTGATACAGATCCATATATACCTAATGGAAATGGTCAAAATTGGTATATCAATCAAAATCAATTCTTCCATCAGATTCGCAATTTCATCTTTGACTTGACAGAGATGTCCTTGTCAACAGCTGATCATGACCAGCCACTTGTGCCAACAGGCATTCATTGGCAGGTGTCTCAAGCCTGTTCATTGCAGAATCTGGTCTTCAACATGCCAAAGGCAACTGATGACAACAAAGTCACTCATGTGGGCATCTTCATGGAAAATAGTAGTGGTAGATTTGTCTCAGACTTGGTGTTCAATGGTGGCAGTATTGGCTGGCATGCTGGTAAGGAGACACACTTGTGTGCTTGCAAATTAACACTTCCCTACATGTCAATGTTAACAATTACTTTTGACAGGCTCCCAACAGTATACAACAATGAATCTCAAATTCAATGATTGCCTTACTGCCATTCAGATGATTTGATCCTGAGGCTTTAATTGGCAGCATGTTGAGGTTACTGGTGGAGCAGTTGCTTTCAACATCAGTGGCAGAGGGGGCAGCACAGGCCAAGGTATAGGCTCTGTCTCCATCATTGGTATGTTTGCAACAGATACTATGCTAAATCCTAGCTAACTTTTACAGACTCCCAGATCATGGACTGTCCTATTGTATCTTAACCAACACTCGGGATGACGAGGTTAATGGGCCCCCGAACATTGTACTTGACAATTTGAAATTGTTTAATGTTGAAACAACAGTTAAGAGTGATACTGGTGATATCATTCTCAAAGACACTGATTGGGTCAAGCTCTGAGCAATTGGATGTCATTACAAGGGGTATAATGGAACTTATACTTCAGGTGAAGTTGATGCACCTAAAAAGGGGACAGACTTGTTGGACATAAATGGCAGGCTTATCTATAACCCTCACCCTCAATATGAAAAACTCGGGGTGGGTGACTTCCTCATTGCAACAGAACATGGCTGTAAAAATGATGGCACAGGGGATAATACAGCAGATATTAACTCTTTCCTTGAAAAAGCCAACAAGAATGGTAAGATTGCTTATTTTCCAGCAGGCATTTACAGAGTTGGTGGCACTGTATTCATCCCAACTGGTTCTAGAGTACAAGGTTCAAGTTGGTCACAAATACAGGGTGCTGGATTCTATTTCAATGACCTTCACAACCCACGTGTGGTTGTACAGGTTGGTGAGAAAGGTGATGTGGGTGATATGGAGATAGTTGAGATGATGTTCACTACTCAGAGAGCTACAGCTGGTGCTATAGTTCTTGATAGGAATGTGCATGAGGATCGCCAGGGATCTGGTAAGTCATCGCAATTTTAATTGCCATGATTTTCAATACAAGATGCAATCCTTCTAACATAGAGCATTGATGGGCAGCTGCTATGTGGGACTCTCATGTGTGTGTCGGGGGAGCTTTGGGTTCGGATCTGGATGTCAAAACTTGCCCAAAATTCGAGTTTAGTGATGCATGTATTTGTGCTTCTCTCCTCTTTCATGTCACACCACAGGCCTCGGGCTATTTTGAGAATGTCTGGATATGGTTGGCAGATCAGTAAGTTAACCCTGTTTCTTCCTTTGAGCAAAGTGATGATGATTTGCTATGAGCATGATGGATTACAGCTGACTTCAGAATCTGATCAGCGACAATGACATGAGTGTTTATGATTCACCCGACAAGTTGGAAAATCAAATTAGCTTATACGCCGCCCGCGGAGCACTGATAGAGTCTGAAGGGCCCTCTTGGTTCTATGGCACTGGTTCCGAACACACTGTCATGTACCAGTATCAACTCTATGATGCAAAAAATGTATGTGGCCAATGGACTCAAATACTCAAGTCCGGTGCATTCTAATCATTTTTCATAGATATATCTTGGCCATATTCAATCAGAGACCCCGTATTATCAGCCAGTTCCAATAGCACCTTTGTCATTTGACTCTGTCAAGGAATTCCCTGGTGATCCATCTTTTGATAAGTGTGAGACTACTGGTTGTGAAGCAGCATGGGCTTTGCACATCATCAACTCAGAGAATATAACACTGCATTTCTCAGAATTATACAGTTTTTTCCAGGAATATTATCAGGACTGTGTTCCAACACATAATTGCCAAGAGTGTTCTCTTGAAGTCAGAGGCAGTAAGGATGTTACCCTCTTTAACATTTTCACAGTTGGCATGGTGGAAATCGGAATCAGTATCAAGTAAGAGCCATTTCCTGACACACCCTGGACGCGGCAAGTTGCTAATTTTCATTCTAGCCATGGCACAGTTTTCCAAAATGACTCCAATCAAAGGTTTGTAGGTTTTTTTTTTTTTTTTTTGATGTCTTTCCCTTGCTGAACTTGCTAATAAGTGAACACTTCAATCACAGTGGATTTACTACAGAAGTTAGTGTTTGGATTCCTTTGGAAGGAGATGATGACTATGACATTGTTTATATTGAATCTGAAGTCTATGATAAGCCCTCAGTTACATGCCCAGCTGATTGCATTCTTGTGTTTCCTACCAGTTCACTCTCTTCACCAACAACAATTGATCCAGGTAAATATACAACATCTGTTGAGTATGGAAACTGTGGCACAACAACAATCAGTGGGTGAGAAGTTCCTACATTCTATACAACAGTTACAACCATCACATTGGCTATAGACTCAATCACCACAGATGGAATGCCCTACTCAAATATTAATATAACTGGAGGGAAGACAAGTGCTTCTCTCACTGTACTGCCTAGTGTTGATATTGCACTCATCCCTGTGCCAATGCCAGATGGTGAAGGGAAGACAACAACTTGCAATATCACTGTTCCACCCTGGTCAGATATTATCAAAGGACCATCTGAAAGCTGGAGCAATCCCAATGCCTCCCCCACAGATGGCACTAGAGGAGTTTATCATACTTCTTTTGTGACCACTGTTGTTGCCACTCATCCAACTGTCTCAACTATTTCATTTCCATCAACTGTCAGTCCAATTGTTGTTAAGTGTCCTCCTAACTCAAAAGTTCCTTTCAATACTTCAAAGACAACACCTACAATTGACTGTAGAGTTCCCACAACAGTGTCTATTGGTTTCACTTATTCAGTAACAAAAGTTGTTACATTTATTGGTTCTTCTACTGGAGTTTTTACAGTTGACTGCACTGTCTCAACATCATTTATCAAGCCAGATCAAACAATTACTTCAGGATCAACAAATACATCAGTTAGTATTTCTAAATATATCTATAGATGTTTGATAGAGAACATATGGTGCTGATCATACACCTCAACAGACAACCACCCAGCCACTTCCAGTGTGGTCAACATGGCCAGCTCAAATAGTCACACTGATTGAGGAGGAGGTCAAGAAGCCAGAGCCAGGTAAAACACCTTGCAACCTCTGGTTCTTCTCTGTAAGTTTTAGTCAAATATCAAAATTATATAATCACCTTGGGGCTCAATTGACTGGATACAGTTCTGTCTGAATAGAGATGGTGGCAAAACTAAAGGCTTACGCTGGAATCTTCCACCGGGCATATACCCACCGTAAGTAGTGTGTTCCAATATACCTTCAACTATTAAGTAATGACGGTGCATTGACATGATTTATTCCCACGTTTAGGGGCCCGCCACCCCCCCGCGCAATAGATCCTCCTCCATCATGGACGATAAAGCCACCTCTCCCACCTTGGCCCCCAATCACGTAAGAATAGATTTTTGTTCAACCCATCCGTTGCAAATCATGGAGGTACAGCATGAACTGACTTGCACTTAGGGTTGGACAAGATCGTATCTTAACATATCCCAAAGAGGAGCCTACTAAATGTGAGAAAAAGTCTGCATCGGTTTGTGCAACAACTGTATTTAAGACAACAACAAGTAGAGGAACAATCACCTCTACAGTTACATCTACCAGTTCCAGATGTGATACAATTTACGGCTGTTCAGCATCAGATTGGGATACAACAACTACTAGCACAAAACCAAGTAACTGTCCATCATCACCAACTGCCCGTCCCACTGGACGGCCCCCTACACCTCCTCCAGGCTGCCCTGCAAATGCTCTCGTATATCCTTCCAACATGGACAACGTGGGAAATATTCGCCAAATTCTTGCTAAATACAAAGACAAATATTTGGAGGTCAGATCGGAGGCGCGACATTTCACAGTATTCTTTTGGATTCCTTACTTGGACCAAGAGACCATGGACTCCTTGTTAAATTCTGTATGGACCCTATAAGAGTTGAAGTATATGAAAGCAAAAACTGATTTAATTCCCTAGCCCGACGTTGCAGACGCATTTTATTACGAACGCCGGCCTGATTATGGAGATATTAGAGACCCCAAACCGGATGGACTCGCCCGAGCCTATGGTATGAGTAATCCCATCGAAGTCCCCAATCCCCGTAGCCAGGAAGGTGCCGATCATTTGAATAGCACTGTGGTGGTTCGGGACAATGGCAATGTGAATCCCATGGCACCAGCTCCCACAACACGAGTAAGCCCATATATTTGGGATCTCTCACAGATCTCCATGCCGAGAGGCCTGATTTGGAAGGCCAGTGACAGTGGTACTGTAGACCACAATGGTTGGTATATGTTCCATTATGACAAACTCGCAGGGGACGATCAATATATATACATCATGGATGAAGACAAAGTCGCTGAAACCCATCCGGTGAGATCCCTCATTTTAACTCTTTGTAGCACAATACATTTAGCGTCTTTTCACTGGTTAAATTTTTTTCAGAATACAAACTGACTAAGGTTCAATTTGCACAGGAGATGACATTTCACAATGACATTGAATACTTGTGGCCAGATGATCGGTACCTCTGGCAAGGACCCGAGCAACCTAATGTGAGACACGCTACTGGGGTGGCTTCCAAGGTTTTAGGGAGGAATTTGGGCTCATGCCAGCTTTGTACACTCATTGTTGCATCTTTATTTGAGGGAGTTGATTCTCAAGATGAAAATATATACACGGCACGATACTTGGACCAATTAAAAAACATCATCGATGATGTCATAGCCAAAAACCGGATGGGCATGGCAGTCATTAACATGAGCCATAATTTCGAACTAGGGAGCGTTGAAATGGTCTTCATACGCGAGTTTCGTAAGCATATATGCTCCCCTTGTGCCTCTACTCGTGTTTTGCCAATCCACCGTTCAATTCCTGTCCTCTATTATTTTGAATTTATCAAGCTAAGGAGTCCAACACCGCTTTTCCTTCCTCTGCTAATTCTTATTCAAATACTGGGTGTGCCTCACAGATCAGCTTCTTGTTCAGCTAGACAGTCTGGACGTTGTTATAGTTGTCTCATCTGGCAATGACGCCGATACATCGTACGATATCAATGGTTATCCTTCCCTATTCGGCCAACCTGGAAATCCATATTACATACCAAATATCATTGTTGTGGGAGCAACAGATATGCATGGCCACATGGCAGATTTCAGCCAATATGCCGATTGGATGACTACTTTTGCTCCTGGAGACGATGTTTGGATTCCTTTGGGCAACAAAGACTACGTTACAACTGGCGGAACTTCGTATGGTGAGTTTGCTATTCTCCTCGATGATACAAAGTAACCACAACAATAAATCCTGCGAATAAAAAGTAGTGACAAATGTTATCAAACCCTAGCCGCCCCCTTAGTGTCTGGTTTGGTAGGATATTTCCGGTCATTACCGTCCCCTTGGGTAGACCAATTAAAGAAACCTGCCAGTGTTAAAAAGATGATAAAGATTTTTCACCGCCGCATTACGGTCATGGATGGAACAGTAGTGGAACCGACAGATGTTCAAAAGATGAAGCCCATCATATGGAATGGTCAGTGGGGAGACTATTCCTGCTTATCGGACTATAAGACCGTTGATACTTGGGACCCCCTTGGCATTTGCCCAAGAATCAAATTAGACCTTTCAGAAGAGACGAACGAGGGAGAAACGGTAGCGCCATGCGATGACGACTTTACATTATTTGACAACTCACAGAAGCGGTTGGATGGCACTTATTGTCCCCGTCTTCCCAGGGCCGACCCAGGTAGCCACACTGTCAGCTTCACCAGTAAAGGTGGAGTAAAACCAGCTCCCACATGTGCATCTGGAACTGGTTGTGGCGGTCACTTGTGCACAGGCTTCTTCTGTTCACCAATGCCAACAGGAGTGCCCCCTGACCGCCATGACCCAAAGGACCCAAATGCGAGCAGTCAGGTACCAACGACCACCAGGACTACAGGTCCACAGCCCACATGCGATGACAAATGCAAGCTGGACAAGGGCAACCGATGTTCATGTGGCGAGAATGGATGCGATGATAAATCACCTAGCTGCTGTGCCAATGCCAGCTGCCCCTATTGCGATTGTGGCGAGAATGGCTGTAGCCCCAGCTCACCCTGGTGCTGTGGAAATGATTCATGTGAATGGTCAAGGACAGGTGGTGGTGGAGGGAACAATCCTCGCCCAAAACCAAAAACTGGTTTTGTCATGATTTCAGTGTCCGATGTCGACAATCCTGCTCCACCATATATTCACCATTATTGGGAAGTCTGGTTAACAACAAACCCAAAGACAATTGATTATTGCAAAGATGAATCTCTTGTGAAATTGAAAACAGATGATGTACCACCGGCATTACCTCCTTCGCTTGGACCATTTACTGCTGAAGGGATTACTTGCAAATACACCACCGACAAGAAATCAGTTGGGAAGCTAGAATGTGATTCTAATGTTGCCAAATCCTCATGCGCGCTTATGGATCCAATTAAAAAATGGGAATGCACCCTAGAAAACCCGGTAAAATGGCTCACTGTCAGGTGTGAGTGGGAAGGACGGCAATAGAATGCGCATCCGGGCCGCTTGAATGGAGAATGCCGGGTTTTCTCTGGGGACCGGTTGATTCGTGAAACGGGGTTGGGAAGGCTGTATAATTGCTATCAGGAAATTGATATACTCATTGTACATAGTATTTATTTATGAGTCTTTGCCTTCGTGCAACCAAGGTGGTATCAAAAGCAGTTCAACCTTTCAAATTACTTGACCATAGTATGTTCGGATAAACTTTCCTCCTACTCTCCTCTGACAGGAAGATAGAACAAACAGCTTCGATCTGGCTCCGGCGCATCAACCAACCACTGTGCTGTTTGTGCAGCAATTATTCGAGCTCTTCTGTTATTCCTTCGTCATCTAATCCTTTAAGCAGAAGCGGTGCCATCTCTTTCCGGTGACCTATCCTTTGTTTGATTCCCTCGGTGGTCATGTTCTCAGCGCGAACTTCTGCACCCTCCCTGGGAGGATTGACTGTCAATACATCTTCTGCGAACTCCTTGTTGTAAGTAAGCCTATAGGTTCCCTCCTTTGTCCCCTTCCGTTCCTCCAGATATTCTGGTTACGATGGTTCATACCCATTCGTGGTGGTTTGAAACTGCTCCTTGAGGACTGCTTGTGGAGGACTTCTGTCAATATAGCGGGCGTTTATCGTCCCGCAGAAAGGAAACAAAAGGAGGTGGAAGAGGATGCAGAAGAACCTGTTGAATTGAGAATGCCTGATACTTACTATTGAAATCTTTACGATAGTGGAGCAAATACTGCATCGACCGCACCTGCGAACACAAACGCCCCAGGCGGATCATCGTCTGGCGGTAATTTGTTTGGCGCTGTATCCACCACCCAACAGCAGCAACCACAGTCAGGAAGCCTCTTTTCTACCCTAGGTACGCAGAACCAACAGCAACAGAAACCGGCCGGAGGAAACCTATTTGGAGGACCCGTTCAGCAGACACAGCCGGGTTCTGCAAGCCTCTTTGGAAGCACGCAACCGAAAAGTGGAGGCTCGCTTTTTGGGGCTGCCACCCAGCAGGAACAACCACGAGCACAACCTCAATCAGGCGGGCTTTTCGGCGCTCCACAGCAAAGGCCCGCTGGGATCTCCCTCTTTAGTGGGGCTACACCTATTTCCCAACCTACTACTTCCCAACCACAATCCAGCGGATCTCTGTTCGGCGGGCTTAGCCAATCTACGGCCACCACCTCGACGACGACAGGAGGTTTATTGTAAGTAGTGTCTGTCGCTATATTGGGCCCCCCCTTTTTTTTTTCCTATAGTTTACTAAATTGTATCCTATGTAGTGGTGCGGCTCAGCCCCAACAGCAACAGCAACAACAACAGCAGACACAACCAACGCCATCGCTCTCGCTATTCGGAAACCGAGTTACGACAACGCAAGGAGAACAAACGCCAGCGGGTTCAACAGTGCGGGGCGTCAAAATTGACGTTTCGAACCTCGTCCCGACAACTAAATTCGAAAACTGCACTGATGATCTTAAAAAAGAAATCGAAGCCATTGACACCTTCATCCTCAACCAAATCCGCATGTGCAACGAAGTTGCTGACGTCCTCCCCGCTATCTCGTCACAAGGTGCCCTCGTACCTAATGATGTCGAGTTCGTCCAGGGAAAACTAGATACCCTCCAAGAAGCCCTTGAAAACGACGCCAATGGCATTGAAAGTGCTCGTGTCCTTGTAACACGGGATGCATTGGAGGCTAAGCTCGTCTTCCGTGCTCTCGACAGCCTTCTCCTGCCCCTCCAATACCAACCTACAACAGCAGACATTTGGTTTCCACCAGATCAACAGCCCAAATCTCTACCAAGCCGCTCTCGACGTCCTGGCCTCCGTTCGCGTCGCCTACTCGCTCTCCCTGAGGATGCGGAGGATGACTCCCGTCTCGGCGCCACAGGCAGCCCGACAAATCTGGTCGATTACTTCTCCCAGCGCACAAACGATATGAACAGTGTCGTTCAGAAATATAGAGAGAATCTGAAAGAGATTGAATCTCATCTTCGTGGCGTTGAGGCGTCACTTGTGCAGAGGATCCATGACTTATCTTCGGGGAGCAAGGATGGTGGAGCTCCGTCCCTTGTGTCCACGTCCAGAGCGAATGAGCTTGCTGCAACGCTGGGGGATGTGGAGACGGCCATCCTTGGAGTTGCCGGGCGAGTTGGGGGTGTTCTAGAAGAGGTTCAGGAGCTTGTTTTGGGACCCTTGAGTATGCGTGGTAATGGGATAGCAAATTGAGGGCGAACTGATAAAAATGGAATAAATTAATTATAAATTAATCAAGGGAGACTAAGTCGAAAATATCCACTTTTACTTGCTCTGCTCGCAGTTTTCTTCCTACAACCCCGCAACCCAACCCCGCCTCCTCTCTCTTTTTTTTTGTATTATTACTCGTTTATGACGGTGTTTGTCCGGAATTTTTGTTGAAGTCAGACGTGGAGCAAATATACAATTGCTGGATTCGAATGTTTGGCGTTAAATGGCTTAGTTACGCATAGAGGGCTCTGAAGGCCTATAGCGTATGAAAATTAAATGGATCCTAATGAAGTATTCCCCAGATAATCTTTTCCCATGACCATATCTCTAGTCCCTAACGACAATATTTCTCATGTCTCCTACGGAATTAACTGTAAATGCACAAAACTGAGAGAGTTGATCCTTCCCAATGACGCTATATAAAACATGCTATCGTACATATGCTGATGGGATAGGAAGTAACTCGTATTTGAAATATTAGTTACATTAATGGGAATTGTCAATCCCCATACTGCTTCCTATCCCGAAAATGTTGGATCGCGGATTAGAACCTTGGGTGGAGGCGTCAGAGGGGCGGCCGATTTTGATGCCAGAACTCAGGCCATAGTTGCCAGAGTTAATGTTAGAAAATCTGCTATCAACGCCTGCGGGCGCGAATCGTTGTGGAGCAGGGAAAATCTGAGTGTTTGGTGTATAGCCATGTTGTTGACGCTCCTGGCAATCAGGCCTCTGGGTCGAAGATGGAGGGCCAGGGAGCCTGGTTCGATGTTGCGGCGTCGCTGGTAGTAATGTGGCTAGAATTTATTAGGTCAAATCAAGCTACGCCATATAACTGGATGAACTTTCACACGTACTGGTCCGAAAAGACGGTGGCATACCGCTAGGAGGAGGCATTGCCGCGGAGTCTAAGCGATTTTTCGTGATACTTCCACTCCCACTCCTTTGATGGCGGTGCAGTTGTTCGATTCCTGAATTTGCCGTTGGGTACCTGACAGGGCTATGTCGAGGAGATGGAGCCAGAGAGGTTGAAGGACGGAACAAATCATCTGCGCCCGAGCCGGAGTTGGCCCTTCCACCAAGGGACTCAAGGACCTGGATTACGGAATCCGATGCTGCTGTTTGAATCTGAGACCTCATCGCCTGGTTTTTAAGGAGATTGTACAGGTTCGTTACTTGGGCATGCTTCTTGCATTTATCTCGATATATCTCAACTAACTCATAGTTCTTCTTTTGCAGCTGCTCCTGATTTATTTGCATTTCTACAGTGGCGCATAAGCTACAGTTCATCGAAGACTGGGGGAGGAAGATAATACCTGAAATGCGGTTTTGCAGAGTCGATATTTCTGAGTTTGCGTCATGAATCACCTTGTCCATTTGTTGGTTTAGGATACCATATTTTTCGGTCAAACTTTTGCTGAGATATTCCTGATAAAAACTGTTTCACGTCAGACGCAGCACGCAATCAATATTTTATACCTCAGATATACATTTCCTGCGCAGACTGATACGTCCAGAATGCCAAAGCACGCCCAGCACATTCCATAATAGTATGGGGATCTAGTCCACTGAGTACGCTGGTTTTGTAATCTTCGCTAGGGTTGAGGACGGTAGAAACCGCATCGTCAGGGTTAACAAGGCTAGCGTGGCAAGCAGGGCATTTCCGCTCAGATGTTGTCGGTCGTGAAAGGCCAAGGTGGTCGGCACATTGATGGCAGAAAATATGTCTAACCAGATAAGCAGTTAATTTCGTCCCTCTAAGTCTCCCCCAAGGCAGAGGGTACGAACGAGCACGTAGTTACCACTGCCCTCTCACTCAAGGTTACTCTGCACTTCAGAGAATTGCATCGAAGACAAAAATCCAACGCCTGGGCCATGGCGGAGGGCAAAGTGGACGACGCAGTTTGACAGAACCGCAGACTAGCTCCAACACATATCACACTTCATTTGTATACCTGAAATCGATGAAGTGAAGTTGGAGTTGAGGAGAATTTGAAGTCAAACAGTTAGAAGTGGATTGCCGGATTAGGAAACCATCATGGTTGAGCCGCACCGAGCTTGAGTCCCAGCGGCGACGGGATTCGATTAGCATGGAAAAAGGAGTATGCTCGCATCTAGTATAGATACGATACTTGATAGGGTAAATCGAATGACGAAATCAATGTATGATATTGGAATACGCCATTCCCTTCTTTAAAACCAATAGAACACCGGTGCTTGGCCACATATATCCAGCCCTTATCAAAACGCCGCGCGGAGTAAATTTTTAAAAAAAGAAAGCGTTGCCTTTGTTATCCCTCCTAATGCTTCCCATCTTTTCCTCAAACTCCTTTCCAGGCTCGTATTCTCGCCAGAGGCTCGCGGGGAAGATATGCTTGTTTCTTTCGAACCATCTGCGGTCCACTACCTTGGTCAAAGTTGGGTCCATATCCGCACCTTCCAGAGTGGGTTCCGATTCAGGATCTTCGCTAGACTGCGGCGGTACCGTATTTGAGTAGTCGAAGAGTAGCCCTCCCGCAGTGGTGAAACTCGGGACTCGGTTCGCAATAAAATAATAAAATTCATAATGCTGTGAAGTGTGAGCGAGCAGAATGGTCAAGGGATTAAATGGAAGGCACAGAGGAAACGAATTGGAGATCGTGGGCATACATGTGGAATAATTATGTTCCCCCTAACACACATCAAATCATCAACACCAACCCTTGCCCATTCCCTACGATAGTCCCTACGGCCTCTACCACTCCTACCGCCCCCGCCAGCACCGCCAATGCCCAATTCCGCTCCTACTTTCCGGCACCGTTCAAGAAAAACCCATATCGGATCACCTTTCTTCACTTTCGCAGTCCCGGCAGGAATATTTGTCCCATCGTAAAACACAAACGGAATCAATATCTCAGTCGCTTTGACCCTCTCTTGAAGCGCCAAAAATTCACGCCGGAGTGCATCTCGAGTTTGTGCTTCAGCTTCCAAGGCGGATTTTGTGATAACTTTTGGGGGGGGGACAGAAAGGTTTGGGTTGGGCGCGATGCGTCGTGCGGGGGGTTTTGGACTGCCTTCCGCGGGAGTTTTCGTTGGGGAATTCCGATCACCGGCATCCACTGATAATGTGCCAGAAGCCTCTGAGGCATCCTCCACGTCATTGTCGCCAAAAGATAATTTGCTTTTCGAAAGATTACCTAGCTTCTTCTTCCTTTTCTTGGGGTGTTGTTCCGCAGACCCATTTTGTGGTGTCAGTGCACTATACTTTGATTATTAGCTATAATATATAGTTTGTTGTAAAGTGGTATTAGCCTACCCATCAGTTGTTTCTCCACCAGAAGGGGTGGCGCTCCTGGATGTCCCTTGAGCGAATCTTCCAAGAGATTTATCATGCGCCTCTCTTTCCTTTTGTTCGAGAACCTCAGCTCGTCTTTTCCTGAAGTCGGAGAGGTGAACCAGACCAACAGTTTGCGACTTCAACAAGTCTTCGGCAGAGGCGGTCTGGTTCATAAATGAACGGGGAGTGGACTTTCGGCTTTGAGGATCTAAAGACGGTGGCATTTTGTATAGGCAAAAGAAGGCAAACGCATCGCCCGCAGAAAGGTCTTTCGAACATCTTCAAGGAAGATGTTAGTTGCGCTTATTTGTATCACATCACGTGACAGTTTACGATCTTTGATCAAGCTGCTACTCAAGATATTTGTATATTTCATTCCTTATACTACGAGTACTGTAGGCAATACTGATGCTCTTCTTGCCGCTTGCGACTTTTCTAGGTCAAGTTTAGTCCTTTACTAGCTCCAAACTCGATACAACCAACATCACGGTGAGCAGTAGTTGCAGCTTCATAGCTTTCTGAAGATTATTCTGCGCTGGTCCCATAGCGGCGATGACGGAGGAAAATGATGACGAGCTCTACGACCCAACATATTCTGCTCCCTCTGCTGAGACATCAAAAGGCCCTGACACCCGATCTGACGAGACAAACATGACCACGACAGAGGATAAGGGACAAGCACAAGCGCAAGAGGAAGAAGAGGAGGAAGAGGAGGAGGAGGAGGATGAGGATGAGGTTAGTCCCTCTGGCAAGCTGGGGTTCTCGTTGTTACAAACCACTAACTGTGTGGCAGGATGATTTCAAAATCATAACGGATGGCCCCCCGGAAGCCACAATTGAGTCAGTGCTTAACCCCAAATTGGCTATTGATGTGTTACGTGCACACTGACAGAACGAATCACAGGCAACCCTCCCGACATTCTGTGCTTAGAAAGGAGTCTCTGCGACCGTCATCGACGGAAGCAACAAGTACACCTAAAGTTTCTGCTCCATCTATCGCCCCAAAAGTTGAAACGGCCACTATTCCGAACGCCATAACCGCGAAACCCACAGTCCCCCAGAAACCGGGTTCAGCGTATCCTGCTCAACACACATCAACTATCGATATCAATGCAAATCCCGTCCATCCTACGACTAGCAAACCTATACTCTCCACAGATTTAGACGCCGATTTCCCCACAGAAAATGATAAGCCATGGCGCAAGCCAGGATCAGATATGACCGACTATTTCAACTACGGTTTTGATGAATTTACTTGGGCAAGTTATTGCCTGAAACAAGATACGCTTCGAAAGGATATCGTCGACCAGAAGAAGCAAATGGACGAGATGCACGCATTCCTAGGTGCTGGACTACCTGGAATGCCAGGTCCAAGCCCAGGTCCAGGACCTGGAACTCCAAATCTCATGCCCAGCGGAGGCACTTCAGCCCCGGGCCCGGGTCCACCACAAGCCACCGGTCCCCCTCCTCCCGCAATGCCAGGAATGGCTCCCGGTATGCCTGACATGTCGCAGGAAATGATGCAGGGGATGTTTACCAGCATGATGGCACAGGGATTGGATCCTGCCTCAATGGATCCAATGACTTTCATGCAGCATGCACAGGCAATGATGGGAGGCGGCCAGCCCGGCCCGGTTCCGGGTTCGGGTCCGGGCCCTGGTGGTCCGCCGGGTGGCCAACCAGGTTTTGCTGGTCAACCTCCCGGACAGCCTTTCGGTGGCCAACCGCCGATGGGATATGGCGGGTACGAGCAACGGGGTGGAGGATTTGTTAGAGGAAAGGGCGGACGGCGATGGTGATAAGACTCCAACAATGGCTAAAAAGGCATAACATTGCTTATTTGAAGCTTGATATTTCCTGATTTGTTATGGCATATGTCCTTTTTCTAAATCGATTTCTACTAGGGCATTGAACAATTGACCTAGCAGTAGTACTATATAACCCCTGATAGTTGAAGAGGATGTTTGCGTTGTTTGCATGTATATGAAACTATACCGGATTTGGCCAACAGCTGTTGCTGTAGTGAGAAATTTCCAGAACTAACGCCAAGACCAGGAAAAAAAAGGCTGAACGTAAAAAAACACATTCATCCTCCTTCATCATCATTGCACAATACATCTCTCACATTCCCTGCCAATTGAACCTCACATTTCGTCTCCACGCATCTTTAGCTGTAGTTCCATCTCTCCCACTTTCCCATTATTATACCTCAAGTCTCGAAATGGTAAGCTATCTTTCCCTTATTTCCGTCCACCATTCGTCCTCCGACAGACAGCCCATGTTCGCATTGCCATGGGCCTTTTTTATTTTGGGCTTTTGCTGACAGAATTAAACAACAAATAGGCTCTCCGCAGCATCAAAAGCCTCGCTCCCCTCTTGGACCGCGTCCTCGTCCAGAGAATTAAGGCCGAAGCCAAGACTGCTTCTGGCATCTTCCTCCCTGAGAGCTCTGTAAAAGAACTCAATGAGGCCAAAGTTTTGGCTGTAGGACCTGGGGCTCTCGACAAAAATGGCAAGAGAATCTCAGTGAGCGTAAATGTTGGCGACAGGGTCCTCATTCCTCAGGTATGCCGCACTCTTCTCCAGCTCTTACACCATCGGTCGGATCATGGGAGCAGGATGGTTGCGCGATCTGCCATTGTGCAGAATTGGCGCATAGAACGTCAACTGTAAAGGAATTGCAAACAAGTGGCTGTTCAATCTCTAACGGACCCCCTTTCCACCTTTGTAGTTCGGAGGCAGCCCCGTTAAAGTCGGCGAAGAAGAGTACACTCTCTTCAGAGATTCTGAGTACGTTATAATTCTACCTTCCTGTCCAACAAAATCACTTTTCTAACATGATGCACGCCCTATAGCATTCTCGCAAAGATCAACCAGTGATGATACCATATTGAATGAAACACGTCGTTGTCGACATCAGCACCTGTACATTATGTAATACCATGAAATTCGGACTGCAACCTCTTGATGACAAAAGCGAAATGCATACATATATTAAGGGATATATCAAGGGGGCTGGCGGAAAGGAGAAAACGGATTACGCGACGAAAAGCGGGATGCTATTGCAGCGCCCTTGCAAACGATATCATAGCAGGCGGTGAAGGTGCGAGTACGCATGAATTGCACATAGCACTGTCTGGCATTTCGAACTATTCCGGACGAGCCTCCCCCTTGTTCCTTTGTGAATCGTTTATTTTGAATACGTTCTAGCCCATCGTATTAGTAGTGTCTTTATATGTTTTTGTATTTCCTTACATCTGTTTACCAAGAAAGCATAATACACACATTAAGATCTCCTCTCATCCCGCCATTTACAACTTCTCATTCTATAGTCACTTGGGGAATTTGAAAATAATGAAATCCGACCACTACAGACGAGCCAATTTAAGGTGGATGGTAGTAGCTGGTTTATGTGATGGAGATCAGTACAGACCACACGCTGCACATATTTTCTATCATGTCAATCTAACCATGCAAAGCCAGAGCGAGAGAATTGACGCCGCAAATATTTTTCGTATGTCCTGGATTGTATATATAAATGGGGGTGATCAAAATTTTATCAAAGGCAATCTGATCAAGAAAAATCCTGATTGATTTCCGCAATACGGCGTATGCAGCGGGAAAGAAGGGTTCTATTGAACGTATGTGCATGCTGCACACAAAGACCATGCATTTCCGATTTGTTCTAAATTGTTCTGTACAGGGTCGTTGGGAAATAAACAAAAAAGTTCTCGGAATTTTTGGTCGCGTTCCCAAGCTACATTTCTCCTTTCCATTATGTATGGGATATATATCTCCTCATTCTCGTTGCTGTATACTGACGACAGTCGCTTCAACTACGAGACATCGATCCTTAAGCGCCGCCTAAGCGCAGCCAAGGCGCCAGTGCAATTTAGGTTTATTAGACCCTAGCCTCCTTGGGGCATGATCTGCGCGCTAGACCAACATGCTTTTATGCCAGGAAATTTTGTAGCAACTATCAGAATGCAGCATACACACAAATATATGTCTAAAGCTTTGGGATGACAAGGACACTCTTGCAAGCTCATCCGACTGTCTAACCATCTCAACAGCACATCAAATATGTTAAATCAGCCTTTGTGCTGTGAACTCTAGTTGCTCCAGGGCTTGCCTCATTGTTACTTAATATTCCTGCTCAATTGCTAACGTGCAGCGTGCTGTGCCACACCCTGAGAGCTTTGCTTATTTGTGTGCTATTTCAGGCAATCCTGTGTTGCCTTAGCTTATATGTTTCACAGTGATCTCATCCCTCTTAGGATTTAATACTAGCCTGGTCATGTCTTCTTTGTTTCTTGTCGTTTTTACTATTCATCAGCATGCAGACATATATGGGGTATATATATGTCTACTCCCCCAAAAATGATAAGTAATGTCCGATGTTGTTACCCAGCTTCTGAAATGTTATATTTATCTTGGAAAATGAAAATGATTCGACAAACAGAATTGTTGCTTGTTTTTGCCCTAACACTTCTGGGGCCTGTTCATGCTATCACAGGCCCTCCAACCCTGTTCGCTAATTCAGCTGGCCAAGGAGATTGCACACTGATCGGGCGTCCTCACTTCAGTCAAGGTATCCAAAATACTACCTCTCGAAATGTCTCCATTGTCACACCTGTTGTAGCCAATGCTGCCAGACCAGAAATCCCTGTGAATTTTGGGAAGGTAATGCCTACAGGCTTCCCGCGACTAGAGCCCAATAATATGAAGGGCCAACAAATTGTGCAAGCCAGTGAATTCAAGGAGGTCAGAGCAGGCACTCCAGAACCAGTAAGTGTTCAATTGCAAGGAGTAGGTGGAAAGGGAAACGCAAATCCTCCAGGCCAATACGCTTCGTCCCATTCGTGATGACCCACTAATGCCTCCAAAGGAGCCCGCATCGGGTGGCCCCAGAGTTCCCAGACTTTCCAAAATCAAAGCCGGAGGAGACGAAGACACGGTACTAAAGAAGCCACCATCCCGTCGTCAACCTGGGCGCAAGGACCAGTACCCGAACCCGGATTGGTTTCCGCTGAAGCCAGAAAAACAGAAGCCCCCACAGCCCATCCGCCGTGGACCTGACAATGCAGCTGCGGATACCCTATATGTCAAAGATTTGTCTCCAGATCCCAACCGAAGTTCACTGTTATTTGATCCGGGCCCTGTAGTAGTCAATGTCCATTCCCCACCAACTCCACCGGAAAAGGGAACTGTAAATCGGGCATTTCCACAAAATGGACCTATATCCAGGATTATGAGGCTCCAGGATCGCAATATAGCAGCAAAAGAGCGCAACACTAAAGGCTCATCGACCCAAGATCAGAAGTCTACCGCACCTTCAAATTCTCTATCCAAGCTCCTGCCGCATGTGGGGAATGGAAACGAATACACTACCTCCACAGGTCAATTTCAGAGTCATGGGTTTCTCATTACATCAAATCCCAGCCAAGGACCAGCAGTAGATTCCAATCAGCGGGATAAACGGAAAATGGGTTTTACATTATACTAGATCGGGTGATGGCCACGAAAAAAGGGGACCATTCAAAGGGTGGTCCAAGAATGGGATAGAAAATTTCTCAGCGTGGAGGTTTCGAAAATGTTTTTCTGCAAACCGGAGGCGTAAGGTAACCGAATGGACGGAAAACTGATAACAGTCCTGCAAGAGGGTTCGTTCGTGCCGCCAAAAATTCAAAATTCTCAAGGGGCCACTGGGGGGCGATGGGGTTTGCTGGGGATTTTGCCTATTATTCATCCAATATATATATTCAATGTTTCTTTTGCTTTGAGGTGGATTTTGGAAGGGGGGGGTCTCTTACAAAATTGCGGTTTTCTGCACCTAAAAAAGTAAAATTTTCTCCCCTATTTGATATTGTCAACGCTATCGCCATACAAGCAACCTGTTGGTCAGCCCTTGAACTTTAATTTATGCGCATAGCAATACAGAAATCCATTCAGCTCATTTATAATAATATTTCAACTGTTAAAATGTCATACAGTACAAGGAAGTTTGTGAAAACAGCTGAGTGAAAATGACTGGCTTTGAACAGTTTCATAAACCTAGCTACTTATGGAAAATGCAAACAAAGGACCTAAGAAGGAGGTAACGTTGCATTAACATTTAAGGTAGCGTACAGGCCTTCGACATTGTATATTATATGTTCCCACCAATAAGTTCGTTTCTCTGGGGATCTTGCCTCTAACTAAATTCATATTACCTCAACTGCCAGTTTTCGTTCCATGCGCTCGAACACACGCTGCCCGAGAAGTGGGATGAAAATGTGTTTTCGTTCAAAAGGATTCATAGAAACGAAGCGGAAAAGCGCGTCTTTTGGATTCTTAGTTGATTGAATGGAATGACTGCCGGAATAGTGTAATCCATTGTCATCATCTCCATCATTACAAGGATGTAGTAGCACCATCTGGGCGGCAAAGGAATTTAAACCACACTGCCGGAGGAAATTCTCGCTTAGTGAGGTATCTTCCGGAAATCGAATTTTAGCTGGCTTTCTAAGCTCATGGACAATATTGGAAGCGGACCACGGAGTCATAGTGTAATGTTTACTTGCAAGACTAACCAACCAGTCTGTTATGATGCTAGCATCGTTAACGACGGGGAAAGCGTTTATGGTTGAAAAATGGTTAAGCGACTCGCAAAACGTTTTCAGTGATTCGATAGCTTCCACCGTTCGATCGTTCATTTCCATTTCCACATACGGTCTCGTTAACCTATCCTTGTTTAGAGTAACGATAGGGTTGCAAATGAAGACATATACTTCTTCGTATAATAGGCAAATCTCGGAAATACGTCGACGAACTGGGTAATTCAGTTCCTGGGCGATTCCCTGTCCGTTTGGCTGGTGGCCCGGCAGATATTTCTGAGTTATTTCCTGAGTCGTGGTAAGGAGAACGCCTGCAGTAGGGGAAAGTGATATATCTGCTTCCTGAATTTCGATGTTCTGTGGGCCATCCTGATGTTCTTGAGTTCGTGGCATCAATCGATGCTGATGGAAACTCTCGGCCCAAGTACCGGACGCATACCGTTTTGGCAGACTACCGTAATCACGGAAAATCAGATTGCACGCTGGGGATAGGGATTCAAGACTATGAATCACGGAACGATGTGTCCGGAGAAGTGAGGAAGTTAAAACAAATGTCAGGGGATCTTGTGGCCGAGCCGTGTTGGGAGGATCTACCAGTGGCACTAGTATGGGTTTAACATTTTGCAGGGTTATCTGCTGAGGAACCTGCGTACCAGTCTTGGGACGCGGGTTGTCCTGTGCCAAAACCGTTGAATGATGTGGAGCCGGGTAGGCGATGTGTGGAAAGCTATCCGAGTGAGAATCTGTAGGCCTGCAACCACGAACCTCCATAAAATTGGAAAGTGAGTCCAAAGGGGAAAACAAGGACGATAAACCTGAACCAACAAGTGTGGCCTCTGCAAATTTGACGTTCAGCCCAATATCCGTAGCTTTTAAGCTTCCGGTTTTGTTGTCAATTCCTTTGAACTTCTGCTCCGTATGGGAATATCCTGAGCCACCACCTTTTGCTTTATCATCTCCATAATGCGCACGTGCCTTCCCTTGAAGCGATGAAACAAACCCTACCTTTTCGTAAAGCTCTCGCGGCATAAGTTCTTCATTGTCTTCTAAAGTGGAAAGACGAAAGTCATATGGATAAACGGGTGTAGACATTTGTTCTTCATTTTCCGAACCGTCCAGCCGGCGACCAATCCCACGGAGGAACTCACCCACAGCGTCCTCGGGATCTAGATTTTCTTTGACCTCCAGTCTCCGTACTTCCAATGAAAATGGTTGCCACTTGAGGTCCTTTTTATTATCTTCACCCATAGCATACCGGATGCCAGCTAAATCTTTCTGTTTAATTTCGGAAATAAATGACCGACAAAGTCTTTTCAATTCAGTCTTCGATTGGCCAGCGATTACAGGCCACGTTGGGCTCTTGATCGGTGATCGAAGACAAGGCACATTGCATCGTATCGTTGGATTAATGCTTCTGATGCGGTCTGAATTTAGTTCATCTTCTGCTTTTCTCTTTGCTGCACTAACGACTTCCTCCAGATCATCTTCGGGGATGCTAATGGATTCAATATCCACCGCATCGTGTGAAGCAATTTCGGAGAAAACGCTGGTTCGAGCCATCGCATTTAAGATATCCTCATTACTTTCAGCAGCCCGCTTTTTAGTTGATATCGGCGGAGTGATAGGGGTTTCAATTTTCAAGTCTTGAGTTATGTTTTGAACAATGGGTAATGAAGTTAGGTCCTCGAAATCTTGCGATGTTTCATTAAATCCATCTGCTAGCAACCCCGGTCTTTCGGCCTGGCTGTTGGTAGTAAGGAAATCTGCCACGATCTGCTCGCAGTTTGTCATAAGAGTATCTTCAATATCCTGAGCGTTCTGAAATTCCACCATTGGGGGCGTTTCGGCATCAGATAATATTTCCATTTCCAAACAGGGAGATGGCGGTTCAAATGGCCCCGGAGCGGGGTCCCTAGGTAGCAATATGGGTGTCTGAGGGTCAATATCTTTCCTCTGGTTGCCAGTTAGATGTATATTCTATGCAAATTTGTGAAACATACGACTGACCTTGCGACAGAAGGTAATTCCTTCACTTAGCCAGTCATCAACATCCCTCTTTCCAGGTGCGGCAACCTGACTCTTGATCTCCTGCATAAGCATCAAACCGTCTTTCACACAGCTCAGCCGCTCTGCCTGAGCCACATCCCACAACTGCATTGGCTGGCTCCAGAAGTTGCTCGGGAACTTCAAGCTTTCATCATTCTCGTCGTCAAGCTGTTCCAGCGGTACATCTATCTCTATGAAATCAAGAGAAATTCTCTGCCGAAACATTCGCATGTCAATTTCGTGGTCGGTTCGCAGGAGGGGCGCTTCTAATTTCATATCTCGAACCTGGCCGAAGTTTGAAGGGCATCCACCTTCTCCAGGATGATTTCCCATCGACGTTTCATCGAGGAACGATTTAGCAATAGATGACAGCATGCGTGCGCTTGCCCAGCTCGCATCAACCTTTTCCCTTGTTCCCGTCCGTATTTCACTTTGTATGGTTTCTAAGTCAATGGAAGGAAAGTTTGGCGTGTCACGGAGAGATAAGTTTATGTCTTCAATCACTGGTGGGACCAGGAGGACTGGGTCTTGTACGCTGCTAGTAGCGATGTTATGGAATCGTGCATATTCAAGGACGGATGGCTCTAATGGCGAAGACATCGCTGACTTTAAACAATCCCAATTGTCAAGAGCGTATTGCTTCTCATGATTGGTATAGAACACTAGACCAGCCTAGGTTCGTATCAATTGACTACACGGTTTCAAGCACCCCGCTATCATTGCTATGTGAGATCTCCTAGAACATCACCCAAGGAGACAAGACAGAGATATTGGAGCACGTGACTTGATACATTCGCCCAGCCTTCTATAAATCACTGGACAACGAGGTATACATTCCAGATGATAATTGATTCCAGAAGCAAGACGCCGGCTATCAATATCACGTAAGGACTTGATTATAATATATAAGACAACGCAAAAGGAAAGTAAGAAAAAAGAAATACTAGTATGCAATCCTATTGACTGAAACCAATAGGTCATACAACAAAAGCAGGTAATAGTACCCTAGAGATAGTAGTGAAGGATAGAAATAAAGTAGAGAGAACCGAATTATTTGAGTCAACAAGATCCCTCAAGTCATTGCTGGTTGCCTCGTGGGATATTTGGGGCCAAATCTCCTTTCTGAGACTTTCCAGATGGATGAAGAAATTGGGCGTCCTGCGAGAAGAACAGCGTGACGACGATGCAATGCGAAACCATGCGAAGCTGTGAGATTCTTTGGCCTCCAGTCGGATTCGAGCAGCCCATAAATAGTATAACTAACTTAGAATGAAAAAAGTGTTACTCACCGTTGAAAGATGATCCCGCAGTGCTTCCCGCCGGAAACGGGTATATGGTTCCTGCGTGCCAAAGCGTCGTTGAGGTCTTAGTCGTACTAGTAGTTAAACGAATGATTGCATCAGTTTCCATCCTAAGCACTCCAGACAATTTTGGTAATAAATTCAGGAATGAAATAAAAGTGAGTTAATGAGTAGTACTGGTACTCATTCTTCCTCTGTTCGAGAGCAGCAAAACACAGGATGAAACCATCTCAAATCCAAGGGGTGAGAAATAGAGGGACAGGTTGACCTATTTCTGCGAATTTGGGCCATTCCTTTAAGAACTTGAAGTGTTTGGAACCAGAAGTATTACAGTGCATGGTGCTCAAACGGTTTAATTTTAGGGGAGAACATGGCGTTAAATGATTTGGCGTATTCATGTAGGAAGCTTGAGATTTGAACTTGAGGATTGAGCAGCTTTCCATGAATTCCAAAGATAAGTTAGCGTGGGGCGATGCCACTAGGGTGCTTAGCTCCGTCTTGATCACTCCTACTCCGCTATCACCCCTGGTGTTAGCAAAATTCAACGCGAGGTTAGGAGCAAAGAAGGAAAAGGCAAGGCGTCGGCACCATAAAGGTGGTTCAACATGGCAAGGTGAACATTCCATGGGCCATTTGATATTGCGCCCAAAAAGAAGAAGAAGAATAATAATAATCCTGTCCTTCGGTAATTCCCCAAAACTAATCGATTAATAAAGTTAAGTAGACTGTATCGATCGTAAATCACTTGTGTAGGGTGCAAACAAATGCCACCATGAATGTATGAATTCTGTATACTCTAAAATACATGTGGTGCAGAATCAGCAACATCCGATGGGCAAAATTAAGCATGAATGAAAACTCAACGCTGCTGGCCGTGGGCGGCGAAACCACCAGTATCAGGAGCACAAAAGAACGAGTGTCGGAATACATTGCAACGGAGGTAGTAAGTAGTATTATTTCAGTAAAACAGCAGCAGCAGCAGCATCAGCAGCAACAAAGATATACAAGAGTTTATTCTGGCATATATGCAATGAAACGAACAAATAACCTTCTACACCTCTTAAAGGGCCATTACATGGAGCTCGGAATGAAAAACAAACAGAACATGTTCCTTAAGGAACCCATAATCTCACAAAGCCAACAACCTCCCGTCGGCATGTAACGCAGCTTCCAAAATTATTCATCGCAAGACTAACCCTGCAATCTTCACACACACAAAGGCACCGGCACGGCCATACGATAATTGACCTGGGCGCAGCCTGACAGATAACGCATTGGGGGCCGTCGGCACCAAGACCTGATGCACCGGTTTTCCAAGACTCTGGTTCCGGTTGTCGGTGCTGTGGTTCTTGAAAATAGGTATCGGCTGAGTTCTCGTGGCCCAACCGGAGTGATAATATGAGATTTTCAAGAATTTCTTCTTCTTCCTTGGAAGTCGGCCTTCTCTTCTCGTTCGACCCGATTGAGGTTGAGCTACTGCCCAGGGCGCGGAATTTGTTATATCGCGATGATGTAAGAACACGTGCGCGGTCTCGTTCCATTTTGCTTCTAAACCGGCTGCGGGTCATGACTTTGCCTTTATCGGCTGCCATCAGATGCGAGGCTAGTATTTGAGCTTCGTGCCTGGCGTCGCTATCCCTTGGGTCGAGGAGGCGGGCTAGAGAACCCATGTCTAGGAGAGATTCCTCAGATTCAGTGCTTGGTGTCAAGCTATAATTTAACAGGGTGTCTCGTTCGTTCCTCGTGGTGCTCGGACAACCATCTGATTCATATGCCTCCCACTCCGGTTCGGTATTTGACGACATTGATGAAACAACGCTTGTGGTATCTTCCCGATCATCTCGAGAGGGTTCGAAGTCTCCACTTTCGTCTCGCTCGCCCCACGATCCCCCGATCTTCCACCAAATATAGAGTTTCCTGTCAAAACGGCTTTCCTCCGTTTCACCCCACTGGGAAACATTCGCCAGCTCCCTCTTCCTCATTTCTTTTTCAACGTCGAATTCGAAGTCTTCCGGAAGTTTCAACTCCCCTTCATCGGTTAAAATCCAAAAGTCAATCAAGTGGCGGTTGGGGGGTGTTCCTGTAATTTCTCGCTCTCGGCCAGCATCACCCAGCTTTGTCAACCATCTAGGTCTCCTCGTAATACCCATGAAATCCAGGATCCTGAGGCACCCGAAAGCCGCCCAACGTACTAAAAGAATGAAAATCCCTCGGAAAAAGGTAAAACCGTTATAGCATCGGCTTGCCCCTTGAAACGCCCCAACCCCACCAAAAGCTATTCGTTTCTCTATTGAACGGGCTCCCTTCCTTTGCTTTTCAATTTTCTTTTCCCGGGAGTACCCACTCTCCCATTCAGTATCCCCCTTAGGAATATCGAAGTTAAAGGCTTCATCGGAGCCACCAGAAAATGCCGCCAACTGGGGAGCGCTGGAATGGGTTCTGTTAGCGTTATTGCTTCTCAAAGCCTCGATTTCCGAAAGTCTATCCTCCTCCAGCCAGGTCATTGGTCTAGCCACTACGCTTCTCCCTTCGCTTAAGAAAACGGCGTCACTAGCTGCTGCTAAGGAGGCATACCCTATCCTAACTAACGCAGCGTAGAAGTCTTCCCTTGGGTTGAGGTGCACATTTTGAATTTGTGACGCTCCTTGCATATTGGCATGGGCAAGTGAGAATCTTTCCCGCAGCGATGTCGGACGTGGCAGAGTGGAAGGCAGCGAAAATGCAGTTAACGTCAATGCCAGTCCATAAATGGCCAGGCAAGTCAAAATCCCAGCAAATATGAGCAAGTGAGGCACGAACCCCACAATACATACAGTGGGGAACTTGAGAACCAGATCGTTACCCAGGGGAATACTATCAAAAAATCCTGAAAATACGGAAGCCATGAAACAAAGACCCCAAAATGTTGTATGGATAAGTCGGGTTTGGCTCTGACGGCCGAAAACATCGAGGAGATTAGAAGATAAACAGTTGCAACATGATATCAGAGCGATCAACAGAAGCTCTGGAAAGACATTAAATCTGTCCAAGACTTGGCTCCGCGAAAGAAGCGGCGTGGTGGACAGGAAACTTGTGCTGTTGCTTGAGGAAGCTTGCCCGGTAGATTTGGACGCGCCAAACAGACCTAGGCCGATAGACTGGCTTATCATAGTTTCTGCTTCTGCGAATGCTAGAGAGTGTTCAAATATAGACATCCCGGCCTCTGTAGCAACTCCACGTCCTTGTAAGGCACACGATAGTGTTTCAACAAACTGGTTGAGACATAAACGAAGGAACACGGGCCACAAAAGCGAAAACGAGCCATAAGGAACGTCGTTGGTTCCGGAAAGTCGTTTCATATGGACAGCATCGCAGGAACCCTCATCATCCTGCCAGGGTAAAAGAAATGATGAAAAGGAATGCAAGAAACCATCCTGACCTCCGTAGTCGAAGTTGGAAAGTTTTCCGGGTTTCCCATATCGTATTTGCGGGTATTTTGGAGACGTTTGACAACGGATAGCCTGCAGTAGTGCAATGATTTGACCAACGAATAGAACTATAGGAACAATTCTCAGAGCTAATCGAACGTGCCACCTTAGAGAAAGATGTCGCCTCGTGGAGCCGTAAATAGTTACCCGGTTCAGTATAAGCGCCTGTTCAATGCAGCACATTCGTCAGTCAATCCAGCTAACCAAACGGGCCTCTTCAGAAACAATGCCTCATCCGGATATATCAATTAATGTGGTACTCACCACGGCAAAGCACGCGAGGGACCATCGGCTGGTCAAGTAGTTGAAGAATCCACCAAATTTCCTCATGGTATGGAGCCAATGACTGAGACTAAAACCCGATGGAACCGCCGCATCTGCCGCCACTGCCGCCGCGTCCGCTCCGGCTGCTACAGTTGCAGCCCCTGCCGCACCCGCAGCATCCCGCCCAAGACCCGCTCCACCACCGAAAGCCCCAACAGCGCCATCCATCAGAGTGGCCACCGCAGTTTCCAGCCCCAGAAAATGCAGAACACTCCGGGGAGCAGTGACGAACACGAAGACCTCTGCCTGGTAAATGAAGCGAAGAGGATAGAGTAAAATATCTTGGGATGACGGGGATAAGAACGCTAGTTTTGACAGCGTGGAATTAACGACACTGAGGTTTAGGGGAAGGGAAGGGGGTGGTGGCAGAGAAGCCAACGGTATGGACGACTCGGCTGCAGTTGTAACCATGGATGCGGTGATATCCGACATTGCATTCATGTCTGTTGGAAGCGCCATGGTGTGAACTTACAACGAGGCCCAACAATGATGTCCTGTCTATCTTTAGTCAATTATTCTTTCTTTCTTGTGTTTCGGCCCTTTCCTTTTATCCGCCCTTCTTCTTGTATGTGCAATGTGAGATTTATCTGTCAAAACTACCGTGTTTGATTCAGCAATAGCAATTCTCAAAATCGGCGGGGCCACTGCTTCATTAAGACACCTGGAGGAACACAACGTAAATGATTGAAGGTGAATCAATCAGAAGCGTGAAGATTCCATTTTCTATATCGACGTGCAGGTCGCTTCAACGAACAGCCAGCATCACAGGTCAGCAAGGACCACGATGAAGACATCAAACAGGAGAATGGAGGATTGGAGACAGATAGATCAGTATATCTGTCCGATGTTTGCAGTGTTTGAAGTGCCGGGGGTTTTCGCGCATAGATCATGTGACTTGGAGCTTGACCTCGTGTTTGAAATGTTACCTCTTCTCACGAATAAATCGTGCTCTCGAGAATTCAATGATGGTCAGCGTTTCAGGCAAGGAGAAATGGCCTGCTGCCCTTGAATCTGCTACAACCCAACGTGAACTTTGTTTTTTCCAGAGTTGAGCAGCGAGCCAACAGTAACTTCATACACTGGGGGAATTGGTAGCAGGCTACTAGTACTCATCGCGGAGCAACTTTTGCGACTGACTTAGTTCAAGGCTGATAATTCCATAATACTGTCTTTTCGCGGAGCGATGGGCACCGTGAGCGGAGCATCTGAGCTCACTGACATGAAGTAATTGTTATAGTTGATCTGAGCATTTGAGGCGGCTATAGAAAGATGCATCCCCTAATACACTATGTTCATATTCATTTCATCCAGTGTTTTTTATTTTTGGTGATTTTATCCTTATATATAAATTTTACTTTTAATAGTCAATTTTGTCTATTCTCTGTTAATCTGATTGAGAGGTTGTTTTACTTTATTGGATATATTTTTTTTATCTTTTTCTACATCACCTCCTGTTCCGCCATTTGTTTCTCATTATGCAGATATGCCATGGAATTTTTCGGGAATTTTTCGGGGTATGCACTGGACCAAGTATTGGTTGGTTTAATCAAGTGATTTTGTTTCAAAAACGTCGCGTGAGGGATCACAAGGGCTACGCGATGCATACTTTCTTGCGTGCAACATCTTTCGTTCATAAGATGGATACACCCACTTTACTGCCCATTACAACCTAAACATCTCCGCCCGACTTCTAATCCCATCAAAGATACACGTATTATCCAGAGGCACATACTGTCTCGTCAACACCTTCAGCGCCTCTTGTGCCACCATACCACCAGTCAGGGAGGAGATGTTATGCAGCTCACCAACGCCCGCACGCTGCGTCTCCTGCACAGCATTTGCGAGGCGCAACTTGGCATCGTCATCGAGAGAACGGCCATCAGTCTGCACAAGGGCTAGAAGTTTGTCTTGCGCGGCAGACCAGTAATCAGGTTGGTCGAGGAAAGACGGAAACAAAGAGGGTGATGGTTCAACTTGTGTTTCTGCGGCTGATTCTCGGTAATCGGTGACGAGAGTATCGAGAATTTGAAAGGTGAGGAAAATATGAATAAGGGAGTCCGGGATTTCGAGGCTATTGCGGATGGTTTTGAGGGTAGCGGGGTCCGTATGCAAGCCTAGGATGGGGATATCGCTGCCGCGGATGACCTTTACGCTAGAGGCATGCTTGCAAAACGTCTCGATTTCCTTCTCTGAAATCGGAGGTTGTGGTGATTGTACCCGAAGCTGGGTCTCAAGAGCTCGAACGCCAACGACAACTTCCGCAAAATCTTTCCGTGCTTTTGACTTGTAGATGTTCTGCAGAAATATGTAATCTGCAGATTGGGCTTTCATATCCGGGAGTGAACCGGGGAGCGGGAGGACACCATGGGTAGTATAGAAGGATTTAATGGCGGACGCAATTACCCAGAAATTTTCAGAGGTCGAGTCGAGGTTGTTACACTCCTCCATCTCAAATAGTTCCCTGACGTTGCTTTTCAGCGACCACGGATTTACACTTTTTAATACAGCAGCTACTGCTTCGTCAAAGTTTTCCTCCCCCCCTGTAGCGTTATTCGTCCGCGCCCCGTTTCGAATCATCTCTCGGAACGCTGACTTTTCTTTAAAACTTAGCGGTGGGTTTCCGTCGTGTGTCGCCTTCCACTTCTCGAGGAAGTGAAGCAGTAGCAATAGATACGGCACATGGCCATGTTCGTGGTCATCGAGGCTATCTAAATCTGCTATCTTTGCCGTGGCTGCTACTAATTCAGGAAAAGGGTTGGTCAAGCGCAGATCCTCGACGGAGTTTGGATCCGGGTGTGTTTCGACGATAGGATATACCGAGGGAAGTTGGAGCGAAAATGCAGAGTAGAATCCGACCGAGTGGGTATATATTAGAGGAATCGAGAGTTGTTTAGCGGCAGATGAAACGATCTTAAGCAAAGAATGTCTCATTGGCCCTGTAATTATTATGATTGCATACGGCTGGAGAAAGTTTTCCCGGTTTAGAAGTTCCTCAATGGGCTGTATCAAATGTCAGTGATATTTCAGTTGGATCACCACCAATCTGCCGCTCAGAGAATCACACCTCATTCAAAAAATCTCCCTTGACATCGGGGTTCAGCTCCTGGAGATGTTTGCATGTTTCCTGTGCTCTTGGTTTCCCCAGACCCGACTCATCTAGGAAAAAGTTTACCCCTAGGTCCGACTCAGTAATTATGGCGGGGTCAACGATCGTGAAGCCGCCAATGCCAGGTAGCACGAGGTTCTTCAGTGTCTCGACGCCAACAACACCAGAAACAGCCGGGTTCCCGTCATCTAGAGGGCCATCTGAGTTGATCAAAAGAATTTTGGAGCGTTCAAGCGCTTGTTGGCCACTGGCAGCCCATAATCGAAGCTGGCGGTCGTATTTACGCTCTTTTGACGTTGGCCCCGCAAAGGCTGTAGGGAAAGATTCAGTCATCAGGAAAACGAAATACCTGCGTTAAATATATCCCACCGGCCACTAGTATTGCCAAACCGCTGATTTTTTTAAAGAATAACAAGTTACTGGTACCTACCTATATATATTTGTCTGATACCTGGGCGCGTGCAACCATCTTATCTCAAAAGCTTATCGGGATCGGGACCGGGTGGGCGGGGAACATAGTCGGCCCGGAACACCATTGATCCAACCACCAACCTGGCTCTATCTCAAGGTATCAACGACTTCAGAAGCTCGATGACACAACCACCAAGACTCTGGTGCCAATTGAAACCAGTAATAATATTCTAGGGTGTCCCCGATGATGTGCGCACTCTGAAGAAGTAGTAATGCCATTGACCATAGAGACGTTTGATCTCTAACTGCATTGTCTCGGATGCACCCTGCTTTGTCACTGCGCTGTGGCTCAAATTGTAGTCTCCCCACCATGACCAACTCACGCATCCAGCCAGCTTCATGAATCCCATACTAAAACCCAACATCACCCGCGTCCTGTAGGTATCCTGTCCCAAGTGCTTGGCAAATCAGAAGAGTAAAATCGAATATATGTTATGTCTGACATCTTCCTAACAGGCTGTCCCCATCGCCTGCTCCGTTCGCCTCCGCAGTTCTCCACAATTTCATCCATTCCTTGCGGATACCTGGGAAAGCAGACAGTTTTCAACCTGCTGCCATAGTTGCCCCTCTAGATTATCTTATATCTAGCCCAAACCGCGTGTCTCTCCCTACACCATCATCCCGCCTCCCGACTTCCATATTCCCGACCCGCCCTCTCTACCTCAGTACTTGTCAATTTCCTTATCGTTCCCCACAGGCTTTATATTCCACACAGTCCCACAACATGTCCACAATCGAGGACGCAAAGCGGAATGCTGCTAAACAAGCTGTAGCAAAACACTATCCACCGAATCCCAAATTCGTCGGAATTGGCAGCGGGACCACCATTGTCTATGTGGTCGAGGCCATCAAAGCGCTGGGTGTAGACACCACAACCACTGGCTTCGTGCCTACAGGGTACCAGTCAAACCAACTTGTTGTCAATGCTGGCTTGACCTCTATTTCACTCGACGCTCTTCCCGAGGGTGCTGTGTTGGACGTTGCGTTCGATGGTGCGGATGAGGTGGACGATGATCTCAATTGCATAAAAGGTGGTGGGGCATGCTTGTTCCAGGAGAAACTGGTTGCGCTGCAGGCTAAGGAGTTCATTTGCGTAGCTGGTAGGTGGGATTTCTTTTGAACTGAAATCCCTCTGGCTTTCTTAAGCCTTTTTTTTTTTTCATGTTGCCCCGCATATTAGAATACTTTTTTTCAAATAACCACCAACCTATATCGCCGACATTCTTCTGGCTATGAGTAAAGAATAGCGAATGGTGCCTTATTTCACAACTCACGATCCCCCCTCGATAGACTCTCGAAAACTCCAGCGCCGGCTCCTGACAAACTGGCCCTCAATCCCAATCGAAGTAGCCCCCCTTGCCGTCCGCCGCGTTATATCAGAGCTCCAAAAACTTGGCAGCCCCCTACCCAAACTCCGTAACGCACCAATTAAGGAAGGTGAACATACCCAACCCTTAAAAACTGACCAAGACTTCTTCCTCGTCGACGCACCCTTTCCCAAACTCCTCCTGCCGTCCGACGTTGCGCAGGGTGAGGATGGGTCGGGCAAAAACGGCGTCTGGGAAGTCACGGCGCTGGCGGAGAGGATCAAATTGATCCCTGGTGTGCTGGAGGTTGGTCTCTTCTGCGGGCTGACGGGCCCGCAAGCACAGGCTGCTGGCGGCATTGGCGGGCAGAAGCCTACCGCTGCGTATTTCGGCATGCCTGATGGCTCGGTTTCGGTGCGCAAGGCGAATTAGATTAAGATGTGAGGCTTGTTGATACATTGAATTCATGGACGTACTCTGCAACTTCGTGTGTTTGTTATAAACGGTATTGTATGTATATTGGGCTGGAAGACAATTATTATGTTGCATAGGTTACAGAAACGATTGCAGAGCAATTGAATAAGCGAAGAAGAAGTACTAAGAAATGGAAAGCCGTAGCTCCCTCACCGCTCTCTCGATCAGATCAACAATCCCTCTCATCCTTGGCGTGGGCATTTGGAGGTCGTTAGATAAAAAAATTACAATGATATCGATTGAATTGGAAATTTTCTTAAAAAAAAAAGAGTTAAAAGACTCATTTCGTTCCCTTCCCCTTCGCCTCACTCTCTCCCAGCTCCCTAATAAACACCTTCACCACCCCTTCAGCCGCGTCCTCCTGCTCCCTCTCCTTCCCCTCCTCAAACCCGGAACAAACCCCAATGGCCAAATACCTCCCATCGCTGCTAAAAGCCAACGCCGCCACACTCGCCGGAAAGCGCTGATACTGTCGAATCCGCCTCTTTGCCACGCCATCCCACAGCGCCACAACCCCGTCCCCACCACCAGAGGCAAAGGTGCCATGGACCGGGTGAAACGCCAGTGCGTTGACGGGGTACACAACATCGACACCGGGCTCATCCGGTGTCTGCTGCCTGTGGCATTTGAATGCGTACTTGCGGTCCTGTGAGGAGTCGGAGGGATCGAACCATTCGACCGCGACGCGGCCTTCGATGCTGGAGGAGGCATAGCCAGCGTCGTTGGACATGCAGGCTACGGCGCGCGTCATGAATTTGAGACTTGATTCGCGGCGCTGCCAGGGTTCGATTGACTGGGTGTGGGTTTCGGGGCCAGCGTTGCTGGATTGGTCGAGGAAAGTTGATAGGGCGTGCAAGTCGTAGATGTACACGGTGCGTGACCCCATGGCGACGACGAGCTTTGTTGGGGAGAGAGAGACGGAGAAGGGCTTTGCGGGGAGGGGGATTGTGGCGGGGGATATTGTAGGGAGGGATTCTGCTTGGGTTGATGGGTTGGCGGGGTTAGCGGTGCGGTGGATGTGTATGGTCGAGTCCCAGGAGGCGGAGATTAGGAGGTTGTGCTCTTTGCTGTAGACGACAGATTTCACTCCACTTCTGTGTGTGCTGAGGACTGTTTGTGTGGCGGTGGGAACATCGATTCTGTATAGTCATGAATTCAGTTGGCGCCTCTGTTACGTTACTCCCGAAGGATGAGGATGAAATAGTTGCCACTTACCTCCTGACATCCCAATCCAACCCTGCCGTATATAGCACATTCTCGTTCTCCCCAAAGCAGACATCTAGCACAGGTGCTCGGTGTTTGAATTTGTGTAAGAGTTTTCCTTCGCCCACAGCTCCGTTCTCATCGCGCAGATCGTATACATATACATATCTATCCCATGACGACACTACTAAACGCGTGGAATTTGGATACGGAGAAAACTTGACGGCGGAGATGGCGTCCGCTGGCGGGGAGGTCAAGGCGAACTGCGCTGGGAGCAGAGTCAGCAAATGCGCCGTGTTTATTGGGTTATTTACTCATTTTTCCATCGCACAATACTTACTTGAAGCCATTGGTCCCAGTAATAAAAGAATATCAGAATTTAAATAGGAAATTCGATCAGCCGTGGAATACGGACGTGTTGTGATATCTGCTTCGTGATATTTGTTTGTTACAGCATTCTTTTTCTGCCGTTGCCAACTAAGGCGGTCAGCAAGGGGTCAGAGTAGCTAAAAAGGGTACGGTTTTCAGCTACACCTATTCCCTTACCCATAGCTATACTGAAATTTGAATAAAAATAAAATATCAAGAGTACATATTTTCTATTTGATTTTATATATACCTAATTTCTTCTGCTGGTCCTTTGATTTTGACGTGCAGGATGAGAATAGTAGGACTATCAACTCCATGCATTCTTCGTTGAGCTGCGTGCATGCACCATAACTTGGCCTTGAAGCAAAATACGCCTCAGGCTCAATTGGAGACGAGGCAGCCTTAGCGTACTCTTTCCGCCAGTAATCTCAGAGTTCTCTATTGGCTTGAAGATGCCAATTCGGGTCAATTACTAGTGTTGCTCAGACAAGAGTGGGCAACTCAAACAAACGACGCTTAAGTTTCCTTATCAATCGATCTGGATGTCATTTTCTGTCATTCCACACCGCTCTAACTACATCATCGGACTCAACCCCACGCCCGGTAACCCCTTCGTGAAGGAACAGGCCAGCCTTCTGCGAACAAGCCATGCCCTTTGCACAGCTGGTAATAGGACCCCCGGGCTCCGGGAAATCCACCTACTGCGATGGCATGTACCAATTCATGTCCACAATCGGCCGAAAGTGCTCCGTTGTCAACCTTGACCCCGCCAATGATAGAACCTCCTACAACCCCGCGCTCGATGTGCGCCAGCTAGTGACGCTGGAAGAAATCATGGCGGACGACGCACTGGGACCCAACGGCGGGATGCTATATGCCCTTCAGGAGGTAGAGACAAATTTTGACTGGCTAAGGGAGGGCTTGAAGAGACTGGGAGGTAGGCGTTGTTTGGAAGTGGTTTATAGTTGGAAAATGGAGCTAAATTTATTCACGTTCTATATGAATTGCAGATGACTATGTTCTATTCGATTGCCCGGGCCAGGTCGAGCTCTTCACACACCACTCGTCATTACGAAATATCTTCTTTCAAATCCAAACACTTGGGTACAGAGTCTGTTTTCATCCGTTCCTCAACAACAAAAAACACGCCCCTGAACAAGTTCCTTATCTGTTATATAACTGAACCGTCCATCCTCAACAGCTCGTCGTAGTCCACCTTATCGATTCCTATTACCTCACCGTCCCGTCATTGTATATCTCTGCCCTCCTCCTCGCCCTCCGCGCCATGCTCCAGATGGATCTCCCACACATCAACGTCCTCACAAAAATCGACAACCTTTCCAACTACCCCCCTCTCCCCTTCAATTTAGATTTCTACACAGAAGTCCAAGACCTCTCTTATCTCATGCCGCACTTAAACGAGGAATCCCCCCGCCTTGCCAACTCGAAATTCAGTGCACTGAATAAGGTCATCATCGAGCTTGTGCAGGATTTCGGACTGGTGGGGTTTGAGACACTCGCAGTCGAGGATAAGAAGAGCATGATGGGTTTGTTACATGTTATTGATCGGGCAGGTGGGTATGCGTTTGGCTCCGCGGAGGGCGCAAATGATACTGTCTGGCAAGTGGCCGTTAGAGAAGGTCTGGACAAACTGGATGTAAGAGACGTGCAGGAGAGATGGCTTGATGCAAAGGATGAGTGGGATGAGAAGGAGAGAAGAGAGTTGGAAGAAGGAGCTAAGGCGCGGGAGGAAGCAGGGAGGAATGCGCGCGATGCTGGAGGTGGTGAAGGCGATGTTGATATGGACGATTTCGACCTGGCCGGTCCCAGCAAATAGCGCTATAATGTTCGTAAGAGCTTGGAACGTAAAATAGTGGCCCATTCCATGAATGTATAATAAGTAAAATAATAAAGTGGAGGAAAGGGATAGTAGGAAAGAAGAAAAATTGTACTCACTCGTTTACCCTGGAGGATAGCAAAGCCACTCATATAATAAAATATATCGAGCAAAAAGAAGTACGCCCTCCCCCTCCATTTCAGTCGCCATCACTCCCTTCCCCATCCTCATCTTCCTCGTCATCCAGCCCCATCTCCACATCCACATCTCCACCTCCAATCTCCCACCCAAACATCCCCTCCAGCACCCCACCACCAACGTCCTCCTTCTCCCCTCTCATCCGCATCCGAACAACCTCCCTCCTCGCCCTCGCAATAGCCTCTTGCTCCGCCTTCTTCATCGTCCCTGAAACCCTCACGACACGAAACACACAATCGCTTTGCATCACGCCAGGCTTGCCACTTTTGGATGATGAAGGTGGTATGCGAGACATGTACGTTAACGCGCACCAGACAAGTCTGTAGCTCGCACGAGGGCAGCGGATTATAGCCGTGGATGTTGCGGGGGAAAGGTATTTCACTGGACATACACACACACGCAGGGAATTTTCGTAGATTAGCCTTTCGCAATTGGTTTACCATTTCTCCATTTTCGTCTCTTAATTTCTTTCTTCGTCCTCTTGGTTCTCACAGCGAGGATCCCAAGCCAGAACAAGACGATATTATATATAACGGAAAACACACGTACCACTAACCCCCCCCGCGCTGCTGCCGCCCAGCCTGCCCATGCCCCAGTCACCAAACATCTCCGCGACATGCTCGCGCACGGCACGTGCAAGGGACTGTGGAGTTAGTGTGTCGGTGGTCGGGCGGTGGATGAGGAGGTGGATGTCTTTCGCATTGTTGGGTGTGTGTTTCGACTTTGCTGGTGTCGTAGCGTCGACGGAGGCCGGGGGGTACAGGATGTCTACCAGGAGATAACGATGTTTAAGGCGGACCATTCCTTTCTGGTTTCTTCTCTATATCTTGTTTTGTTGTCCCTTTTTTTTCCCCCTGTCTTTTGGTTTTTCGTTTTCGGACATGTATCATCTCAAAATCACTCGCGCGGCGCGAAAAAAATGAACAAGGCGAGAGGTCATTTAGCGCGTAAGTACGGCAGCCTATAGTGACAAATGTGTCAAATGGTAAGGTTTGGACTTACGCTGGGAATTCTCCTTTTAACCTCGTGGTAAAAAGCCCAATTTTATAGTAATTTTGGAAAAACATCGCTACCAACACCACCATGTATTTGAATTTCTTTCTATGAGTATATTCTCTGTTTTCAGATATATATGTCTACCCTTAATTTAGTATTCATATCTGATATCGTGTTGAAAATACTATATCTAACGCAGGGGGGGACACCAAGCCAGCTCCAGAGCTTCAAGCTCTTTCAGTGTACTTTTATCACATTCTATATTCCTTTGATCTTCTCCAAGATGGAACCTCGTGCTCAAGAACCTTCTACTTCACCTTTAAAACAATTAACCCATGAGGAGTTAGATGAGTTTGCAGGTTTCATCAAAGCTTTCAGATCTAACTGTCAAATACCCTACAATAAGGTCATTCTTATGCTGCATCTTCAAATTCATGAGAAATTTCCGACACTGCACGGAACATTGTGACCCCATGCACCCAATGACATGAATGGTGATGAATTGATCCATCGTGATCCACATGGCCGTTGGACAGTCCTCACAGGTGTATGCCAGCCCTGGTGATACATAGGTAAGGGTTAGAGAACGTCCGTGTAGAAGAACCTTGCGACATATTCAACGCTTGAGCAAGCGTAGTAGACCTGCGGAAAAATGGGACTTGCTGCGTGATAACCACTCTTCCCTTTTTGCATTCATATATGGCCATGATATGGAAAATATGCCGCTTGATAATAAGTTCCTGGTATCAGTAACGAAGTAGAAAGGGCCAAAGAAGAGGAGAGAGGTAAAAAGGAAATCAAAGCTGAGAAACTAAATCCCTTAAATCTTTTTTCTTCCCTCTTTTTCTAATAAAAAGCTACGCTAATATATGTATGTCGTATGTAAGTACTAATTAGTGGTTGACCATCCCTCCACCAAAGAACCTCCCTACGTCTCAAGACCCTCTAAACCCCGCTCCCATTAAACCAACCAAATTGCCAAAGTATCAACAAAAATTCAGTTTGCAAACAAAAAAGTAATCAAGGCAACAAGAAACCCCCATTTACAAACTAACCTCAACCCGTCCCTCGGCTCCCGGCGCCCCCTTCTGAAAAGAAGGCAACAAATAGGTAATATCATCCCACGGATGCCTGTACAGGCCCGTGCGCAACCGCTTCTGATCCAGGAAATGCGCAATTAACCCAATGCTCCTACCCAACACAAACAAGCCGTTCAATACGCCCATCGACAGGTAATCTTCAGCCTCCTCTGGTGAGAATGCGCCGCAATTCCGCAGCAGGTCGACGAAGCAGACGGCGACACATCCGTCGACATTGAGAATTAGATTGTCCTTTTTGGACGTCGTGACGGTCTCGACGGCGATGGCGTAGTCGAGGAGTTTGTGGCTGGGAAAGTTTTTGTGGACGAATTCTTTTACGAGTTCGACGCGGAGGTCTGGGTTAGCGCGGGATTTTACTTTGTGGCCAATTCCGGGGACTAGACGTTTTTTTAAATGTTAGTCATGACAGAAACAATTAAAACATGGGGTAGGAGAGGAAAAATGTGACAGGGGGGAGGTGAGTCTCACTTAGTTTATTCTCCTTGCGCATGGTATCGACAAAGTCACGAGGACTGAGACCCTTGTCAAATGCCTTTGTGAACTCCTCCGCGGCACCGTCAAGCGCACCACCGAACCGCGAGCCGATAGTCAGTAGGCCAGACACCAAAGCGCTAATAAGATCCTTGCCTGCTCTTGTAGTGATGATCGTATTCATAGCGCCAGACACGGCAGGGCCGTGGTCGGCTGTCAGCATGAGGACCATCTCCAAGAACTTGCTGGCGTAGTTGGGGAGGCGGCGACGGAACCAAAGGAGCGACATGACTCCGCCGATGCCGATGTCTTCTCGGAACACGTCTGAGATGGGCATGCCAGCGTAAAGCAACTCCTGACCACGGTCGTCGGAGATCGTGGAGATGAAGGCAGCGGGTTTACGGATGAGACCGAGCTCCTGAGCCCATGCGTAGTCGATGGGGATTTTTGGAGGGACAGGCTCTGATTGGGGTACGATGGTGCCCTGCTTGACGAGTTTCTTGTAAACTTCCGCAAGCGTTTGGGGAAGCTCTTCGAAGGTCTCTGGGACGTGGATACCGGCTTCACGCATGCACTTGTTCTTCATGACTGCGGTTTCGAGTTCAGAGTTGGCGGAGGCACCAGCGTGGCCGAATTGAACTTCTGTCTTGAACAAACTTGCGCAGGTCCCAATGGCCCATGCGACGACTGGCTTGGTGATGGTGCCGTCCCGCACGGCCTCGATGACACGGTACTCTTCCACACCACCGACTTCACCAAGAAGCACGAGTATTTTGCATTCTGAGTCTGCCTGGTATCGCAGGAGATGATCGATGAATGTGGTTCCTGGATATCTGTCACCTCCAATGGCGACACCTTCGTAGACACCATCTGTGGTTTGGGAGATGATGTTGTTGAGCTCGTTGGACATGCCTCCAGATTTGGACACATAGCCGACGGAGCCCTTGCGGTAGAGTTTAGAAGCGACAATGTTGTCCATCATGCCGCCAGTGTTGCCAATCTTGAACGCACCGGGTTTGATGCCTCCAACAGTCGCAGGGCCAATGATCGTAATTCCTTTTTCCTTCGCGGCGACCATGATTTCTCGGGCGCGCTATTTACCAAATTAGCTTGATATATTCAGTATAACATTCGACGGAAAAATTGGTGCAGTACTCTTTCGGGGACACCCTCGGCGATGATGGCAATAGACTTGATCTGGGGGTACTGCATCAATTCCATGGTGGAGCTGTATACACTTCGGGACGAGGCAAAGTTGACAACGGTATCGACGTCTGGATGTTTGGCAATGGCCTTCCCGACGGCTTGATAGACGGGGAGTAACGTCTCGCTCGTACCCCAGTACCTGATATAATCAGTCAATTTAATGCCAAAGATTCATATGATATCATGAGTAGGTTCCCGTTCATACATCTTACTAACGAATTGGCCGCCAAAGGTGTAGATAATGCCAGCTACGGAGGGGGTGGTGCGCTTGCAGATGAAATCAAAGTCGAGCATTCCCTGCACAGCACGGGGCTGCATGCCACTACACAGTATTAGCACATGATAAGAATGGCAAAAGTAGCACCAGGCATGGGAATGGGACGTACTATACAAAGCATCGTGTCTTGTTGTGGAAGAGGCTGTGTTCCAGGGGGGTGAAGGGTCTGCTGGGAGCTGCGAAGCGACGGATATTGTCGTTGGCAGAGAGGTTGCCGTTCGAAGTGCTGGCCAGGGGTGCAGCAGAAGGCATGGCTGATGCTGTATCACACTCGTCAGTACAATTACTATTGAGGTAGAGTGCGATGCGTGAAGGGACGTGGTAGAGAGGATTGTGGACGTGGATGCAGCTCCTTATGGACATTTACCTCTGAATTAACTGTTTGCGGGGCACAGGCCACACCTTGGAGGGAAATGCGGAGGGGGGTGATGGAGGCAGCAGACACAGGATAACTCTAGACAGACAGACAGCACTTGCACACTGGATATCGAGCAGAGGGGGTTGAGGAGTGTCAGGGTAGAAAAAGGATCAAGAATCTGAGCTAGAGACAGTCCCTGCCACCGTGATCGTTCGCTGTTGTCGTCGTTGTCGTCGTTGTCGTCGTTGTCGTTGTCGAGGTCGAAGTTGTTGAGGCTTTTGTCTGCGCTGAAGCAAGCGGATTTTCCGTTTTCGGAGCTCGATGGTGCACTAGCCGGGGCGGGTTAGTGCTGCCCCAATGGATGGGGATATGGGCCAGGCCATTGGGGCCAGGTACCCTGCCACCCAGGATTCGGTATGGAGGTACCCGTCGACTGTTGGCCCGCCCATAGGTAGTCAGCAGTTAAAAACACATAGCTGGAGAATAAATACTAGTACATCACACGAATTGTATTGTTTCAATGGCTTGAAATTGGCTCTTGGATAAGATAATAAATAGGCTCTTTCTTGCTGATGAATTTCCCAACGCCTTTGTCTGCAACTGCAAATAATCCCAGTTTTGCGGTGAGGCCAAAGGATCCTTCTGAACTAGCATAGTCTAGTTCCCGCACCAGGGATAGAATATTACCATAATATCCCCCCCCATAGCCGTGTAGCTGCGTTAGTTTGCACTGTTGTACTGATCTTGGTCTTGTTGTTTTCTTTTTTTCTTTTTTTTTTTCTTGGTTTGTTCCTTGTCCCAACAACCCCGAGAAGCTCGCAATTCGCAAACAGCGCCAGTCTCGATCCGCCTTAGTCAATCTCAGCTCAATCCAAACCTACAACTCCTCTCCGCCTTCAGATCCTCAACCTTTGTGTGATATCTTCCCGTTCACGTTCTGTTTCGCTTCACAATTCTATTCCTCCATCGCTGCAGTTACCTCATATTCCGCCATATCATAACCCTACTGCGATGTCGGCCAAGTCAATCCTCGAGGCTGATGGCAAGGCCATTCTCAACTACCACCTCACGAGAAGCAAAGTCATTAAGCCCTCCCCTCTGTCGCCTCCTCAAACTCACAACCCCCCTCCAAAGCTCGCCTCCCTCTACTTCCCGGAAGACTCCTCCGTCGAAGCTGTCCTCGACCAGGCTGAGAGCACCTATCCCTGGCTTCTCGCAAAGGACGTCCGCCTCGTCGCGAAACCAGACCAATTGATCAAACGGCGGGGAAAGAGTGGGCTTTTGGCTCTGAATAAGACATGGCCGGAGGCCAGAGCTTGGATTGCTGAGCGTGCTGGCAAAGAACAGAAAGTAGAGACTGTCACCGGTGTTCTCAGACAGTTCCTCGTGGAGCCATTTGTACCCCATCCCCAAGAAACAGAATATTATATCAACATTAACTCTGTGCGAGAGGTAAGCAACATGTGTATCCACTCTCAAATTAAATGAGACAAAAGAGAACAGGGGAACACGTCAATTAGCTAACTAACTACAGGGTGACTGGATACTATTCACCCACGAAGGAGGCGTGGACGTGGGGGACGTCGACGCCAAAGCTGAGAAACTACTCATCCCCGTCGACCTCAAGAACTATCCCTCCAACGACGAAATCGCCGCAACCCTCCTAAGCAAAATCCCCCAGGGCCTTCACAATGTGCTGGTCGACTTCATCACCCGCCTCTACGCTGTCTACGTCGACTGCCAATTCACCTACCTCGAAATAAACCCCCTCGTCGTCATCCCTAATGCCTCAAAGACCTCCGCTGCAGTCCATTTCCTCGACCTCGCCGCAAAATTAGACCAAACCGCTGAATTCGAATGCGGCACCAAATGGGCCATGGCCCGCTCCCCCGCTGCGCTTGGCACCCCAAATGCACCCAGGACAGACGGAAAAGTAACCATCGACGCTGGCCCGCCCATGGAATTCCCCGCCCCCTTCGGTCGCGAACTTAGCAAGGAAGAAAAATTCATCGCGGACATGGACGCAAAGACAGGCGCCTCGCTCAAACTCACCGTCCTCAACGCCAATGGCCGCATCTGGACCCTCGTCGCCGGCGGCGGTGCCTCCGTCGTCTACGCCGATGCGATCGCCTCCGCCGGCTTTGTGGCGGACCTGGCCAACTACGGCGAATACTCCGGGGCCCCCACCGAGACGCAGACGTTCAACTACGCGCGCACGATCCTGGACCTGATGCTGCGCGCCCCCATGCATCCGCAGGGCAAAGTGCTGTTTATTGGCGGTGGCATTGCGAACTTCACCAACGTCGCGTCGACGTTCAAGGGCGTTATTCGCGCGCTAAGGGAGGTGGCGTCCATCCTTGTGGAGCATAAAGTGCAGATCTGGGTGAGGCGGGCCGGCCCCAATTATCAGGAGGGCCTGAAGAACATCAAGGCCGTTGGCGAGGAGTTGGGTCTTGATATGCATGTTTACGGGCCGGAGATGCATGTTAGCGGCATTGTGCCGTTGGCGTTGTTGGGGAAGAAGACGGACGTTAAGGAATTTGGGACGGCGTAGTGGTGGTGGTGGTGGTGGTGTCCGTGTGTGACTTTTGTGTGTTTTTCTTCGACCTTGGTCTCCCCACCCTCTAAATCTACTTTTCTAGAAAAATTTAATGCTTTTCATGTGGTTTCCCGGTGCAGGGATGATTGGTTGATTGATTAATATATAGATAGATGAATGGATGGATGGATGGATGGATGAGGCTGGATGCAAGGGAATCGGAGCTTAACTTCACCGGGCATGAAATGAGATGGACAACGACAAAATAATACGTACATGAGCAAAAATAAATATACACAACACAGAACATATTAGCGCGCGCGACATGGGAATGAAAACCTTCAAAGAATTGCTTGTTTGCCGTTGGTGATATCTCCGGTGCCTATCTCCCTCCTTCAATTGGAAAAGCAGCCTCCACAAGGGGCATTGTATTCTATTTCACCTGATTCAGGGGGGAATAAGCAGCAGCAGTAGTTTCGGTCTCTTCACCGACCCAATCACACACCCCGCCTTCGCAACTCCTCATGGAACTGCCTGGTGGATTTGCCAAGATCTCCCAGGTAGAACCAACGTGAAGGGGGATAAACAATTATGCCCTCCGCCATTCGGATTGTTTTCGCGGTGTATGATGAACGGAAACATCAGAAGCGAGAGAGAAATAATCTCACTCTCTGATCACAACCAACTCTGAGCGAATGGTTAGCTTTTACCAGTCTCTGGCATGCAACTAGAGAAAAGTCATTGGGACAGGTAGGCTGGCAGGCTTGAGGAAGATAGATATCCAAGCTTCGGAACTGTTTCCAATCCTGATAGACACTTCGCGCTTCGCAAACGTCCCACCACGGCATGCATGCTGAAGGAAATGAGCGGCGGCTGGATAACCCCTGAAGAGCTATGCTTTGCACTTGAGCAGACTGTATCTGATAGTTACTGGGTTGTATCTATGATAAGGGATTGACTGGTTGGTGATATCATTATTATGGGGTCGACACCCAACTTCTCAGGGGGCTTTTAGGTGTCAAGCCCCTGAACAAGTGATTTATTTAACCTCCACCGTAAAAAGCTTCTGCGAATAAATTCAACTCTCCCACGCGAGGACTGGAGTTTGGAACTCGGCCTGCTCGTCCATACTTTTACCATTTGCAATTCCGAACCGCGCAGGGGCATCCTGTTTGAATATCATACACCAATGCTGTGGAGCAGAAGATCGTCCGGTGAGGTGTCTGAAGTGTTCTCTGGTATTTGGCAGATGCATACTCCGTAGACCTTTTCACATCTATACGTGCACATGGAAATATGTGCAAACCTTACCTTCTGCAGCTGTGCTCTCGAAATCTCAAATCTTCAGCCATTGTTTGAGATTGTGCTCAACAGGAATCTTTGGCGAAGGGCATGGTTTTGTCTCCCATCTTGTGAGTTACCATGTCTGTTGGCAGTTTCCATAGGTCTCTCATTCAGTATAACTATACTCAACTGCTGATTATACCAATTTGCCTCAGATCCTTAATAGGGCATTCATTACCGACTGTTGCTGCGAAGCATGACGTCACTGATGCCAGAAGTTATTCATGGATGTTTTCATCTTAAGTTCAATATGTGTTCATCAATCCCAGAGTGGCTCCTCTACGGAGTATTCATGCTGATACTTATCACTGAGGAAAATGCCATCTATTGACGCTGCTGCGCCTATAGGTGCCACCAGGCAAGGGATCGTTGTGCGATTCTTTGTAGTTGAAGTCAGCCACCAGCCAGTGTTAAGTGTATGCAACTGAGCAACTGCAAACAGCCTCAGGAGAGGGGAGAAGGATAATCGGGCACAGAGCCCTGGGAATCGAAGCACAACCTTTGGTACAATGCTGGTATTCCATTCGCGACTTGTCTGAGGCGCGCTTCACACATACAGCGTATGTGAGCAAGTTTCCACACTGCAGAACGACACAGTCGCTCCATCATGGATTCGAGCTGGCTTTCAGGCAAAACAGCCGACCATGTTAACACCGCCCACATTCGGCGCATTGTGTGACCAGAGGACCGTAGTTTTCAAGTTGCTTTGAGGCGATCAAAAGAATCATATAAAGATCAAGAGCTCCTGAAATAATGAAAATGGTTTCTTCCATGGTTTACAAATCATTCTGCCCATCTCTTCAGAACTGGTGACTTCTCCATCTTCACAGGTTATCACGATGAAGGCCTTCATTTCTTTGACAAGTTTTGCTCTTGCTTTCTTTCCCCCGTTCTCATCTGCAGTTTTGCCGAATCAAAGTTCGAACCTCGACTTTTCCCCATTCGGCCTTTTCGCCATTAGCCCTCGAGGCTTCATACCTAAAATCCAGGGCAAGCTTCAGATTGTGAGCGATGCTGTGGTGATTGGGCCGGCTCAAGGTGCTAGGGATTTTACAGCTGTGAGAGCTCCTCTATCTCCTCCATAATTTCCTTTCCCCTATCCTTCTCCTACGAATGCGCACCCAGGGAGGGGCGGCAGGGGGGGCGTCGATATTCTAACAGAAGAGGAGAAAGTATATCTACCCACTCCCGAAGGGCGAAATGAAGATCAGTGGTGGCGAAGATGGGCGCTTCTTCTTGGACCCCGGTAGCCATCATCCTACACCAGGGTACCATACCCTCAAATTTGGCCATACGAGCAGCGCCCAGAGCAGCTCCCATGGCTTTTTTATTACGAATACCGGTTGTGGTCCGCATTGTGGCGGGCCACAACTCGTACATGATGCGGCGGACAACGGCGATGGCACCCCGGGGAATTGGCTTGCGTACCCTCTCGACGGAGCCAATGGCAAGAGCGGATACTCGATTCATTGGGCTCCTGGAGGGCCATTCCCGGAGGGCCATAAGCTCATTTACTTGATGTGTGAGCCTGCCCCACAATGAAATTCTTCTTAGATCTTGTTCGTCGACATGTGAATTTCGACGATTGTGGAATGCGGTACTTCGTTGAGAGGAAAAGGGGATGGATAATTGCACACGGCCGATAGTCACTGAATTTTTATAGGTATAGTGAAAACAGGGCATTGCATATAAAAACACTGCTCTTTGCTGTGCTTTTATATCAAGGTATAGAGATATCAGTATCATAGAGTCCTCATACTCTAATATCTCTTACTATAATATGATGTACTAGAGTATGATAGCATGACTAATTGAGCAGGGGCGATTGGGTCTTCTTTCTTCCACATAAGGGCATGGGGATGTACTTTGCTAAAGTTTGCTATTGATCAATTCAACGAGAAACTTGTGTCATAGATAGACCTTTTTGTAACTATGCGAAGCTTGCTATTGGACTGCCTTCGCACTTAACCAGTTGTCTGACCAATTTATCAAACGGTAGACCGAAAACCTTATCGAAAATCTTATCAAACTAAAGTTTTAACTCTAGACAAAAGGGAATTACGCACTGATCACTCTCATCACCTTCGATAAAGATCATCTCTAGTTTGTGTTTAGTCTCACCACGATCATGGTCTGTAATGATACCATCATTGAGTAAAGACTCCAACACATTGAAGACCCACTGCTGGCAGCCCTCAGTGGTAGGTTTCATTATCAACTGCCTGGGAACCAACTACCGCATGATAGCCTTTGATATCATCAATATCCACCACCAAGGTATTCTCAGCATGGCGATCAGTATTTTCTGGACGGCTGGAGAGTTCTTGATACTGTAATAGACCCGGGTTCTGACAACTTGAAACACCAAGTGAGAGTCCCCTTCCTCAAGGCACAGAGCTCAATGATACATTCCTAGGGTCTGCCGGGGTTTATATACGGTGATGTAAAGAATTGCCATTCTATATAATTCTAGAGTGGAAGCTCAGAGTCTACTATTATAATAAATCTTATATGAAAAAGTATAGATATTGAATATAATAAATAGAGATGATAGGCATATGAATGTACTGTATATAGACTACCAGTGATATGATAGCTATCGATGATATGATAGTAGTATCTGTTCCATGCAGATGACATGTAATGCAATGTTTTCACTATACCTATAAAAATTTATGTGCAATTTTCCCATCCCCGAGGAAAATGATCAATTCGCATCCAAGTCTTTTTGTTTCCTCATACTTCAAATTTTGGCTTCTCCTTTATATCGATTTACTTCTTTCGGAAGAACAACGTCGTACACGAGGGCGATGGGCACTGTCAAAAAAAGGGATCTTTCCTGTTACCCATGTTTCCTTCGTCTCCAAGTATCAATGCCAACAAGGATCGTTGAGACCCTGTTTCTCAATATCTATACTCACCATACGGAGTATGCAGTGAACACCATCGCACATACAAAGGCCTTGGCTCAAACGGTTATCCCATCGTCAAGCAACCGATGGTCTCAGGTGATGTCATTTCATACAAAGCATACCCTGTCGAAGGCAACAATAACGTTTCTATAACTTGTGGAACGCGCGTACATATTCCCCCCTCTATGGCTGCGAATATCGACAGATGCTGCATGTATCGATACATCTCTGGCGCCATGCGAGATATCCCGACGTCTAAATAAGCCCACCTACGGAGTATATCTATAATCTGCGGCAATCCGTGCCTCTTACAGGGTTGACATTTTTAGCACTACTCAGACAAAAAAAAAAAAAAAAAAAAAAAAATGGACCCAATTCTCGAGCGCCCGAGGTGACTGCCGAGTTATCGGGTGTGACCGTGCCCTGGCAATGAGCTGTGTAATAAATAATAACCCATGGAGTTAAGTCCATAATTCGCACAGAAAGGTAGTGATGCTTTTGCGACGAGAATTTGAACAACGAACGCGGGAGATGAAAGGTGACACATAGCGCTAGAGATTTGACTGATTTGACTTTCTCATCGCGCGCTTGATCCCCTACGTATGAAGTTAATATAGGCAGGAAAGGAGTCTTCGCTGATGTAGCCTAAATAGGTATCAGACGTTTGATGAATTCGCCAGCGCGATAGAAATATCTCTTTCAATCAGTGCTCACTAGAACTCCGCTCTCCTCCTCTTTAGAATCTACATGCTTCTATCTAACATCATATCTAGTTAGCTCAAGTGGTAGATTTGGTGAAGCTTGACTATTTAGAATAACGATAGAATTATAAGCTTGGTTGATAAGTTATATGTCAAATAGCGAAGCAGAACCTCGGTTAAGTAGGGGTTGTTATAACACACTCACCAATCAACGGTCAACGTCTCAGCTGAGGTATTAGCAAGGCGACCCCCTTATATAATGATGAGCTACTGGGGAAAGAACCAAAGAAAATCCACTGGACAAAAGTGAAATCCCCCGAAGCTTGACAATCTCCGGAGAACGAATTGGATTGTAGGGGAGATATCATTCGCCGTCCCCATCAGGCCTTCATGGACGCCGGCAAAAATTGAACTGCGCACCGTGATTACAGGGTGGTATGGGGGGAGGGGGGGAACAACCTTGGCACCGTGAACCCGTCAGCAACAGTCAAAGAAGTTTCAGATCTCTCCATTATTCCTTGATTTTGATGGTTCCGCTCGGAGGCGGTTCAACTTTGCTGGGAATAGGAATAAGAGGTAATGGTCATATCGGCTAATTTTTCAAAGAGTGCATGCTATTGCCAAGAATCTTACGAATAACCGGGGATTCATGGCTGAGAAGAAGAGGTCCTGATTTTCTTATTTTATAATCTGACAGCTGAAAGACAACAACCCAGCATCATTATCATCCTCGTTAACGACAACTACCTGATTGACTGATTACCGCAGTCCGGAAAGAAGCAAAATAAGTGGCACTAAGAATCATTATTGATGTAATCGTTATTCTTTCCATTGCGCTTGTTTCTTACCCTCCTCTAGTGCACCCTGCGCTATTGACGCAGAATTGGCTCCAATGGAACGGGCAAATAAAACGGGCGAGGTACTCGGAGTGCATATGTACAGGTACGGTACAAATATTTCCAGAACCAAGAAATAAGGCGTAAAAATAAGTAGAAGGAATGTAGAGAAAGTATACAAGTCGCAATTGGGGGTGTGATACGATGGATTTTGGCCACAAGTGGATTAGAAAAGCAAAAGGCGGAAAAAACCTTGACATTAAGTTGCTTTTTGCACCAATGGGAACCGAGGAGAAAAAAAAAAAAAGGTGGTATATATATTAGGCCAAAAATGGATTTTTCTCTGCCCGAAAGCAATTGTTGATGTGTAGAGCGTAATACGAGCAAAATATCTTTATACATACTCGGACAACAGTCCAGTGGGGGAGAGGGGGGGAATTAGAGCAGTTTTAAAGGCAAAAAGAAAAAAAAAAAAACAAAAAACGTAGCTAAACTGCGGCCAGTACAACGATGATAGATTAAACCCGGCGATAGACAGAAATCCAACATTCACATCCATCCGATAGTTATCGATGATGTGCCTGGGATCCCAAGTATAATTTACAGGTAAGCAGCAAGGGCAAGGAGGGCGGCAGCAATGCCTCCAATGTTGGCATTGAGGTTGGAGCCAGCGCCCGGAGCAGGTGGGACAGTGCCCGTAGGGGTAGGGATGGTGTAAGCACCGGTACCGGTGGGTTTTTGGGTCTGGCCTTCAGTCGCGCTTGGGGTTGTAACTGGGGCAGACTCGGTTGGATATGGGGTGGGGGTTCCGGTGGCAGACTCGGTGGGGGCACCTGTTGGCTGCGCAGAGCTGCCTGTGGCGGAGCCAGTGCCAACGGGGGGAAGTACGATGGGGACACCAGCTGCGGAGCATTGGGAGACGACGAGGTTGGAGACGGCTAAACAGGAACGTTAGATGAAAGAATATCCAGTCGGGCCAGAAGGAATAGATTTTATGTTTATTTTTTAATTCTTTCCCCTCAACTTACAGGCTTGGTCTTGCGGTGGACAGGCGGCCTCAACGCAAGGGGTGATCTTTGCTGGAAGGCTTGGCACCTTGCAGTGGCAGGCGAAGTCGGTTACGCTTGAGCAACCATCGCTACCGAGGGCTTCGGCGAAGCATTGAAACTATTAACCCGGTCAGTTTCTGGATGCTTTTCCAGTGTTCAGAATTGAATTCGACATACGGCGCACGGAGGAATGTCAGGGAGCTGAGCATTGGCGAGGCTGGCCGCAACGAGGGCGATGAGAGCGTGGGAGAACTGCATCTTGGAAAATATATTAAAAGGTCTATATAGACAAAAGTGAAAAACCTTTGTTTGTTGGAATATGCTATAATATAAAACGACCGGCTTGATTGAAGCAGAAAAAGAGTGTTCGAGAATGAGGAGATTAAAAAAAAAAAAAAAAAAAGACTGAAAAAGGGGACGCGGAACGCCTCTTATACTTGGGCATTGGCGGGTTCTGTCTCTGAGGGCTTGGGCTTAGTCACATGCAACGGACTCGGCTATGTTGCCAACCCAGCCAAGATATCAAACAACAATGACCATGCTACGCACCGCTAGCCGGTCGCCGCCCCACAGCTAAGGGTGACAACAAAACTGGGAATTTGGAAATTTGGAACGCGGCCTGCGACTGGGAGGAGCAGAGAATTTCGGCCTGTGGAGCTGCCGCTGGCCGTGGCGAATCATTGTTTGACGCCAATCGATATTTTGGGCCCTGCAGGGAAAAATTGTGCCCCTTCTGGTGATCACCAATGGAGCTTGGTTTCTCTTGTCAGTTTTGTCGATGTTTTCGTGAATTGTGCTCAAGGGGTCCTTTGAGCTGATAGTACCGGATTCTGTCAGTTCCCAAAATACACCTTGATGCTTGCATTCAAATACAGTGCAACGGAGACGCATGGATTCCAAAAAAAAAAAAAAAAAAAAGGGAACGACTGAGCACGGCTGAGCACAGAGAAATAGAATGGTCAACGGCAATTCCTCCAAACTAACCCTCCGCAGCTGCACCTTATTCCATTCGGGGTTCAGTGAGATTTTGCTATGTAATTTGCAAAAGAAGAGGAGCTTCTCTCCGAAGAGTTTCATCAGGATTTTGGTGTCCAATTTCCCCCCAGAGTCTGGCAGGGGATCCCCCAGCCAAAAATGATTGGCGCTCCAAGGGCCAATGGTTCGTACTCTTTTGATTCGTCAAGTTTTGCCAGAGATCCTTGACAATCTCTCCGTTGATCAATGATCGTTCTGGCCGAAGCGTGTTAGCTTCGGAAGAGCCTACCACAGATGCAAGTGCTTCAGGGTCGCGCAGAGGTAAAACCACGGGGCGTTGCAGCTTGCAGGTCCCAATCTCCATTCGCGGAGAACGTCGCCACATATTCGTTGCCTTGATTTCCTCTGTAGCTAGGAGCATATCTCTCGAATAGTCGTACGAGGAGAGCAACGAGGATGAAGAATCGCAATTTTCGTTCCCGGTGAACAAAATGTTAATATGATGTACTGTGCATGTACAGTACATTACAAGTGACAGTGCATGGACAGATCAAGAATTTTAATCGAGCTGATCATATTTCAATACATCAATAACTTCCCAGCTCTGGGGAATGTTTTATTTTTATTTTGTCTGCACACGCAACGGGTGGCTGGCATTATTGGACCACTGAATGAGGAAGTGGTTTCGTTGGCTCAGTCCGCCACTGGCCTGGATCCCGTCTGGCCATGCTGTCCAACCCCGCAGCTCGAAAAGCATTACGACAGCAACGCCAACATACGGGGCTTGGGTCATTTTAGTTACATTTGGCCTGGGCCAATGAATCTTCGTGCGATATCAACAGTAATGTGTTGATAGACCTCAGAGTAGCAAAAGAACAAAAGGCGAAATTTGCCAACGCGGCCATGAATCAGTCTTAGGGGACAAACACAGCTACAGAAGGGTTTAAGCACTTCCGTGGCCAAGAAGGAGGAAAGCGACCAATGCCATATCAAAATCTGTTGAATATGACAATACAGTGGATGGAAATATTGTTTGGGGTGACACGGTTGTAGTCTCAGACGGCGGCTGAGGCGATAATACTTTTGGGCAGCCTGGCAGAATCTTCTCTGGAATGGCATCAGGATCAATAACTGGGCTGTGGCGGCTTTATCGAAGTCCACATCTAAACCTCATCCCGCTAGGAACCGAGTTTTCGCAGCAAGTTCCACAAAATCGGATAGGCTCATGCCTGGTTTATTTTCTTGATGTATCTTTACTCCCATATTGGCCTCGACGGAGCCCGTGCCTATATATTTCATCATCGCTATGGATTGCTGGAGAGGGATAAACGTGTCAAGTTCCGAAGGATGCGATTTCACTTCCATTTTCAGGCCCTGTGCTAAAGTACGTCGCTCGAACGTCTTCCTATCTCGCGACGACGATTTCCAAACTCAGGTCGAGCTTTAAGGTCTCGCGCGAGGGTTATCGACGAGGCTCTCTTCTCTCAAGACTACCTGTAGAAAATCTATACTTGCGTATTAGCGTAGAGCGAATTTAGTCCCGAAGTTGAAAATCCATTTTGAATCTCTTTGGGGAGGGGGGTGGAGGGCTGGTGGCGGGGGAAGGGGAATGGAATGTTTGATATCAGCCTACGTCCTGAGGGAAACGGAGGTTGCAGCGGGGTCCAGGCCAGCGGCGGCGTGGTTAGCTGCCATGTCACATAAAGAAAGACACATTGAAAGGAACCGGGGTGAAAGGTTGGGTATCTGATGACGATCATTGTTTGATTGAAGAAACAATTGACCGAGGAGAGTTCGAGAAGATCCGTACGTTCGCCGAACCTTTTTAACTTGCCACCAACTGTGGGAACGGAACCACCATACTAGTAATACTTAAAAGTACTAGCAGTACTATCTCATTATCGAAATATTACAAAAAGCAGAGAGAAGCTCAAATTGACACTCAGTATTGAACAGTACCTCAGATTATGAAGAAACTTTTTAATTCCTAGTACTTATTATGCCAACGTCACATGATATGGGATGTAGCAGTAGTCTGGAGTCCCTCGTACTTAATTCTTCACAGAAACACACCCAGCTGTCCAGCTGGCCACATGGAGGAGGAATATCTGGACTTTGTTTGCTGGAAAGAAAGGATTACAGCAGATCCACACATATCCATCTTACTTTTCCATCCTTGAAGGGCCCTGTGCCAGAGAACGGGTCTATATTTAGCAAACTTCAACATCGGGAAGATAAGAACTCACGAACTGAGAGAGTGTGAAAGTTACATGATTAGGAAAATGACTAGTTAGGAAAAGATTTGGCTTACGTTGTATTCTCCCATGTGTAGCTATATTTATCTACTCTTCAGCTTGCACATATCAGAAAGTCTGGGGACTCCGGCGGAGGAGATTTTGGTGCATTCCATCGTCAGATTTCCCAATTCGCTGGCACACGGTGGATTCAATCGTTCATCCCGATGGCTTTTCGTCAGCTTTGAATGTTGAAGTATCCAGATACATAAGTAGGGATTTATCCTCCTTTTTCTGGGGGAAAAGAGCTCCGGGATTAATTTCTCCACTTTCCCCCTTTCGTCCCTGGATTCCTTGCATTCGCATTCACCCATGGAGCGTTTTGAGCCTTGACCTGTTCCTATAGAGGTGCTAGAACCGCGGCTTTAATCGAAGACATCGGCTGCATGAACCTCTCAACAACGCCAATGAATACCCTTGACCATAATAAAGATGTGCCACCGCCGTGTGCTGGAGTGAAAGGATGCCCCTGCTCTACGCAGTATTCCAGTTGTTGAAATTCAATCTCTCCACGAGGGGGTTATTTCCACAGATGCTCCGACAAGTAGCGGGGCTTTGTGAAAAATGATACATATAACCTCTTTGTTTTATCCGCAGCCCTTTGGCATCCGTATTTCGCGAGAAGCAAGGGAGGAATTCTCCAGACATATTTCTGCTAATATTCTTCTCTATCCAGCCCTTCTATACTTACTCTGTTGGGACTCCAGCAATCCAGGGAATAATGCAAAATCGGTTGAACATGGCTGGCCACACAGCAGACATCCCTAAGAACAACAAGGATATCCTATCCCGCTTAGGCCAGACGATCGTGGGGAGGAGAGTTTCGCGACAGTTGACGGCGCATTCCGACTGGGGCCCCGGTACAACTTGTGGATTTCATCCTTGAAATGCTCACTGAAATCCTTTGGAAAATTGAGATCGGCATCATCCGGCAATTCTTTTCTCGAAGATGCTGGGTTAGAAAACTAGAAAAAGGGGTTATTTGGGGGATAAGTGGGAGATATTGGCGCTTCTGAAGCTGGGGAAAGAAAAGTAAAACCTGCTGGCATGGCTTCAATGTTGAGCCTCTTATCCACTGCCGAAAAACAATGCACTGGATCATCTGTACGGTCATCAGCAAGAGCATGGCTGAGAGCGAAAGAATGGCCGTTGGGTTGGAAGATCCCGAGAGTTAGCTATATCAAATGCTGTGGTGGACATGGAGCCAGCTCGGGAGTAACGCATTATATCGCCCTGATTTTTGTATATCCGTATCCACAACAAATATCAGAATGCCACCAAAAGCATTTGGAATCTCAATTCACAGTGAGTTGCTCTGGTCAATAAATGTAGCATACATCATTTATCCTATACTCAATTGACGAGGTGATTCTAGGCCCACATGTGGGATTTTGTGACATCCCGAGAAAGATAAGTTATCGTCTAAGCGCATATGATATATTAATTCCGAATATCACAAGCATATCTTGCAGGTTAATTTCTGTTATTGGATCGATATAGCGAAATGTAGATATGTCGATGTTGTGGGGCCATTTCCGAATACACTCCCATGTGTTGCTCATCCCATATCACTGGCTTTACTTAGCGTGAACAGATATCACTTTTCGAAATAACCCACTCGACGACAACAGATCGGCTGAAATAGTTGCGAATTAAAGGTGAAAACTTCAGTGTTGTTATAGATAGACTGCATTGCATGTAAGAAAGACGCCGGACTTCCCCAATTCCATAATCCCCATATCATATCAGACTCCGGAAGAACAACAAAGCTTTCGAGGGGACTAAAATAACGAAAGGCGCAGACGTAGAAGAGGAGCTAAAGGTTAACTCCGAAACGAACAAAATCAGCAATACGCAATCGCGAGAAAAACGCAAATATGCGTTGACCTCCACGCCTGGGATTGAAAGGTCAAGCAGCAAACCACTCAGCCAGCTTATACCATGTCCTACGACATCAATTCGTCAATATATGCCTTCTCATTCGCAATGCCCTTCGCCTCATCCTTCAGCAGCACAGCAAGGACCTCGATGGGTGGATTCAGGTTGAGCATCTGCGCTCGCCTCCAGCGCTTTAGTCGTGCAATCCCGATACAGGGCTATGTGTTTGTATTTGTCCCAGTTAGTCGAATTTACGCAGGACGTCGAAAATCCTCTGGGTTGAGATTATGTGTTATAACGTACCCCATATTGATTAGACAGATCGAAATGTCGTAGGATCTTCTCGTGAACCGTCAGGTGCTCTTGATGTACTATCATGGCAGTGGCAGGCAGGTCATTAGTTAGCATTCTTCCAATGCACAGCTAGATAGATCTAGAAAATGCAGGAGGCCCAAAAAAAAAAAAAAAAAAAAAAAAAAAATCAAAAACGAAATGGAGCAAAACTCACCCCTCGGCGCAAGCCTCCCTGCTTCCTCGTTCTCCCAATATTTCCTTATATCCTCCTCCGTCAGCTCCTCCGCCCGCCTATCCTCCTCGGATTTCCGCAGCCGTAATTCAACCCTCGCCTGCTCAGCAATGATATTTTCACTCCGCGACGATGACGCAACGGGCTTTTGCTCCGACTCGATCTCAGCGGGACACTGGACATTGGCTTTTGGAGATGGTGGTTCAACAGCGGGAGAGGTTACGGATACCGGTGATACTGAACCAGAAGCGCCCCGCCGGCGAAGCTCTCCGGCTGGAGAGCTGACATCTGTCGTTTTCTTACCCTTTTTGCCGGCGAGTGATGAAGAGATTGTTGTGGGCTTGGAGACTTTGTGTTGAGCGCCGAAGGAGAGGGTGGATTGATTTGAGTTGCCGGAGCGGCGGCGGGTGGTTGCTGGCATTGTAAATATGTGTATATAAGTGTATTTATATATAATTTAAATTATATGAAACGGCTCTACGGTGATAGGTGGAATTGAGGGATTGTGGGAAATAGTTGGGATATTTTGTCTCGACTCCAATGGATGTCTTCTGTCGAACTCTTGTTTTCGGAGGAGCAAATGTTGGTTGCAGCCTACCGGGCTCGTATCCATTGCCGTCTGTCTGGTTGCACAGGCAACCAGCCCAACTCCATTTCAACAAGGCCCACGAACGCATTCAGATGCTACGCATACTACTAGTATCAATGAAAAACTCACTCCAAGAAACTAGAACGATGAGATACAGAGTGTTGCTGTACGAAAACCCCGAAAATCATATCCATATGTTGCTTGCGATCTGATAACATTGCTCTAACTAATGGTTATGACGCCACCAGCCTCTGTACCAGCTCTGCCCCTTACTTATTTATATCCAGGCACATCAGTATTCTTCAGGACATGTGCCACAACTTCAACCATCTCAACCACCTTCTCCTCCTCCAGTCTCTTCCCGACCAGTTGCAGTGAAACAGGGGCTCCATGGTAGAACTCAGGATCATAATCCGCCTGTATCATTTCATCTCTTGAATCCAGCGGTACCCAGCCCTCACCGCGTGGATGATCGATCGACTTGTCTGCATAGGTTACCGGGAATGTACAAGCGCAATAATCTACATGGTTATTAGCTACTTTTCCTGATACTGTATCTTTCTTAGGAGAAAAAGGGGAGATCCCAAGTTCTCCGCTTACCCAGCAAATTCACGAATCCAGTATATCCGATATAGTCCACCGACTCCCCCTGACCTAGACGGGGCGCACCTGAGGGGGCAACTGGGGCAATTATAGCATCAATGGGCCCGCCCGAATCTGTCCTCGTTGCCATCCACCGGTCGAGGAAATCCTTTTGGAGCTGGTTTCGCTCCACGATCATCCGCCGCAATTTCGCGGGATCTAACTTTTCAGTCTTGTTCTTGTATGCGCTGAAAGCCCGCTCCATGGAGCCGAACAGTGGCTCCTTGTATTCTTCTAATAATGGCATGATAGCATCAGATCCTAATTCATCAAAGGATTCGTTGAGCAGTGAAACGATCTCCCTGTGGCCAATTGGTTCCCTGGAGCAGAGAGTCGTTAGCTTTGGCGTGCCAGTGACAATGCTAGGTATACGTGTACCAAAGCCACTCACCAGGTTATCACATCATGTCCCGCAGCCTTCAAGGCGTTGCTAACGGTCGCCAACGCCCGCTCTACGGGTGGATGGCAAGTTATCACCCCGTCACTAGGTCCAAGGATACCAAATCGTAGCTTACGCCCCTTTGGCTGAATAACGTCCTTTCGCCATGGCATGGGTATGATCTTCGGGTCCAGGTTCCAGGGCGCAGCGGTCTCGGAGAGAACCGATTCACAAAACAACTTGACGGCGCCGAGTGAACTGGACATCGGCCCGCAGACAGCATATACGAAGTCCTGGCCGGCTATACTAGGCCTACCTCCTAAAGTCGAGAAGCGTCCGAATGATGGCTTGAGGCCATAGAGCTGGCAGAAAGCGCTTGGGATGCGGATGCTACCGGCAATATCTGTTCCAACGCCCAACGGTGACGCTTTCATTGCGAGAAGAGCTCCCTCACCACCACTGGATCCTCCTGGAGTTAGCCCCTTGTGGATAGGGTTTCTGGTTTCGCCCCAGACCCGATTAGTAGTTTCTCCCATCATCATAGCTGTGGGGACGTTGGTTTTCACGTAAAAGACTGCACCCAGGTCTCGAAGCATGGTTACGAGGACGGAGTCCTTCTCGGTGGGAACGTTCGCATGCACCGCCATACCGATTGATGATGGATGAGGACAAGTGACAAAATTGTCTTTCAGAGATAGCGGCAAACCGTGGAGTGGTCCTAGGACAGACCCAGTGCGTTCCAGGTATTCATCGAGATACTTTGCCCTCTCCAGGCCTTCATTGAACAGGACTTCCGTTACACAGTTCGTCTAAGAATAGGATATTAGTATTTTTTTTTTTTTTTTTGCAAGGGTAAAGCTTATCGCTGGTATGATCAACGTACAAGTTTTTGCGCAATCACAGTCGCCCGGCAGAATGCATTTGTTACATCGACGGAGGTCAACTTTCTCTCTCTTATCTTTTGCAGAAGGGTTTCGGCATCGGAATCGACGATTTCTAGTTCCTCCGGTGAAAGGAGTCCCGAGGTTTTTGGGAACGATCTCAGGTCTTGAGGCAGGCTGTCCTCTGCAATATCAGTGAGCGGGAAGAAGGCCGACAGCGAGTCATTTCGCCGTTTCTGCACGATAGCTGAGATTTCCTTATATGTTTGGCCCATTTTTGATTCCAACGAAATCCAGTAGTTAGTTACTTAGTAGTTAACGCGGGATGAAATATGTTTCTTATCAAGCAGACAAGCCATGTCCTTTTGTATATAAAGATTGCCGGAAAGGGACTGAGGGGCAATTGGTGGGTGGGACAGGTAACAAGGCTTGCTCGGATGACCAGCTGCAGAACGTGGCGCAATCTTTTCGGGATTGTATTGTATATGTCCCTCGAATGAGCGTTGCTCGATAGAAGCCGAAATCATTACCGCAATATAGGATCTAAAATAACCTCGGGCATGGCACAACCAAGATCATTCTGAGGAAAAACTTCGGGATCAGTTCCAAGGCAAAATGCCGATTCGACACCAGGACTGAGGAAACAAGGCGAGAAACTTACTCTGAGCGGATCAGAACCACGGGACGGCAGAGGTTATTCTTCTTATATTTACGCAATCAAACTTAAATATCTGGGAATCATAGCGCTGGACATATCTGCATCAAGCTTGATGGCGGAGAAACGCATATTCCTTGCAACTATTGTTGTATTTAGTTCCACATTTAGTTCCACAGAGAAAGCTTACTATAAAAAATTGCGTATAAGGCGTAGAACAAGGCTGCGAGAGATGCAGATGCACGCTGCATATGGTAACAAGATGTTTGGGCTCCAATGTGGCCAGGATGTGAAATCCATCTATATCGTTTCCTGGTTGAATGAATAAAGCTACCCTTGGGAGATTCCTCGTAGTTATTAACTAACTAGTTAACTATTTAATTTACCATACATTTTGCCAGTGGAACAAGCAATTAACTAGTAGTTATATACTAGGATTGATGGAAGTGGAAGGTTGGTTCATAGTAAATGTTTTTATAGGCGTGGTCACGTGGCTTTCTAGCGGGATGCGGAACAACTTCCACCCAACATCACATCATCGCATATGGAGTAACTAGTTAACTGCTGCGAATATAGTTACCTTAGACCACTGGAAGGTTAGACTGATACCAGCAAGCATGTTATCTTAAATTCATCCCATACGCACCCACAACTCCCCTCATCCGCCGTCATGAGCAACAAATCCCTGGAGCAAGCTCTTGCGAACCTCCTTCCCACCCATGCCGAAGCTCTCCCCCCGGAGCTCGTCAAACACGCTGCAAGCCTCCTCGCACAGTCACGCACGTATGGAAGTAGTTTGAAGCCCGAAGAAGAAATTGCTAGGCCGTATGTTTGCGCGGAGATTGCTTGCAAACGGTGGGTTGATTTTTTTCTTTTTTCCCCTTCAAATCGAAAACGAAATTCCGCAAACCATATATCATCAATCACTGGCTAATTAAGCGGGCATTACAATCAATATCTCTTGTGTAGATTAAGAAAATCTCTCAAACTTCCCTCTCCCCTGGGCAGACCCCCATGCCCACCCCGCGTATACAAGAAGATTTACACATACCTCGAGCAGGCGTTACTGAAATCCTCAAAAACCACTTCCTCTGCACCAAATACCCCAAAGAAACCCATAGGCACATCCTCATCTCTGCGGACACCATCGAAAAATAATTCTCTAGCTGTAACGACCGCGCCGAATGGCTCACCGCTCAAGCGCCCTCTTCCTACAACGCCGCCTCAGAGAGCAGCGAGAGATCATAATAGGACAAAGGTAGCCCTACGCGGAAAGGGTTCCAATGGCATTTCCAGCCACAGTTCAGTGAAAGATGCCCCATCGTGGACAATGCCACTTATTCGACGGATATGTAAAACATCAGCCACGCCTATAGCTAGCTCAGCATCCCCCACGCGCCCTTCATTTTCGACCGGTTTGCCGCCACATATCTTCGCGGGGGTCTCCTCGATTCTCTCGTATATTTCTGAAACGGAGCCGCAGCGAGGTAAAAATCAAACGCAATTCCTCTCCCCGCTTATCGCGTCAACGAAACCGACAGCCGGAATGCACGAACCTGGCTCCAATGATGACAAAATTTACAGAGATAGAATCACTACATTGATTGTGGCTGTATATTTTGTCGTACTCACTCGTATGCATCGGGGTATTGCACAGTCCTCAACCTCCTCATTCCTTCCACCAGATGAGAATTGGGATGTGGATACGTATATGGAAATGGCTGCTGCAGCGCTGACGGTTGTCGGTCTGGAAGGGAAAACATATGTTAACGATGTGGATGTGTGGCTATCTATTATTATGACGCAGAACTGGACGGTGGGAACGGAGTGGTTTGACAACATACCCAGTCCCTCGAAAGGCGGCGAAGGTGTGAAAGGGAATCGGGGCGAGGGATTGGCAAAAAGAGCGGGAAATGGAAATGACGACGACGACGATGAAATTGTTAGCCCCCAAAAAAGGAGGGTAATCCGGCGGCAAAATCAGCAGCGAGGCGAAAATCGGGATGCGAAGGCACAGGGTGGTTTGCAGCCTGGCCTAGGCACCATGATGCAGGATCGTCTCAATTGGTTGAGCGAGGATATGAGGGAAGACTATCTAGAGTGGAAAGAAGGGGTTATGAAGAGGATACATGCCATTGAAAAAGGGATGGCTGCTTCATAGAAGAAGGCTTATTCAGGCAGTTTGTGGGGTGATTTTTTTTCAATATGACGTAAATGTATAGAAATGATACCCCCTTCCCGGCTTTCTTAACTGGCGTAAATGTTTAGGAACACATTATTATATAGATAAATGCATATGATTCTCGGCATCAATAATCTGTATTACATCTAGCAGGAGCTGTTAGGAAGCCACGTAACGCCGTCTTTGATCCAATTGCCATGTCATCTACAAACCGCGAATCCAATCCCAGAAACCGAAGAAACGCCAAAGGACTTTGGGAATTAAAATAAAAAGTAGGCTTGGCACGATTCTCGCCACATGGAAAACAAAGCCAAGTCTTTTTCCTGGCGAGCACCTGGAAAATCAGTACCAAATGCTCCTTGTACGATGGTGTGGGATAGTCTCCTTCCCCTCCCCTTCCATCTCCTTTATCGAATCATACAGCATGAAATCAATCAACACCGCATTGACACCCAATGGATACGCCTCATTTTTCTCTTCTTTTTCCTCCTCCTCCTCTTCCTCCTCCTCAGCATCGGCACTCACCACCTCCCCTTTCTCATCATCCCCCACATCCCCCTCACCTCCTGCACCCCTCACAGAAACAGATCCCGACGCCGCCACAGACCCGGACGCCGTCATGAGCTGCGGCGTCAGCTCCGCATACATACCCGGTCGTGCCATTTTGGCATGCTGCTTCTCAATCTCGCGGCGGATCAGCTCGATGCACCAGATGCTCGTGCCGCGTAGCTCGGTTTCCCATCTGTGTCCACTTGGCAGTAGTTTGCGCTTGCGGATGTGCGTTTCTAGCGGTGGGGAATAGAGCAGGCAGCCGAGGGTGTGTAGCATTTGGGGGATTCGGTAATCTTGAACAATAGCATTACCATAAGTATGAAAATTATGAGGAAAGTGGAGATGCAAAACAGGAAAGATATATGTATATATATATAAGCATACCTGCGAACATTGTGAGTTTATCAATATCATGGAATTTCCCGTAGGATTTGCCACGGAAACAGGCCCAGAGGTCTGCGACCAGGATCTGGGCGCGCTTGTAGAAGCGCACTTCCTTCCCCTCGAACCGCGTCCTGTCTCTGAAGCAGGGGAAGTTATCTGCAATCAGATTTACGAGTACTGCGGCAGAGCCGTTGGCTTCTTCAATGCAGGATGTGAAGCTACAGCGGTATTTCTGGGGGGCGGAATTAGGCTGATATCCCAAATAAGAAAAGGGCAAATAATTGCGCAGGTATGAATACTATGAACACTCACATCGTAGAGAATTTTCCCGGCCTCACGAAGACAATCTAGCCGTTCTTGGAACATGGGGATTTCCTCATCCGTTGCAGACCGGAAGACATGGCGCAAAACCTCCTCTGTGCATTCGTCTTCATTCTGCCAGAAATCCGAGCTCGTGATTGGGATCTCTGATAGTCTCAGCTACATGTCCTGGATACGCATATCAAAATTGTTACAGCAGAAACAAGGAGGGATGAAAAGTTGCCCATACCTTCATCGAGAGCTCTCTGCAACGCAGCCACCAGACTCCAATATCCTTTCCACCTATTCCCTCGATACTCGATGGCAAACTGCTTCGCCTCATCCGCCTCATCCGACCAGAAGCTAAAATTCAACAAATCCATCGTGAAGATAAAATCAACCGTGTTTGCATCCTTGGCCTGCGGGTGCAGTTCATGCTCTGCCCACTTCTTCGTAGAATACCTCTTCTTCTGCATCAGCTGCCAGATGGTCTCTGCTGCGGCCTTGGTTTTGAAAGGGTCTAAGGCCACATCGACGGAGTTGTCGAAGACATGTTGGGCGCCTGCAAGGACTTTTGTATCGAAGGAAGGCCCTGATTTTGCTTGGCGGCCGAGTCCGAGGGACTGACGGAGCAACTCCAGCAGCTCGGGGTCTGCTTCGTCGTCCGACATGCTGCTGATTTCTTGTGGTTTCTTTTATGTCTACCGGGCCACCTTTGTCGGTAATCCTAGGTACTAGTATTTTCCACAATGGCAGGGAAATCGGAAAACAAAACAAATCTGGAAAACGAAATTTCTGTCTACGTTTTTGATGTCATCAGGAATATTGTCTGATAAATGTAGTGTTCCTGTATGTGGTTTTCCCTAGGATAGACCGCCGTTTCAGTGAGGGGCATTTATGTAATACTGCACTGCTGAAGCACAGAAGAAGGGAAAGAATTGGTCTCACGAACTTGAAAAACCATAAAAAAGTACAGGTGTGTGAATTGATAAATGCAGCGGTTCTCGAACCTGGTACAATGTTATCAATGCCGATATCAAATTGAGAATGTAGAAAGCTCGTGAACCCACATAGACATCCACGGTGAAAATGAAAAAAAACATGCCTTGTAATTGGATATTACATAAGGGACACCAGAGTAGCCACCATACTGTAAATAGTTAGTCCGATGTAGTGTGGATCAAGTACCTCTTGTGGATCTCGTTCTGTTTGTTCTTTTCAAACATTTGCTTCCTGGAGAAATTGAGCATCGTGGAGCGCGAATCAAAACTCCCGCGACTGATTCTCCTCTCGTATGTTCTTGAAAGTTTGCTGATGTTAGGTGCCTCCTGAACGTCCGACTCTATTCCTGCAGCATGCTGACTCTGTAGCGAGCGGTCGAACACAGCATCCGTATTCACAACGGCAAACTGACCGTGCTTGTGCGAATGAGAAATGTTTCTTAGCTTAGTGGGAAATACCTTCATGTTGATAGGAGCTTGCTGTGGTAGAGCTTACTACGAACAAGTTGGCGCCATGGACATATCCTATTGAAATTCAACATCAGGCGGGTCCTTATATGAGCGTGAATGTGTTTAGTTCCCGACGCTTGGAACACCAATGAGTGTCCAAGAAGTCGACGACGAGATTACACTTATGTACATTGTGAACGACTTATCAACTACGATCCCTCAATGACTGAGAAGTGGACAAATCATCTCAATAACTCCTGCTCGTATTGGAAATCGTAACCCACTCATCTTCCGCTGGATTTAATCCTTCGGGCGGCTGGCACTATACAGCTCATCTTCCGGATAACAATAACTCGCTGTGCCCTAGGAATACTGATAACCATTGTCATTTCTAGTCTTAGAAAACCCGGAGATACAAAATGACGTTCGATCCACACATTGATGCCTCAAATGAAGCAGAAGAATCCTCTCATGAGACAGAAACACTTATATCCTATAATGACCAAACGCCGGATGAGGTACCAGTGAAATTTATACGAGGAAATAATATATTATTACTTTAAGTAGATCGTACGATCCTGGTGAATTTATGGTACTGACCAACTGCCACATTATGTTGACGATTCTAGTAGCTTTTTGTCCTTTTAAATCCTGTCGTCATGTAGTAAAGAATTAGAGAGTATGAGAATTGCTTCAGCAAAGAAGAAATAAAAGGAAACAAAGAATGAAGACATTAAAAGAGGAGATATTTTGACATTGATACCCACGTTGTAGGCTGCATGATGCATCAGGTGAATTGGAGATGGGATCCAATAACAGGGATAAAAGCGATCTCAAAGAGGGACCGCAGAGAAATGTGTTGAAGTGAATGGATATATCCCTGCTGTGTTCTAAATATATTATATGTTCTGTTGTAACTGGGTTTCATGTGTTTGGTTCTGATGTCACCTCCCGCCGCTCGTATCAAACTCTGCCAAGGCTAGCTTTATCCTTCACGAAGTCTCATTTCGACTTCTGAACAAACCGGTTTGAATCTGACCTGCCAACCACTCCAAATCTCCTATCGGCCGTCATTTTGGCGTTTGATTCCTATAGAGCATCCATAACTATCATTTCCCATCACGCCGTCTCCCAGATCGCATGGAAGTTCTTCCACTCCAAGCATGGATAAGCTCCAAAGGCAGCCGCTGGGTTCTCTGTTGACCAAGATTAGAAAGGTTTGTTAACAGATAACAGCCGTGGAATAGGTTCATTCGGACTGACTTTTATCTATTCTACCTAGTCCCGCGTGTTTTTAGTTGGTGCTGGCGGCATTGGTTGTGAGCTGCTGAAAAACCTAGTCCTTACTGGTTTCGGAGAAATCCACATCATAGACCTCGACACAATAGATCTCAGCAATCTGAACAGACAGTTCCTCTTCAGACAAGAGCACATAAAAAAGCCAAAGGCATTAGTATGTATTGTTCATCTTAGCGTGCTTGCATCATAGCTAACCTTATCCTTTCTCGCTATCCAGGTCGCAAAAGAAGTCGCTAGAAAGTTCCGGCGAGACGTATCCCTCCACGCGTATCATGCCGATATCAAAGATCCACAATTCAATGTTGAATTCTTTGAGTCGTTCGATATCGTGTTCAATGCATTGGACAATCTAGATGCGCGCAGACACGTCAATCGCATGTGCCTAACGGCAGACGTTCCTCTGATTGAGAGCGGCACCACAGGGTTTAACGGTCAGGTACAGGTCATAAAAAAGGTAGGAATGCGGTGATTTCTTATCGTGGGCGTCATGGCTTACACTTGGTAGGGGCGTACTGAGTGTTATGACTGCAATGCGAAACAAGTGCCCAAGTCATTCCCAGTATGCACGATACGGAGTACTCCCAGCCAATCCATACATTGCATAGTTTGGGCAAAGAGCTATCTACTACCGTGAGCCTCTTTTTATTTTGATGGTAGCTATTTTGAACCAAGCTAACAACAAGTTCCTAGAGAGCTGTTTGGGGAAAGCGAGAGCGATCCAGGGGAGTTCGACCATTCTGAGGACGCCGAAAATGGTATACCCGTTCTTGGAACACCTATAATTCATTCTTCCAGAACACTGACGTATTTCATTTTCAGCGGAGGAGATTCAAAATTTGCAAAGAGAGGCTCAAGCGTTGCTATCCATTCGCCAATCAATGGGATCTGATGGATTTGGCGAAAAAGTGTTCACAAAAGTCTTCAATGAGGATGTAGACCGCCTACGGAAGATGGAGGACATGTGGAAAACTAGGAAACCGCCCCAGCCTCTATCATTCGATCCCCTTCAGCAAGAAGCGACCGCAGTGGACTCAACTATATCTTCGGATGACCAGAAGATTTGGAGCCTGGTAGAAAATTTCGCAGTCTTCAAAGACAGGTACTGTTATCTCTTTCAGTGCTTACAGTTATTTTTAAGAGCGAGAAACTAACATTATCTAGCCTTGGTCGTCTTTCAAGGAGGCTGCAGGAGCTCGAAGCTGCAGTTACAGATGGATATAAACCTGTGATAGCTTTCGATAAGGATGATGTGGACACACTTGATTTCGTCACGGCAAGCGCAAATCTCCGATCTTACATATTTGGAATCGAAATGAAATCAAAATTTGAGATAAAACGTGAGTACTGAAACAAGCGTCTCGTTAACTTGGGCACCAATGTGCTAAACTCCGCGAGCAGAGATGGCTGGGAACATCATACCAGCAATTGCCACGACAAATGCCATGACGGCAGCAATATGTGTTTTGCAGGCGTTTAAGGTACTGAAGGACGAATATGGCAAAGCAAAAATGGTCAGAGATCCCTTTCGTACATCTCAAACGATTGCTTACGGCGTAATAGGTCTTCCTCGAGCGATCAGGCGTCCGTGCTATAAATACTGCAAATCTGAGCTCCCCTAATCCTCAGTGTCCAGTCTGCAGCGTAGCGCAAGGAAGGGTTTCCATTGACCTCGAAAGAGCTACACTAGACGATTTAGTCCAGGACGTTCTTCGTGGGCAGCTTGGGTATGGCGAAGAGCTCTCAATCAATAACCAGATGGGAACCATCTACGATCCAGATCTTGATGACAACCTGCCGAAGAAACTTAAAGATTTAGGAGTCTCCAATGACAGTTTCCTCACTGTTGTTGATGAGGAGGATGAGAATACCCGAGTGAACCTGGATTTGCTTGTTTCTGAGAGGTAAGAATATCTATCATTACTTAAGTCCTTGTTCTACTGTCTGCGACAAATCTAATTGTTATTTAGACCGTCCACTGACCCAACCACACAACCCATTTCCTTACCATCCAAACCCGACATTCCCAGAAAACTACAGCTTGATATGGATTTAAATACGAATGGCGCCACTTCTACTACTAACGGAAATGGCACGGGAAAACGGAAGCGCGATGCAGACGAAAATCCAGACGATAAAGAAGATAAACCGACAAAGCGCCTTGCAACAATGTCCGTGGCGGATGGTGACGGTGATCTCGCTGAAAAACCTATCATCCTAGAAGATGATTCTGGAACCATTCTGATCGATGAGGACTGAAAATTCAGCCAGTCTTTATGTATTATACAAAAGAAATAAGTTAAACAAGCGCCATCATATCCAGCGACGCGTTGCATTGCATTCGATCGCAAATAAGACATATGAAGGCATCTTCCTCACTCGCCTTTATCCATTCAAATATCATGGAACAGGTGCCATTTCCGTCTTTTCAGCAACGGAAAGAAAAAGGGAAAAGATGGAAACAAAGGCTGCATCAGAGCGAAGGATTTATTGTTCCCCCTTCCTCTTTTCTTATGCCCCTCTTTTTCTTCTTTGTTTCCCTTTGCTTTCTTTTCCTTTTCTTGCTGTGATTTTACGTTTATTTTTGTAATCTTGATCTTCTCGGGGCATATGGCTGGTTAGGGCTTTGGGTATGGATTGGCGGATTTTCATTTTTTAATATTTCCTTGCCTCACCTCTGCACTTTACAAGTTTTCGTTGCATTTCTGCGGGTGAATTAGAGTCGAAAGGAGATTAGAGAGCTAGTTTTGTGCTCAGTGGTTACATGCTATGTTGCTCACGCAGAACGAAGACCAGGCCTAAGATGACTTTACTGCGCAGGGAGATAGACAGTTTTTCAGTAGATCATTGGCCACTGCCTCTGCTTGGGCAGTTGTACTTCTAGCAACGCTTGGATGAAGAAATACATCCCGTTTGACCAAAATCATAAGGACCAGGAACTTGTGAATCCCATTCAACCGCAATCCCTTGCTCCTCTCCATTGATTATACGACTTTTACTTTTCACACCGCACTCAGCCCCCCATCCAGATTCAACACACAGTTATTTGCATATTGATTCGTCACGAGGAAAACCGCCGCATCGGCAACTTCTTCCACCCTGCCAAAACGCTGCAGCGGAATCGCCTGCAGAGCCTGTTCACTCACTGTCGCTTTTAGATCTTGAGTTAAATTCACTAGCGTTAGCCATGTCCTACACTAAGCAAATGACGAAGGAGAAGAGAAGTCAATCATACCATCAACCATCTTCGTCTCGATATACCCGGGCACAATAACATTGGCTCGCAACCTTGCCCATTGCCGTGCGCCAGCGCTCTCCGCTACAATTGCGCGCGTCAGCGCCACCACGCCTGCCTTCGTGGAAGCGTAAGTCGCGGCTCCAACGCCGCCTTTCGTCGCGTGGAGGGATGATATGTTAATTATGCATTTTGTGAAGGAAGTATTATCACCATTGGCATTTGTGAACTTTTGGCGGGAATGGGACCGCATTGCGCGTCGCGCCATGGTACGGCAGGCGAAGATTGTACCTTGAAGGTTTGTGTGGATCATGGCAGTGATGTCCTCGTCCTTGGCTAGGGGGAGGAGAGAGGTATAGGAGATTCCAGCGGCGTTAATGAGGATATCGACCGTGTCCTGTAGAGTGATTTTATGTTTGTATTTGGGGCTATATATAGAAAAGGGAGATTTTCTTTTCTTTTCTTTTCTTTTTTGCTTATGGAACGAAGAAATGTATAATATATACCATTAGTTTTTTAATCTCATCACCCCAGAATGCCGGGTTCCCAACATCCCCAACGGCAAGTGTGAAGTGTTGACCGACGTGAGATATTTCACAGTCCTTCGCAGCCGCAATGCCGACTTCGCGCGGTTGATCGTGTATCACGTTATCATATTCTATACTTTGGACGGGCTGGGTCGCCCTTTCTGCTGTGTCGTGAATATCCCAACTGTCGTTTTGCGGGAGGTTGTCGTTGGATGCTAATGGGAAGTCTCCTTCTAACTCCCTAACAGCGTCCCTTAGTCTTTTCTTGCTCCTCCCGACAAGAATCACCTTTTCTGCTCCCTCGCGTAAAAATCGTTCTGCAATTGCAAAGCCAATGCCGGATGAGCCGCCTGTAACCATACAGGTTAACCCGTTGAGTGGCGGTTGATAAGGAAGCTGCTTCGAGATCCGGTGGGACAAGTTTGAAACACTGACCCTGTCACGACTCGTCGAGAAGCTTCTGGAGAGCTGTGGCTGTCGTAAGAGACAATATGTTGGACCAACTAACCACCCCCGAGCGATTGCATGTCGCCTTTGAGTATGTAACGAACATGTCACGGCCCGGGTCTGAGGATCTAGGAAGCCGTTAGATACCACCCCGCATGGCTGGAGCCGTGAAGGCAATCGAGAGATCCCCGGGAGCATTGTGATAGGTTACTCAACAATAATATATTATTGGAGCGTTAGATAATAGTCCCTAGGTGTTCGAGTTAGTTAATCGTGAAATTCAAGGGATACTGGTGTGAGCCGCCTGCCACTTGCCGGTCCATTCGAATATATATATATATATATAAACTTGAGTCAATGTAAGTATAGTTTATCTTTCCACTTGATTGATTGTCCTAGATTGGGGTTGCTTCGTTAAGCTTTCGATGCTCACAAGATAGTAGGAATTTAGGTGCGTCCGAGCACAAAACGTCGATTTCCACAACCATCCGTGGGTGTAAATTGGGCAGCTAGATAAAATTATAATAAAACTACTAGAATAACAACAAATCGACCTGCTTTTGAATATCGGGGTTGAAAACAAGGAAAAAAGAAAAAAGAAAAAAAATACCAACTTCAAAAAGAATGGACAATCAGGGAATCGAACCCTGGACCACCCCCATCGCTCCTTCCCCATTCGGAATCAGGAAGAGGATGCTAAGGGGGTATTATACCACTAAACCAATTGCCCTGTTCTTGTTGCAAGAGAGCAACTGGCACCGGAAGATATCCATATCATTAGCCGCTTAAAGATAAGCTTAAAATGGAGCCTCAAGATCGATCAATACGCCTGCATATCTATTTTATAGTAACTAACCATCTAACCAGCACCAGCACCAAGATGGATCTACCACTGTTTTAGGCGTTTCATCTCAGTTGTTGCTACCTATATAATCCCTCGCATACTTCCACGGCCATGTCCGCCAAACAGACCCCATCGGAGTACGTCACTCTTGCTTCCAAAGATGGCTTCGAATTCATAATCCCCCGGACCGCCGCCTGCGTGTCTGGCACCATACGGCGAATGCTAGATCCAGCAAGTGAGATATCATTTCACCCATGCCGCCCTGTACCAATTCATGCCTTCATACCTAACCTTGTTTAACTAGGCAACTTTTCTGAAGCCGCCACTGGCCGCTGTGTTTTCGAGAACATGAAGTTTGTGGTTTCCCTCTTCTTGCCCATGTTGAAACCGGCCTTAGCGCGTTTTTAGAGAGCCAAGAGGCAAAAAGCATCACGCTGACAGACAGCTTCCAGTGGAGTCGTGCTTGAGAAAGTGTGTGAATATCTCCTTTACAATGAACGGAATAAGGGCCAGAGCAACGTACCAGACATGGAGTTCCCACTCGAGCTGTGTCTGGAATTATTAATTGCAGCCGATTATTTGGACAGTAGGTTCCTGTTTCCCGCTTATATTGATAGATGATAGGTGGGGTGGCTAACGGTTGGATTTAGCATGAGGTGAAGCGCAGTATATGTGAATATTCGTCATTTTCGTGGAAAAACGGGAAGCCGGCGCCGGCGTTCTCAGGCGTTCTCATACAGAGGATAGTTATAAAAGCCCAGCTTAAGTACAATAAAATGGGGTGTTAGAAGATTCACGGGGTACAAATATAAAATGGGAATTGGCTTCGCATCGAGTGTTCTTGACGCTATCAATCGCGTATTATCCCATCAACGCATCACGTTCCTTCTGGCCAAATCCACGTACAATTTGCGACGCTTTGCCCCGCGTCAGTGTTTCCTGCGTGCCCATAGATTGAAACGTCTAATATTGCAATGGGAAGATTGACCTGGTTTATCTCCAAGCCGATTTGGTCTGTCTTACTCCGTCAGGTAAAGGCAAAACATATGCATCGTTCAGACCAAGTCAAACTGCCGGCTCACATAGCTAGATATCCTGCAGCAAAAAGGGAATCGCTTGGTGGTACGTTTGGGGGGCTTTCGAGATCATATATGATTTTTCTCATTTGCTACGTTTCCGGCGGCTCTCTGCAGCCCCACAAAGACTTTGTATCTATGTTACATTCCTTGCCATATCGATGAGATTACATATCCTCAAATCTCTGACCTCTTGCTTTCTCCAGTCATAATGATTTAAAAGAAGAAGAGGGGAAAAAAAAGCCAACCAAAAACACCTCCTTGATCACAACTTTTCTATCTCCTACGCTCACGGCCACCACCAGCACGGCCATTTTGCCCTCCCCTCCCTCCTCGCCCTCGCCCTCCCCCCTTATTCCCACTGGGCGCACCCTTCTCGTAAACCCGCACCCCAACAAAACCGGCATCCGCCACCCTCAAAAAACTCACAACCCCCTGGTCCACCACCGCCAAGATTACATTCCGCCACCCATGCCGTAGCCGCATATACGTCAGCCGTTCCATCTTCTCGCCGTGCGGCGGGTCGAGCGGCGTGCTTTCCAACAGTGCTGATAACTCGTGGAGAGTGGGAAGGGTAGGGTTGCGGCGGGAGTCGATGACGGCGAGGCGGAAGTCAGGGTTTCCTGGAGTAGATTTGCGGAAGGGGGTAGAGGGTTTGTAGACGTAGTAAGCCAGGCGGTAGGGAGGTGTAGTGTGTTTGGGCGAAGTGGGTTCGGGTTGCTCTGGGTTATGGGCTGTGATTATAGAGAGGGCGCGGTAGATATCATCTGTAAAGGGGGAAGGAAATATGTGGTCAGGGCTGATGATTTTTGGTGGATTTCTAGGACTAGGATGTGGTTTTGGGTTTATGACGCACGATAGTTACGATATATACCTAGCCCGATGACGGGCCCGTGTGCTAAGCGTCGTGCAGGCCCGGTTTCAAATAGTGAGTTGAAAAATCGCGTCAGCAAGTTGATTAACCCCCCGCGGCTCTGCTCCATATGTGCACGTATCCCAGCTCCAGTCGTTGCAACGGCCGCATCAGTTGCAACCTGATTAACCGCCCTGTTGTCATCATTGCCGTCACAGTCATCCCAACTTGGAGCACGAATCACTGCATAACCACCCCTCCTCAGGTTCGCGTAGACAATATACCGTTGCAATGTTAATCCCCCACGTCCGAGGAAGCATGCGTATGCTACTTGTAAACTCATTGGGACTCCTCCGTCCGCATCCTCCACATTTTCTCCATGTTCCGTGACGGCGCCTTTGGCTCCATGTCCTCCCGCCCGCGCAGGCCACCGGACATCCAAGCTGCCCCTTTCCAGTAGGTATAGAGCTTCTTCAGGTAGCAGCCACATGCGATTCCACTGATCGGATCGACCGACGGTCCTAAAATGCTGGCCCCGCGGACTGGGGACACAGACACAGGTGCCCCTACCGACTCCATGAGGTCGAGGGTTTTTCTTTTTCGGAGGCACTATCTGTTCTTCATATCTGTCCTCCACTTTGCAAATTTCCTCCTGTTTCCTTTCCTCGTTAACTGCTACTTGGCCACCACTTTCCGTATCCGCGCTGTCGGATCCTTCAGCGTGCGCCGGCCTTAACAGCCCCGTCGGACAGTAGATGCCCACCACACGCGTTTTCGGGTTGTGTAGCCTTGGGTATGCGAGCGCATTGTGCATAGCATCGCGCGACGCGACGAGGACATCGGTCTGGCGTAGTGTCGGGTTTGGTTCGAAGTCCTTTTCCCCCCGGCGTGGGAGGGAGGCTGGTTGGTTCGGGTCAGGGAGGCTACGGTCATGATGGGTCAGCCAGGAGGGAAATCGAGCTTGTTTATTTAAAGCTGGAGGTCGTAGTGCCGTGTTACATACAAGGACAGAGAATTCAGGAAGCGGAAGTCTTGAGTTTCGTCGGATAGGTCTTGGTCTATGTGGGCGGATTGGTCGTGGGAGGAGGGAGGTTGGATGAGGGCATCTTCGTCAGCGTCGGCCATGGTGCTCTAGCACTATGGAGTGGATAGATCCTTCGCAGAGGTGTTTAGCAGACAAAGGTTGATGTAGCTTCGTTTTTGATTCAGCCATCTGTAATTGGGGTTGCGATTGGAAAGAAGAGCTGGTGTCTCTGTAAGACAGTGAGCTCAAAAAAATCATTTCGATTACGGTGAAGTTACGTGACGCCCTTATCGATAACGGAAACAACCATACACTACTATAACAATACGAACGACATTTCGCTCCTATTAGAGATTGCAAATGTCCCACTTTCTTTTAGAGAAGATAATGTGAGACAAATAACGAATTAATTTATCCCATGAATTTAACGTTTCCTCCTTAATACCATCCTTACCTCTCTGAACCTGCATCTCTCCAGCTCCCCGCCACCCCACCAACAAAGCCGTATTGACTGGACACGAGCATCTCCCATTTCTTTCATATATCAGATGCCCCCTCTTCCACTAGCTGTTTCTCCCAGCGCGACATCGCCTGATCTAATCGCCCAAGTAAGCCTCTGGTGAACTCACAATCAGATAACCCTTCCTCCCTTTTTTCCCAATCCATCCCTGTTCGACTCGCTTGGCGCCGTATATCTTAATTATTGCGCCCCTTTCCTAGATATCCACAAATCTGTCCAACACCCTTTCGACCTTCGGGCGTGGCTCTGTTCAGTATGCTGCCGTGCTGGATATGTTGAGAGGGGCTATTCAGGAGCTAGAGATGGAGGGGGGAGGGGAAGAGACGCAGGATGTTACCGCTATAAATGGTGGTGGTGGTGAAGAAACAGCAATAGTGAATGTTATTGAGGACCTGAGGAAGCTATTGGAAAGGGGCTTGAAGGTTTAATATCTGAATGTTTTATGAAGAACGATGATGAATGATGATGACATCTTGGCTTTTCTTTTTTCGTTTTTTACCCCCCTACTTTTATTGTTTTCACGTATTTCAGGAGAAATGCAAAGTAAAAGAAAATGATGTATGACCAAAAAAATGAAAAGTGTGATATATATATAACAGTAAAGACTGAAAACATAAAAAATAATTTTATTGAGCTCGCTTCTCATGTTCTCTCTTGTCCGTCCAGCTTCTACAGCTAACTCCTTTGAAAATAGTCAAAACGTTGACATAGATACAGACATACGCGCGGGCATGGCGTTCACATCCAGATCCATTTCTTTATAATATGAAATAAGAGTACATAAACCAAGAGGCGAGAAAAGTTCCCAAGATGATATACGGAAATGTGGAGTAGGTAAATAGAGGTTAAAGCGTTAAGGTCACAACTTGTAGCATTGGGAAGGGGGTGAGAAAATGTTTGAATGTAGTTGAAGAGAAAAAAATGAAAAGTGAAAAAAAAAAAAAAAAATCAATGAAGGTCTTCCACCAGGGTGTGGGATTGAAACGAAAAAAAATGGATATACTGGAATAGGGTAGAACATGGGAGAAACATCAAAAAATAAAAAAATAAAATAAAAGAGGTTAGGAAAATTCAGAACCAATATTCAAGCGCCTGGACCCCGCTCCCATTTCATATTCCATCCCATCACACAGTAAAGCAGGAGGATGAAGAAAAACATGACAAAAGAAAAGAAACCACCGAATAGCTAACAGATGCCAATCGCAAAAGACCCGAATAGAGCATGTCCATACAAGAACTCCAACACACTCCAATGCCAGTACCGAAAAAAATAAAATAAAATAAAGAAGCAAAACAAACAGTGGGAAATATGTCCAAATAATGTTTCCCTCCTAGTTTCCCAGCCAGGTCCCCGTGACTAAATACTATGAGATCCTGGCATAACTGAGTTTTGTTCGAAGGTGACCGATTGGAAGGTCTTTCTCCAGATCAACGAATCCCGAGAGATACGGAGGGGGAAGGTGGGAAATGTAGGAATTGAAACATGCAAAGGGGATGGATCCACGGACAAGTTCATGATCGTAAGTATATAGATAGATGAGTTTGAATAGAGGTGTAAAAAGGGATGTCCCATATCTTCCGAATGGTTGGAGACAGGCATTCGTCTTCGTTTTGAATGTCATGGCAAATTGATATTCCCGCCGTTCTGTTATTCGCTGGCTGCGCTGTAATGTTACTTTTCTAAGACATTATTTTACTCTTTCGGAATATCTGAAATTTGTTCGTTTGCGAGACGTGCATGAGTGGAAGGGATAGACGATATAATCCCGCTGACAAGATGAAAAAAGTAAAAGCCAGATGGACGATCGATCTGGGCCAAGAATAATGGCCATTTATATATAAATAGATGAAATCTCGCCTCGGGGGTGGAGACAAATCGAGATGCTGGTCATTCGATCACTGGCTTTTTCACATTGCCAACTATGGCCACACCTAGGTATTTTAGAGCTTGAGGATCATGGACTCGGATTATCGTAGGCAGTGGTAGCATTGGATTGTCCGGGTTAATGTTGCCGGCGTTCTCAGCAGCTATCCGGACGGCATCCATTTCTTGTATGCATCCTGCGTGGTCGAATGGACATACCACTATGGGCTGTCGCAGAACGATATCTCTGGCTGACGTTAGATGTGCCTGAATCGGAAAATGTTAGTGGAGATCAGTAAATTAAAGGTTTTGATAATCAAATTAGCTATATATCCCGTCGCACCTTAACAGTTAAGTAGTATTCGATTTTATATAGTGACGCGGTAGTAGTGAAGCCGTTGACAGCGTACATCGGGAACGCCGGCTTCCCTCGCGGTAGGATTCCTTCTGAATCTCTTAGATCTCTTGAGGGAAATACAAGACCTAAATTGGTGATATATCCCGCTTCGGGTAACTTCATATTAACGCTCTCTGCTCGCTTTGTGAGGGTTTTAGTTTTGCGTTGCGGTTCGTCACCCTCATGGTTATAGATGATCTCTTCATCGATAGAAATGGTGATTTTTTGTATCGTCACTCGTCGAGCCTTGTTCATCCAATCCGGGTTTGGAGAGAGCTTGACACACACACTGATTGGATCCAGGGGCCCAAATGACCAGCGCGGAATCGATATCCCTAGAGTTACCAAATGGTCTGAGACCTTTTCCGATGATTCGGGCCGGTTGAACATGCCAAAGCTCGAGATGGTATCGTATCTCGAGATTGGGACAGGAAATGCATATTTTTTTTGCTCCGCCGGACCTTGCTGCACCATTACCACCAGCTCATAATATGTCTCTGCCGTTCTACTGGGTAACTGGAGGCTTGCTGGAGGCAGCCGCCGAGACGACTCTTGCCCAGGTTTCCCAAAGGGAATGAATAACACGAAAGGGAGGTCCATGGCAATTATCTCTTCATGGTCGCGGCCCATTGCACATCTAAAAAGCAGCATCTCCTTTCCCACAATATCCGTAATTTCCTTTCGGGGCGCAGCTAGATGTCTCTTCGTTACCGAATCTGCGGAAGGGTGTATCGTTTCTCGTCGTTGGAGGCATATTGTAACCATGGAGATGTTGACTGGTGCTGAAATACCTGCGCTAGGGCGAATCTCGACCTTACCTTCGATGCGCGGCTGTACAATTTTTTTTTTTTTAAAAAAAAAGAAAAGGTTAGCAACAAGGACAAAACTCGGGTCACAAATGTTTATTCACCGGCCAGCGCCCGCGAACTTGAACTCCGACAGGACTCATGGCGATTTAAACGGAGAGAGGGAGGGGGGAATCACCAGAGTCGCAGATATGCCAGGGTATCCAACGAGAAAATGACCGTTGGGGGGCCCTGACACGCGCACGAATGCGGCCATCTTTCTCCGGAGCTTCCTCCTAATTGACCATTAGACGTGGCTGGGGGAGCCTGGTGCGATTTAGGAGTGTTTTGTGCTGATGATAGCTGTCGATAGCGTTGACTATGGCGGGAAGGTTGGAGTTGGTGCATGAAGGACCTAGAATAAAATAAAGGCCTTGGTTTCCTGTCTCCCTGCCCGCCCTGTTTGGGTTTGGGCGGGTGTTCTGGCGCCTGACGGCAGAAAGTGGGTATGAATGACGAATCGCTGGGCGGGCGCTTAAGAGTGAGGGAATGGATGGAGCGTAAGTTCAGCCCTCAGCCAACAGGAGATTATATGGAAGAGACACGAAAAATCTAAAGAAGTTGTCAAGGACTCCAAGGCTCAAAAGGAGTTGATTGTGCAATCTGTTCTGACTGGTGCGAAAGACGTCTGGGTAGTCGGTGGTGAGCAGTGTGCTTGGGCTGAGATGGGCAAGCCTAGATGAGTAAACACGCCTATTGGTGGCTGGGCGGATAAGCTTGCCAGGGATTGGCCGAGGTTAGGGTCTGGCTGGACAGGCCCCTGGAGGAGGGGAGAGGAGGGTGGGCGCAGCGATTGATGTTTTGTTTCCTCCGCTGCGGAAGAGGCTGTCAACCAGCTGGGTGAAACAGGAATAGGGGAGGAGGTCGCCTAGGAGACTGGGAGGATTTGGAGTCGACGGAGTGGCGGAATGATGAACACGAGGTTGAAGAACGGGCTAGAGGTGGGTGGCTTCAACGGCTGCCGCTTTGTTCGAATAATTCTTGCAGGAGGCGGCTCTGATGATCGCCTTGCATTGCCCACAACCACGGGGCAAAGACAAAGGACATCGGACTTTTTGTTCCCTTCCGTGATGTTGCTGATGCAGTGTTGACGTTGTTGGTGATGGTTTTCCCTGTGGGGAAAGGGAGATTTCCTTGTATGATACCGTATGTACGGTACGCCAGCGGCGAGGAGGGCGGGACCCATGTATGTACCCGGTACAAGCGCCCTGACCCTTTGGGGTCTGCTTTTGTGGTGGGGTTTGAGCCTCATTCTGGTTCCAAATACTACTACGTATTGCCAATACCGCCCATGCTCGCAAATTAGATCACAGACAAATCCTGTGCATTCAATTCGGCTTCATCCTCTTGAAATAATGAACTGGGAATTTCGCCCATGCCCGATGTTGCACGCTCCAATACCCTTGAAATAGTTCATGCCCGTGACAGAGCGCCTACTTACTGCCTGTCATCTAAAAAATGAAGTAAGCTTCACAAAACCAAAGAATGAGCAACGCTGGGTACTAAGTACCACTACCAGTAGTCAAGGGAGTGAAGAATATAGATCCCAGCGTGTGATATGTACAGTACGATACACAGTACATGCACAAGTTATTGATGCGGAACATTGCGAGCTATCCATCTACCATCTTGATCTCGGATTCCACGATCTTAGCCTTGCTGTGGGATTTGATTTGGTTTTGCGAGGTTGCGGCTCAACTTCTGCAAACTTACTGACTATTTAGCTGGCGATAGCCCAATGCTCGGTTTCGTATATTTGGAGAAGGATGCAAACAGTCGATGCGGTACGATGCGTACGGGCTGGCACTGGATATATATACATATATTTATATCTAAGTATGCATGTATAGATGTATGGAAACAGCGACTAAGAAACAATATTGCCGCGCAATTGAAATCGAAGATGACCACTTAGACGAGAGTATCGGCGCCGGAGACGATAGAGGAAGCTGTACAGCAAGAACCTCCGACTGCTACTCTTTGAAGGAAGACGAGCAGTGGTAGATAAAGTTGATATCGATGGGGTGTGTTCGAGTTATCAAATCAGATAAGATTTGATGTAACTAACGTATCATGTGATATCGAATTGTCGGCGCAAACAACTTGAAACCAGAGAACATCGAGCAATACATATTGCTAAATCCATTATCAGCTTGATTGAGTGCGATCTGCCGTTTATTAGTAAGGGGCGGTTTCCAGTATGTCTGTGACGGTAAGCTATCGGCTATCCTTCGTCGCTTCCCCCCAAACAGAGCTGATACATTCCCTGCCAACCCAGCTCCATACCACCCATGGCGATCTCAAAGTAGAAGTGTTCCATGAAGCAACACCAAAGACTGCAGAGGTACATAAACTCTACGAAATCTAAACGAGCCTTTAACATCACCCTCCCTTCACCGCCTCTACTGACAAGAAAAAATATAAATATATATACACGGATGGACCACAGAACTTCCTCGCTCTGTGCGCCTCAGGCGCCTACAACAACACCCCCTTCCACCGCTTGATCCCCTCCTTCATGATCCAAGGCGGCGATATCTCGCTCTCTAAGAGCAGAAACCCTTCCGCCCTTCCCTTCGACATCCCCAAAGGCGGCACATCCATCTACCACCCGACCCCGCTCGCCCATGAAATCCGCCTCCCGACCATCCGCCACAACACCCGCGGCATCCTCAGCATGGCGAGCAAGTCGGTGAAATCGCAATCCGCGTCTGGCGCCACGGAGACCACGGAGGTTAATGGGAGCCAGTTTTTCATCACGTTTGCGCCTGCGCCGCATTTGGATGGGAAGAGTACGGTTTTCGGCAAGGTGTTGGCCGCGGGTGAGGGGGAACCGGGCGGTGCGGTGCTGGAGAGGCTGGAGAAGGCGAAGGTGAAGATTGATAAGAAAGGGAGGGTTGTGCAGCCGTCGTCGATGGGAGAGGAGGAGGTGAAGGAGCAGGCGTGGGAAGCTGTGGGGATTGAGAGGGTGACTATTCACGCGAATCCGTTTGCGGTGTGATGATGAATTGAATCTGGTTTATTTTTGCAACCCTTCTTTGAGGGCGGTGGATTTGATACACTATGCCTGGATCGGAAGTACCACTTCAACTTAAACGTTGCATTCACACGGCGATACATAACCCACGATCGAGACTATCAGCCCTGTTCCCATTCTCAGGAAAATCCCCTCCCTATGAATGAGTACACTAGGGATGAATTTGCCTGATCGAGAGCAGCTGTTTAATTCCTTGTATTAATATACCGAATTTATGACGGCTTGATCTCCTCGGATGAGGAAGGGGACAATGAGGAATGAAACGGCTTACATGGATGGAATGTACGATAAAATTAAGTTCTTTGAGGTTGAGGTGCGAATACATTGCTTCGCGGTAGCAATTCTATTTTACTATTTTATCTATCTAGCATGTGCAGAAATTTATAGCACAATAGCATGGGATACAGAGGGTGGGAAGAAATAAAAGTGAAGGAGATAGGCAGTGACGGCGGTACAGAAATAGCAACGATGGTATTTCTCTTGGTTCATATTTGTCGTCGCCCTGGTAAAACGGCAAAACTGTAACGCCATTCCCAGGTCATACAGCGAACAACGAAAATGAATGCAAAAATCAGTCATAATTTGGCGTCTGCTTCAGCAGGCGGAAGGATTTCAGTTTTGATATTCTCATCATAACCCTCAGTTTTCATATCTCTCAAGCCTAAGTCGTCCTCCTCTTCATCTGTGCGCGTGTAGTCCTCGATCTTAAGTCGCGGATCTGGTTCGGGCGCATACAAATCTTGCACATAACTGTTGGCAAGCGGATCCTCTAATGTAATGCTGAATTTTAGTTCACCCTTGATGGCGGAATTGAGGCGTGCAAAGAACCGATCCCAAATCGCCTTCTCGCTCTCCTGCATGGAGTCACCAGGCGCAAGGTCCTCGTCTCCCGTCTCGAAAATTTGCCCGTGAAGCTGGTCCCGAACCTGGGTGAGAAGACCCTCTACAGTTGTGAATCTCCCTCCAAGCGTGCCTGGCTGCACAGAAAGATCGAGCTCGCTGCTCATGAGCGCACATGTGGCTGACTTCAAAAGGTCGCGGGAGAGGTCCTCAGGCCCTGTTACTTCAAGTGTGATTCTGCGTCCCTGCCCTGGGATAGCGCCACCTGTTTTCACTTCATTGGTGCGGTATCCGCAGTGTTCGCAAACAGTGCTCCAGATAAACACCTCCTGGAAGTGTGGAATATTAACCTTCTGCATGTTGACGACACAGACATTGGTGCAACCGGGGCATTCTGACGGCAGGGAATAAACGTGGCCATCGATGATGTCAAGGTCATCGGGATCTCCTGCTGAAATGGTCATATTTTTTCCTTCGCTCTCTACAGAAAGTCCAAGCTCCTCGTTTTGCTCACGAGTCCTCGGGTAATCATGGCGCTTATATCGTCCTTTTTCATCGTGCGGTGCTGGCGAAATCCATGAGTTTCCAGACGGGTCGTCGAGGGAAATTGTAAACGGGAAGGAAGATCCCTCGATCATCAGCTTCAATTTTTGAATGACACCATCAAGCGCTTTGTGTAGTTCTGGGTCGACATCTTTGCGAGCGGGCTGCTCAGCGTCCAACTGGGAGAAGATTTTGGTCAAAATTCCTTCAATAGTTGTCAACTGCCCAGATTCTTTTGGCATTTCAATGCCCAAAGTTTCAACTCGGAATATTGCCGAATCGCCCTTGACAACTTGACGTTGGAAATCCTGCAAGGTCGTCACCTCAAGCGTATATCTTGTGCCCTGTTCTTGGATCTCGCCAGCCGACTTAATCGAGTTATTCTTGAATTGACAATGGGAGCAGTCGAACGACTCTAAAAGGACGTCTCGGAAAAACGGAATTTTGATCAAAAGAAGCCTAGTAATTCCCTATGATGTGATGATCATTAGACATGTCCGATTCAGACAAATAATGCATAGATGTATCAACACGTAATCGTACATTTTCCTGACAGTTCATGCAAAGACTTTCTAATTGCATCAGTCCAGTCTCATCGTCCAGTTCGATCTTATTGTTGGTATCGCTCTCATCGGCCTGTTTCTGTGCAGATACAGTGTCAGGATCCATGGTTCTTAACTGGGCGTTGAGTTTTGCAGATTTATGCGATGTGTTTAGGGTAGAAGCGAAATCTGCGCTGTGGGTTTCCTTGACATGGGAAGGTCGAGGGGAAATGGCATTCCACACTCTCAAGTCGATGGCTTTTATAATCTTGACTCAATTCTGACTCACGCGGAGACCATCGATAATGACTCGATTGTGGCTTATCCTCCCTGACTCACTAGTCGTGGTAGTTGGCGACTGTTTTAAATATCTAACTATCAAGAAATTTATCTCGGCGGGTGCAATAGGAACTTTCCGAGATAAAAAGGTGATAAAAGTGACCGAGATGACGCTAATCCTCTATTGGAAGAAAACCCCGCGCTAGCTGTTTTAAGTTCGGGTCGGATACATAGTAAATCCGATATCCATCAATGTTTTAAAAAGTCCAGCAGATCAAGCGATGATGTCTGAGACTGCGCATGTTGTTTTTTGCCTGCTGCCAGGGCAGCCATGAGCCCTTGCTGTTTGCGTATTTTGGCTCTCCTTTTGCTGTTGTGATTGTCCGTAGATTTTTGTAACGTAGTGGTGGATGTGGATTCAATGCCCTGTATCGGGGCATCGACTCTAGCTGATTGAATGGACGTTTGAGCTGAGGGTGCAGCTGCTCCCAGGCGAGGTTTCCTGGGATTTAAAGGTTTGATATTACCCTTCGAAGTTAGGATTTTCTGGCGATGGCATCGTAGACACTTATATATAACAATAGGAGAGGGCTCCGTTGACGAGGCTTCCTTTTTGGGGCGTTTCAGCACACCATTGTGGTTTTTGAGAGCTATGGTCTTTGAAGAATCAGCGGTTCTGGCAGTACCGCAGGCGCCACAAAATTCACGGTGCTGGGCAACGGACAACAGCTTCAACTCGTCGCGAAGGAGCTGGTTGTGGACGGACAATAGGTGAGAGGAGGTGGAAGGGCTTTGAGCAGCTAGGTACTGGGCGGAAGATTTCAAAAATTTTAGCTGCGTTGTAGATACTGATGATGGCATATTGAAGTGATTATTGAAGTGAAACACCTCAACTACATTTCTCGAACGCGATATCTGCGGAATCAAACATAGGAGGGATCCAATGAGATTTCAACGAGTAGAAGAAAAGTCGTTGTTTCGTTGTTGTTGAGGCGCCGGAACAGATTACTAATCATCGGGTTTAACTGTTGGCCCTAGGCTGCCTATCACGGACTAGCGCACCGCACATATATGCCTCAGCTGCCTGCATGCTAATACAACCACTTAGACGTCCCACAGGTTATAGCCCGGATTGCTTGTTTTTTTATTAAACCTTCCACTGCCCATCTAACGTCTCGCGAACTGCTACGCTGATCAGCAGAAGGGATCCTGACGAAGGCTAGAAGAGCTTTGATCGCGGGAAAAAGATTAAAATTTGATTGATATAGGGGGGAGAATGCCTCCTAGAACTCGAGCTACCATGGGGATGGATACCCCAGCTAGCAATGATGATATTGAATACGAACCTACCACTACCCCTGGGCCACCGGGCCCAACACCAACAACCGATATCTTGATACAGATGATGATGGGATATTTGAAAAAGCAAGATGAATATTTGAAAAAGCAAGATGAATGTCTGAAGAGAATGAATGAATATTGGGATAGAAGGATGGGAAAATCCTTACAAAAATCAGCTGAAAACTCTGATTCTCTGTCAAGAGATCAAGAGGATATCAAACAAGGGGAGGATGAGATGGAACTGGCTACACAAGCCACTGTCACTGCTCCTCCATCTACTGAAGAACCCTCTGAAGAACCAACCATCAAAGAACCCCCTGCAAGAATCACCAAAGAACCCCCAATGAAAACCATCAAAGAACCTCCTATAAGAACCACCATGATGAGATTGGCCATTAAGAATACCACCACCAATACCACCACCACCACCACTGCCATCAAAGAACTTTTCAAACATCGATACTACTACCACGAACCGAAGCCTCACAGATGCCGAAAGGGTGAAGGATAGAAGGATAAAAGGATATAAAGAATAGCTTGATTTGATTGATTTCATGTATAATAGGATTTCTAGATAGATAGATATCTGTACGGCTGCTAGTCCGAGGGGAGGTGTTGGCCCTAGGCTGCCTATCACGGACTAGCGCACCGCACATATATGCCTCAGCTGCCTGCATGCTAATACAACCACTTAGACGTCCCACATTAACTAACCCAGTTCGTCCGGTTGCAAAGGAGTTGAATTGACACTTACGAGTATTCTTCGCGAAGAGGCTTGCAAGCAAACGACACGAACGAGCTTAGAGTACGGCCAACTGCTCAATCCTTTGGGCGACAAACTGCTGAGCCGCATGCTAGCTCGTTGGAAAATAAGTGTGCTGCTACAATGGTGCAACTTTGGGCTTCCGCCTCAGTGCCAAAGTCGGTGGGGATTGAGCCTTTCCCACACCTGATTTTTGAATTGTTCACTAATGGCCAGCATCTGAGGTTGGTTTCAACGGTTTCCACAGGTTAGAAGTCCACTGTGCGCAGGCTATGCTAGACAGCTAACTCAGATACTGAATTCACTGGTGTCTTACCCGCGAGTTAGTGATGAGTCCGAAAAGGGTCCAGTTTGCCTGAATACTTGTAGTCTCGTTCCAGCACATTTGATAAGGGGCCTGCCAGCCTGGGTCCTGAGGGAAAAGGAGTGTCCTTATTTCTTAATCTCCGACTTGGTTACCGCCTTATCGTCACTGACTCCAGCTTTGGCCAGAACAAATACCGAAAATTTTGGTGTGACAGACGGCGGGATGGAACCAACAACTCCCTAGTTGGCGGATTACTAGCATGTTGTTCTCGGAGGCTGCTAGAGCGTCTTTTTATCATCGGTGCGGGCCTGGGTAGCTGAAGCCTGGGCAAGGTCACTGGACGCTTTCGATATTTGCCTCCGCGCAACGCGACTCGCTACAAGTCTTCAGTTTGTATTGTCATTTCGATTCCGGTGTATATCTACGAGGTACATACTGGTAGTCACCGATTAATTTCCAGGTTGATTACAACGTGCAATATGTGAGGTGGAGACTGGACATAGCTTTGACTGTATGTGGGGTAGAAGCGAGCAGCCCAAAATTCTGTCGGATCATAGTAGCGTCGTTTTTAATATCCACTGCACAGTAAATCTTGGCTGGAAAGCTTTCGGCGTTGGTTTTCACGTTGACCTTAGGGTACATCCACATTTCCACAGCGTATATGCTTTTGATGAGGGGTGATATTGCCACAATCTCAGCTCCTTATTCTGAAGCAATTCTACTCCTCACCAAATCTTCTAAGCTTTATCCCAAATTGTTGCTGATGGTGACTCAGGTCACCCTTCTCCCGGGTGAGGATTTTCGATAAGTTGGCAATGGGGTTCCCTTTTTTAAGGATATCCTCTAACTACCGAGTGAACTAACTAACTAATCATCTCAAACTGACTCTTCAAAAATATTATTGGTCATACTGGTACACTCATTCTCCACTGCGAACATACCATCAACAATATCTACCCCAGAATTGAGGGTTCAGTGGCGATATTTCCAGAGAAGAAAACTCGGACAATTCATGGATTTTTTTCAGTAGAAAGGGTGGATTGCCAAATGATCACAGAGTTATCGAAAAGTTTCAGTACTCAGAAAAATTGAAGACAGATAGGCAAATACCCTCGCTCAAATTCAAAGGAGAAAAAATAAAAAAATAAAAACAATAAAAACAATAAAAATAAATTCTCGTCATTAGAGAGCCATGGGAGTTGCATCCCGCCGACAATTCGTTACAATTTGTTGACAAGCCGTTGAAGCAATGAATGAACTTCGAGCTTGCTGAACCTCTTTGCCATGTGGACATGCTAATGAAGACCTCCCCACGGGGATCCAGGGGAATTGAAGAGGCGAGAAGTGGACAGCACTCCTCGGCGAACCAGCAACCACGCTTCCGTGCATTATCAGGAGGGGCGAATGCGAATGAACCCATACTGGGGTTTGACTCTGTTATGCTACCAATCGGTGTCAACCATTGCATCCACAATAACACCTTCTCGGCTGGAATCTGAATATTCCTGAGGATGTATCACTTTACCCGCGGCTCTGGATCGTTTCCCCACAAATGTATACTTTATGTAGTGGGCCGGCCCAAAATGTCATGACACACCCCATGCGGGGGATATTCTTATCGTTATATAATTCCACGAAATCCTCACGCCAAATGCGAGGGACATTGCGGGTAATGGGCTTAAATTGTGCCCATAAATCCACCCCTTCTCGCTGAAAAGGCATAATATCCTTTTTTTATTTCCCCGTCAACTCGGCTGCCAAACAATGTCTGGTGATATAGAGAAAGCCCCGGACAGGGTCTCCGTTGACTATATCAACGATACAACAAAGCAGAACTATGACATCGATGTCGACGAGATTTACACATACGCGGAGCAGAGGAAAATAGTCCACCGTGTCGACCGCCGGCTCGTGACTATGTGTGGCCTGGGCTACTGCATCAGCTTGATGGATCGGACGAACTTGTCAGTTGCAGCCGTCGCCGGAATGAACGTAGAACTTGACTTGAATATTGGCTTTCGATACGTTTGTGCCCCTTTATTGATTGAATCCAGTTTCGTTTTTGTTCCATTTTACTAATCTCGCGTCTTGCTTCCACGTAGTCCCTTGTCGCTCTGGTCTTCTTCACCACGTATATTGTTTTTCAGCCTCCAATGACAGCGGTTATTCGCAAGATCGGGCCAAGGAACTTCATTAGTTTTATTGTGTTCACATGGGGAATATGTTTGATTGTAGGTATCATTGACACATCCCCATTTAATCGAAAACCGTTGAATGTGGTTTATCTTGTGTAGCAATATTAACATACATTTGTCCGGACTAGGGTTTTGGTTTGTGCAAGAATTGGGAACAACTTACAGCCCTCAGAGCACTTCTGGGAGTCCTGGAAGCCGGCTTTTTCCCGGGTAGCGTGTATCTTCTGTCGACTTGGTACTCGAGATATGAAGTTCAGAAGCGGTATTCGATTTTCTACCTGATCGGTTGCGTGGCTGCCGCACTTTCAGGTATCCTCGCGTTTGGATTCAGCCAGATGGCTGGTATTCAAGGAATGGGTGGCTGGAGATGGATTTTTATTTTGCAAGGTCTTGTAAGTAATAGAAACTGGGCTCTCCTCTGCTTACCATTTTCTCTGTTTCGTATACCACCGACAAGCTAACAAGTTTCTAATAGTTAACCATTGCTGTTGCTATTCTCATTTTTATATTCATCGTCGACTTTCCCGACAAGGCTCATAAAGCCTGGAAATTCCTGACCCAGGACGAATGTGCCTTCATCATTCGGCGATTGAACAAGGACAGAGGTGATGCCGATGTTGAACCATTTACCCTTAAAAGATTCCTCCGTCCTGCGCTGGACTTGAAAATCTGGGGCTTCGGCATGATATTTTTGTATGCATTCTGCGAGTCATTCTTTTTGTCTTTTCTGAATAGACCGCTTGTTACTAACCGAAAGCCCGACTGCAGCTGCCTGACCACAGTCACCTACGCCATCGCCTATTTCCTTCCCATCATCCTCCACAACAACATGGGCTTTGGTGTTGGCGCATCCCAGTGCCTCGTCGCACCGCCGTATGTCCTGGCGGGAATTCTCATGTTCTCAACCTCCTGGGTGGCAGACAAATATAAAATGCGAGCGCCTGTTCTCGTTTTCAACAGTCTCGTTTCCATAATCGGGTTACCAATCATGGGATTTGCAGAAGGCAATGCCGTGCGTTATTTTGGAGTGTTCCTGACGACCGCGGGTGTCAATGCCAACATTCCATGTTCTCTCGCGTACCAGGCCAATAACATTCGTGGTCAGTGGACGAGAGCGCTAGCTAGTTCCACACTTGTAGCGATGGGCGGGATTGGAGGTATCGCAGGTAGTTTGGTATTCAGGTCGCAGGATGCGCCCCAATACATCCCCGGTATTTATGCAGCCATCGCGTGAGTTTTTCCTCATCCCCACTACAGAAAACACGATAGTGAAGAGATCGATTCTCAAAGGGGAACACTACTCGGCTAACTTGAACTGCCTTTCCACATCTGTAGCTGTCAACTTCTTCTCCTTATTATTGTTGCCATGTTGAGCTTTTATTTCTGGAGGTGCAATAAGAAAGCAGACCGTGGAGAAATGATCATCGAGGGATCTCCTACTTTCCGATATACAATATAAATAGATCCAAACGGCAGGGCATGACAATGATAGCCAGCCACCCACTGCTGGCGTCTGGTCGGCGAGATTGCCTCCGGAATTTTTCGTTTTTTCATTTTTTGGAACTGTGGATTTTCTAGGGCGATCCGGGGATTGTGAGGCTGGATAGATATTGAGGAATAATTTTCCGTTTCCATTTCAGCAGCGGGTTATTGAATACAGGTGCGATGGGCGTGGGTCTGGTTTCCCTTTAGGATTTGGCCAGTTTGGGGGGACCCTCATTTTATTGTTTTTCACATAGCTTATTATATATCCATGTTTAATTTTCCAAATCATGGGAATGTAGTGATTCCTTGGCTTCCCTTGCAGCCTTTTTGCTGGCAATCGGGGTTCGCTACGAAGGTTTTCGTGGCATAATGGGTTAGTGTTGAAAATATCTTGGTTCCAATGAATGTATTCTTGAAACCCCCCTCCCTTACGAAGCGTTGGGTGGTGCCTCAATAGTTTGGCATCCGCCAGCTCCATAGTTATACCATTTGGCCAGTTGAGGTGGAAATGGGTTCCTGATCATATATCCGTGAGTAAAACATCATGAAAACGTTAAAGGTGATAACTGATTGCTGGTAGGAATTTCAGAAACGGCCTTTGCTCTGCATGGTTTTGTGATATAATGATGTCTCTTGTTGTAGGTGTACCAAGTGTCAGCGAAGGGCAGTATGTCGCGGGTTTGGCAAGGCCACAATCATTTTTCTTTGCATAGCAGCGAGATGCCGAAAGACAGTGACGGGGGTATGAAAAGGGATGGCCTGAAAGATGAAACCGGCTCAATGGCCCGGATCGACACCGTTCATATGCGGCTACCAGACAGAGTAACAGTAGGGGTAAATTATAATGTAAGGGACTCATTCGGTTCCTAACTTGGTGTGTTCGATCTTTGGTTGCTCTAGGGGGTATTCCTTTCGTGGAGTTGAAATCGGGATGCTCAAGAACGATTATCTTTCTTGCTCTAGAGTAAGAGGTGTGGCCTGATCAGCTTCCAGCAGCGTCGTCCGCATGTTATGTGCTGAACAGGGAACAAAGACGCTGGATAGATATTCGTAATTGGCAAAAAGGGGGATGACTGGCTCGTATCGGGTTTGTTCGTAGTCATCAGAGGAAGAAGTTCCCTGCAAAATACATTTTGACCGACATTGGGTAGGTCTCTGAGCTTTCGGTACTCTGCTTCCCTGTCACCATCACAAGGATTTCTAAATTTTTTTTTTTTTCATTTTTTTCCCAAGTGGGGAGCATGTGAAAGGGGGGTTTTTTTTTTGATGCAACTCTTAAATCTTCGGATTTGATCCCCGATCATTCACGGTTGGCTAGGGTGCGGCGATGCTTGGATCCGAAAACCTAAGGTATTTGCTCCCAGGTTCCATCGCGGTGGAAAGAATGCTAGCTAGTAGTGGAAAGCCAGCTCGCGACCGCAGTGTAGCATGGCAGAATGGCATGTTGCATCCGAAACACGGGCCTTCAATAGGCGCGTATGCAATAAGTGTGGTACATTCTAGAGAAAAGCTTATTTTATCAGAATCAAGGAAGCAAGCTGAGTGAGAATGAAGGAGTACCAGGGTGGCGAATTAATGGTGGGTGATGGCAGAGCGCGATGTGAGTAATTCTCAAGGGTAGATATTCCGATAGAAGCACTCAGGTGGTGATGGTGAATTGGCAACTTTCTTTCTTGGAGAAGGAAATATCAGGAAATCTGATCTGGATGTTGATGGCGGTTGAGTTTTGTCATCAACTTAGGCCTCATATTTTCCATTTCCGGCAATTGCCAGCTCAACAACCAGGATGCTCTGAATCCGTTTTCCTCAGACACCTCGTCTCCTGGCCCCTGTCCGTTCACATGCCAGCACTAGCAAGCTCATATTGGGAATCTCAATGGACTGTTGGCATACAAAAAGAGGAGTTGTCAACTCGTGGACCACTAAGGCCATTTTACCCCCGAAGTTGAACCCACCAGTGAGCAGGTCTGTTTGCCTGGACACCCTGGTTTGTCTCTCCCGACGCTCCTAATTTAGCGTCAGCTCACAAGCCACCACGATGCTACCTCCGTTCTTTGCGGTTGATCGTCAGAAATTGCCATCTTTAATGACTTTTAGCTTCGGTCATTCAGTTCGGACATTCAGTTCAGACACTCGCCAAGTACTAAAATTGGTTGGCCGCAACGCCCGCGTCTGGTGGCGCTCTTGGGCAGACTAATTAAAGCTTTCCCCACTCCTGTTAATGAACCAGCTGAAGGCTAAGTCAACATCAATCCGGAGGGATTTTGCCAATCATGGGAGATAATCAACACTCTTTCCTGTATTTTGGCATGTGATAAGAGCTGTTCAATTGGTTTTGCTGCTTAAGCTTCGTCTCATTTGGTCTTTGCAACAAAGGGAGCGCTGACTGTCCAGTAGTTGCGCTTGGGCTCTTGATCCCTTCGCTGCTTTTAGTCTGGTTCTTTGTTGATCCTGTCGATGTTCAGGGCTTTGCCCTGGTCGGATCACTGCCCGGCCTGGTGGACCTGAGCTCGCTGAACTCGGACGGTGTCGAGCGACAGACCTGCAACCGTATCTAAAAGCATCCCGGGGAGCATCTTTATCTCGTGCCAAGTTTGATCAAAGCGATTCGATTCACCACATCTGTGGAATCACTGTAATGGGCAATCTATATATCGAACTTCCCTTCTTCTTGGTCATACTACGTTCGAAAGCCTTCACATCTAGAATCGAATGCAGTTCGTCGGCTGACCTTTTTTCTTTGGTTTAGTAAGACGCATTGGGAAGGATCCTAGATCTGCGTGCTTCTTTCAGAGAGCTCAATTGCTGCCGCTTTGATTGGAGATTGACGGAAATTTTGGCACTGGTGTCGGACTTTGCTTGGTTCATGAGCATCGTCGCAAGTTGAGGTTGCATCAACCTTCACCCACTCAAAGGCCACGAGGTGAATAAATGAATCGAGCAAAATAGGTCAAAATGCGCGAGGCTGCTCACACCGTTTTGGGTGCTGCTGGCACGATGACATCCCTGTGCGTGCTGTCATGGAGGATAATGGGCTGGCCGGCCCCGCCATCTGCTAGCAGGAATTTTCTCTACAAGGGCATTTCCCCGCCTGGTCCCTGAACCTCGTCCCGCTCTCATGGAATCGCTCTGAAACCCGTTATTACTCCGTGTTCAATTTCCCCTTTTCTACCATCGCGAATACATCGGGATGAAGAATGTCTAGAGGTAATGGGTGCGAAAATCATGGCTACGTTCCAGTGCACGAGATAGCACGACTGCAGAAATAGGCTCGACTTTGGTGTCTCGAGATGATCAATCGATACATCCATGCCTTGATCCTTATGCGCATGGCACTAAAAGGCACACCCTAGTGCAGTGGCACCAATCCTTGATTATTCAGTCTGTGTGACCCTGTCTCCAAACATTTCTAATGGGTTGCACACGTCCACAGAATACATAAGAAAGACCTTATGTCCCCGTATCCGTTTCGCTTTTCTGATTGTTTTTTTATTTTATTTCATTTTATTTCACTTAGCCTGCAAGTTACGCGCTGGTACTCTTTCGCAGTTTCTTCGCTTTTCGTGCCCCCTTTTCCTCCAATCCATTCCCACGGCACAACTGCAAAGGTCCCTGGGTGCAGCTTAAATTCCCTCACAATGGCGGGCACCACTGATGTCTCCCGCGTGGAGGCTCCCGTCACAGTGAAAGCGTACCTTATGTGTGCTTTCGCTGCGTTTGGCGGTATCTTCTTCGGTTTTGACTCCGGGTACATCAACGGAGTGATGGGCATGCCATATTTTATCGAATTATTTACCGGACTCAAACAATCGGACTTCCCCCCCGGATCTTCCGAATTCACCCTCCCTTCGTGGAAGAAATCGCTGATTACGTCAATTCTGTCTGCCGGAACCTTTTTTGGTGCAATCATCGCTGGGGATCTTGCCGATTTCATTGGCCGTCGGACGACGGTTGTTGCGGGCTGTGGTGTGTTCATTCTGGGGGTTATACTTCAAACAGCATCTACAGGCTTGGGGTTGCTTGTGGCTGGTCGTCTAATTGCTGGATTCGGCGTTGGTTTCGTCTCCGCTATAATTATTCTATATATGTCCGAGATTGCACCCAAGAAGGTTCGAGGTGCAATTGTGTCTGGCTACCAGTTCTGTATCACCCTCGGCCTGCTCCTTGCTTCCTGTGTCAATTATGGGACTCAGAATCGAAAAGATACTGGTTCCTATCGTATTCCGATTGGCCTCCAAATGCTCTGGGCCATCATTCTAGGGACTGGTCTCATGATGTTGCCCGAGTCACCACGTTACTTTGTGAAGAAAGGAAACCATAAACGAGCGGGCGAAGTTCTTTCCCGGTTACGAGGCTATCCTTCGGATTCGGATTACATTCAGGAGGAGCTGGCTGAAATCATAGCAAACCATGAATACGAACTCCAAGTCGTTCCGCAAGGAAGCTACTTCAATTCTTGGCTTAATTGCTTCCGTGGCAGCTTGTTTAAACCTTCCAGTAACCTGCGCCGTACCATCTTGGGAACCTCCTTGCAGATGATGCAACAGTGGACTGGCATCAACTTTATCTTTTATTTTGGAACGACATTCTTCCAGACTCTCGGCACCATCGACGATCCGTTCCTCATCGGACTCGTTACTACCCTTGTCAACGTGTGCTCGACTCCAATCTCCTTCTGGACCATCGAAAAATTCGGTCGTCGGCCCTTGCTCATTTGGGGTGCTGTCGGCATGTTTGTTTGCGAGTTTATCGTTGCGATCATGGGTGTCTCCGCTGGTGACAACCCCCAGGTGGTCAAAGCGATGATCGCGTTTATATGTATCTATATTTTCTTCTTCGCCAGCACCTGGGGCCCCGGTGCATGGGTCGTCATTGGCGAAATCTTTCCGCTTCCAATGCGTTCCCGTGGTGTCGGTCTTTCGACAGCCTCTAACTGGCTGTGGAACTGCGTACGTCACTCCGTTCAACATATATTTCAAACTAATTTCCCAGTCCCCTTCACTGACTAACATGGACTGAGATACTATTAACAGATCATCGCCGTCATCACTCCGTATCTTGTCGGAACCGATAAAGGCAACTTGGGTACCAACGTCTTCTGGTTGTGGGGCTCCCTCTGCGTCTGCTGTTTCATATATGCCTACTTCCTCGTGCCTGAAAGTAAGGGGCTCACTCTCGAACAAGTCGACCGTATGATGGAAGAGACTACTCCTCGTACATCCGCCAAATGGGTTCCCCACTCCACTTTCGCCGCAGAGATGGGTCTAACTGAAAAGAACGTGGCGTTGGAGGAGGTTCAGGTCTCCACAGATAAGGGACATGTTTAGTGGAAAGTCACAAGATGTTCCGCAGAACAATCCTAACAACTACATAAGCCACGGCGTTCCCTATTCCTACACATCCATTAATTTTCTTCCCTGAAATTCTCTGAATGCTTGTTAGCTTTCGAATTCAAGTCCCGCTTCCCGCTTCTTATGGGCTTTCCTATGTTTTACGCCAGATCACATATAACTACCCTGTAATTCGTTGATGTACCAGCCTGGCGAGGTCTCATATGGGTGGAAAGTGGACAAACACGCTGTAAACGAATGAGTAACGTGAGTGGGAAACAATCTATGCATTTACTGTACATACGTGTGGCGACATTTTGCTTCCTCCGCATGCACATAATACGAATATACCCTTTAAGCATACAATTTCTTTTTAAACTGCCAACGCACACCACTTGAATTTACGGTAGCCCAGTTCAGAGCTCCAATCTGCAGGAATTGAACAGCAATACCCATATCATATTCTGATCTGTATTGTTGAAGTATTCCGTCTCCAGGAGACGCATAATTCCAATCTGGAGTTTGCTAACGGAATTCCGCGTATCAACACAGACAGCATAGTAATACGCAACTTTTCCCACCCCTCGGTCTTCAAACAAGACACAATGGGGAAATGAAGAAACTAAGCCTCACAACAAACGGATGAGAGAGGCGGAACAAAAGCGGAGCAAACCCACGTTGCAAGTTGTGCAAACGGGAATAGGTAGTTCGATATGATCCGCGCCAGGCGCAGAATGGTCCAGCCCTCGACCACCACGAGAGCACAGGGTCTTTTAAAAACATGCAAAATACTTTCCATCCTCTGTGACAGTCTATGGATGTTTCTTTTCTACACCTTCTATTATTCAAATGATCATACACGGCATCATCGATGACTTTCTTCGTCTGAGAAAAATTGGGCTGGAGCAGAAAGATTGCGGCATCTACATAGTAGATTATAGTTGCTCTATATTCTCATATCAATACATTAATGGATGAAAAACGAATGCACTCCTGCGCCCTGGGCACGTAGAACATCAGACAACTGACATCAAGGTGAGTTATTCTTGTGTTGCTTTTCTATCCCGAATCACAAAACAATAAGACGTTATGTTTAAACATTTACTTCATCCATCCTACTCACTCCAACAACCTCATAAACACCCCTTGCAACAGACTTAACACTACAGCAACGCTAATATTTCTATTTCATGCTTTATATTTCCACTTTATAGCTACAGATGATCAAAGATTCTTGCAAATTGGCACAAGCTTAGCACACACTCGCACAGCCAGACTTTCCCAATCTCCTGAATGCTAGTCAGATTGTAGTAAACCAGCTTGCTCTGCTGCTCTGCTACTCTGCTACCTATCATACCGGTCATAAACCTGCAAACACAACGTGATGAAGTGATGAATATGCTTCGGGGAGTTGGCAGCGACCTCCATCGACTTGACACCTACATTGATCGAATTGACGCTCGCATGTACCTGCTGAACGCTAATACAAAGACCAAGTAAGTCTTTTTCTCTTCAACTGTTTTGTTTTCATGCATGGCTAAGGTGATTCTAGTAACCTGTAGTGGGGTGCCAGGCACGGGTAGGCGTTTTAACTACTTGATCAAAAGATCATGCACAATAACAGCTTCCGTTGTTATTGGAGCCCGTACCCTATATATAGTTAAACACCCCACCCCCAGGGAGTACGTAGGTCTTGACTGATCTGCAGAGGAGATTGAGAAATTTAAAGAGGAAAATCAATGAGCCTCACAATCTCTCTCACTGTCCATCGTAAGTTTGATTGTTCTTTCATATGAAAGAAATTACAATGAAATTCAGTTCAAACCAAGGAAGAGGTGTCCCGGAAGCCATGTAGGATTACAGCACGCACTTTGATACAGTGCAGGGTGATTACAAAAGTTACTAGCCCTCTAAGCTATCAAGGTGGTTGATTCATCTACGGTTTCATTAGTCATTTTGAACGGTATATACTGTTCTTCTGTTTGTCACCAGGTAGATGGCAGAAAGTAGCTTGAAATATCAATGTTTTTGGTGGTTTACTCACCAGCTTAGTGGCATTCCCCTCTACCCACCATAAGTGTCACGTCCATGTAGTCTCTCGGCTGTGTGGGTGTATTCCCCTGTTGAAAAATAAGCATAGCTCACAAAGGGTCTGATTTTGAAATATCCTGTAAAACAATAGAAAATTTATTACCATCATACATGAGCTTCTCCGCATTTGTATCCTCCGTGCTTCTCATGAGTGACCCTCGGTCTGCCCACTCCAGATCTGTCGTCACCGGCCCTGTAGTCTCTTCAAGTTTTACTTTTAATGTAATGGGACTGGCGTCGGATATGATGACGATGATGGGAAATATTAGTTGAGGCCCAGGATTGCTTCTCTCGATGTCGTCCCATGCCTGATCCCATTGTTCAGCCGTCCACGGAAAACGACCTCCAGGCATATCTTGTTGTATCATTGGCTTGGCAAGTTTTCAGAACACTCCCCTTGTCATATTTTCAAGTTCCAGCTTCTCAATGATATAGAATTTTTAGATGGTTGGAAAAGAACCATGCTTGTTGTATTGAGCAAAAGCGAATGACCCTCGGAGCATGGGACTACAGAAAATGCCCGAATAGAAATGACCTTAAGAGTGGAGAATGGTTAAGGTTGCAAAAGTGAACACCAGTCACAAAGTCTGAATAATACCTTCAACGTAGAAGGTACATGGCTCATTTGAACTATGCGTTCTAGTATTGAAGGTTATCGATGATATAAATATTGTAGGAGAAAAAGAACGAAAAGAAAGAGAGTAGAAAACAGAATCAGTATGAATGATAAACGTGGGTTTTGCCAAGGCCGCCGCTGAGTGGCTTAAGCACTGGCACCTCCGCAACCTGGACTGTGGTTGGGAAACTATTCTTGACGAAAAGAAGGATTCTTGTGTCTTGAGCAATATAAATCATTCAGGGAGATGCGGGGTCGTATCGAGGATCTTATGAACTACAAATGACGAGGAGAGAAATCAAAGTGGTGCTGGAGGCCATAGTGGAGAATTTGATGTTTCCCCAGGCCATGGCATGAGGTGCGATCAGGGCAATCAAATACCACATGTGCAAGAAGCGCGGCAGCCGCGCATCACTGGGTTGGGGTTGCGCTCGGTTTTATCTCTCATGCTGTTGTGAAGTCCACCAAGACCCGCCCCACTTCATTAGTGCTCAGACGGCTCACTTGTATCGACAAGCCACCCGGTAAGACTCGAGGTTAGTCACGGATAGCTCTGTTGAATAATTTACTAACTATCATAGATATTGAATCAGCTCAATACTCAAATGCTTCACTATCACCCTTCTTGAAAACAAGTACGCTAGCATCGGAATTGATATTTAACATGTGATGCAAATGGCAATTCTAACCTATCAAATTATCAACCCTTTTGAATTCATGATAGCGACCTGAGTGAGCAAAGCCGTTTCGCCCAACGCCTTCCTGCCAAGAGAGTTGAATCATGTATTCCTACAGTCGATAACGGTTCTCCCGTTCTGCGACCACGTCGTTCCTCCAGTTTTCGCCATACTCACTCCGCCAAATTTCTGCGATTTCTCTTGAAATCTCGTCACTAATGTCCTTCCAAGGGTTCTTATCATCATCCAGATAAGAGGCAGGGACAATATCAAGTGCATGTCCCGCCCAGGGTCCTTGGTTGAGCGGATCCCCAGCGACTGATGTAAAGTCATTCGTTGACCAACAAATCTTGGAGAGAATGACCTCCCCATAGCCCAATATCTTAATAAACGGGCCGCGAATGTATCTCTGATCCAGTGCAATTGCTGAGGGTCGAACAAACTCATGCGTAGTCAAATTTCTGAGTACCCATTCCTCACTACATGGATAGAAACTCGACAGCTTTGGGTTCACCACACGAGTTATATCCGCCGGGCTGCCCCACTTGTGCCTGAGATCAAGGGCTAGGTCAAACAGACCATGAGGATCAGGAAATCCTGTAGTGACTTCTGTGATGCTTGTGTATCGAGCATTAGCTAAGTCATACAGATTGACAGGGATCTCAGCATAGCTCTCTGCTAATCCCTCCTCCAATTCCTCCACTTCCAGCCCTGTAGCTAGTTCATCCAAATCCTCTGAGGATAGCAATCCATCGGGGTACTTGCCATCCCGGTGGCTTTCATCACCTACACATATCACTGGGGTTCCAGCCAAGAGCCCCAGAAAGCCTGCAAAGTGCTCTGTAATCACTGGCCTTGCTAATACCCAGAAATGCCAACAGCTAAGTCCCAAGAGAAAAACACTCTCAATATCTAAAAGCTCGATAATAAGATTATGTATCTCACTGGGAAGTTGGATCAACTGAGGTGTAGGCATATCGATCGGGTTGCTTGACTGGCGACGTCTTTTCTGAGGGATGACTTGTTTCTGACTTGTTGACTTCTCAGGCTTGCTGGTGGTACTGCTGTTCTTTGCCTCAAATTCGACAGGTATAACGGGCCTTGCAAAGAGAGAAACAAGGTCAGCTGCAGATCCTTCGAAGAGAATCTCTCCAAGCTTGCCCCCCCAGCTAAGTATTTCTCGACGATGAGGCGCGACGAGGCGGAAGTGTTGGCCCATAATTATGACTGGTAGTTACTGCGTCTAACGTCCAGGACGGGGATTGTACCACAAGAGAAGAGAAAGTTTTTTCAATGGCAGCAGTTTTGAGCACCGTTCAACGATAGGTGACCGAGATTCAAAGTGGTTCCAAGGTTGTATTACTATGTAGTTGCTATCTACCAGGGGTTATACAGTGTGCGGGGCGCTAGTCCGTACCAGGAAGCCCAGGGCTCCTACGGCTTACACATGGACCCCCAGCGGCCAAAGATGCTTGACAGCCTATCCGGGAGCTGAGACGTATATGTGTATATGTGCAGTGTGCAAGTCCACAATACTCCTTGGACTAGCTACTGCAGAGATATCTACGCAGTATATATGCCTACCCACGTGCAGCGGGGTGGCAGCCCGAGCAAAGTACGTCCCAACAAGTTTCTAAGTGTGTTGCTCGCACGATTGAGATTGACTCTCAATTAGACGAATCACATCCTGGTCAAATATATAGAAGGTTTTTCTTGGATTTGCTCCACAAGAATTGACGATAGAAAATAGTTATATTTCCTTCTACTACTAGAATTCAGAATCTTTTTGAAAAATCAAATGCAGCTGGCTACCAACTGTTGTTGCTGACATGAGAAAATGAGATACCATCATATGCACAAGCTCAAGATGGACCATATTCAAAATCAAAGACTGGCTCAGCCGGGCTACCATCATGTGTTGAATGTGAAAATTTTACATTTCATTCTCATTTGCCTCGTTTTAAGTCGAACGCCCATGCACCACAAATTGGTTATGATCCTCAGTCAGACAATTACATCAGAGACTCTATATGACAACATCAACTCCAACAGCATTGTCGTCGATATGAAGAAGCTGAAAAACTTGCTGGGTTTGACAGTGGCACCTGTAAAATTGGGCTTTTTACCACCAGGTTAAAAGGAGAATTCCCCAATTAGCATAGTTTAAGTTCCCAATTTTATTTCATGCCTTGATGTCTAACAGCGTCTTCGTCCACGCTGCCTTCGGTAAGTACGCGGCGGCGTAACAACAATGCAGGGTTGGCCTTAAATTTGGTGTCCGACAAAGGTGCACTAAATATCATCCCAAACCCGAACGGGTTAAGACGCAGCTTCTGGGCTCTCATAGTGGTTTTAATTCTAGACCGAATTTTCCATGGAAGCCTGTAAACAAATAACGGTCGGCTTGTTCAAGGGGTTAAATATGGCACGCCTTCCTCTTCCCACTCGGCGACTTCATCGCCATCCTCTCTACGGAGTACTGCTTTGCGCTTGGAATTTGCATGGCAATACAAGTCTTCTCTCGGGCGTCTATGATTATCGCGGGCGTTGGGGAGGTTGCAGATTGCATGCCTATTTAACTTAGCTCTTTGGTCAAGGCGCATCTTTTGTATTACTTAAAACGATCACGGATTATTTTTCTTATTCTTCTTCTCCTCATGTGTCGTGTCTTCTCCTTTCAGTTAACTTCCATATTTCCCATCAACGCCTCAATCACCCGCCATAGGCATGACCGTTTTCTACGATGAAACCATGCTTATTGGTCATGGCTTAAAGGAAACATACCCCCTTGCTACGGTGATATGAAACCCAAGTCCTTTCCCGGTGTTTGTTCTGGCGATTTTTAGAAACCACCATGCATCAAATCTTGGCTTGATGCCAAATTTACCATGTACATATACAACCCTGTACTGTACAACCTACATATTCAAGCCCATATACTGTACGATGCACCGGAAAAATCCGATTTATTCAAATACAAAAGAGTACTGAAATAAAGCCGCAATTTCTGTATTATGCTAGGATATATTCCACCGAATGGGTACCCTTATAGTTATACAGCGAGTGTAGACAATGTCACAGACAAACAAAAAGCAAAACGCCACAATATAAATATTAGGCAATACAGGATAGAGGAGATAGTATAAGGGGAAGAAAGGATTAAGAACAGAACACAAGGCGAAAAAACAAAAAGAAAAAAGCAAAAAGTAAGTCGCGGGTGAGGCGGATGTTTTTTATTTCCAGTCCCATACCCTGCACGATATTTCATCCGGCCAACCCAGCCACCTTTCCCATTATAGCGCCCTAGGAAAAAATAAAGAGGAAGAGGAAATAGCAACGGTAAAGCAATCCATAACCTAGGAGAAGAGAAAGAGACCATATGGACACAGAACAAGTGCAGACGCTCATATAACCCGATTGGAACACGGAGGAACGGGAATAGCGAAAGGAAAGACTCCAGAGGGTATCATGAATACCTAGGCATATATTCGCAAGACGAAGGTAACGTGCTGTATGCGCCATCAGTTCCCGGCTGAGTACCAATCTCTCCGCTCAAACCCGGCGTATGTACGACGCGAGCTGCAAGCTCAAGTGCTGGGGAAAAGAAAACTGGATAGAACATAGAAGGCAAGTCGCAGCAAAACATAACAAAGGAGAAAGCGATCAAATTCGAATGGCGCGCATTGTTTGTCAGTTTCAAAACATGTCCACGTTAGATAGGCTTGCGACGGCTTTTGGGTTTTTTTTTTTCTTAGTTCGTCATTTATTCCGTAGTCTTGTTCTTCTTCTTTTGTTCGACCTTGAGAAGCAGCGCCCGGTTGATACGAGGTAAAACACCTCCAAACGCGATTGTCGCGCGGATGAGGGTATCTAACTCTTCATCACCACGGATCGCGAGTTGAAGGTGGCGGGGTGTGATACGCTTGACTTTGAGATCCTTGGCGGCGTTACCTGCGAGTTCGAGAACTTCAGCAATAAGATATTCAAGAACAGCGGTGACGTAAACGGCGGCTGTTGGATTCAAAGTTAGAGTATATTCATTAAGCCAGGGCCCAGGATTCAGCCTCGCGCATTTTAGGCTGCGAGGATCAGAGAGATAATATTGGCATATAGGCAACAATGTTGGAATATCACGAGCCATTCCATACCTTTAGCACCAACGCGCATCTTGTTTTGCGTGGTATTCTTCAAAAAGCGCTTGACACGACCGCAAGGGAACTAATGTAAAGATACTGTGTCAGCCCAGATTTGCACCAAGCACATGTAGTGTGTAACTCTGAATCAAAGTGGATGAAACGTGTCATCCCGCAAAATCATGGCGAAAAATGTGCGTCGAGACTCCATCAGCCCAAAAACGCGCCAAGGTGACATGTGGTGAAAGCCAGGAGTTCCATCACAGTTTGTTATCCTTCCTGACGCGTTGAGGTAGCGGCTCGCTAAACGGATGGAGAAGAGCTCAGGGTCGCACGGGAGACAGCCAAAGAGCAGGAGATGAAGCAAAATCCAAACAGCTTCCAGTGGGGAAGACGAACATGTAAGCCAGCCCTTGCACTGTGAGATTTTTGAGTTTTCCCCGCCGCATCCTTTGGACCGCCCTTCCCTCCAATAGACTTTCCTTTACCACCAGGCATGTCGAACAAAAGGCAGATATCGAGTCGCAGGAACAAATATGTCGCGTCGGGCGATGAACAGAACCTGTGGCGGATGAGCGTGGACGAGGGGATGGAGTAGCAGTGTGGCAAAGTTCGCGTTGTTGATGATGGACGGATGATGGAGACCAGAAACTCACCAGCGAACTTTGTGATCGCTTAAGAAAAAGTTAGGAAATAGCGTTGAAGGACAAAAATGCGCTAGTCCTAATCCGGCACGTGCCCATCGGTCCCAGAACACCGAATATCAGAGCTTCAGTGAAGCAGAGATATATGCTGTTGAAGGGACAGCAATATGGACAGAATGGAGCTGCCAATACAACGCACAGAATAGAAATAGCAGGAAGAGCCTCGTTTTTCTGTCTGGTCAGTTTCCAGACATTCCCATGGGTAGCACGACATAGTGCGCTGAGGATTCCCTGCTCGCATCCCAGGTAGAGAGTCCTGAGAGCCTTAAATCGCTGGTTAGGAAAAGATATGACATGGTGGCAGAGTAGATACAGTCTTCAGGTGATGGTAGGACAGTGCCTAGAGCCGGCATAACCACAGTTCATTGCCATGCCCTGGCTGAATGTTCTATTGCCTTCCAACAACACACAATCGTGGAGGATTCAAGCTGTTAGGCCAAGGCAAGGCGGAGGAGCAAGTTCTTTGATTATATCATCATCTGTCCACGTGATTTCTATGTTTGTTAGTGTTGGGGGGATTGGATTGGGTGATTCGTACCATACCACCACGGCGCTGGTGATTGAGCTCTTTTGCCCTAGTGGCCTAATAGTTAGGCATCCCCAGGCACGTGCCACCTAACATATTGTGTTGCACTCGCTGAGATAGTTAACAATCACACAACCAACATTATCCTCCTACAATACTAGGTACGACTAAAAACCCATTCCGCAACGAGATCTTAGCTTTACTACAAGAATCTGAAAGATGATTGTGAGTGTCTCTGATCTTTACTGAATTCTAAGAATATTGAAGAAGGCAAACGTCTTTTTCCTTCCATTATATCCTATATTCATCTATCAACAGACTACCACGCCTTGTCATGATATAGAAAGTAGGGAAACAAAGCAATATCAAAGAAAATATTGTTGTCTTCCTTACCATTGGAAAAAGAACAAAAAAAAAAAAGCCTCTCTTTACCTGCAAAATAGTTTGTTTTCGATACCTGGAATATTCAGTCAGAAATATTACATCTCCGGACGGCGGCTTAAGTTCATTAAAAGATAAACATACAACTTGGAATCCAAGGCGGTCCCCCTATTTGAACAAAAAAGGCTCATCAGATAGAGTCCATCCAACTCTCAAGTCAGTTGTTAAGACCCTACACGCTACAAATCCCCCCATTAAGTAGAAAGGGAAAAAGAGAAAAGGCATGTGCGAGGACGTCACGGAAGTATACGAATTCTGTCGCCACCCCGGTAAATCCTATGTACGCCCTTGTTCAAAAGGTTCGCAGTGCGATGAACTCGTCTCCGTCGACCTGATCATCATGTCCTTTTGCCCATGCTGTTTCCAGATGAGGGTTTTGGTTGGGGCTGGGCAATAAAGCTGTGATGGAAGGGCGGTGGTGGAGATGGAGATCTGTTAGGGTCAAAGGTGAGCTTGGAAGTGGTGCCTGCATTGCCGTTGACGTGGACCCCCATCACAAGGCTGACCAGAAAAATAAGATAGGCTTGTGTAGCAGCGGATGGCGCACACGTTGATTTTAAAGGCCATGGTGAAAATCCGCTGGCGCCGTTTGCCGGTTGTGGGGGTGAGTCATGTCAGCCCAAAATATCTGCTATTCTGGGCTAATCGCATGTTCATTTAGATCACACTATAACTGCGTATGGCCTACGTCTGGCAAAGAAGTGTATCCGATCTCATTTTTTAAACGAAGGCAACATGGGTACATTAGATCAGGAATATCAGGAGCGCATACTTATGATTTGACGGAATTTCAGAAATTAATTGCATCGAGCAGGCCAGTTGTTCTGCAGAAATTCCAACGGCTCTTCCAACGACAGCGTGGCCATGGAGTGGTTTTTATCAAATGAATGCGCGCCAGCGTGAAACGCTAAGTGCAGTGGGACGTCCGGCTTCATCTTCCTAAGTTTCGCGGCTCACTCCTCGGTATATTACCAGGAGTCAACATATTTCTTTTGTTAGCAATGAATGGAATTTCGCGCGTTTCTACATGTATTCTCGGAGACAAAAGATAAATAATAAAATAATAAATATCCAATACCTACCAGCGGATCGTTTTTCGAATGATAGAGCAGAATCAGCGGTATTGTCCACCCTCTCATCTCCGAACTGACTATCAAGCCAAGCCACTCCTTGACCCTAGAGAAATTGCAGAATCGATGAGCCATGAGCAGTGCAGCTAAAAGATGTTTCCTGCTACCAGGCTTTGCTCGTATGCAGAGTTTCCCTGGTCCTAGCGCTGCCATGTGCTCCTCAACCAACAAATCTGGATTCATATTACATATCCCGCACCGTGGCAGGGTCCTTGACCAGCGCCTCTGGTATAACGCAAAGACTACCCATATTGAGTCCTGGGTATTGCAGACAGACAAAGAGCTTTGATTCGCAATAAAGTCATGTCGAGAAGTACTGTATGGGCGGCATAGTATCTCCAGCGCTATCCCCCCACACGAGCAGACTATTCAAATCCAGCTCAAGGGCCGGAAGAAATTCGGCAACGACGTTAAGCACATCCTGCTCAACCCATTTCCAGAATGAACGAGTGTCTTCAAGACCATCCTCGATCTCGTGCTCAGGGCGCAGCCGATAGTCAGGGGCAAGGACTGCAGCACCGTGCTTGAGTGCCAGTTCCAAAAGACTGGAATCAATTTCCTTTTTGAGTTCAATACTTCCTCCAGAAAGCAGGCCAAACTGGATACATACAATGATCTTATCGAAGCTTCAGCCTCGCCTTCGCAGAACCCGCCGCCGTGAAACTTCACGAGCAATGGCTGCGGGCGGAGAATTCCATATATAGTTAATATACGCTAATAGTATCATTACTATCAACTGATCAACAGATCTGTCCGGGATGCAATAGGATAAAAATACTAGGAACTGCAAGTATGTAAATTATGGGGCGAAAAAAATTCCAAAACCGAACGTAACCAAAGTCTGGCAATGCCAACCTTCTGTCTTTTTCCAACGAGAAAATACTACTATTTTAATTTATGAGATACAGAAGTATCTTTTATGTATTTAGCTCCGATCTGGATTCAATTGCTATTGAGTGATGTGCTCTGAAACAGAGAGGTTGAAAAGAAGTCTATATGCAGCCTGAAAGTATCTTTTGTTAGTTAACCAGAACTCTTATATTTGACAATAGTTATATTATCAAGACATCTGGCTATCAATTCTCTATACAAAAATAATCCAATATCAATGTATCCTGAGTAGCACCTAGTTGTGGCCATTTTTGGGATAAAATTAGGTACCTGATGCTGCTGTGATCAAAGCAAATGAACCTTCCACTTGAGGAGCAGAGCAGAGAGCATCGCGGACGTATCTTGCAGGTCGAGGAATTCAACGCTAGAACCACTGAAGAGGCGGCATTGGATGGACCATTCTACCTCGGTTCCTACTCAGCTCATTGCCCTAGATCCCGATGAAGAAGCTTTTGAGATCATATCACGGTGGTTGAGGCGATTGAAGCTCAAAAACTTGCCAAGAAAATCCACAAAACTAGGAAGTAAACCACGTGATAGTGTGCCTCGTCGGCTCTTGGGGCCAGTTGTCGCTTCAAGGTTTTGCGCCTTGAGTTTGTTCTGCCCCAAGCCTTCGAAGGAAGAGCCAACACAAACTCGGAAACCGGGCTCTTGCTTGATATCTCTCCATTTGTATTTGATTTCTTCTTCTCACCAATATCGCGATTTCCACTCGTCATCATGGCGTTGAACCCGCAAGTGTAAGCTACGGTCCTTCTTGATACACCCCTTCGTCTTGCTCCCCACATCTTCTTTCAGTTTTATGAAGCAAAAGGCAGTGGTCGGATAGGGTATTCGGTACCGGATTTGGATGACATCCTTATCCTGCAGTGCGGGCACTGCGGTATCCTATCCAGCCATGCCTATCACGCCCGTCCTGCCTGCGCTTCAAGGGAAAGCAGAGGAACCTTTGGGCTAATACGATTGCTACCGCCAACAGATTTAACCTGGTGATCATCCTTGTGATGATGCAGGTGTCGAAGAAAATCCCCTTCGACAACCCTTCTGTGCTGTTGGGCGTGCGCTCTATGTATGTCGTTTCCAACGTCTTGATCATGGCGCTGTACATGTATGTGCGACACCAAATAATCAAGAAGAAAGGTTCGTCGCTTTTTTTCATTTCGTTTCTTTTTACTTTTTTATTAAACTTTTCCCGCGCATGCCACATATATATATATCTAGATCCTGCGATCCCCTCCCCTATATGTAACCCACAGCATTCTAACAAGCACCGAAAACAAAACAGACCTCAGAACCCTCAAATACGTCGAGCCCCCTGCTATGGGATCGGGTGAAGAGCCGCGGCCCGTCATCACCACCGTCCAGGACTACGACAAGCAGCAACTCCGCTCTCTCCTCAAGGGCCAGCTGATGGGCGTGGGCATGATGTGCGTGATGCACCTGTACTTCAAGTACACCAACCCGCTAGTGATCCAGTCGATCATCCCCTTCAAGACCGCGCTCGAGGGCAACCTGGTCAAAATCCACGTGTTCGGCATGTCGGACAAGGGCGAGCTGGAGCGGCCGTGGAAGGCGGCGGGGGGCCTGCTTGGGATGGCCCAGGGCGAGGTGAAGAAGGATCGCGCCAGTGTCGAGTCTGCGGAGAAGAAGTGGAGAGGCGGTGCAAAGGAAGAGTAGGAGCAGTAACTTGTCGGATGCATGGCATACTTCTTTCTGTCTTCTTCGTCTGCTTCTTTTTTTTATTTCCCATCCTTTAGACCCGCCGGGGAGGGAGGGGTTGTTGCCAAAAATGTGCCGCGAACGTGTTGTTTTCCCCTTTTCCTTTATTTTCCGGCAACCTCAGGACATGCGGGATACAAAAATTATTGCTATAATAGATATTTCCCCTCCCCACCTCACCAATTTTTTTTTTTTTTTTTTTTTTTTTTTTTTTTTCCGTTTTGTTTTTCTCTTTCTCTTTTTGGTGTCGAGCATCTATCAATCAACCCGCGTCTGCGGATGGTACGTATTGCATTTGTATGTACAGTACAATGAATGGCGTTCTCCTTGCTTTTCGATATCTACCTATCTGATATATTCCGCAAGCCACACGCTGGTTTTCCAGATTTATAATGGATAATACAGATACGGATTACAGAGCCGTGGAAATGGAAGAAACATCAAAGAAAGGCCCCTGGAGCACGCGAGAATCTCACGGGAGGGAGAGAGCGCAAGCAAATCTGACCCCTGATCTACGTGGGTCTCCAGCTCTGTTCTACGGCTAGGGCTAGGGCTAGGGCTAAGCTAACCGATGCAGTTCTTGCAGACGGAGCATTCCAGATTGCAACAACAAGGAAGAAGAAAGACGAAGAAGAAGAAAAATCCGCAGCGGAGCGCAGATGACGACAGAGATTAGTAATAGCAATTTAATAGGAAAGGGGGCGGCGAGTTGCGGGTTTCTCGACTCCCTTGAGTAGCATTTGTCAGACTGGATAGTTGAATGGTATGTTTGTTCCATTGGGCGATATTGCAGCACTCAATATTTGCGTGGGAGGGATGGGGCAAGTTCAAGGGGCTTCCCTAATCTTTTGTGGCTGTGGCCGGGGTGGATATGTCATTGACCAGATGGAGTGGAGGGGTAGTTGTGGATGAAAAAAGAAACCAAAAAAGGAACATAGAGAATACAACTACTAGATAACTAGATCAATCAATTGACTCTCTGAAAGAAAGGGAAGACTGGAAAACAAAACAAACAAACAACCAGGAATTACCGAAATTGCCGGGTACGGAACAAGCCGGCGAGACAGCCAGGAGCAATTTGGTGCGAGAGGATGCAAGGTTGAGCTCAGTGAACGATAATTGGGGGTTGTTGAAGTCCTGCTGGATAGTTAGTTCGGGGATGGATCTATTTCATTTTTTCATTTTTCTTTCCTCCTTTTTTTGCTTTTTGCGTTCCACAGCCTAGCCTCGAGGGCTTTTTGTAATCATTGCGTCAAAACCCGCCGCATCCAAGCATGACGATGATTTGAATACTGGTATTTATGTGGCCCGCCGCCCACCCCGCCTGTTGAGGCCAATTCTTGGTTTATCTTCCTCTCTCATCCAAGATAGGATTCTGTATATTCTTCTGTCAATCTCCTGTTCTGTCTCTCCAGCGCATTTTCTATCTACATAGTTATAGGTGTGTCCCTTGTTTCTGCTCCCCCTCTGCCTGATCCCGGAACTTTCCTTCCACATCCCGAGCTACCCCGCCGGATCCGGTTTGTCCCCCAACAATTTTATTCTCTTCCTCTCCTCTCAGAGAAACCAACCAGTTCTACCCCGCCATAGTGCTTTTGCTTCTGTCAACTCACTCCATCCATCCATCCAGCCATCTATCCATCCATCCCTATCCAGCAAACATGGTCGTCAAGGTATATATATAGATATCTCTCCATACATATACCAATGTGTTTTTATCTACGTATCTGCATATTAACAACTGCGTCTCCAGGTTGGAATCAACGGCTTCGGTCGTATTGGGCGTATTGTAGGTCTCCCTCCCTCGAATCTCCCTCTTCCGTCTTCCCTCGCCATCTCCTCCCCTTTTTTTCGCTTGGTTCTCTGATTGCTAATCCCATTCCCTATACCAGGTCTTCCGGAATGCGTGAGTTTCCTGCCAATCCATTCTCATTGTGGATGGTATCTGCTTGCATCTGGCGTACTGACAACCCTTCCCAGTATCGAGCACGGCGAGGTTGACGTCGTTGCGGTCAACGATCCCTTCATTGAGACCCACTATGCTGTATGTCTGAACAAAATAAAAGAAAGAATCGTTTCATTCGATGGTTCTATGATGCTTGAAAGGTGCAATGGGCAAAACTTGAACGGAACACATTGCTGATCATTTTACCAAATACACCCGCGACCAACAGGCCTACATGCTCAAATATGACTCCACGCATGGCCAGTTCAAGGGCACCATCGAGGTCAACAGCAACGGCTTGACCGTCAATGGCAAGGCTGTCACGTTCTACCAAGAGAGAGACCCCGCGAACATCCCCTGGGGCAAGCACGGCGTGGAATACGTCGTTGAGTCCACCGGCGTCTTCACCACCACCGAGAAGGCCAGCGCCCACTTGAAAGGCGGTGCCAAGAAGGTCATCATCTCCGCCCCCTCTGCAGATGCCCCCATGTTCGTCATGGGCGTCAACGAGAAAACATACGACCCGAGCGTCAACGTCCTTTCCAATGCCTCCTGCACCACCAACTGCCTCGCCCCGCTTGCAAAGGTCATCAATGACAACTTCGGCCTGACAGAGGGCCTGATGACGACCATCCACTCCTACACCGCCACCCAGAAGACCGTCGACGGGCCGTCTTCCAAGGACTGGCGTGGTGGCCGCACCGCTGCTCAGAACATCATCCCCAGCAGCACAGGCGCCGCCAAGGCCGTCGGCAAGGTCATCCCATCCCTCAACGGCAAGCTCACCGGCATGTCCATGCGTGTGCCCACCGCCAACGTCTCCGTCGTTGACTTGACATGCAAAACCGAGAAACCCGTCACCTACGATCAGATCAAGCAGACCATCAAGAAAGCCTCTGAGGGCGAGCTCAAAGGTATGTCAATATATATATATCTATATCATTCTCCCCCGCCAATCAAATAAATAACATAAAACTTGAACAAAACACAAACTAACCAAATGTTGTATACTTTTTGCTCTACAGGCATCCTCGGCTACTCCGAAGACGCTCTCGTCTCCTCTGACTTGAACGGCGACTCCCGCTCCTCCATTTTCGATGCGTCCGCTGGCATCGCCCTCAACGACCACTTCATCAAGCTCATCTCCTGGTACGACAATGAGTGGGGCTACTCCCGTCGCGTCGTCGACCTCATCGGTAAGATCACGTCTTTCCCCCTGCTTCCTTCATGCCTATCCCTTCCCTGTCTTTCATCTTTGCTGGGCAGTGTTCTAGTGGTAGTGCCTTGTGTTCCAGGAAATGCCCATGCTAATATGCTCCTTTTGTTGTGTGCAGCTTACATTGCCAAGGTCGACGCCGGCAAATAGCAATCAACAGCGAGCAGTAGGGAAAGAAGCGTCCTCTAATAACAACAGAGAACCAACAGCATCATAACGAAACGAATCCCATAGGAGGACTTCCCGTACTTACTTACCTCCTTTGAAATAAGAAATAAAAATTGGAGTGAATTAGAGATATCGGGAAAACAAAAAACAAAACATCTGTCTCTTTTAATTTTAACTTGTCCCCGTTCTTCCTCTTCTTGTCCCTAGTATCTGCCCGCGCCCATGATTACAATGTCCACCTCTGTTAATAATATACAAGGGAGTGGAAAAAAAGGAACCCGTCTTAATAGTAACCATCTAAAATTAAAGTGAATACCAATATCTATTTTCTCTCTCTCTCTCTCTCTCTCCCGCTCTCGTTATCCTATTTAGTGTATTTTGGTCAAAAATTGTAATCAATATTTATTCTTCTTTTTCCAAGTTCAACGGAAAAGAAATTGATCAACTGAGTGATTTCTTGTTCTTTTCTTTTCTTTTTTTTCTCGTTGCATTCGTGGTTGACAGGACTAGTAGCTGTAAATCGAATTTGCAACAATTAGTGCTAATTCCTGCCCACCATCTGGGCCCCACTTCTACGCAGTGGTAGCACCAAGGCGCCCAGCCACACCGGCACCACAGGCGCCTCTCAGGGTCCAAGGACGTGCCATAATCGGCGGCGGGTTTAGCTATATGTAGGGTCCAGGGGAATGTGGTTGATAAAAAGTTGAACATGGTTCGTTTTTCAGGCTGGAATAACCTTCAGTGTGGTTTTGACCATAAATCATATCAACCCCCCTCATTAAAACTACATATGCTAGTCATGTCTCATACATATCTCACACATCTTCAAATGTATTGAATACAGTGATTTTATTATATTTCTCAGCACTCTATTTCTTAGCTAACCTGGATTCTAACTCATAACTACTTTTCAAATATTGAAGAGCTCTGAATATTGAAGTATAATAACTGATCAACAATATATACTGGAAATAACTATGAAAAAGATGTTTAGTGTGTATAGATTTTAGTGAAAGAGTGAAGAACTGAGTATGATTTATTTTTCATACCCACTTTTTTAAAACTATATTCAACTTTTAATAAATCATATTCAACTGTACGGAGGTCCATCTCAAAAGTTCTTACCTGCCAAGACACTATATAACACCACCAAATTAAATTTCCCACAAATCTGCTTCATCATAAAAAAGCTCAAATCTGCAGTTAAGATGATAATTTCATTTCTCATTAAATTACTTATCAAGATGGCTTCTAATACTGATATTGCAACACATTCTCTAGTGATTACTCTTAAATCTATTGCTCAAAAGACCTCTCTTGAAATATCTGGCATTACTGGCATATCTGTTCATACAATTAATCTTATATATGCTCATTCCATTGAACAAGGATTTGATCCAAATATTTGATCTATTATCATTAAAGATATCTATCTCAAAGATGCTCCTTGCTCCAGCAGACCTTCCAAACAAACACCTGAAGTTCAACAACAAGTTATTTTCAAGATACAAACTGATCACTACAGCCATGAGAAAACCTGTGCTGATATTGCAGGTGAACTCAGTCAAGAAGAATTCAATATTTCAGCTCAAACAATTCAGAGAATTCTGAGAATAGCTGGATTTTGAAAGACAAAGCCAATATGAAAGTCAGATTTAACTAAGAGAATGAAAGAAGAACAACTTCAATTCTGCTTAGCACATAAAGATTGAACACTTGAGGATTGGAAATTGGTTATTTGATCTGATGAGACCTCTGTTATTCTTCTTCATTAACATGATGGATATCAAATATGATGAATCAAAGATGAGGCCTTTGTATGAAGTTGTATTTGCAAACAATGGAAAGACTCTTCTGAGTTTATGTTTTGAGATTGCTTTTCTTATGATAAGAAAGATCTCTGTCATTGCTGGCTTTCTGAGACTGCTGCTGAAAAGACTCAATCTCTTAAGAATATTGAAGCTTTAAATGCAGAATTAGAGCCTCTTCTAAAGAAGAAATGAGAATTGAAAAATGGAATGAGACAGCTTAATCTTTGTCAACTATCTGGTGTCAAACCTACATGAAAATGGAATAAGAAATCTGGCAAGCTTTCTCATGATATGAATGGTGGAATTGACTGGTATAGATATCAAAAAAAAGTTCTCATTCCAAAGCTCTTTCCCTTTGCTAAAGAATGTGAAAAAGAATGCCCAGGTATGATTGTTCAAGAGAATAAGACATCTGCTCATAATCACTATATTCAACACTGAATATATGATATCTACAATATCCAACAAATGCTCTGACCAGGTAATTCTCCAGATCTTAATTCTATAGAACCTTGCTGACCCTGGATGAAACACAAAACTACACAAAAGGATGCACCAAAGAGTCAGACAGAAGCAATCAAGGTATGGGAGCAGTGTTGGAAAGATCTTCCACAGGAGACTATACAAGCATGGATAGAGCAGATTCCTACTCATATTCAAAAGATTATAGAGCTAGAAGGTGGAAATGAATATAAAGAAGGCCGCAGATAATTGTATCTAGATTGTATGATATAGAGCACTTGCTATCTTCAAACCTATCATCACAAGCTTGCTATCTTCAAATTAGACTTTTTGTGGCGTTTTTAGTATGAGAAAGAACTTTTGAGATGATCCTCCGTAACTAACTTAAGAATTCAGTCTTTAATAAAAGCAGTACGTGACGGGTTAGCATCTGTTAGTGGTTAACTTACACAACTAACCCCTCTACCGCCCGCTCGCCTTCTCACATGCTCACGCACGCCCACAAAACACTCCCCTTCTCGCGATTCCGCCCCACGATCACGTAGTCCCTAACAACAATTCCTCCACATAATCCTTAACATTCTTCCACTCCGCGCCCCCACCACAGTGTGACCTCTGATATTCTTCCATTCTGATTCTCTTTCTATAAGAACCCCTTTTATACAACCTTTCCTTCGGATCTCTTTTCTCTTTCTTTCCTTAATCAATTTGTAATCTGTATTAGGATAGTGCTTAGTCTGTTTGTACACCGTTGCAGATAGTGCAGACAGTACAAATGGTACAATCCACAATGTTGGCTTAATCGGTAGCACACCCGTTACACAGTATCAGTTTTTATTGAGGAGATTACAACTGAATATAATTTTTAAAAAAATAAGTCTGAAAAATAAACCATACTCAGCTCTTCACTCTCTCAAAATTTTATATATATTAAACAACTTTTATACACTCTCACTGTATATTATTAATCAACTTTTATTTAATTAGTTCTTCTACTTCAATATCTGAGACTCTCTAATATCTAAAAAGCAGTTATGAGCTAGAATTAGTAACTAAAAGTTAGAATCCAGATTAGTTAAGAGGTAGAGCTTTGAGAAATAAGATAAAATCACTGTATCCAACACATTTGAAGATGTGTGAGATATGTATGAGACATGACTAGCATATGTAGTTTTAATGGGGGGGGGGGTTGACATGGTTTATGGTCAAAACCACACTGAAGGTTATTCCAGCCTGAAAAACTAACCATGTCAACTGTATGCCCCTTTTTGAGGTCGTTTTGGTTGAGTGGTTAAGTCTTGCTTGCTTGTGTCCGGGTAATAATGAAAAGACTGCCAGTGTTATAGTTAACTAATATAATCATAAAATATTCTGTATACTATGTATGTATGCAGAAAAGATAGCTAAATAACCGAAGGTTTAGAGAGCAACACTAGCAGCTTTAAATTAATTTCTTAAAAATAAAATAAAGTAAAATAAAATGGGGGATTTAAACTAGGTAACAAACCCGATGGATGCATCCAGCGAAGCACCGGAACAACAATGATCCCCCATCACGTGGCTGGCCTTCCCTATTTCGTCTTCCGTCTCGCCAAACCTCGATTCACCTTCAGATATCCATCATTCGTTCCTGGGCAAAGGGACGAAGGAAAGCAGAAGAGCAACGAAAAGAGGACGCCGCTGGATCTTGGGTTTATCTGTACACAGCTGTCTCACCCCCTTCTGCTCCCCTCATTCATTTTGCTCTCATTTTCTCCCCTGTTATATTGTTTGTTCAATAAACGGGAACCAGCGGCTCAAGGTTTCTTCTGAAGCTTCGTCATTTCTATTTTCCAAGGCTTTACTGAACTTGTGTAAAGCTTGCAATTTTTTCCTATCTTTGTTCTTTTATCTTCTCTTTTGCTTTTTTGTTTTTTGCTTCCCTGGTTTTTTGTATTTAAAAACACATCTTCCGTGATCTCTGAGTGCTCTCTCTATCCGTCTGCACAGACAGGGTTGTGTTGTACCCCCCTTAACAACCTGAGGAGTGGTCTGCTGCACACATCTCTCCTTTTATCTCCCCCTCCAGCCTCTCTGCTTTCTTTTCATCTCTTCCTTTCAATCTTATTTTATTTTATTCTATTCCATACGCTCTTGTTGGCTTCTCCTAACCCCCGGCCCCCCCCCCCCCCCCCCCTTTTTTTTTTTTTAAAAATATATATATATCTCCTTGTAAACCATTTACAGGAAAAGGACAGGGAAGGGAAGGGAAGGATCCATCTGTTTATTTTTGTGGCTTTCTTTTCTTTTCTGCATTACTTACCTTTTGTTCGATTGTTTTGTTGCCGTTTCCCGAATTCTTTTCGTTTGCCTGGTGCCGTATTTTGGAGCTTCTTCATCTCCTTGCTTTGATTTCCCATCTTGCTTCGTGCAAGACCTGTCTCCGTTTGCTGAATTTCTTACGGCGCAGTGTTGCTCAGTCGACGCAAGCAAGATACATCTCAGTTATGCGCCGTTGAGAACCATCTCCGGCCCTCCAACCAATCCCGCAGTCAACGGGAGAACGCGAGCTCCGGTTCCAGGAGAACTCCTAATTGCACATCATGTCAAGGATGGAAGAGGACGACGATGTCGTCATGTGCGACACGCCTCCTTCCACCGTCATCCCCATCGGATCCCGCCGTCCCTTGAGTCCCAGCGCAGAGAAACCTCCCAGTCCGCTAGAGCTGAACGGCACAACAGCACCGGCGCCGGAGCCACCGGCAACAGTGGAAGCCCATGCACCACACTCGCCTCATGGGAATGCGCCGTCATTGATGCAGCTGTTCCTGCAGAAATTCTCCACACAGCTGGACAAGACGGCAACCAATCCGTCGGAAAACAAATCGCAGCACGACCTCAAGTACGATCTCGACGATGACAGCCTTGTCGAGGATGACTCGGACTGGCCTAACGACAACGTCGAGGCTACCAGGGGCTTGCCCCTGGCGTCGCTGGCGACGGGACTCTGCTACGACATACGCATGCGCTATCACTGTGAAGTCAAGCCGACCCTGGATGTTCATCCGGAAGACCCAAGGCGCATTTATTACATCTACAAGGAGCTTTGCAAGGCTGGGCTTGTGGATGATCCTGAGTCATCGCGACCGCTAGTTCCCCAGCCTCTACAGCGCATAGACGCGAGAGAAGCGACTGAGGAGGAGATATCGTTGGTGCATGATGCGGAGCATTATGATTTTGTGCAAAGTACAAAGTGTGAGTTTCTTTTGCTCTTTCTTTAGCCTTCGTTTGCTTCAATGTTGCTCAGCTTATTTTCTTTTCTGTTATAAATAAATTACGCAACACACTCAGGTCTTAACATTTTCCCAACACAGTCATGCTTGAGGAGGAGTTAATTGCTCTCGAGCACACGCGGGATTCTATTTATTTCAATTCCCTCACTTTTACATCTGCTGTTCTCTCATGCGGTGGTGCCATTGAGACCTGTATGGCTGTCGTGAATCGGCAGGTGAAGAATGCTATTGCGGTCATAAGACCTCCAGGACATCATGCGGAGAGAAACAAGACAATGGGGTTCTGCTTGTTTAATAATGTTTGTGTTGCAGCGAAGGTGTGTCAGAAGGAATTCGGGGATAAGTGCCGGAAGATATTGATTTTGGACTGGTATGTAACTCTTCTTGTTTTCAATTTCCTGTGACGCCTCCATCCTCTGCGCATTCAAAATTTTGTCCGATATAGGTACGAAAACGGGTTAGGTAAGCTAACGTTTGAAAACAGGGACGTGCATCATGGTAACTGGTACTCTTGTTTCTGAAGTTTCCTTCATCTCCGTCTCACATATAAGCAGGAAACGGTATCCAAAAGGCCTTTTATGATGACCCAAACATCCTTTATATATCCATCCACGTGTATAGAGACGGTTCCTTCTATCCAGGTGGTGAAGGGGGTAATTGGGACCGTTGTGGAGCGGGAAGCGGGCTGGGAAAGTAAGTTCCTCTTTCGTTCGTAAGACAACCTCTCCCTGTTTGTTTTCTCTTTTGGCTCACTACTAGCTACAGGAATATCAACATCCCTTGGCCAACACAGGGCATGGGCGATGGCGACTACATGTATGCCTTCCAGGAGGTCGTGATGCCAATCGCTTATGAATTTGATCCGGATCTGGTGATCAGTATGCTTTCCCCTTTAACAATAACCGGCTCATTTTTTCTCTCTTGCATATGTTAATTATATATTGCTAGTATCTGCTGGTTTTGATGCGGCTGCTGGCGACGAGCTGGGAGGATGCTTCGTTACCCCTCCCTGCTACGCCCATATGACCCGCATGCTGATGAATTTGGCCGGGGGTAAAGTTGCTGTTTGTTTAGAGGTGAGTTGAAAGTCGATACGTTTCGTAAGACAAAGAATATTTTATCGCGACTAACAAAGTTTTTACTGTTAATAAATATCCAGGGGGGGTATAATTTCAGATCAATATCCAAGTCTGCACTTGCTGTAACAAGGACGTTGATGGGTGAACCGCCTGACCGTCTCTATGCGTCATCCGCTTCCCGACAGGCTGTGAATACCGTTAAACGTGTCGCGATGATCCAGTCTGCATACTGGAATTGCATGTATCCGAAAGGTATTTTGTCGACTATATTTTCCATTTGCCACATGACCCCTAACTAATCCACGTATTTTTGGACAGGCCCTCCAGAATCGTTCCAGGGGAATCGGGTCCATGGTAAAGCCACGCTGAACTCTGGTTCGTATGCAAATGGAAATATGTGCTCATTTATTTTTGAATGCAGATATTATACGCCAGTACCAAGCGAAACAGCTGTACGACAGCTGCAAGCTCACTAGCCTCTTCATATACAGAGATACCATATCCAAGTCGTTTGAGCATCAAGTACTTGCAAGGTCGGACTATAAGTCACACACGGAATCTAGAAGCTGCCAATTGAGACTATTTAACTAATATTCTGTGTCTAACTTTGTAGTCAAAATTACGACAAAGAAAACCCGCTCTTGGTTATCTTCCACGATCCGTATGCTATTACTTCCCTCTCCCCTTGCCATATATGTATTCACATCTAAACTAATGGAAATGCTCTCCGGTCCTCTAGACCCGAACTCATGGGCATCCCACACCCTGTCACTAATGTATTAGAACCGCATAATTGCTGGCTTGTACGTCTTCGAAACCCCCTCTGAAAATTTTACGAACGTCCTGTCCCACGTCATCTGAATGGCTAACGGTGGACGAAAGGCTGATGTCGTCAAGGGCTATGTTGAATGGGCGATCCAGAACAACATTGGTGTTATCGATGTTAATATTCCTAAGCATCTTACTCCGTCTGAGGTGAGTGACAGAGGTAAAGGAGAAAAAGAAACAATATCAAAGCAAATTAGACAAGAAGGATTGAATCCTTGGAATATGCTCTTGTAAAAAGAAAGAAAGAAAGAAAGGAAGGAAGGAACAGAAAAGATGAGAAGAGAAAAGAAAAAGAAACGCCAACGAAATAAAGAAGCATCGTTTTCTGACACGGTTGGTTTTTACGTTGTGCTATAGAAATCAGTGAACTATCAAGACGAAGACCGCATGCGTATGCAAATGAGCGACCAGCTTGCTACATACCTTTGGGAAAACTATATCGAGTGCGTATCTGCCCTGCTTTGCACTGGCATTCGCTCTCTTCTTACTTCGTGCAAGCTAATTAAAATCTCCCATTCCCCGTTAAAACTCGTATACAACAGACCCAACGACGCCACAAGCATCTTCTTCCTCGGAGTCGGCAATGCGTACTTCGGCCTAGCAAACCTTCTAGTGACCACAGGCACGTTGCACATATATATTCATTCCATCCTCATCAATGACCAGATGCGCTAACCATTGGTCTCTTCTCAACAGAGCGAGTCCACCAGCGCGTCAGTGGGGTCATCTCCTTCGTGGCCGAAAGCCCCGTCCGCGCCGTCTCAAGCAACACCACCACCTGGCTATCGAAGTGGTATAAAGAAGTATGTCTTTTCTCTTTGCATTTCTTGTTCCTTCTCCTCCGCTGACCACTTGTTTGTTTCCCTGGTAAACTGCTGCTAAATACAAAACTAAATACCAGAACTCCCTCGTCTTCGTCTCGCACCTGCACGGCGTCTGGGCCGGGCCGGAGAACAGCCGTAAGCTCTCGAAGCGGTATGGTCGCCTCATCCCCTCCATGAATGTTGGGCTGAATGAGATGCTTAATGCACACAAGGAGGATGTGATTAAGTTTATAACGGATCGGCTGGAAGAGGATGAAGAGGACGATGAGGCCGGCGGGGACAGCTAGGACGGTAGTGAGTGAGTGATTGTTTCCTGTTAGGGTATTTTCAGTTTCCATCGCTTTCCTTTTCGGTTTTTGTTGTTGTTGTTGTTGTTGTTGTTGTTGAGTAAAGGACGAGAATGCGCTGTGATACGACGGCATTTTAAAGGTGAAAGTGGAGAGCAAATATACAAGTATTTGAAGCAGGGCGCAAGAGAGCAAAGTAAGCATCTTATGACATGAAAGATAGATGATGCATTATTGGCAGGCATGACAGATCACACTAATTAATGGAGGGGTTTTCTCATCTCCTTCACTTTTTAAATAAACAATGCTCTCATGCAACATAAAAGTTCTTTTTTAGTGACTCTTACGAACCACAAAAGCGGAGGGTATTGTAGCAGCTTTGGCGCTCGGGAAGAGAAGAACAGAGAAAAGAAAAGGATAGGAAAAACGAAAAAAAAAAAAAAAAAATCAACATGACCAACTGACAACCCAGGTCGAGAAATCGAGATTCAAATCTGAATGCAGACAAAAAGGCTGGAAAGGAGTACTCAAACTCGCACTGGCCCATCCAGGTGTCCACTCATTTATTCTCTCATTATAGGAACAATAACCGCAACTCAAGCCTTCTGGCTGCAGCTGCAGACTTAAACGGCGCCGAAGGTTCACATCAGGTGGATATGGAAGCAGAGTGTGTGCGCACGTATATCTGCAGGGATGGGGATGGGGATGGGGATGGCTAAGGGTACTGCATGTTTGGAGGGTAAAGCTGCAATAACGGGGACGTGGTTGCGTGGAGGACGTGGGCAATGCATTGCGCATGAAAAGGGGGAAGAGAAATGTGTCTGGCTGGTGACTTGTCACAAGTGAAGAGGGAAACGTGAGGGAGGAAAAGAATGAATGCTAGGCCGACTCTTTGCACAGAAACATAGCTCACTACCTCAGATCCACTGGGTTGTGGTCCTGACAGATAACACCCATTGATGAAGGGGAGTGCTGTCGGGGTCATCATTGAATAGAAGCTCGCAATGTGTAGAGAAGGGAGAGGGTGTCAGGCTAACACTACACAGAGGACAGCCTCCTGTCTGAGATTCACCAAGGCGTTGTCGCGACAGACACCTTGACGGAGGCGACAGTCTGGGGTCCCGTCGGAGCCGTTGCTGAACAGCAGAACTCTAGAGAAGTGAGCAGATGCTGAGTCAACACGACACAAAGGAAAGCTTTTTATCTCAGAGCCACCAAGTTGTGGCCCCAGCAGACAACCCCGACAAGTGAGTGAGGTGCTGCCGGGATCATCATTGAATAAGAGAGCTCCCAATGTGCGTTTGGAGGATGAGGGGATACGGCTGCAGAGAGACAAGCGAGGGTGTTCGTGAGTGTCTCTAGTTTGTCTTATATCTCCAAAACACAAAAGGGGCTTGTTGGATGGGGAAAAGAGGGAAAATGGGGAAAATGGGAAAAGAGGGAGAAATTGTTTGCCTCGGATTTTCATCCAGCTACAACTGCCATAACCAATGTAGTAGCAGGAAGTCTCGCCAGGACGGGCCTCTCTCTAGGAGATAGCCCGCTTTCTGCAGCGTCTTCATGTGGCTATATTCTGATTTTGGTATCTCACCGTGGTTGCGGGGTGCTATGCGGGCGGAGGAAGATGAAATATCCATTCGATATGTACTATCTATTTGGATAAAATCGTGTATGCCAACTGGAAGGCCTCAGACGTTCATCCGGCTCCAACTGCCCTAACCTTTGTTTGCGTTGCAACATGTAGTGGCAGGAAGTATCGCCAGGAAACGAGATAGAGGGATTCCTCTCGCTCTGTGGTGGATCTTCATGTATTTGGCTCTTCAGTGGATATGTCACAAATGCTCTTAGAGCATACCTGTGTCTGTTTTGGCGTTGTCAAGGGCTGAGCATCGAGAAGGGGGGGGGGGGGAGGAAGAGGAGCCACCATTTCCGATGGATATATAACTGAACACCCGGGGAAGGGAAGGGGAGGGAAAAGATGGAAGGGGAAGAGGAGAAAAAAGCGAAACCCTACTGCACCCTAATCACCGCGAATTCTGCACCGGCGGAAAACACGCTGATGTGAACGAAATAGGGGATCTAAGGTTGAGGGATTCAGGGGGTGAAACGGTGGGGCTAGAGGTCTGTGGTTAGTTTGGGGAATGGATAAGAGCCAGGGAAGATAGGAGGAAGAATGGACAATCTGGTAAGAAGAAGAAGAGGAAGAAAGGAACGATACCTTGAAGGATATCTTGGTCTGATGGGAGGGTTGCCTGGTTTCTGGTTTTGATTTTGGCGCGAAAGGTTTGTTGCCGGGGATAGGAATCTAACAACACAACAAGAACACGACCGGTGAGCCAGCAGAGCCAGAAACAGACGAAGACAAGTAGGTAGAGAAGACAAAGTGAGAACAGAGGAAGATGAAGATGAGCTCGAGGTAAAGAAAAATAAAGAAAATATAGAAGCACGAGGTCAAAGGGTGGTGGAGAAGATAGCAGCAAAATGCCACGTCAAAATCGAGTGGTGGCGAAATAAAGAGAGAGAGAGAGAGAGAAAGAAAGCAGAAGCAGGCTGGGGGAAAAGGGGTATTTATATATACGGGCAAGATCAACCACCGTAAGCGAGGTGAGTGAAGAGTGAATCGGGCAGCGGATGGAACGTCCCAGCTCAGCAAAGGCGGTGGCTGGTTTGGTATTCTGAATGTCTGAAAAGGGGTTTCGTTGCTGTGGTGTGTTGTGTTGTGTTGTGTTGTGTTGTGTTGTGTTGAGTGATATCCCTCCTGTCCATGAAGTGAAGCAACGGTGATCACATTTGTGTAAATAATAGGCTACGATTGGGATTAAATTGATACATACACACATATGCACACACGGATAAACATGAGCAATCATGATGCCAACCCATTTGAAATACACCCGAACCCTCGAAGCAAAATGCCCAATATTTTTTGTATTGCCCTTTGAGAGCCTCCGACGAAAGGAAGTAAGTAGAAAATGAAGCACACAGAAAAAGAGAGATTCCCTTTTGTTCAAACGCCCATTCGTGACTCTCTGTTTCTCTAGCCCCAAGAGGAAACACCAGAAACCAAAAAGAGTAAAATAAAATAAAATAAAAATATCAAAACTAACAAAGGGGAAATGGAAAGTTATCAGATAGAAAAGGGATTAAATTACCAGACCAAATCCCAAGGACCATCGCCACACCAGGACGAAGGAAAACAAGCTAAGATTGGTAGCTATATCTTTTGTCTTCTCCCCATGGGTAAAAATCAATCAACACGATTTTTCACCCTTTCACCGAATTTTGGTGCGCCGCCGTCGGTGCAGAACAACACTACTTACTTTTCTTCCGTCTCTTGTTTGAAGAAGATACGTTTGCTCTAGCATTAGCACTACTCGTCCCCTCGAGCCCTTGCAAGCTCTCATCGACACTCACTGCTCCAGGACTAGTTGTCTCACTGCTCGAAAACGCCTCAGTGATGCGAGACCCATCAGATCCGCCGCTTCTTGCACCACCGAAATTAAGCGTGCCGGATCCATCACCCAGCCCTGAAGTGTCAAGATTCTCACTACCGCTACTGCCGTGGTTGATACCGATATACCCATCAAAGTATCCAGGCGCTCCTGACACCGGCAGTGTATGAACAGGCGCATTGGAGGTACGGAATACATCGCCGGTCGTGACCAACGGGAGCCCGTCGAAATCGAATAGATCGCTAGCGTGAGTATCATTGACAGTGGTGGTATGGTTTGTGGCGTTGCTATCAGACTCCTTTCCTTCGCCGGTTTGAAGATCGTCGTTGAGCCCAGATAGGCCGCCATTTTTATCCATGCCCGGGAAGTCGGAGAAATAGTCACTGTTAAAAATCTGATCCAGGTCCAGGGGCGGAGGTGGCACCCCGGAATTCAGGCTGTTTTCATCAAGGCCTGGGATTGATCCGTTAGGGCTCAAAGGCTGTAAAAGGCTCGTGAGATTCTGAACGGAGCGGTCTTGCTCTGCCTGCATTTTCACGAGGTTGTCGATTTCCGCTCGCGTGCTGGCAAGGCGGGTAGGGTAGCCTGCTGGCATCGGTGGCGGAGTTGGTGTGATGAGTGCATTGTTCGGTGACGCTGTAGTAGTTGGATCGGCGGCATGGTTTTGGTTGGCAATCAGGCGCAGCATATCAGCTCGCTGTGACGCAGTAAGGGGAGAATTTCCACCGGACGTTTCAAACGAGGAGAGCATTCTGGGAAAATCAGATAAGTTGGACGATGGATTATTCCTCGCGTTCGAGTTCTGGATAGCAGACATGATGTCTCTCTCGGGTAAGTTAGGCGCGGATTGACCTTGCTGAGCAGATTGGGACGATGGCGTTCGCTGGTGCTGTACAGGGAGCTGCTGCTCTTGTCGGTTTGGGATTGGTGCCTGGGAAGCTGAATTGTGTGGACTGCCAAACAGCTCTTCGATGTTCCCAGACGCCGTGCTGTTCTTGTGCTCGGATAGTCGTCTGTGACCTAGAGATGTATCGTAAGGACTGGCAGTCGAGGACGGACTTATTGCGTTGCCTTGCAACGGCTGTACATCTCGGTCACTAACTGGAGGCGCCTTCAGCAGCAATTGCTGTTTCTTAAAAGGCCGCTGACCTGAAGGATCTACATTTATACCTCCGATATAATCGTTCATGTCGACAATGTTCCGCTGAGTAGTGTCTTGGGGTATGGCTCCAGCAAAAGAGTTAACAATTCCCTGGATTCCTTCATGACCCTGTAAACTTCGGTTGTACACCGTGGCCAGGAATGTGAGTATGGCGTTGATAGAATTTTCGTGGCGGGTGTGCTGTTCCTGGAATGTGGCTGCCTGTCCATAGAGCTGTTCGTGCTCTCGTCGCAATTTGCCGATAGTCGAGGATATTATTTGCTGCTGTTGACGAATATTCTGAAGCTCACGATATACATTGGCTAATTGTTCATTTGCCAGTATGCCCTCTCCAGCACCGATAGAGAGTTGTCCACGAAACCTTGACCGCTCATGTTGGGCACCACCTCCTTCGTCTCCAAAGTCCTCATTATCTCCGTCATCTCCCTCACCGTCGTTCTTCGCACGTTGTCCACCTTTGGCAGACCCTCGGCCATGGGCAGATACATTCTTAGGCTTCTGTATGAGCCAAAGGAGATCAGGGTGACCACGCCTGAAATAAGGATTCGAATATTCGCTGGGACTCTTATTTTTACGTTCGCTAGCCCGCATCGAATTGTCAGTTAGCCCAACTTTTTTATGAAAGCCGTACATGTTTAGTTGACGAACGAATGAGGCGTAGTTGTTGTGTTTGAAAAGCTCTGGAATTAGCGTTTTGGCGAATTCATCTTCGTCCAGGACAATAAATGAATTCCCATCTTCAGACCATCGTATTAGATCGGTATTCTTTGACTCGTCGAGAAAACTGTTTCAGAGAAAGACATCATCAGACGCGTTATTCCTCGTTGCGGGTACGTATAACAAGGACAAAAAACATATGTCGAACAGCATACCTGCTCAGCTTCTGTACAAATGGCGGAATTTGTTTCCTCTTCGCCTGCGCGTCCTTTTTGGCCAGGAGCGCTCGTTGGGCCAGCTCTGCTTCTGTCTCCGTGTCAGGATCTCCTCTGCTATCTGTTCTTGGTCTGGTTGGGTCCATCAATGAAATCGCATTCTGGTCATGTAATTGCGCTCGACTAACTAGCTGGTTCCCTGGCCGCCGCGTGAGTTGGTTTGACGCCTGCAAGGAGTCGACATCGACTGTCTTCGGCACGGCGGAGGGGTATTGCTGGGATCCGCCGAGACCAGCAGGGGGGTCTGAATGAGTGGGGCTGGACTGCGCCCATTGTACGAACTGGTCGTTGGATAGTTGGAGGTCCGCGGGGCCTATGTGTTGACGGGCAATGGGAGAGGCGCCTGGCGCTGGTCTCTTTCGAGAGACATCTGGCGACGTCATTCCCAACATACACTAGATAACGGGGAAGTACGGATGAGGAAAACAGGCAGTTAGACCACGTGGAAAGGGGGATCGGACGGGGAAACCGAATTGAGGCTAGAAGGGATGAATAGTGATATGTCGAATGAGGATTCAGAGAATCGGGATTTTGATATCTGCGTGTGCGTTCCGGGAACGGGGTGTGGATTATGGCGTCCGTCGTGACTCGACAATATGAGGTTTTCGGGCAGTAAATGTGGTAGGAATACTGCCAACTCCGGTCAACAACCAACAAGGCAATGATAGAAGGCAATGGGGTTCACAATGAGATTGCAATTCTGTCGAACAGATAGATGGAGGAGATGGGGGAGGGGGGTTGTCACTTTTTCATCACGCCACCACTAGCCTAGCTGTGTGGATTTGGATGGATAGTTGAAGGATTAGATGGGGGCGGGATATCCGCCAGCGGACGAAGGGGTGTAATAAGACACCAGAGCAGTTGATACCGCAAGATGTAAGGATGGGACTGCAGGCGGGGATGGACAAGATGGACAAGATGTTGAAGTTGAGGAAGATACCGTTACATGCCGCTGCTTGTGGTTGCTGTTTCGCGACTTTTAAGTTGCACCTAGCCTGAAGCGATATCTCGGGAAGGGCTGAGCCAACAGGACAAACACGCCAAGACAAGGCGGAAAATAGGTGCCATGTGATGTCATAGACTATGTTCCTGCAATGTCTAATACTCCTCGGCATAAACAATCTCCTTTCTTCTGTTAAATGTTGAAGTCGATGTCATTATGCATCATCATCATGTCTGGCTCAGTATTTGAGTGTTTCTCTTCTTGAAAAAGTATGAAAGTCAATGAATGATATTGTTAAACTAGTTTGCAGGCTTGTGCGCACATGAAAAAATTATATATGGAACATTCTTTCTTAAAACACCAGGGAGATATTTAAAAGACAAAACACAAGATCAACAAATAAGATTGCAAGTCATCAGTGCAATTAAATGTGATAGCAAGTCTCACTTCTGTTCATACTGAGTTTCTGTCTGGGTTGTCCATCTCATTACATTACTAGCACTAAGTGAGGTTTTAGAAGAGAGATTGGGAACACATTCAACAAGTATGGCTTGTTAAAGTGCAAGACAAGCTCCTTGTCTCAAGTGACTTCAATAGAATTGTATGCAATTGGTTAACCCCCTATTGCAATACACTTAGCTCTGTCTCATGCGCAACACAATGGAGCCAGTCACAAAGGTAATAAAAATCATACCTTATTATTCTCCCAGCGAGCGCCATCATCAGGGTTCCAGGCCGCCATATTGCTCCTTTTGGTTCCCCCTGTCTTCTTGACCTCTTTGTTTTCTTGTTTATCATCCGTCATCCATCATGATTACCATCATCTTATCTCACCAATCTTCTTCTTAAACCCCCCAAGTAGTGTATCCCACTGTTCAGGGTATTTCGTAGCAAACTCTTCCACGGCCTTGGGCGCAGTAAGATCACCCAGCATTCGGCCTTCATTCTTCGTCCCGTTGAGTATGACTGTACCCTCCAGACCTAGCACCAAACAGTACAGCGCGGCCTGCGGGGTGATGCGAACCTGCTGGCTCAACATCCCGACCTCGGTCGACCTGACCAGCTCCGAGTTTGCAGTCAGCGTCCAGAAGGCCTGGTATATGATGGAGTTCTCGTGGCAGAACTGGCGGAGACTAATGTCAAACCTTGATACCGGGTAAAATCGATTCTGAACCACAGCGGGCTTCACCTTTGCCGACCTGCAAAGGGTCCTGAGGAGGGAGAGGTCGCAGTTTGAGATTCCGAGATTTCGTATTCTGTGAGGGACGTATTCTTCTAGGATTTTCCAGGCTTCGAGTGTCTCACTGATGGTTGGGAGAGGGCTGTGCAATATTAGTGCGTCGAGGTACGTTTCCCTTTCTGAACTTATATCGTCCAGTGGGCGGAGGTTTGCCAGCGATGATTTGATGGAGGAGTGGATCTGGGCTGCAATTGGAGCGGAGGGGTCATAGGGAGCAGAAGTGGGGTCTTGACTGGCGATTGGAGTGAATTTCGTTTGTACCTGCAGCAAGCCGGCCACGATACTATCATTAGCCCTCGAGCACCCGAAGAATACAGTGTGGCACATGGAGTCCAAAAAAAAAATCCGAGATTTCACATACATAAAGATCCTCCCTCTTCACTCTGTCGTCTGCCAACGCTCTTCGCAATCCCGCTCCGGCAAGATCTTCTCGATAATGCTTCGGTTGCGCAGCAGTGTCTATGCCTTTAAACCCAGAAGCAAGAGCCTGGTAGACGAAATATCCTGTCTGCTCCTTCTTCCAAGCAGTGCCGTATAGAAATACAGGGATTGCTGTTGGCGGCGGAGTCTCAGCCGCTGTTGTGAGTGCAGGGCGGAGGACTAGCTTTTCCCATGGCGATGCAGATGTCATTTCGGCTTTTTTTCTCTTTTCTGTAACATGAGGTAGAGGCGGGAAGTAATTGTTGTACGTAGTACTTGACATTGTCTTAAAAGAAATATTATAAGTAAATAGAACGTGTGGCGTTGTATGATCTATAAATATATGCTATGTCGTCATTTACCGCACCCCCAATCAAACAAACCAAAATAAACCCCTAGTTCGTTGACTTCGAGAGGGACTTATTCAAGGCTGTTAGTACCTGTGTACGTTCGTTATTATAGATTATGCACCGGCGGAACTCAATTTGCCTGATGTTGCATACTAGCATTCCTATCGGCATCCCGGTACGAGATGCAACTCACTTTCATTTTCCATCCATGTTCATAAAGATTCGGAATCTTGGTATTTCTACCGGGCAAAGCACAGGATTGCATTCTGACCATATCCTTAAAAAAGGGAAACATGCCTGCCACAACGCTGAAAAATAAGACTTTCAATCTGCCCATGCTTCAAATCGGCAACAAGACGGGAGGCGAGTGAAATGCTGCTTTGGCCCGGCTGATGCACAGTACGTACTAGGTACACAAATCCCAAGCATCCCTTCCTGAACTCTTAACCTAACCCGGACATCGAGCTGTCGGGTGGAGGGAGGGCTTCCAACCTATGTATTTATCCCTAGTATACTCGTATTCTCGCCCCCTAACTGCTTACTTTGCCTATAGAGTATCGAGCCGAGTTGAAAGTTGGTTCTACGAGCTTGTTGCGCGTCGATAGAAACGATATATGAACCAGCCTCGGGGTGGAGCCGGGTTCGGGTGTGGGGTAGGGGGTGGAGGAGCTGTGATAAGAAAATTCCCTCTGCTTTCCTGGTTTATTAGTTATTTTGCGCTTTCATTTCATTCTTATCTTCAACTAGACTCATGAATTCTGTAGAAATTGTCCATGATCGGGCTAATCTCGAATCTGGATGCTATTTCCCTGTGGCAATCTACCCAGGCAGTATATACAGAATTGAAACGGGGATCGCTTGTAGAAAAGTATTCATTGATCCGCTGCAGGAAAGCAAATTTCTTGCTCTAGAGGCGATTTCAGATTCAGATGGATATGGTAGTCTAAGCGACCTAGGTTGAGCTAGCTCTGTCTGTCCACCGCGGATGGGCTAACTTGTGACGTAGTTACCGAGGGAGCTGTCAAGATGCTATTCCGAGACGGATGTACCATGTATTTGAAAGGGTAAGCTTCTGGATGATGCCACCGATTGGATCCAAGGAAGATAAAAGAGAGCGAGTGGCGGTGTTCAAAGCTTGGGTCAAACCTGGGATTTGGCAGTTGGAGAGGTTTTGCTGGAAGACACAAACGATGAGCAGAAAGCACGCATTTGTCGTTCGATTTAATCGCCCTCTCTCTCTCCTTTTCTTCTTCTTTTTTTTCTTATGTAAATGTTATTAGTGAATCCAACGGTCGGGTAACTATATATATAGATCTTTGGAATCAATACATCAACTTGTTCGAGCAGAATCTTGGCTTGGAACAGACCAATCTCACATGACAGACATCATCTGCCTGGAGTGGCATCACCATCGTGGCACAGCAAGCGCGGCGCAGTAGCATTTGGAGTGTGGCGCCTTTGGCCTCCCCGCTCTCACAAGTCCTATGCACGCAGCAAAGGGTGGCTCGTTTGCGCGCACGCTATTCGTTCTGAGCTTTGAGCAGCTAACTGATGAACTTCTGTTGGTGCCTATAGTTTCTCTCCCCTGTTGAAAAACTGATTCGATCATGCCCTTCAAGCCAGGGGAGAGTGTTAGTTGATTTTGATGGAAGGGGATAATGGCGATGCAATACGAAGCTCTTGTGCATCCGCGTGCATCTCGAAGATGGGAGGTGGGGAATCGAGGTGAGGATGATTCACCTGGGGAAGGCAGACATGATTGGGCCAGCCAGACTAATGATCCCGTTCAATGCAGGGTCAGCTCGGACTTCTCCATCATGATCAGGACATAGCTCAGCCAAGGGCCGACGCATGGAGCTGTGGCCATCCAACGGCGGACAAGACTCACAAAAACGCGCAGAACTTGTCAGCTTCGAAGGGTGGTACGAAGGGGTGGGAGGCAAACGCGAAGGCAAGGGCAATAACAAAGGTGAGAGGTCGACGACGCAAAGGTGTACTACTACGATTATATACTCCTGCGTAGGACGGACGGGGGAGGGGAACAAATTAGAACTATTCAACAAAAAATTATCGAGGGAGAGGAGGACATTGGTGCAATCGCTGGGGCAAAAAAAGTACATATGGCGCTATTTCTGATCATGCAACACCAAACACCTTGGCTTCTTTGTAGGGCCCCGACTTCAGGTGAGAAGTCCAGCCCCTATTTTTGATTTGATCGAGGTATTTTTCTTAGTTTCGGTAGGCCTAAAACGGTATCAGATAATTGATGAGTACGGAACAACTTGGTTCGTTATTTACGAGTGGAAATAATTGCTTTTGTTGAAGATTTTCCTTCTTGCTGTGTTTCTTTCGCTCTCTGGAATGATATTAATTCACCTCTTGGGGATTTACTCTTTTTTGGTTTTTTTATTGTTGTCGTTGTTGTTTTGCCGAGAGATACCTGCGTAAACTAAGACATGACGGGTTTGCCAGGATTCAAATAAGCCCATTTCAACATCTTGAGTAATGTTATCTGGTCAAAAATACCAGGCATGGTTTGATAGATTTTGAGACGCTCCCGCGTGCAGGAAAAGGGGACGTGTGAGGGCACCATCACAATTGGTTCCACCGAACTAGGAGTTTCGACTATTGGGCGACTTGCGCCGTGATGAGGAGATGGCGTGTGGAATGGCGCGCTATCTGAAGTCGGAAGACAGACCTCGAATTTGGTTTATCTCCACATCTGCAGAAACCTCTGAAGAAGCCAAAAAAAAAAAAAAAGGAAAGGAAAAAGAAAAAGAGACGCAAGCTGAGCAAAAGGATAATAGTAGACAGTACTCCGTAGAAAAGGAGAAAAGCAAGCCCCTTCCATTGAGCATCGGTGACTAGCAGCAATAAATTTCTGGAAGATAAAATAATAGGCAATGAAAACAGGCCTGTGTCATTGTATTTTGCGACCCAATATTAGAAGAGGATATGGATTTGTGGTTCAGCGGTCCGTCGATTACCCTAAGATATGAACTTGATGTTATGATGGTATTACATGGTTGAATTCTTTCCAACACCCTCGCTATCTATCCCCCGTTGCCTCGGCAGACTTCGAGGACTGGAGAGAGCATACATAGTAGTTCCTGTTTATTACAGAGTTTTATTGACTTTGTTTAACTCAAGCTAATTATTATTGATGTTATTGTTATTTTCAAAAAATACCAAGGCCTGTAGAAAGCAGGGCCTGGAGAGGCAATGGATGTACCACTGCGGTACCCGTACAGCGGTGTAGAGGCTACAGGATACCTTTCCGTGACCCGGGAGACTAACAGCCCACAAACCGGGCAGCTGGCGCACGCTTGACAGGCTTACAGTAATATTACAGGCATCGGCGGACGATTTTGCAAGGGACCCTACCGCGGGCCGTTTGGTATTGTGCGGTAATTATAGGAATGATGTGTACCGTTCTGTAATTTCCGTCCGCAAACACACAACTAACCGCATTCTGTTGCTGGGGCGCTGCTTCCAAAGGCTCTTTCTTCCTCCTCCTCCTCGCTCGGTTTTTCTCTCCTCCTCAACCTCATCTCTCACATTCGCCCGTCCTCCATCCTCCATCCTCCGTCCTTCGCCCTCTTGACTCCCTCCGACTCTTCTCTTCTCTCCCCTCCGCTTCTCTTCTCTTCGCTCACTCTTCATCTTCTCTTCTTCTTCGCCCTCATCGCCGCTGCCTGCCCCTTCGTTAATCCATTCACCACCAGTCATAGCGCCTCTCTGTATTCCCAACCCGCTATATATATTTTCCCTTCTGTCCCTCTGGCTACTCTACCGTTTGGGTTCCTGGGGCTCCCTCCTATGTTACCTACCTAGTCATCTCCCCAATCTGCATACTACTGACCCCTTCCCCCCAGGCTCATCCCTTGATTGATTTCATCCTCTCCACTTGGTTGCTGGTTTACCCTTCTGGTTGCTCGACTATATTCCCTCTCCCTGGTCACGGACGACGAAGACGACGACGACGCGGTGGTTAGCGTTTGGTTAGCGTTTGGTTAGGCTTTGGCCTATTTCCGCCTTACACCCCCTCCCCCCATCGTATCCACCTTTATTTTTCGTTGACGTCCTGTCTTTCGCCAATTTTTTTTTCTCACAACGCGATTCTCTATTTTCAGGTTCTGGGGACGGAGGTTGCTGCTACTACTGCCTGTGTGAACATTACCTGCGCAAGTTGACAACTACATTGGCTCCACCAGCTTTACAGACCAGACTCGGATCCCACCTCGTCCCGCCTCATCTGGCATCAAAACAGATCAGATCAGATCAGACCAGACCAGCTCAGAATCAACGTTTTGGTCGTGGTCTTTCTCGCACACCCTTCGTTCTTATGTAACGACTTGATGCTGCATACGACTGATGAACACGACTTCGGCCCGTGTCTGATTTCACTGAATTACGCCAATCTGTAACTTGATTTCTTTCCTACGTTCGTTGTTTTCCACTGCCCTAGACGAAATATCCGCAGATTTCCCTGCTCGTTGACAAATTACACAAAAATCACCTGTCCGCTCTTCTCCGATCATTAGAGTCTATGATTTAGTACCAACCGGCCAAAACAATATCGTTTTGATTTTTCGCGCGTTATACGATCTTGAGATCCCTCAAAGAAGCTCCCAGCGAAGTCCTTTATTGCGCGATACTATCCTCCATTCTTTTATTATAGTTCTCGCCTCCATGATTGAATAGCCTTTTTTTCTTTTTTTTGGCTTCGTGTCTTACCGACTTCCAAAGGAAAAGAAGGAAAACCTGTACAAGCCCCTCGAAATAGCTTGTGTTTTTAGCGGCAGCCATGAGTAATTATCATCCTCAGTCTCAAGACATGTATCACGATAACCCGTCTTCTCGATCCCCGGGTTCGCAACGTCATCATCCTCACCAACAACTTCATCGCCAGTCATCGAGGCAATTCGATGCCTACGGGCCGATAACTCCCAGCATATACGACGACCCAATGACTCGGTATGATTCCGCTCGTTTGGATCGCCTAAACCCAGCCCTTCAAGGGAATTCCTATGCATATGATATATCTGGCTCTCAGACTTGGAATTCAAATGGATTTGGAACTACGAATACTTTGGGTGGCTTAGGCTCTGGAGCTGGAGCAAGTACAGGAAGAATGAAGACCTCCGCACGAGGAAGGACCGGACTCCCGGCGGTAAGTTATTGATGTCAACTGTGGCTTTCCTTGACCATGCTTTTAAAGATAATTTCCAGTGGGAGAAGGCCCAAAAAATCTTTTTAGCGCGCCTTGATCTCACCCCAACTAACGTACCTGTCAAAGACTTGGCTTGACCAACAACCAGGCCTTGCCGGCCCTTTCGGTTTAGGACCCAATCCGCTCCAACCGATGCAGAGCCGTTCAGAGAACCTCAGCCCCGAAGGAGACGACGAGCTTATTCCCACCGCTATTGTGATCAAAAATATCCCATTCGCGGTCAAAAAGGAGCAGTTGGTCCAATTGATGACAGAGATGAATCTCCCTCTCCCTTACGCGTTTAACTACCATTTCGACAACGGCGTCTTCCGAGGTTTAGCGTTCGCCAATTTCACTTCCGCGGAAGAAACAGCCACTGTAATCGATGTTCTTAACCATTTCGAGTTACAGGGAAGAAAACTTCGAGTAGAATATAAGAAAATGCTTCCCTTGCAAGAACGGGAGCGGATTGAGCGTGAAAAGCGTGAGCGCAGGGGCCAGTTAGAAGAGCAACATCGCCCAATGCCGAACTCACAACTGAATTCCCAGCCTTCATTGACATCGTTGGCATCCCACATTCCCGTGACTTCTCCTTCCCCGGTCTCCCAGCGTGGTGCGGAACTAAGTGCGTTTTTCTAATTCTCATTATCTCCACGCCTGCTTGAATCACCGGCTGACTCAAATAGAAGTTAACATGAATGAACCGGAAACTCTTCAATACTACTCTCAGCTTCTCTTGTTTAAGCAAGATTCGAGCAAGGAAGCACTGATCTTCCCTGCAAAGCTATCGCCGCTACAACGCCGTACTGTTCATACCCTCGCCCATAATATGGGATTAGGACATGCTTCGCGAGGTACTGGTGACCAGCGCCAAGTTCACGTGTTCAGAGCAACAGACTCGAATGTTAGCCCGCAGGGTCCGGCGAATCCCGCTACTATCCAAACGGGAGATACGTCCCGCCGTGGACTCAACCGTGCTGCTACCATTGACTTCAGCGAAGCTAGGGGCGATGGCCCTGGTCCGTTCAACACTCTTCGTGGACATCATTCCAGTTTCCTTAGTGTGCTCGACTCGCCTGGTGGTTTCGGCAATGCACAAAATCTACGAGCGGCGAAGTCCTTTGCCGACCTACGATCATATACGCCATCTCCTGTGCCTTCTTCTGCTAGTTTTCCCGCCGCTCTCCAGTCCAATGGGACTCGTTTGCCACCTTTCGATGGAAGTACCAGCGCTGCGTCTAACACCCCAACCTTGACCCCGACTCCTTCTGGTTCTTCAATGGGCATTCAACGCGATGATAGTCTACTGGTAAACACTTTGGGAGGGCTTTCTCTCGGAACTGGCATTGGTGGGCCTAACTCCGGGAGCCCTAGACGTCTTCGTGGAATGTTCTCTTGGGAACAACAGGACTCCCAATCCTCTGCCACTGCTCCGATTGGGAGCAATAGATCGATTGGCTTAGGTTTTGATTCGCAATCCTCTCAGGAGCGTATTCCCATGAGACAACCTCGGGGTCCTGCTCCGGAGCGGGGATCGGGCTTTCGCCGCCAGAATGGACATCAGACTCGAGGAAGTGACGAGCTGAGATCGGGCACGAACGTTGAGATAATTGTCGAGTAAATACAAACCCCCAGATCACCCAATAAATTTACGGCGAGAAATGTATACCATTTCATGAATAAAAGACATAATAACCACAACCCCCATTTACCTCAAGCGGGGTTAATGTCTTTACGATTCAATGACGCATGACGAAATGAAACCAGTAATCAAAAGAGAGACTAAAATAAAAAAGTTATTCACACCAGGAATTATATGGAAACATTAGATCTTAATTTTTGGGGCAGCCTAGGACCCAACCATTGGACTCCTCTGGGCCCACAACCTCAACACTCTTCCTTGTTTTCTCAATAAGAAACAGACATTCTATCGGATTTGGAAATTATGTACGGGATGATTGTGCCTTCTTGCCTTCAACTCTGTGTGTGTGTGTGTGTGTGTGTGTGAAGAATATATGATGGAAAACGACAAAAAATGTTTGAGACACTCCTCTTCTTCGCTGCTATGGTATTTTCTTTCCCATCGTGATGCCTATTTACGTTTTGAACGCACCTTTTCTTAATCTTGGAAAGCTCGCGGAATATCATGTTCGTTCGAATTGCATTATAGTTGTCCACCTTGTATAGGGCTTATTTTCATTATTTTGCCTAATCTTCTTTCAAGTTTCTGTTTCTATATCAAGTTTTCTTTCTTGAGTTTTGTTTTTCTTTTTTTTTTTTTGGTTTTATCTCCGGCCTTTTCTTCGCCCCATTCCCCACGATCTCTTGAATGTATCTTGTTCCCATGCCGGCCTTTTTCCAGTTCGCCGATTGGAGGAAGTCTTATGACATGTTGTTTAACTGAGGTGATCCGTGCTGAAGCTAGAATGGGAACAAACACTTGTATATCCAGTATGTGCCAGGATTAGAGCAACGGGCGCTGTTAGTTTTCAATTTCTACTTATTGTCAACACAGTGGTTGATTGAATACTTCGCAGAATAGCATCGCCATGCAACCCACTACCCTCTAGGCCTTTTTTCTTCCATCGCGCTGGCACTGTCTAGTAGATAGGTAACCACTTCTTGCCTTTTTTCCTCCCATTTTATTGCGGAGACGTATACTCTTCGTTCTTCCGTTTCTACCAATGCGGTTGATTTTCATTCCGTCCTTGGATATTGTGCTAGGTATGATGGCACTGTTATCCGAATGAGTGGGAAGATGGTTTCAGGCTTTTGATTCTCAAATTTCAGCCCCTTGACCGATCATTTTAAATCAGCCCCTGGCGTTGTTTTGAGCTTCCCTTTTCTTTTCGGCCCTTTTTTTTGCCCTCCCAACATTGGTCTTCAATCTCATGCTAATTGCTTGTTGGGCCGTGCTGTGCCGTGGTCGTACGATCTGTCTGCCTGCGTCGAACATGGCGAGCGCCCGCCCTTCTAATTTAATAATATGATATTCTGTATCTATGTGACTTTTCCTTTTTTCCTTTTCCTCAAGCTGTCATGCACCTGTGCTCTCTGGTCCAATATTCACACCATTCCCTTCCAACTCCCGCCAGTGGGAGAATACTGTTAACTTAGGGCAGGCTACCATTGAATGTGGTTCATTAAAAGTTGAATATGATTTAAAAAAAAATGGGTCTGAAAAATAAATTATAGTGAGCTCTTCACTCCCCCACCAAAACCCATATATACTAAACATTATTTATACATTCTCAGTATATATTATTAATTAGTTGTCATACTTCAATATTCAGAGTTCTTCAATATCTGAAAAGTAGTTATAAATGAGAATTAGTGATCTAGAGTCAAAATTCAGATTAGTCAAGAAATAGAGTTCTAAGAAATATAGTAACATTACTGTCTCTGAAGTATTCAGAGTATTTAAAGATATATAAGATATTTGAAATAAATATGATAAGTATGTATAGTTTTAATGAGAGAGTGAATATAATTTGTGATCAAAATTGCATTAAAGATTATTCCAGCCTGAAAAATTAATCATATTCAACTTTTTATTAACCACATTCAACTGTATGCCCAACTTTAGAGTATCAATGCTTTTGCTGGATGTGCAAGTCATTGAGAGATTTTTATTTTGTTCCAATTCTTCTCCTACATATTTTCCTTGCTTCAATATTTCACATCTTGACATCTTCGGATGGCTTTTTTTTCCTTCTTTTCTTTTCTTTTCTTTGTTTTTTGTGGACACCAAACCATGAACCCAACTACAGATGATGTATGGTGGTTGCGGGCATATATCAGGTCACTGACTGTCGTGTGAATAGGAAGCAAGGCACATGTTTTTGCCAACTCCTTGCAGGGTGAAAATGATATAAAAAAATACAAGAAATTTTGATTTTCTGAATTTCGCACCTTGTACATATCAAAGGGATAGCAATATAATTATAATATAGGACATATATCACTGGCGTGACATTTTATTTACCGACTCCATGTACCGAGCATCGTAGTTGTCCGAGCAAAGTGCGGACATGCTATCATATCCAGCTACATCGCTGAGAAAGAGTTGTTCGTATCTCCTTGTCAATCCATTGGGCGGGGTCCTGGACGACGAAGAAAAATGGTAGACGCTCTACTGTCTCTTCGCTATTTGGCAGGGAACCCCTTAACTAGGTTAACTGCTAACACTAGTATCCTGCAATTGATCCTCTATACAGAACTATATGAAGGGAAGATTACCGCCCCTTCCCATCCCACTCCCTTCGATGTCCCGACCCCAACTTGCGCTGCCGCTCCCGCTCTCGCCGCCTCCCGGCACCACCGCCTCCACCGACCTCCTTCTCCTTCTCGCGAGGATCAATCACCACAAGCCCATCCACGTCCTCATGCGTGCGCTTCCAATTCAGATCCTTGCCCAGCATGTCCTTGCCGAAGGTCAGTCGGTGCGTCATCCAGTCAATTGGGTTGTCGTCATCCTCTCGGCCGTGGTTTTGGGCGGTGTCGTCCTGCGCGGCGATGGCAGTCGTGTCCCACGTGCGACATGATTGGCAGTTTGCGATGAAATGGAGGTCACAGACTTGTTCTTCTGCTTCTTCTTCTTCTTTTTCTTCTTCTCCATCTCCACTCCCTTTTTTATCCTCTGCCGCATTGGCAGATTGGGGTTTCTTTCCTTTGAGTTGTCTGGAATTTGCATGTTCAGAGTCATCTGCTTTTTCAGTCATTTTTGATCGACTTGACATTAGATCAGCCTGTTCTAAACGAGCTTTGAATGCATTGAACATCCTCATTGCCTCGCTATCTTGGGATGTCCCGTTCCCTAATCCAGCCCCGTTGGTGCTGCCCGAGGTTGGGCGTCGACGGCCTCTTATTGACGTTTCTGGGATCAAAGAGTCAAGCGCAGACTTTTTACGTGTAGGTTCTGTGGTTTTGGTGACGTTGCGACGCATGGATGCTTTGAGCGCATCTATTTCGGCGGTGGTACGTGATAAAGCTGATCGCTTTGCGGGAGGGTCGGGGGAGGAAGATTGAGAGCGAGATGGGGCCTCCGGGTCCGGAAGAGGGAGTTGGGTGTTAGGGTCTCGTGTTGGTATCCGGCTTACGGGCGGTGATTTTGAGGGGGAGACAGATCTGCGCCTATTTGGGTGCAGTTGTTGGACGTCGATATCAGCTTGGTTTTTGTGTGTAGGGGAAGCCCTTGCAACTTTAGTTTGTTTTTTATGTTCCTGCATGCTCTCGTTTTGTTCCGGCACTGCTCCTTCTCCTGACGTGATGAGGTTGGTATTGAACTTAGGCTTCTTCATTTTCTGTGTTGCATGCGTCATATCCTCTTCTTCATCGTCCGCAAAACTCAATAATACTTTTGCGCCTTTGCCCTTTTTCCTCTTATTAGGCACGTCGCGGTTTACTCCCTCTTGCTTCTGCGGCGCGGCAACAGCGACTTTTTCGCGCTTCCTTAAAACATCCTTGAAGGGACCCAAATCGCCCACTTCACACCCCGTAACTTTTACGGCATACACGGGCCGCTCAGTTCCTTCCACCAGATCCCCCTCTGCAATCCTTACTACGTTATAGATACTATCCCCTTCAATGCGTCCAAACATCGTACACGTCCCGGTTAACTGCCTGTCCGCATTACTTCCGAGGGTCACGAAAAACTGGCTTCCATACGTCCCATCTTCTGCCTTTGCCATCCCGACCAACCCACGGCGGTTGAATCGTAGTCTGCTGTGTATTTCATCTCTGAACAAAACCTTTTCCCCATCGCGCGAGTCGAATTCGAACTCTGGATCTTCGTAGATCGATGAGCCTCCCGAGCCTGTTCCCGTTGGGTCGCCGCCCTGGATTATGAAGTCCGGGATGACGCGGTGAAAGGCTGTCCCATTGTAGTACCCGTCTAAGCAATGCTGAAGGAAATTTTTGCATGCGAGAGGCGTTTGTTTCGCGAAGAGGGAGATGTGGAGAGGACCAGCAGTGGTGATGAGGGTGGCGGAGGCAGTTGGTGGTGGCTCCGTATTATAGTGCGATGACATTACGCGAAGCCTTTCTCCAGGATCTGGAGATTTGAGGCACAACGAACCCTTATCTTCTCCCGGTATTTCTGTAGAGGTGTAACAAAGCGGAGTGTTGCAACTAACTCTGAAAGGTTTCGGTGATGGCTTGACCTGAACGTATGGCGAACGTTCTAATCAACCGTAGTGGAAATTGTAGGTGTGGATGCAAATCCATTGACCAGAAACAGAGCAAAAAAGCAGCTTTGGGGCCAGTGTTGGATCTTTGATACACTCAGGAGAAATGTTAACTAGAGATTTGGCGATGGCGTTCCGCAGTTACGATCCGATTACGTCATCAAATGATTGGCCTCACTCCTCTTCTGTATCAGGTAATTTTTCGAGCTGGAATAACCTTTGGCATGGTTTTGACCATAAACCATGTCAACCCCCTCATTAAAACTACATGCACTAGCCATATCTCTCAAACATCTCTAAATACTCTGAATGCTTCAGAGATGATGATTTTATTATATTTCTCAAAGCTCTATTTCTTAACTAATCTGAATTCTAACTCTAGATCACTAATTCTAACTTATAACTACTTTTCAGATATTGAAGAGCTCTGAATATTGAAGCATAACAACTGATTGATAATATATACTAAGAATGTATAAAAGATGTTTAGTATGTATAGATTTTAGTGAGAGAGTGAAGAACTGAGTATGGTTTATTTTTCAGACTCACTTTTTTTAAACCACATTCAACTTTTTATTAATCATGTAACACATTCCAGGGCCATCAACAACATCAGTGCTTCACAATGATAATCATAGCGGGTTTGGCTGGTACTCTGTACATGGACGGTGGCATCCGCTAGTTAACGTCCTTATTGTATCTTTCCGCACACTTTCTCCATTTCATATAATACAGAGGTATTGATAGTCGTTTGTACTGTACTAGCAGATTACAGAGTGCTGGGGAGGAACTTCAGGGAAGAGAAAGTAAGGCGTGCTGTTGGATCATTGACATTGGGGGGAATATGGTGTTTGACTTCTCTCTTCCATCTGCTTTTCGTTGTATTCTTTTAGCTTTCTAGTTGTTCTTATTTCAACCTTTATTATTACTGAAGGCTTCTGGAGGTGTTGTATAGAATTAACTATGTAATATATTATTTCTTTGGTTTATCACCGAGAGGATGATATTTTGAAGCCTATCGTGCCGTCATTATGTGTCGCACATACTAGTATGTACTCACTTATACATGTGTGTTTCCTCCTTTCTCTCACATCCTTCGTCAATCTTCATTAATCGTGCCGTTCCTACAGGTGAGAGATAATCTCGACCCCATCTTCCCCCTGCCCTCCAGACACCCAATGGATCTAATTCCGATAGTCCCTGAACCATAATAAACCTCGTAGACACGCTTGACACCAAAACAATCCATTTGCGCCTGAGACTTATGCGTCTCCTTTAGCCTCGGTGGAACCCTTCTTCGTAACAAGGCGAAACCCACCAAACAGGAATGCAAGTCCCTGAAGCCCCAGGATGACGGCTAAAGCCACAAATGCACCCACAACACCAGCCTCCGTTCTGGACAGGCCACCACTGCTACCAGAACCAGCCGAAGATGCATTTAGGCCATCATCCGCGCCGCTTCCGGCAGCGCAGCGCTCTGGAGTCGCGCTGCAAGCTTTGCAGAATTCCTCCTCTGAGGAAATGGCAATCTGCTTCATGTTGGACTCGAATTCAGTCCATGGCATGAGCGTTTCCGATTGACCGAAGAGAGGGTATGCGGCCGGCTGGGTATCGGGGGAGTTGGGAAGTACGCTGCCATTGCGGAAGAGGAAGCGGACGCTGATGTCGGATCGGCTGGGGAATGGACCAGATGGCGAGGTCGTCGCGTTGGTCACCAGCTCAAATGCCATGCTGGACGCGTAGTCCGGAATGCCGGTGAATTCAGGCTTCGTCTCTGCGAGCTTTGTGAGGCCGAAGAAGGAAAGGAAGATAGCATAGGCACCAAATTGGACGCTGAGTTTGGCCTTCGCACCAGCAGTGTCGATTAGCTCATTGAAGCTGGAGAGAACTTCACCGGCCAAGAGCGAGCCACTGACTGCTCGGATAGGGGAGGTTGCGTTGTACGCAAGGTTGAATTCATGTATGTTTGCCAGATCCTGGAGACGGGTAAATGTTTCCTTCGACGGCAGTTTGTCATCCGGCAATGAGTCGGTTGTGTTATGGATCCTGGCAACGTTAAGGAGATCGAAGACCAAGTATGCATTCCCGAAGTTAACCTTTGATTCTGGAAATGTCCGCTCCACCATGGGTGCGACGGACTTGTAGAAACCGGCAGTCGACTGGAACAGCTCCTGAAATTCCTTCGATTGACGGTACTCGCTGCTGCTGTCCTTGGCTTTTTGACACTTGGTTGCGCTTTGCAGCCAGGCGACATTCTCGCTGTTGCCGCCTGTTGACACTTGCTCGACAGCAATGAGCTGATACCCGTTCATAGGAGCCTCGACGATAGTGCCATTGCGAAGAGTGGAAGTGGCAACATTGCCAACGGGCGGGTAGACAGCTTGCAAGAACCCGATAGCGGATTTCTGCAGCACCTCGTCTTCGGGTGCAGATGCGAGGAGCTGGTGTGGTTGTACAATGTCTGGGCTTATACCGAGGATGCGCGAGTCGGATGAAGCCGCGATATAGCGATTATGATAGTAAGAGCCAGTGTTGAATACCTGCTGGTAGCCCAAAGTGGTCAACTCGGTGGGAGGCGTAGACTTTGACGTGCGGTCTCCATGGCGGGCAAAGACATAGACTCCCAATACTGTCTCTGCAGAAGCCTGCAGGCCAAAAACGGCGAGAGACGCCAGGGCCAACATCGCCGAGGAGAGTTGTATGGGCTGGGAGCGCATGACGGGAAGCTGACTCTAGGTTGCGGGGTACGGTGTGATGCAATTGGGTTCTCGCGCCTGGAAGAGGATTGAATGCCTAGGGCTAGGGAGTATTATCGGCGAAAGAAGGGAGTGGAAGAACGAGCAGAAGAACGAGGTGAGCCAGAATGTACGGGAAGGGTGTACCAAGCGAATGTTTTATGTTGCCAGGAACCATGTCACAGAGAAAGCAAACGAGGAGATGGGCGGGGGAAGAGACACACGGCCATGCCTGGATGCCATTGATCGATCGCATGGATACAGACAAACCTTGTTCAGTATGAGGCCGCTTTTCAATTACGTTATTTAATCATTTATGGAAATCCCCTCTGCTTCTACAACGTCTTTCCCCATCCTATTCCTACAAGCCACACGCCAGGTAAAGTGAGTGTAATCGGTTTGAAAGGTCAATGCCGATATGGCGATTGGGAATAATTCCGTATTGTTCACCACCATCCTGCAATCGTGAGGTTGAATTTTTGCCCCACTTCTCGGCTTTTGCTGGAGTGTGCGCTGAGCTCGCCCCCACTCCCGCCTCGTTGCAAAAATCTCCTAGCGGCGGGGTTCCCTATTTTCTCGGGCGATAAGGTTTTACCTGAGGTTGGATTTTTTGTAGCGAAATAATGCAATTGGACGGACGTGACGGTTGGATGAATGATTATTATATGTTCCAAATTATCAGGGATTTTGACGAACATCTAAACTTCCTGCTAATTCGCATCCCCCGCGTACTACTCCAACCAACCCACCTGTCTGCACCATCTCCCCTCCACCACCGGCTAGGCGCCATTCGATATCTGCAAGCCCTTCCATCCAGACTATTCGTGTTGCGGCAGGCACTTCAATGCGTTGCAGCTCTGTCGATATTGAGGTCAAGATATCCGCCAAGGCAAGTCCCTTAGTCGATTTCAATGTTTTGATAGTGTTCAAACATGATGTCACGTCGCTGGTTGTTAATAATGTGGTGATAATCGTTTTAATGTCGGATGGATGTGGGGCTGCGATGCAAGTATAGATAGTTTCATCGGTTATGGTTTCGTGTTCGGAAGTTGGCTGGGCTTTCGGGCCGTTTTTCGTGGGAAGGGGTATACCTGGGCAAGCAGACAATAAAAATCATATTGGTCAGAAACCCAATATCCTGGTCAGTATTAAGAGGCAATCGGCTTGGTCGGCTTACTGCTTGCGTGGCATGCCTGGAGTACGTTCAGTGCTCGTCTCATGTCTCCCTTGCTCAACTGCACAAGGCTGTCGATTGCTTCCGGCTGTATCCGCACCTGCTCCTTCTCGACAACCTGGTCTACTAGCACGCGGATATCTTCCTCCTTCAACGGACTAAATCGGAATCGCGTACACCGCGACAGTAGCGCGGGAGAGAGCTTGTGTGTGTAGTTTGCAATGATACAAAATCGAGTGTTCGCGGTGTATTTTTCCATGATGCGGCGGAGTGCCATCTGCGCAGTCGCTGTCATCGCATCGGCTTCATCAAGGATGATTAATTTGAACGCTCCAAGGGTTGATTCTGACTTGGTAGTTGGAGCCACAGAGAATATTTGTTTGGTGCCTGGGATAGGAAATACTTGTTAGTTTCATATAAGACCTAATATACTAAGTGAATATCTAAAGTGGTGGATGACGAACTAGCGAATGTTTTGATCTGGTCTCTTACAACGTCAATTCCTCTGTCATCGCTGGCATTTAACTCCAGGACCATCTGTCGCATATTATTCACCCCATATATCCGCCGTGCTAGGGCAAGGATGGTCGACGTTTTTCCCGTGCCTGGGGGACCGTAGAGGAGCAAATGAGGCAATCGCTGGACAAACAAGGGATTAGTCTAGCCAATGTTCAGGGCATTGGAACGACCTTGATCATTTACATTTTTATCGATAAACCTGTTAATAGTACTAATGATATCATGGTGTCCGGATACCTCTTCTAGGGAGTTTGGGCGGTACTTTTCGACCCTTCTCGAGAAAACTATTAGCTGCTTCTCCCGCTGGAAATGGGGAAGAAATGATAAGACCCAGAGGCAATAATACCATGGCAGAACGTCCTCTGCTTCGATGGGAAGATCCGCGGCTATTCTTTTGCCTCTTCCATTGGTATTATCGGAGCTGAACTGGGCAGCATTTTTGGAGGGCGGGTCGTCCACATCCATTTCGCCGTCAAAGTCCGACATGGTGTGGCGGCGAGATAGAAAGGAGGTATGCTATACAAGTTCTCCCCCAGAAATCTAAAATCTAAAACGTATATATGCTGCAGCAATTGGGGAGAATATGTGCAATAACCAACACATCCGTGGTGAACATGATATTATTCAAAAGCTCGACCATCTGACGCGTTGAGCCGCGAAATCAGACCGCGTTAAGCAGTCCGGAGCCGGAAAAACTAATTCACTAAGCAGCACTAAATGGGACTAGTGTCTCGCCGAATGAACATTGCCCAAGAGCCGCAGCTTCAGACTTCAGCGCCGTTGATGGAGCCGACGACGACAACGAGAAACTTCTAAAGAATAATGATCTAGCTAGTAATTCTCAAGGATATACACAGGGAGATTTAGCTTGTTTGAAGATGCCTGTTGGTTTGGTCCTCTGTTCCTCATTATTCATTCCTTCATTGAACCCCGCTGATCCTTCAACACCAGGCGTACCACTCTATCTTCCTCCAGGAGGCAGATGTCCCAACCATAGGTATTTACCTTATAAACATAGATCTATGTGCACCACTAGAGTAGACCAAATGCAGCGTATTTCTCACATGAATTAGGAAATTTTCCTCTCCTACCTCTTCGCACCCGAACGCGTGGCCCGGCCTACACCCTACCCCAACTAGCTCCCGGCACCGCAGAATTCGATATAGACCCTGACAGCGAATCGTACGACTGCCTCGACGAAATCCTCTCCCTGTACCGCGCGAACACGTTCTTCCGCAATTTTGAAATCAAGGGTCCCGCTGACCGCATGCTGATATATGGCATCCTCTTCATAAGCGAGTGTCTGACGAAAGTGAAGCCAGGCATGGCACCGAGAGAGGCGGAAAAGGTACATATTTGTTGCAAGGATAAGGCTCAATTAAACATAAAAATAAAAATAAAATAAAATAATGATTGCCCTCTGGGATATCGTGTTTGGATCATATCCTGTTGCGGTCGCTAATCCGTCGCATGATCAATACAGGTCCTTATCAACACCTCACTCGACCACTTCGCAATCCCTGGGGATGCATCTTTCCCCCTTAACCAGGCATTCGAACCTCCGCGCGATCGCCAGGACGCAGAGACCTTAAGACAGTACGCAAAACTCCAGGAGTCTATATCGTTTTGTCTTTTCTGACTGAAAACTTACCTGCCGTGCTCTAGGTATATTTCCCAAGTCCGACAAGAACTTGCCCTCCGATTACATTCCCGTTTGTACCCTGGGGGCGTCGGGCCGTCGAAGGTAACGTACAGGAGATTCATTTCTTTCTTCGCCGCATCCATAGCATGTGATTTTCCACTGCATCTCCGCACATCAATGGCTGACTTGAACTCTTCTAGTGGTGGCTGGCTTTTTCCAAACGAAAGTTTATGGGCAAACACCTTTGAGCGGTCGTCCTCGTATTTCATTTTTCATTGTAGCTTTTTATGTTTATTTTATGTTTATTTGTGTTCCTCATTTGGGCACTCTTCATGTTTCATATGCCTTCCCGTTTTATTCATGATACAAAATACATGTCTGCGCACTCATGCTTGTTGCTGCTCTCTTCTGCCCCTTTTTTACATCAAAACTCCTTCTCTTTTGCGTTTCTCGCTTAACTCATCCCGCCAGCTATTAATGACTCATCTCATGGAATGTAGTACGGGAATAGAAATTTCTTCCCTCTTCTTGAGAGCTACACAGGATGGTTCTGTGCTGCGAGACTTCGTTATTTGTTAGAGTAAAGTTCACTTTCCAAAGATATAGATTTCTCGACCAAGTTGCCAGGCTTCTATAACTACTCATATGAAATATTTGTAACACGTTCAATTGTCCGATCCTTTTGATTGGTGAATTGCGTCATTGAACAGGGCTCTTAACTGCTGTTGAGGATGCATACATACCCACATTTATCTATCTTTCTAACCCAGGCACATAAATAGGAAAACCGCAACACACATTTTATACGTACAGTGTATGTAGTGGCTGGAACGTAGATCAAATGAGAGAATGCAAGGAAGAATATCATTAAATTTGATTGCTTGCCAGCGCCAGTGAGCTGGTGGGCATGCATTTTTCTGCGTGTCTGATTTAGCACAAGGGGTATCAAAACAGGGGTAAACAATATGTCTTTACTACATAGGAGATGAGTAGTGCGGGGAATAGAATCAGAGATAACACAAATGCCCATATCAGAAAAGTTGAAAATGACGAGGGACTTGTTGAACCATGCTACTAAATGAACGTATATAAATCAATCAATCAATCAACCAAAAATGGGAACGATACAAGCAGCCTATGCTACATTTGCATAACGCTGGTGCCGACTTCCGCCATCATAGACTTCATGACGACTAGTGTGACTGCTGCCATTGAGAATTGAATAGTTATTAGTATATTCCCTATCCTTGCGGCGCTTCGGCATATCGATCCCGTCATCCAGCTTGCTAGGCTTGACTATTTCCGTGTCCAGCTTCTGGTCGAACAATATCTCTGGGTTAAGTGCGACGGCCCCCTGGGGTACAAATGTCGCGCCCAAAATAACCACTGCCAGGATGGTGAATTGAACGGCGCCTACGTTCAGTATCGCTAGGTGTATGTCGCCGCCATTCTCGGCTCCACCAGATTCGTTGAAGACGTGGTCTATGTACGAGCCTAGAGCCGGGGAAGTGATGGCGTACAGGACAATGTAGGTGGTGTAGAGGAACGCCATCACGGCGCCCAAGGCGGAGACATTCCGTGTCTTAGACTCCACGCGCGCAAGTGTCGCCTGGATGTATGCAGCGAGAGAGACATCGCCGGCAGCCCAGCCGATAGATATGGGGAGAAACGTGGCGCCGGCTATCCAGGCATAGCCAACCTGGCCAGCCGGGGGGTACCAAAATGGCAAGTACCATACTACCAACAACAGTACCGCATCAAGCCGGATCCATGGAATGGGGGTGGTAATGAGGTTCGTAAAAAAGAACACAAATGAAGCACCTATCAGTTCGCCCAAATTTGAGCCCCCAACGATCAGCTGCGACCAGGCTGAATTGCCCAGATATCGTCGGGCTATTGCCGGTGCTATCCCATTTTCCAGGTAGCGGTGGCCATACAACGCAATGGCGTATCCGGGCAACAGCCAGATGAACCGCCGATTAGTGAATATGAGCTTGCCGCCCGTCCAGAATGATTCGAAGAAGAGTAGAAATGACCCGACGATTGATTTGACGTATGCAGGATGTTCGGAAAGCACTTCTTGTACTTGGGGCTTGAAGTCCAGGTTGGTTATAGAGTACCATGTACAGGCGGCCATGGCAAAACAAACGGGGGTGATTATGAAAGAATAGTTATTTCCTAGATTCGGGATTAGGGCCAGGGCTGTGCAGAATGCGCCGCCAGTTCCAGCAATTTCATAAAAGATGTGAACTAATGCATCGAGCCGACGAAGTTTCTGGACATTTCCCCCCACGATATCTCTTGGAATGACACGACGGATCAGTTCTACCATCCCGTAGGCGATACCAGTAACTGAGTAGATGGGAATTAACCCGTCTGTGTTGTACTTGCCATAGTAGGAAAAATCGTTCCTGGGATGGCTATGCTGGAAACTCTTGGGCATGAATTTCCCGCCGGTACTGGCATCCACGATCAGGAGCAGTGCGGTGAAGAGACCAAAAACGAGAACGGAGATTGCCAAGACTAATTTTGTGGGAGCTCTCCGGACGAGGGGTGCTATAAGGATGGCACCTATGCACTGGAAGGCTTGGTTAAGTCCAGTAAGGAGCCCGACTCGTTCAAAGGTTTTGGGAGTCGAGTTAGAGACCAACGCATCATAGTCGTATCTGTTGGTGGCCAGAGAGACAATGGATCCATTGAAAGCCTCCAGCCCGAATTTGTAGAGCATAATGCCCAGGATGTAGAGGGCTATATTGCGCCTCTCGAGCGCAGTGTAACACTGCCAGCTCGCGCGGATTATTGACAGGACCATCCTGGACGGCAAAACTGGGATTGCGGGTAGGGAGAATGAAGGTGGCCAACAGTCATTTCTTCGAGGTCGACCTGCACTGAATCGAGACGTCGCGGGTAAAAGATTGTTCAACCGAGCGTAGCATAGAGATTTAACTAACTTGAAGTTGACAGAAATGATAGGAAAATATAATTTTCTTCAGAACCTCAGCACATATATATCACATTTTAGAGGAGCGGGATGACGAGCTCCTTCATGATTGTGTGCAGGTGGGAAGTTTGCAACAAGACCGAAGGTAACAAGTGCCAATGACAGTGCACGCTGTCAGCCCGTGCATTCCTGGAGCTGTCAAGCCATAATGCTAAGGGTCCGCGGGATCTGGGATAGCTGTTATTATTATCATTATTTAGTCTTATAGGACTTGAGTGGGAGTGGGGGGCCAGAAAGGTAAGGCAGTAGTTTCTTGAGACCACCCGCCAGACAAAGGGTTCAACGCGCACGGTGAGGGGGTCTACCAGAGGGCGAGCAGTAGGGGAATTAACTATCACTGCACCATGTAGGAGAATAACAATCACAATCATAATCAAAACCCGCCATCGGCATCACTTCTTGCCCTGTGAATCTGTGTTATTTTTTCATTCACGTTTCTCTCCAGACAACAAGCGGTGGAGACAGCTTCTCAAAGAGCAACAAGAGCCAACGAGTCGAGCATATGCTTGCCGCAAAAAGCAATGACCTGATTGAAAAATGATCCAGACCTTTCTCTTGAGCCGCTGAGAGATCCTGGTTTGGCGGATTCAATCCAATGCCACGGTAATCATATTGAATGCAAGAATCAGGATTGCGTCAGCGAGGACAGATTCTATAGTAGCATAATATGAAAAAGAATAGAATAGCCACACCTTCTCACAGAGATTAGAAACTGTCCAAGTGAGAAGCGAATCATTGCCCATGTCCGTCCATGCCGCAGACCACGGGCACACTGCATAGGAGACATGGCCCTCATGGACCCCCACGGCAGCGGAGGGGACCTTTTGGATATATTTCTGTTCTGTGTACAAGACGCGGGTTCATTCAGTTGACATTGGTCCCCGCCAAAGAAAAGCAATAACATTGCCCACACAGGGATGTGCCTTGCGGCACCGAATGGGGCTTTGGATGTGAGGTGGATGTTGTTGTAGGCGCGCAGTTGAGCGAATCTAGTACCAGGGGATCACCACGTGCACCTCCTCATCCAAGGGCCTACGGGTGTAATGAGATTGCTCGCCTGGAACTGCCATGACTAACTCCCAAGGTGTTGGTGCGCCTCATCACAATGTAATATCACCACAACAGATAACTTTTCTATCGTCGTCTCGAATAACTAAGAGGTATGTACATGGAAATTGCAATTTTTCAAAAAAAAAATAAATAAATAATACAACACAACATGGAAATATAGAGCTGATATAAAAAGTCTAATTAGGTTTTAATTGAATAGTACTAGTATAAAAACTGGGATCGTTATTTTTTTTAGTTGTATTTATCGAGAATATTTGAGAAGAATCAAGTACTTGCACTAGCAGTTGGTTATCCACTAAGATCGAATATTTGATTATTTAGTTAGTCTCATAAATGTCAGACGTCCGCTGAGTTTATCCAGTTATCCATACTTACTACTAGGATTTTATGGGATATACCTTCCCATAAACGAAAGGAACAGTCGCCAAGAGAGGCGGAAGAGGCAGAAGAGACAGAAGCAGAAGAACAAAGGATAACAGGGCGGAATAGCGGAAGAAAAAAGGATAAAGAGAAGGAGTGGATTTCCGCCACAGTCTAAGAATTGTTTGATTCTAAGCTTAATTCTATTACTACTATTTGAACATTTTTATTCACTAGAAAAATCTTGAGAAATACTGAGATAGATATCATTGTTATTGTATACATCTATAATTGAATAGTGATAATGACGATGATGCTGCTGGTGAGAGGCAAGAAGAGGGTATGATTTGTTTGTATTTGCATACCAGGTGTATATACAATCGCCCCAGTTGGGAAGGGCAACTTGACTCAGAATGAGATATATTTACATTTCAAGGACAACGTATATACAAAGTAACGTAACAGAAAACAAGATATTCACCTCTCTTGAAATGCATGACAAAAATAGAATATAATCGCGTGGTCGCTAAATGGACGTTTTTCAGTGGGTGCTACAATCGCTGCCTTTACCACAAGCAGCCCTTGCATGCCTCAGTGGCGCTAGAGGTTGCAGTAGCAGCGCAAGCGAGGTCCAGGGGAACATCTAGGGCAAGTTAGTCATGTTCAAGCCAAAATGGGAGAACTTGAGAGAGAGAAGACAAAACTAAACCTACCCAAACCAAGCTCTCCAACAGCAGCAATGCAGGCGGCGGATGATGCAGAAAGTGAGCTGAGACAGGCTGTTGGCCAATGTCAATAAGTGCGAGCTCCTATCAATAAATTATATGGGGGAATGCGGGTTTAACATACCGGCCCAGTCGCAATTCGCCGCGGAAGAAAGCTGCGTGAATACCCTGACAGCTTCATTGTACTTATCGAAGGCGTCGCCAACAGAGGGTTGATCACGCTTAGAAGCATTCTCAGGCGCGAGGCCACCCGGGGCAGCTGAGGCAGCACCGAGGAGGATGAAAGCAGGAGCGATAACCTTGGAGAAAAGCATTTTGAATGACGAAGTGGTTGTTCTGGAAATGAACGTAGATTTTTTGAATGTTTGATTGAGGAGGTGATTTTCGCTGGGTTTTCTCTTGCTGATTGTATGTTGAGGGTAAGACATCCATTCCTGTGTGTGAAGGAGCTGATATTTATAACTCTCCTGTCGGAGATCAAATGCTGCCAATGTCTGGATGACGCGTGTGGAGAATTCCTGCTCGTCCACTCGCTTGCTCGGGAACCTTGGGGTCCAAAAAGTCGCGGGGTAAGGTATCTTAATTTCATCCGCTCTCCAACCCTGGCAAAGAAAATCGGTCCTCAGAATGGGGCATGGTAAGCCTGTATTCTGATGATATGGTAGCTTCAATACTCCATCGCCTTCTCGGTAATAAGCATGTGAGGAGTTTCAACGTGGTGTTCCAGGAACAATGTGCCGAATTGAGCTGTGAACTTTAAACGAAACTCAATCTGGAACCATTATCGACAGGACAAAGATCGAGAGATCTCTGGATTCCAAGGTTAAAAGCGATCATCTGATCTGACATCTGATCTTGTTGAGTGTTCTGATTGGTTCGTTCCTCTTACTACCATCATGGCGGGTGGTGCAACAGATCTGACCCCTGGATGAGTTGAACAAATGCGAGAGAGACTACGCGTCACAAAATGTAAGCTAACTAACGACTTCGTTTTTCATTACGCAACTTTAGTAGTGACAATTGCACATGAAATATCTTTTGTAAATTTCATATTATATATATAAGATATGCAATAAAAATACTGTACGATATTTAATAGGACAAGTAAGTTAGTGACCAATTGGTTAACTTGAACTTTTGTGTTGAACATTAAAGTTTAGCCCTTGCAACATGAAAGAAGCCAATTCGCTATGGCGGGGTATTGACTTCTGATGTTGACGATAAGAAACTACTATTCTAAAAGTGTGGGGCTGTTTGGTTACTCTCCACAAGTACTTAGTAAAAAACAATTGCATACAAAATAATGGATAGTTTTATAGAGAATAGAAGATAATAAGATATTGAAGATATCAATATACTAAGATATTAATATAGAATCTTCGATCTTCCTATATTTACTAGTATATTGTTCAGACATCAGTATAAAATTTCATTTCTAATCGATTGATCAACTAAGAAAGTTTCTCTACTTTTAACTCCTACGATGGAGTACTTCCACTTCAAACTTGGTTGTCCCACTGTAACGGTAGGCGCCCCACCTATGGATACACCTAGGTAACTAATTAGTGGAGAATATAGAAAGAAAGATAGAAGAAGAAAAAAAATATGTAGTTCTGTGATACATTTTCACTTTAGCTTCTTAGAGACTAACATTCTACGTTGTCCATATCTTTGTTAGACGATAAAGATCAATTATAAGCCAATTGCAGGCTGATTGTAATGTAAAGAGAAGCTGTCATGCTGCAAGGCCGAGCAAGGTCAGGCATTCCCCCAAAGTATGACCTTGTAGTCAAGTGGTTAACGCTGCCAGATCGTGGCTGGTGAGGATTTACTACTACCTTGGTGCCGGGCGCCGAGTTTAGTTCGTCAGGGTTTTACGGAAGCCTTCCAAGGTTTAGTCACCGGTCAGGTCATGTGGCAATGACTACCGTGGTCGATTGGTCGCTGTTCACTTCTCCACAAAGCTGGGGATCAGATAGCCAGCGACTACCACTAGTTAGTAACCCCCGCCGGCCAGCCCTACAGAAGTGGAGGCCCTTCTGGCGCAGGAACTGACATTGCTACAATATCGTTTGCGTGGTGGTATTGCATTGGTCTACAGACTACGGTTTTTGCCGCTGCAGTAGCAGGGGGCCGGAGGATTGCCTATAATACCCCAATGCGCTGGATAGCTGGTTTTTCCTGAGAATCTCCCTCCACGGGTTATTGAGTGGGGATGCTCCGGGCATGCAGCTCTTGTATCTCTCGTCCATTTGGGGTTTAGCGGTGTGTTCTCAAGTTGTTGCCAGATTATTGCTACGGAGAACTTTGTAGTTAGAACTCTGATCCCCGCACCAATGACCAAAGAATGTTTACCATAACTCGTTTTAACTCCTTACATATCGAACATAACTATTACATAAAAAATGCTGATAACTAACTGATTAACTAGTTAGTTAAACTGATTATGTGAATCTCACACATATTTCCCCATTAAATTTATCATCTAAAAGAACTCAATAAACCCCTTAACATAACAGTGAAGTTAAATGGATAAACAGCTAAAAATATTTCTTTTTAAAAGTGATTTACTTACACATCTAGCATTGCGACAAATTTCTCTTTAACATTTTGGTCATTTGATCAATAGTTAGTTAACTGTCACTTTGGTGTTTACTTATTCAATTACTAAGAATCTGTAAATGACTTGCCATATAGTTAACTAACTAACTATTCAACGTTTATTCACTGCAATTAATAGAGTTCTTAATAAGCCGGTTAGAAAGTGAAAAAAATAAGTGCTTGTTGACACCTTACGCATGATAAAAACATAAATGAAAATCTCCATACCGGGGCTCAAATGAATGGAGGCTGTGCGGTTTTAATGCCAAATCAAATATCAAGCCTAAACACATGTGTAGCAAGCTTACCATATCAATTCCGTAAAGGTTGTATATGGAGGTTGCTATAAGAAGTTTTGACTCACACTTATAATTTAAGCTCTAAATTAATACTTTACCATTTCCAAATACCTCCATTCCAAGCCACTTGAGGTATCTCAAGATTTAGGTTAACTCTAGTTAAACATCACTTACATTAGCTCCTTCGAGATCCTCTAGAAGACAGAAATACTTGGTGCCAGTAACATGCTTACAGCTTATATCCTAGTGCGAGTCAAATATTGTTACAGAAGCCTCTGTAAGCAATCTAATTTTCTCATCACTGCAGATTAACTCTAGTTGTTGTTCAGTACTCATGTGTACAGAACATAATTGAGGAGAAGTGGCTTGCTTGTATAAAGTAGTTATGTGGCTCGCGCCTTTACAGATTGACTTCATCAGTTTGAATAACTAGTTACATAGCTACTTTATTGGTAACTAGTTAACTTGGCTAACTATATCTATAACTAGATGTCATTTTATTGTTTTGCACACTTGCTGAGAGCATGGGGTGTTAACCGCGTAGGGCTGCCAGCAACCAGTCGTATTGCAGAATCACTGTATTATCATTATCAGTATCGACCGGGCGAAATGGAATTCTCAGAAAGCTAATTTACTCCCTACATGGTTAGTGTTTCAAGCTACACCGGGTACTCGTCTACTGCCTGGTGTACCACTAACAAGCTACAAGCGAAGCAAGTTGAGCATGACTTGTTGTGGATGGGCTAATTGGTGCCATGGGTTTGATGAACCTTATCTTCCCCAAATCTCATTTCCCCTTTGACCTTAAGAACATCATCATACTAGTATTAGTATTCTGTTCAACCGCTCGTCACTACTCACCCCATATTTTAACTCCCATTCGTCAAATGGACCTCAAAGGATGTTCGAATTTGTATTTTGCGCCCAACCTCCTTTTTTTTTTTAAAAAAAAAAAAAAAAAAATAGAAGAAGAGAAAAGAAATAGCCGTCTATAGATCTGAAAGAAAAACAGTGCTGCTAGCGTTCTAATGTGCTAATTTAAGCTCAGCGAGAGAGTTCGGATACGTGGGCGGTGGAAGGATATATCCAGAAATTACTAGCTTTTAGATTGAGGATATATTGGTACCGATAGGCAGTTACCGTATTCTTAACTGCGATTCTGGGTGTCCGAAATAATGGTAGCTGCTGGAGTGGCATCTCTCGTGCTGTGCTGGCTCCGGATTTCCGTCCTCCTTTTCTTATTTGCTTGATGGCCTCTCGCTTCGACTTTCCCTAAAGCGGGCAACGCCCGGAGAGCATGGAAAACATATCCCTCAGCACCCCCTCGCCCTGTCATTAGTGGATGTGTTCGGCCAGGAAGCACCTGCCATGGCCTTACGCGCGATGTTTGTATGGTCGGAGACAGAAGGAGCGTCGGATCAACTGGGAAATCACGTTCGTTGATTGCGGTTGCCTCGTCTTGCTTGGGTCCGTCCTGATCCTTGACATGATTAGGATTCCCGTTGGTGGAGACCGGGTCCTTTTGGGAAGCGATGCGCAGAAGACTAATGTACGCAGTGCGTCGGGCCGTAGAGTAAAAGTCTGCTAGCATCACTAATGGTTCGATGTGTGGTGCGTAAACCACCACTGGTGCAGAGCCGGATAATAAGGGCACTGTGTGCTTCAATATTGATGTTGGGTCCATTAAACTTGCAACTATTAGGCCATCAAAACCGCCTGCCCGGGTTTCGTCGACAACTCTGCGAACTTTATTCCACCGCCGGCGTTTGCGATAGTACATGCCACGTTTATTTGGTTTCAAATTCGCTAGATCGGTTTCTGATGCGACCGGAGGTTCATTGGAATACACCGGATCTGTGGAAGGGTCGAGGAGCTGCAGCCAAGATAAAGTTTTGAGATTGGTATGAAGGGGGTGTGAAGGAGATGGGTCGCCAACATCAAACGAGAAGTACTTGAGAAGTGATAGGTTAGGCTGAGCATTGGGATGGATCATAGTGAGCGTGGTATTGTTAGCGGACATCCCTGGGGAAAAGCGTTGACGGCGAGCTGACGAAGCAGCGGTGTCAGCGGGCCGAGATGAGTCGCTGTTTGGTTGTGCAGGGCTATATTGGCTGGAATTTTGCGGTTGTGGGCCATCGGATTTCTCGGCTTGAAGCCGTGAGGGGAGCTCATCGTCTTCTAGGTCTCGAACGTAAGTCTCATGAGGATAGAGTATTCCCATACGCTCTGCCATGGCTGCCACAACCAAGCCTCCAGTGTCGTCAATAATCAGCCAGCGACTAGCCTGGTGTATTTCGGTTGCCTCTGAAACCATGAATGCATTTCCGCCATTATGGACATTCGCCCAGCAGCCTATGAGCCCGATTACCTCGTCCCTTAGCTCCAAAACTTTTGTGGCATCTTTCTGCTCTAACATCCAGTGAGTGAGGAGGGGTATATCCAGGGGTAGGACAGAGAACCGCTTGAGGTATTTTTTCCTTTTTCTCAGTGTGTATTTGGCCAGCGAAAAGTCAGTCTTTTTATCTAGGCCGGAATGGGACTCCAGAAGTTTGTTGATGATCTCCCTGCCAGCATGTGTGGTCCCCGCCTTCAAAGCCTCAATTTCGTCCATAGTCATAAGCTGGCTCGAATTATCATCAACAGTATCTCGGTTTGTCCGCATGGGGCTTTCAATGTGCCGAAACTCCTCGTTGTCCTCATCTTCCCCGGGAATAGACTCATCAGCTATTAATGATTCTGCATGCAACTCAGCCACTGGAACGATACGAAGCGCGTGATTGCCTTCCGCATGTGGTTGATCAAGAATCTCGAAGGTGAGATGGTAAGGTCGCCCTATGATTTGGTTTGCAAAGAATGAACCGTATTTTCCAAGCGATATTATCCTAAGTAGCTAGTCAGTTCGCGAACATAGTGGGATGGGAAGGGGAGCATGATTCCTTGAGAATCGAAACAATAAAGGAAATATGTTCACGGGGGTCCCAAAACATACGTATTAGGGATTATTTGCTGGACCTTGATTGTATCTGACGGCAGCCCTAACGCAATATAGGCGTGGGGTTGGACTGTCGAATGCATCTGCAGACAAAATGAGGAAATAAATTATACAACGGGCTGTAGTCTAACCATAGAGAGCCATTACGGAGAATAACCAATTCCCTTTTATTATTTTTTGCCTATTTTTCTTCGGATGTTTTGGGGGCGGAGGGGGGGATAGAGCAGAACAGTTGCGACAGCGGCTGGTATGGGTATTTTAGATTTTATATTTTACATTTTACATTTATATTTAAATTTTTTTTAATGAAATATCGGATATATATACTTCCGGGCACAGTTACGTCATATCGAGTAGTAGAACAAACAACGCAAACAACACAAACACATCAAACCCACCCAAGGCAGGCGCATTTCTCGTTGCCTCCAAAAACATTTGGTTGGGATCAATCGACTTCATCATTGCTGCATAGCGTCGCCGTTAGAAACTGCGCTGATGAAAGGACTCTAGCTATTGATGCCCTTCCAATCCTAGCGGATCATCCGTTTTCTAACATCTTAGTCTCTGATCTTATCAGCGATCCTCAACATTACGTTTACTACTGGCGTTTCACACCCATCCGCCATGTGCCTGGAAGTTGCCTTCAAGCGGGAATAACTAGAAGTCTACGTCCGGGATCTTCCGTTAGCAAATGGAAGCAGGAAAATTATTGCCTACATTTCTTTCTTGTCTCTTCCATTGACTCCGATCTACAGGGCAACTCGTAGGACGAGAATGTGCTTTTGCTTCGAGAATCGCTGTCACGTTTCCACCAAGTGATTTACCATGGCCCTGGGAAAGGTGTCTCCCAACCATCCAGATGATCAGCACATCCAGGATGGTAATAATCGTTTACCGCATCCACCCTGGGATTCGGCATCCTGTGTTCAAGGTCCTCTTTCGTCACAAACCCCGGTTCCAAAGTCACCCTTCTCCGACTCTGCCCCACCAGGCCTAGATTATGTACCCTCCTCCTCTGTAGCGAATAATGAAGCATCTAACCCGTGTATTCAGGAATCAATATGTCGTCCGGCTACTGGAGACATTGCTCTATTGTCGCAGTCTGATGCATTAGCTAGTCAGCTTCTGCACCAGCCCGGCCAGTTTGACACAGGCGCACAAATATTGGATTCTTCTCTTGAAGATCCCGAGAAAGAAAATGAGGGTGTTTCTAGTCTTGATTCGAAACTCGAAATTTCCATGAGGTCTTCTATTCAGGATCGGTTGATGCATACTACCAGGCATGGCCAGCTTCGTCCAAATAATCCGTTTTTGAAGGCTAGACAAAATGGCGGTGACCCTCGGAAAAGTTCCATCTCTGGCCCGGACCCGTTTGAATTTCCACAATCCAGCAGTTCGGATGGCCATCAAGAGGGTAGGTTGTTCCAAATGTTATGTTCCATCATTACACCCGCAGATTACCATTGTAAATCGCTCACTGATCTGATAGGGAATTCCATTACACACCAACATATATCGCAAGGAGAAGATGGGAAGTTTGCACAGCTATCTTCTCAAATACCTTACATGTACTGCCACTATGAAGGTGACCTTAAAGCTGGCCCGCAAGTAATAGAAACTGTGAGTCCGCTTCTAGAGAAAGGGAAGGAGCCATTAGCCGACACGGCCCCATCTATAACCATCCAATCATCCGACCCATATTATCAATTAGACAGAGCGGATCGGATCATTCAAAATTTTCAGCTGGCCAATTTCAGTGAATCGAGTTCTTCAAAAGAAATCAAACCAAACGAAAGTACCAAAACGGATATACCTCCCATGAACAGTTTATTTGATCCACATGTTGAAAGCAAATCAAATGAGACTCTATCCAATCCGGATGAACGGAGTTCATCGACCTCGAAGCCCACGACTCCAGACGCTACAATTGATCTGCGACAACCGCCGCTATCACATCCAGAAAAATCTGGACAACCTATGCCTGTACTGCAGAAAAAGCTATCTGAAACCTATGATATTCGCCAGATTAACTGGACGGATGGGATTACTAGTTCTCGTAAATCGCCCGTTTTGATACAGAACGAAAACGGCCCATGCCCCCTTCTGGCCCTTGTCAATGGACTAGTACTGCGGAGCAGCGCGGATTCGCCGTCGCCTGTTGTAAAAGCCCTTCAGTTACGGGAGAAAATTTCGTTAGGATTGTTAATGCAAGCGCTGTTCGATGATATTACTTCACACATAGATAAAGCTGAAAAACTTCCGGATATCGAGGCCCTGAGTTCCTTTCTTGTCATGCTACATACAGGGATGAATGTAAATCCACGGTTGGTTTTGGTAAGTGCTCATCTATAGATCTGTTGATGCTTCTGACCTCCCACCTAACACATTATAGCAAAACGATATCTCTGATTTACCTGGGAGCTTTCTCGAGACCACTGATACTATACTGTATGGTAGCTTTAAGTTACCGCTAGTTCATGGCTGGCTCGCGGAACCATCCTCTGCGGCATATGCAGCGCTAAACCGTGTCGCTCAAAGTCATGAAGATATTCAGTTACTGCACTTTCGGAAAGAAGAACTGGAACACCGCGTCGTTCATGGGCAATGTCTCACGGCTGACGAGGAGAAGTTAATAGAAGATATCGACACAATCCATCGATTCGTTAACGTTGAAAATGCTACCCAGCTGAGTATCTTTGGTCTGGAGCATCTCCAGAGATGTCTGAAGCCCGGATCTATGTCAATTCTCTTTCGAAATGATCATTTCTCTACACTCTTCAAACATCCACTATCGAACCAACTTTTTACGCTTGTAACCGATGCTGGATACGCTGGCCACCAAGATATCGTGTGGGAAAGCCTAGTTGATGTCGACGGAGGTAATTCTAGCTTTTTTTCAGGGGATTTTCAACCCGTTGGAAATTCTCCACAGCCTGTAGCTCTACTTCAACTGCCTACCCAAAACGACCTGGCGACATCAAGTGAATCAACTCAAAGAAATAACCTAAATGGGACTATTGGAAAACAAATTAACAATACGGAGCAAACAGACGCAGACTACGCGCTTGCTTTGGCCCTTCAGTTTCAGGACGAGGAAGAGCACCGACGTACAACTCCGCGTAACCAAGCACAAATTCAGACTTCACGTTTTCCATTGTCACAATCTCAGGGAGTTACACATCGCCCCAGCAGCAGTTCAAACTTTCGCCAACAACAATTAAGCTCGCCCGCCAGCCGTCGTGCACCCCAACCACACGAAATTCGATCACTTATCCCGCCAGCCCGGACCCCTGCGGCCAACCTCATCTCTGACGCGCCACCGCCAACATACGAACAGGCTGCCAGCAATCCAGCATATACCCTTTCCCCGGACCATTCGCAGTATCACGGCTCCCGGGTCAGCAACCCCAGTATAGTTGGACCAAGATCCTCAAGCTCTGGATTCAATAATAATAACCTAGCACCAAACCGAGCTGGCAACACACGTGCTGACGAATCGCCCAATCCCGCTCTTCCCCCTCGCCCTCGTGATAGAGATAGAAGCAGAGATTGCACAGTAATGTGACCAATAGAGCATCTATGAATTTTGAATTTCATATTCCTCAAGATCAATTTCATCCGGGCACAGCTCTGCATGGTCGAGAAGAGCATTTCCATCCGTTATTTAATTTTGATTTGTTAGATTTCATCCTTTTTGCTTTTCACCAGGTTTTAGTTTTCATTCCTATTATTCACTTGCATTTTTAAGTTTTATTATATCGTCGAATATCCTCATGTTTTATTCCATAATATTTCCTTCGTATACCCCTCTGGCGTCTTTCATGTGTCATCCATGCTACCCGTTTCTCTCGGATAGCGGTTTAGTCATCGATCTCGGTGGTTTCCGAGCAATTTACCAATTGCTGCTTGCATATCAAGCAAGAGTATTATTAGTAGGTTTCTGAGGAGTAAATGCAATGCTCTGGATTTTGTGCCCAACTAATCACTGAGAATTTTATTTGAGATATCGATAGGGAATTCAAACCACACACTCCTAATTTCCCCATCGCTTGTCACCTCTTGCAAATGTCGCTGCAATAATAATGGGGAATGTCACTGTAGCTTCTGCGTATACCTGTTCATAACGAAAAACCGAACAGTCAGCCAAAAACAACACCAGGAAGAAACGAAAAGAGATACATAAAGACCGATTGATTGCTAGCCAAGATTTGACGCAGAAGTAGAATAATAATACAACAAGAAATACCTTCACGCTGTTCGCATCCGGTTTGATCTTCCCCCATGACACTGCTTCATCCGGCCGCGCGCCAGCGTCGTTCCCATCAAACTCTTGCGCCGTGTTTATATACACCGCGCTCTCCGCGCTGTTGCGCATCAGACACGCATTGGCAATGTGGTGCTTTACCAGGCCTCCGCCCAGAATAATCATCCCTGCCTGTTTAGCTCGTACAGCTATCGTGTTGATTTTTCTCACGTCTTCCACAATGTCAGCGCGGAGCTGTCGTGGCGAGGACTTGAATGTGTGGAAATACATCATGTCGCCCAAACTACCGTCAGTTAGTGCAGGGCAGAAGACGGGTATGTCATTTTTATACGCCCAGTAGTAGACGGAATTTTCATTGTTGATTTCCTTCCCTAGCCTGCGGATGATCTTACTCGGCGTCCAATGGAACGGGGTCTCCATTGTCGAAACACCGGATGCCTCCCGTTCTTCCAGCATCGTGTCTAAAATTGGCATCACGCAGTCCTCGAAAGCGCAATAGTTGCTATTCGGCACGATCAGGTTGCCGATGCGGTTCAGGCCCTTGGCTCGCAGCGACAGACCAGGCGTCGCAAAGGAGCCAAGATAGGTAGGAGCGAGGCATTTAATAAAGTCTTTCTCGATTCCGCCTGCGGTAGTGACAATGGCAGAGACGTGTTTATGTTGGACGAGGTATCGCAATGTCTCTCGGAGACCGGATGAGATAAGGTTGGATGTATATCCCAGGAATATAGCTGTCTTTTCCCCAGTTTCCGGATCGCGCCAGGTTCTCTAAAATGCGAAGGGCCAATCAACCAGTTAGGCATATACATACACGTGATTGCTGGGTGACACCTGTGCTAGAGATGGATGTAATCGTTTGGGGAGGGGTAGAGGGGTGGGGGGCAGCAAGGTGTACTCACCATATCGTTAATGATTTGCACAGCGTCGCCCATGGCACTAGCCTGGAACCCCATTCCAGCTATTCCATCGACAAGTTCCGCAACTGTAATATCTCTTCCGGCATACTTGTTGAAATCAATGCCCGTGACCGGCTTTGAACCTCTGGAACGGGTTGCGAATCAACAAACACTGCATCGGTGGCCGAGGAGGGAGGCCCTGCAGGTTGCAAAGGCATGGTGTGCGTGTCAAACTCTGCAAGATACAGTGTTCTGTCCGGGCTGCCAGTCGATTAGCTGTGCAATTAGCTCGGAATGGTTAGTAGGAACCCTTCGCCTTGTGAAGCCTTCTCCGGTCATATGGTGGTTCGACGATGGAACAAAACATATCTATCACCAATTCTCCAGCAATTAGTGCCCTAGAGCCCCCGGTGATAAACAACTATAAAGGCAAAACATAACGAACAACAAAAAGAAAGAAAGAAAAACTTGAAATTACTAGTATTCAGTCAGGGAAAGCAGAAGCAGTCATCAAGTCGATTGATGCCGAATTTTTGTATCGGGGTTAGGTTGTTCCCGATATATATATATCTGCTGAGGACCCTCCTGATCATCCGTACAGCAGCGAGCAGCATAGTGCCGAGTGTCAGGGCTCAGGGATGGCAACGATTTTAAAAGTAGTAGTATTATATTGTCTATAATATATTAGTTATTGCTAACTTAGAATTAAATCTGATATTTCATATACATAGATGCTAATTATTATCCTAGTTGCTAGATGTTGACAGTGTATATAACGAAGTGCTACATCCTTTTATTGCAAATTCTTCTACTGTTTTTGAGTGGTGTAAAATATCTGGCTTTCCTAATCGCCACTCCGAACCTTCATCCTATCCATTGCAAGTCTCCAGGATCTAGTTCTTCCTCCTCTTCCTCTTCCATTCTATTTGCCTTTCCAAAGGGTGAGATATCATCTCCGTCATCCTCATCCTCTTCTGAAACCTTCTCCGCCGATTCATAAATCCTTGGCTCGATACCCGTACGCTAATCCCAAAATAGGCAGGTTTCATCTTGAATATCACGTGAGGAGCAACTCGGATTCCAGAAGTTCTCCAACACTTGACAAGAATAAGACTCTCCATTCAGCGTCATTCTACTGCTTCCCGCCGTTCTCTTCCATATTTATTTTTTTTGTGTGATCGCTGTTGGATGGTTGGTTTCTTACATGGCGTCTCGCTTTCCGCCTCGAGAGCGATCTCCCCATCGGCATATCGACCGTCGCCCCGCCGCACCTCAAACCTCCTCCCATATCCCTTCTGGCCCTCGCGCTTCCGACGATGGAAATTCAACACCTCTGGGAAGGGAGCCCCCCCGTGGCCCAAAAGCTCTAATTGACTCGTCAAGAGGCATGTCTTTTGTCCCTCCTGGTCCTAGAGGCAGGGGCTTCCCAGCACGCGGTGACTTTAGAGACCGCGAGAGGGATCATGATTCCCGAGATATGCGCGATGGGTCCCTTTCATTTAGAAGAGATATGGATAGAGACTGGCCCCGAAGAGACCGTGTTTTTGATTCCAGAGATACCCGAGTTCCTTCTGGCCGTGGGAGATCAAGGTCGCCTCCACTACGGGACTTTCGCGATTCTAGAGAATCAGCTCCTAGAGATTCTGATGCGTCCAGGATACACCGAAATTCCAGAGACGGGCCCACCGGTTCCGTAATTGGGGTGCACGATACATCTCCTCCTTGTGGTCCGTCTCTGCGAGGCCGAGGCCGTGGCGACCGTGAGAGGGGGAGGGGCCGGGGCTTTTTGGACGATCGCGACTCTTTCCGACGCAGGAGCCGTTCGAGGGATGGATGGAGGGATCGTGAACGTGACCGCGACCGCGATCGCGATAGGGATAGGGATTTTGAACGCTATGATAGGTTTGATAGGCGTGAAGATGATCGGCGTTCGGAACGAGATGATAGAGAACGTGAACGGCCTTGTGAACGCCCGGAATCGTGGAGAAAAGATCGACCCTCAACCAGAACCGAACTTAAAAGCACATCAGCCGTCATTCCTCCAGATTCACCTACTCCATCCTCGTCATCCACGCTAAGTACTAAAAAAGTTGTCCAACCCGAAATCCATGAGTTAACTAGGAAACCCACATTCCCGGCACAAAACACGGACGATTCTTGGCAGGAGTCGGATCGACAGGAGCGCCCTCCAGTTCGTTTAGATGTGCCACAAAGTCGGCTCATTTCACAACATTCTCCTCCCCCATCCGCCCCAGAAGTCCCTGCCTTCGGATCCATCATCAGTCCCAACCCAAGCCCCAATGACGTTCCTTCCACATTATCCACCCAAGCCAGGGGCTTAGCGGAAACTTCCACAACACCGACTACTAGTAAGCCAGAAAAGGAACATGTGGATGTGTCTTCTTCCTTGCCCGTATTACCGCCTACTGGACCAAGAGCTGAGAGATTAGAGTTTGAACACTCACATGACGCCCGAATCCCCCGTCAGCATGTTCCAGATGTTCGGGGGAAAGCTGAGGCACCACTTCGCCCAGCACGGCACTTTCCACCATCATCGAGATCCCCGAGCATGACTATGCGTGATCCATCTGCCTTAGCAGGTGTATATGGTGGAAAGGATGCAATTCCTTCATCAATTCAGGCAGATGCGACATCCCAGGACACTAAGCCTCTGGGATTACGAGCCAGCCCCCGACCAAACTCTTCATCTGGATCTCCACCTACCTCGCAATCAATGGGAGGAATTTCACTCTCCCACCGGTCTAGCTCACCGCCTGTCCCGCCATCCGCTTCATTTAGGTCCCCTGGATCGAAGACGTCTCCCCGAATTTCTTTGACTTGTATTCCCACAGGACCGCGAGCGCTTCAGAGATCAAATGCTCCAAGGAGCGCACCTAAACCTAGTAATCAATGGGTTCGCCCAGGGTATGCGAGTCGTGGACCGTCCATCATGAATTTTCCTTCCCCTATAAAGCGCGACGTATATGAAGACAAGGATCGAGGGTCATTCAACGTGATTGATGTTTATAAATCTCACCAACTTGAGGGTTTCCCTCATCGAGAAGATTCCAAGTTATCGCCACTTACTGAGCGGATCGATCGTCTTTCTGGTCAGGACGAAAACAATGTTATCAGAGTGGTTGTAGATGCATCCTCGGAAAAACAGGGGCTTTCTGCCACAATTCCACCGATAGCAGAGCAAGTCGCGGCCCCCCTCACGTTTGGACAGTCCAGCGGGGAAGAAACAGATGAGGAAGATGATTTAGATGAAGAAGACTTCAACGAGGGGGAGAAACGATTTGAAAAGGAAATGCAAGCTTTGGCTTCCGAAATGCCACCCTCAACTCTTCAGGATCCTGTTATAGTTGACCTACTGCTGCAAATTCAAATGTTAGGTATCCTCGCTGAGGGGGTTGTCCCCACATATATGGACCTACCAGACGCGGCAATTGAAATTGAGAGACCAGAGCAACCTCCAGCTGTCATTCCCGTATCAGCAAGAGAAGCACAGGATATTGAAGTTCCGCCACCCTCGTCACCAATTGCCCAAGCGCACACTGGCCCTCCCCTCGAAATGTCATCGCTCGAAAGCCTTCCTTTTCTCCAATCTGGGCCACCTACACCTTTTTCCGATATATCAGCTTATCAAGAAACGATTCGATCGCACGATCTGTTGAAGGAGGCTCTTCGCGAGGAATTAGCGAAGCAGCGTAAAAGAACATCCCTTCAGCATCAGGAACTACGACGAGAGTATGCTAAATATTACAAACCTTGGAGGATGGCAGTGGAAGAACTTGATCGCACGAGCAGACAAGAGAAGACAACCACTCCAGGTCCATCCACCCCACCGTCAGCTTCGGGAACCGCTACTACACCAAGCGCCACCACCGAAGGAAGAAGAGGTTACAAACTTAACAGCGAGCTTGACTTCCAAAATGCGCTGATAGCGTCCACCATTACTGCCCAAGAAGAGCAAGCACGTCGTCGTGAAAAGGAAGGGCCTGCGAAGCCAGATATAACTAAAGAAGCGCTCATCCCGGATATGTTCGAAGAACAAGAGAGACAAGCTTTCGTTTTCAAAGACACGAACCATGCCGTAGATCCTGCTACTGCGTTTGAGGTTTTCGCATTTCATCCGACACCTGACGACTTCGCACCCGAGGAACAGAAGATTTTCACAGAGGCATTTTTAGCGCATCCCAAAAAATGGGGGAAAATTGCGGAATATCTTCCAGGACGGGACTTTCAGGCGTGTATCAATCATTACTATTTTACAAAACAAGAATTCAAGTACAAGGCCAAGTTGAACAGAAAATATGTTCGAAAACGCGGGAAAAGGACGCCTGCTACGAGAAATCCCAAATCAAATGCTCTCATGTCAGATCTTGGTGTTCGGCCCGACGACGAAGTTGACGAAGCAGAACCACCTGCTGTCACTGATACCGGCCGACCTCGACGAGCTGCGGCCCCGACTTTTGGTGAAGTTGGTCCGGATACGGAGAACAGCACACCTACTCCCAGTTCGGGAAAAAGAGGAAACCACGTGAAGGATCCAGCGGATCCCGGAGCAGAGAAGGCTCCCAGCAGACGTGGCGGAAAAGCGGGAGGTGGACGCGGCGGTAAACGCGCAAAGGCACAACAGCAATCCTCACTAACTACTCCAATTGCTGTGACACCAATAATTGAACCCGACGGGCTAGCGGATACGGTGCCAGAATTGGTGGTTACCAAAAAGAAGGAAGAGCAGAAGGATATTGCTCCACATCATCTCACTCAACAAGGAAAACCTACCAATGCATGTGAGAAAGAAAACGTTTATGTTTTCGACGCTGTCGAACCTGAAGTACCGGCAAAACCTGTCGAGACCAGATCTGGGTTTCTCCAGCCCACAAGCTACTGGTCTGTACCGGAGCAACGCGAATTTCCAGACCTTATTAGACATTTTGGGAAAAATTTCGAAGCTATCTCCCAATATATGAGGACCAAAACCCCTACAATGGTAAGGATCCGTTAACATGATAGATGCTACAGCTTCCCAACTGACTCATTACATTTTGACAAGGTCAAAAATTATTTCCAGAGGCGTGTTGACTCTGGACAAACAACTTTGGAGGAATACGCTGAGATGGCTGAGGCCAAGAGGTTAAGTGGAGAATCCCCAGGCCCTCTTCCAATTCCAAATATCCCTCCCAAACGACGCTACGAAGCTACGCCATCTTCTGTCTCTTCGCGGCCGCTCGCGCCAAATACTGAAGCTACGGAGTCAGTGGATGCGTCTCTGGCCTCCGAACCAAACGCCTCAACCGTTACTCTGTCGACTCCACACCCACCAGGGACTCAAACTCGATCGCGACTCGATGGGAACCGTTCTCAGCCTAGGTTTTACCCCCTCGCTCAAGCAACAGCCCTTCCCGGAACTCCACTACCACCAGCAAACGACGAGTTACGACCCCGTGCCATTCGCCCCCAGCCGCAAACGCAACACAATCAGCAAGGCCCTCGAGCTGGATATTTCAGCGACGAAAGAAAAGATAACCTCACCATAATTCCTATTCCTCCTCTCAGCGTTCGGTCTCCGGAGCTTCAAAGGCAAAACCAGCAACCGGATGGGAATTCTTTGCAGAATCAGGGAAGAGGTTCCACTTTACACATCCAAAATTTGTCTCACAGTGACCTACTACCCCGACTTAAAGAGACTCAGGAAACATTGCGGCCTCCTCAGTCGCTAACCCAACCTCCCCGCTTTTCTCAAACGCAATATCTTCAGCAGTCCCAGACAAACAGCCCGACTACCCCTGTGACACGGACACACTCGGGACGTTCGAGCATAGCTATTCCTACATCGACAGCCGCATCTCCCATTCAGCGCGTCCCGAAACAAGAGTTTGAGCCAGCGAGTCTAGTTCGCAATGATACAGTTGAACCGCTGAAATCAGTTCTGCCACCCCCCAACCAATTCGTAGGTATGAACCAACTGCCACCTACAATGTCACCTACCAAAGAGATTCCTCGTCCAAATTCGACCCCGGCGCAAGTCTTCCTGGACCCTCCACGCCAAGTGCCTGCTAAACGGTCAAATATTATGAACATATTAAATGACTCCGAGGAGCCACCCTCGCGAAAGAGGTTTGTCAGTGATCAAAACTTAGAGGCAAAAACTCCACAGCCATACTCCATATCAAAGCCAATATACGAACAATCGCAGTCCGTGACTCGCGAAGAGTCTGCGTACTCTAGCAGGCAACTCCCGCAACGGTCTCCATACCCACCCCAACAATCGCAAAACCCGCCACGAAATCAACTACAAAACGCCGCGCATCGCTCCTACTCTGAGCATCCCAGCTATTCTGTTAGCTCCATGGCTGGATCTGGAACGATTAGCCAGGATTGGATGGCGAGGCTGGACCCGAGGGGCCAGCTGTCTCAAGCTACCGACCGTGGCATTTCCCGTTTGCCAGCTCAGCAAACATCAAACCTAGGATATATGAGCGCTGCCCAACAGACCACAAACGCAGGGTCAAATGTTCATCAGCAAGCACACCAGCACCACCGTACCTCATATAACCCACAGGTATCACAACAGGTACAACAATCCCAACCCACGGGGCTCCAAGGCCAATCTCAGCATCAGTCTCATAAGAACCTTGGAAAGCACGATTCTCCATTAACATTACAATCCCAGTCCAAATTTCAGCGCCAATCCTACCCCAGACCCAGCAACACCCTCCTTATCCTGACCTTATAAGTCTGCCAATGCAACCGCCCTCCCCACTCCAAATTTCAGCTCCAACCCTAACCCAAAACCAGCAACACCCACCGTTTTCTCAAAGCCCCTTAAGTCAGCCACAGCAACGCCAGCATCATGCTTCAGCCGGACATGAACTTGGACCCAATCCCCAGCACAATGGCCAGGGTGGTGGAAGTTCTGAACATATGCAGCCCATTGTTCCACCTAGTTCCCCTACCCACCACCCCACCCTACGGCAATCTCATCAGCAGCATCACCACCAGCGACACCAACACCTACCCCAGCATATCTCCTCGCTCGGTCCAGGAAATCAACATAGCACTGTATCATTCAGCCACAATGGGTCGCATTTGCAGCCGGGCCATCTGACATCTGGCAATGCCTCTATTTCCCCGCAGAACTCGCATCAGAGCTCAAGTCTTGAGAGATCCTACACCCCACCATCAACTTTGCACCAACCTCCTCAAGGCCGGATTTCGTTTCCTTCTAGTATTGTCGCCGACCACCCTAACCAGGGACCACAGCAACAGGGGTTACATCAAATGCGTCAGCATCACCATCCGAATCAGCATCAACATGATCCCTATTCTAAACACTCTGGGCAGACATACCACCCCGCCTACTCGCGAGACTCAAGATAATGAAAGAAGAAGTGCAATTTCTACCCCCTCCCTCACTCCCGCCTTTCCAAAGGGCCCTGAAGCCTATATTTTATGAAAATTATCTGTAATAACTGGCATGTTCTGTTTGTGTATGTTTTGCATCAAGCCCTTCACTTGCTAATCCCTTTCCTATTGATTATTTATTGGCCCAGCTCATCTTTGAGAACATGCTGTGTGGGGCATTTCTTTTCCTCTAAATTAATGTATGATGGAGGTGGAAGGTTGGTTTATTGTAACTATCTAGCGGGCGCAGCGCTGCTTAAATTGGTGTGGTCACGTGACATTCTAGCAAACGATAGGGATGCCAACATATCATTATTCTTATTATAATTGTTGCTGTTGTTGTTCCCCCTTGCATTTCTATTCCTACTATATTTGATGTCATCCATCGCCTCTGTATATTGTCTACCTTTCTACATCCTTATTGAATGATTTGTGTGAAATTTCAACCACGTCAAGTTATATTGTTTTACTAAGACCGAATGGTCCCTTGTCATAACCAAATGAAGGCGCACAATATCTCCCAGTACAGGAGCATAGCCAATCCCAATATATACGTCAGCCTTTGCAATGCCTTCTTATTCCCAAGTAATACATGACGCATGGACGAAATAAAACTCACATTACTTTATAACCGAGCACAGAGGCGTGAAAAACAAGTCCATACACGATATAAACTAAAATCAAGATCACAACTCAAATAAATCCACTCCTCACAGTAGATGCTATGAAGCCTCGGTGCCTAAATTGACAGCCTGGGCCTCAAGCCTCTAAATCCAATCCAATCATTTAGGGGGCTTGCCAGCTGGAATGCAACATTCTTATCATATAAATTTCTAGCATTTGCAATGATTTGTTTTTCACGCCTCTGTAGAGACAAAAAAAAAAAAATCAGACCTTTCCGTACTATTCAGTTGATGATTACACCATTGGTGATGAGAGAATTTTAACCATCGCGGAGGGTCATTCATATTGTCTTTGTACAGGATATAAGATGCGCTCATAGCGATGATTGTTCAGGATATAGAGTAGGTGCTGGTGCTCCGCACCAGCCGAAAATGACGGCTATGTTTAACAAATGATGTTTAACGTGAAGAAATATTTTCATCGATGCACATACCCATCACAAATAGGGCGGGGACGGAAAACAATCGTAAAGGAAATGATTAGGAAAAGTCATATTACATGTTATACATCCCCGCCCACCCGATGATTTGAAAACGTTGATCGTCCAGGACTGCCGAGAAAAATGCACATGAAAGAATTTGCTGGGAATCAGTGAAGATACGCGCGAATGGAAAAATACTGAGGATGTCAACTGGATGTATGTTATTTGGATTCGGAAGGCGAACAGGTGTACGCAATCCGACTGTGCAGCAACGTTATTTGAATACTTGCGTCGATTCACGTGGATATCTCGGATATCTAGGGGTTAAACGTTGGCGTGTTAAACATCAACAAACTGGTTGAATTGGATATGTCGAAATGATACTATTGCACATAGTTCGGATGAGGGAGGACGATAGTTGTGTTATTTTCTTCTATATCGTCTAACTTACGCAAGCAGCGTTTCAATTTTTGAACTTCACATTTTCAATCATACCGTCCTTCGCAGTCCTCTCGTTTTTTTAGCGGAAAAACCAAGCAACGAGACCGCATATAGTTCTAGCCGTGGCAAACTCAAAAATGGAAGGATCGGGCTGTTGAGTAACGACGAAGGCTATTCAATCAAGATTCCTGTCGAACGGTTTGTTGCGCTTCTCCCATGAAGATTGGGTTAACGGAATGGCAGATATATTACCAATCACCTCACAGAAGGAAAGGGTATTGTGCTCGACATGGTGGCATTGAACCGTTCAGACGCGGGTTTACTAGTCGGTTTCATTCGAGCCATAAAGCACCTCGCATACACCGCCAATGGGTATGTCCATCACAGCATCTGTTCCTTCATTCCAGATGTATTTCCACTCTAGCCTTCTTTTCTGAGGGCTCATTGTTTGTGCCGTTGCAGCATTTGGATTCATCTTCTCAGATCCACCAGGCCGTCTCCTGCCCTTGCTATCAATGACTGCAATATTTGCTACTTCATCCACAATATTTTCGATACTACTCATCGGCAGCGTAAGATATCCAGTATTATAAGCGGATAATGCAATGTAAATGTAAATAATGGTGATTACAAGGAAAGATGGGATCGCAAGAGACCACCAGCGATTTGGATAGTAATAAATCCCCAGCTGATGAAGAAACGGCGAGGGAAGGTATGACCACAAAAGGTATATCACTATCACAAGCATATTAGTAATCTGACCCGGAGTAGAAATGGGCACGAAGCGAAGACAAGGCATACGGAAAGTGAGTGAGGAAGCGAGATAAAGCACAAATCCATAGTACTCATATGTAGGAACTTTAGGGCTTGCGGGTGGTACAGTAATTGCGGTACGTGCAGAGCGTGCGACTGCTTCCTCTGTGTCATTCAGGGTTTCAACATCAGAGCTATCTGGTGTGGTGGGCCGCGATGTAGTTGTAGAAAAGGACGGTCGAAGGAGAGATGTTAATGAAGGAGATGGCGGTAGCGGCGTTGGTGGACGGTTGTAGAATGGGGGGGCAAAAGCATTAGGACCATGGAGAGAAGAATAGAATGGGAATGGAGAGCGTTGCATTACACCCTCGTCATCCGCCTTCGAGGGTTCATTCTCTCGACTAGATGTAGAAGTAGAGGAGGAGTATTTTTCTGAATAGTGAGACTGGAAATCGGCATCATCGTCCATTTCAACATCTCTATCATCATCAGCGAGATCACCGGGAGTGAAATCTATATCCTCATCTACATATTCGCACTCATGAGATCTGTCTGTCGAGTCGAAGGGCATATTGACGTGTCGTCATTAGTGGTAAAACGAGCGACTTTGTGAATTGCATTCTGGAGGTCAAGAAGCATCAGATTTATTATCGATTGGGTTTGGGTTTACACCGAAAGTTTTTCCGGCCGAGGTTTGCGCTTCATCTCAGCTTGCTCAAGAGGTCTTTCGAGGATTTCTTTTCCTCGGTGTTGTCGTGGTATTCCATAGCCTAATATTGAACGAAACGAATAACAGAACAATTAGAATTAAGATTATCCATCAAATCTTCTGGATACCTCCATGTAGTAGCGATCATGGAAGCTCATCAGAAAACGGACTCTCCGCCGCAGGCAGGTTTCTCTACCATGTCTAACACTCAAACGCCATTAACACCTGAACAACTTCGCAGAATTGTATGTCTGCTGCAGCCTATGAGAGAGTCACAGATACTGACATAGAACATAGGAAGTACGTCGGATGAAAGCTAAGGTACTCCGGGAACAAGAAGATGCCGCAGTGCGATCTGGTTCGTTGCCTAGCAGCTTGGCCACACCTGGACAGAAACGGCCATCTTCGGCGATATCTCCTTCAAAACCTCGTTCGAGCTCCCGCGATACAAGATGTAATAAATCAGATGGACGATCACTCGATGAGATTCGTCCAGCTCGTAACTTTGCTAAGTACGTGGAATTCGACTTGAGTAAAATGACGGACACCAAAGGTGGATTCTTAACGGCAGAGGATGATCCCCATAACAAGGTTTTATATTCCGGCGAGAGGGATGAGAAGCCTACTCAAATGACATTCAAAGAATGGGAGCGATATCAACTATTACGGTCACTACAGCGAGACAAGGCAGGACCCTTCGAACCAGGGCTAAGTGTGCTCAATACGACAAAGCAGAAATCATGTCGAGAGTGCGGCAGCATAGAGATCGACTGGAAATGGGAAGAGACATTACGCTGCGCCGTTTGCAATCCCTGCAAGGAGAAGTTCCCTGAGAAATATAGTCTACTCACAAAGACGGAAGCTAAAGAAGATTATCTATTGACAGACCGTAAGCAAAGGATTGACTCGTTTTTTTCGGCCCGCATTATCATAAGAATATTTGCTAACCGTTCTTCTATTCTTTTTTCCCATCCGGCCCCTCCCGTCAAACAGCTGAACTAAAAGATGAAGAACTTCTACCTCATCTAGAGAGGCCAAACCCCCATAAAGCAACATGGAATAACATGATGCTGTACTTGCGATTCCAAGTCGAGCAGTATGCGTTCTCCCCGAAGAAGTGGGGATCACCTGAGGCTTTGGACGCTGAGTTTGAGAAGCGAGGGGCTGCGAAAAAGCGGCAGAGAGAAGCTAAGTTCAAATCGAAACTGCACGATCTGAAGAAACGAACTAGAGTTGAAGCGTACCGACGAAGCCGGCAGGCTGCGGCAGAAGCAGGGTCAAGAGAGCATTTTGGGGACGACCTTGGCAGCGGCAAACATGTACATCAATGGAGAAGGCTTGTTGATAACCCGGAGACGGGTATAGGGGTAAAGGCGTGCGTTCATTGTGCAATGGAGATTGAAGAACTTGAGTTCTGAATACTGTCGACAAAGCCAGTCCACCTGAATGTGCAAACTGCAGATCCAGAATCCAACCACACCACAGCCCTAAGAATGTAAAAATGTAAATGTGGACACCGCATGCATGCATTTCTAGGTACCCGACATACGGATCAGCGACTCTCTCTGATTTCGGCTGGGCACACTTTGTATGTGCTTTGTAATTCTCTTGTTGTTTCTATTAGGCCACTAGGGCAAAAGAGCTCAATCACCACCAGCGCCATGGTGGTATAGAGGGTACGAATCACCCAACCCAATCCCCCCAACACCCCCCCTCGGACCCACTCTACCATCCGGCCAGCTGGGGGAACCTGGCTCTTCCTAAGTTCCACTACCCTACTGCCATTGGTCCTTGGTGGCCTGGGGTCTTCCTGGGTGCCTAACCACCAATCTCCCCCATCTTGGCAAGAGAATGTGCATTAGTAAGGGATATTCCTCTGGCCTTGGTCTGATTCGAACCTGTGATAGCATGTTGGCACACCCTGTAGCAGTCGCGCTTACACGGGCTCATAACCTATTAGGCCACTAGGGCAAAAGAGCTCAATCACCACCAGCGCCATGGTGGTATAGAGGGTACGAATCACCCAACCCAATCCCCCCAACAGTTTCCTCCAAAATGGGTGCTCTGGCCGCTATTCCCTTTTTGACATTAACGTGACCGCCAAGGCTAAACGGAAGGCCGGACTATCGTATCTCCGTATATTGAATCGGTTTAGAAGCTTTGAGTTTCAGCGTGGCTTCAAAACCACGACAGACGACGGACGACGCAGTGCGGACTATACACAACGTATTACTATCTCTAACGCCTTCATTGCCTGATTCCTCTCTATGCATGCCGCTAGTCCGCTGGTACATCCCCCGACTTCATACCCTGTCCGCTTGACGCTTTGACGCGGCGCAATTCCATGTTTCCAACCCCTTAAGTTCCACGCTTGGGCACCCAGGCAATCAATTTCGCCGCGTCGTTTTATATACATATATATAAATACCTGTAGAAACAAACGAAACACAGGGAGGAGATTGTCCGTTTACACAATACATTTAACCCAAGAAGAACTGGAACGCTACGTCTGAATGGCCTGGCAGCCGTCATCCGCCATGGCTGGGAATGGGGGAATGAGCGGAGGAGTTCATGGTGCCGCTATTCACATGAGCCATGTGCAAGGCACAGAATATACGTTGCAAGGTGAGATTTACTTTTCCTGCTTATTTATTCACGGAAACGGACGGGGAGGCTCCAGATTTTGTTTCTGGCTGCTTAAAACCTGGCATTCGACCTTCATTCATTCTGCCCAGATTTTTAATATCTATTCTCATCTTATAGGTGTAATGCGATTCCTACAGACCCAATGGCACCGACACGAACGAGATCGAAATGCATGGGAGATCGAGCGTGCTGAAATGAAGTCGAGAATTGCCAGATTAGAAGGTGATGCACGGACCAGCAAGCGAATGTACGAAACTTTGAGCAAACATGTTAAAATGTTGGAGGCTGCTTTAAAAAGGGAACGAGAAAAAGTCAAGAGCCTATCTACTGGAGAAGCTGTCGACACGAGCAAGAACTCCAAGGATCTCGCCAAAGATGACCCGAAATCCCTTCCACAACGTATGCTCTAAACCTCTTGAAAAAATTTTTGGCCCCATCAAGTACTGATTACATCTGATGATGAGTCTCGTAGAACAACCAAAATCCGATGCTTGCCAAGTTGACCTCGACAATAGGACTCAGAATGCGTCCAATCCTGATGTTCGCCAGGATTCAGAACGTGAAAAGTCTCGCGTGTATCTTGGAAAATGCTCACAGGAAGTTACTTATCATATAATTCCCGGGTCACGTCCTCCTCCGGACTTGCTAGATCTTCAAGAAATGTCAGACCACGGGTATCAAAATCATCAGATGCAGAGGCCTTCCTTCGAAGACGTATATGTGCAACATCAATATCAACACCAGCAAAGGCAGAAAATTCATCAACAACAGCACCAACAGCAACATAATCACGTAAACATGGTTCGCGAGCCCGCGGTACATCAACCCATTACCCCTAATTATTCCGAAAATTTCCCTGCTGGCCCACGCGCATTGAATCCGAGTCATCAAAATCCACTTGAAGCGCAGCCATTTGAGCAACAGCGTTCACATCCCATTCCCATGGATCGTCGAAAGGAATCTTTTGATCATCCTCCTGTTGGTCATGAAGAGGTGGAATCAATCACACATACCTTTGATGAATATGGAAATCTGGTCTCCATCTCTGACTTACCTAAACCCATCACCTCCATAGAACCCGAAGCTGATGATGCGGATGGATGGAACTTTGATGAAACCCCAGTCGATATTACCACCACATCAAGCGGACCACATCATCGACCTGATACGGATGTTTTCCCGAATGCTGATTTTGTATTCCCAAAGTCTTCTCCCCGAGGAGGCCCTGGCTCTCATAGAAGAAAAGGTTCAGGGAGGCGTCGCGCTGATGGGACCACTGATTCTCGCGATCTAGGTACCTTGGGTGGGTTAAAGGTTGATGTGCCGAACTTCAAAGTCCGATTCGCGTTGCGCGGCCATCTTGATGTTGTTCGATCGGTTATCTTTACTGGTGGCGGAAGCCCGTCTGAACCAGAAATATGCACATGCGGTGATGACGGGACAATTAAGCGTTGGATTATCCCAGCATCCTATGGGAACATCGGCCCCAATAGCAGCGACTCGAATAATGACCTCGATATCACAAGCTACTTTACTCATCGTGGACACTTGGGGCCAGTCACCTGCCTTGCAGCATGCCCCCCTGCCCCCAACTTTTCCAGTGGAGGTCGAGCCCTTGGAGACGGCTGGGTATTTTCAGGCGGCCAGGATGGCAGCGTTAAAGTATGGGAACGCGGCCGTGTTGACCCGAAAGCGTCTCTAGATACTCATACGGATTCAGTATGGGCGTTGCGCGTGCTTCCAGGTACTGCGGGATCTATCTTTGGAGACCGATGTAGCCATTACGGTGGCCCTGATCGAATAGTCCTTGTTTCGGGTGCTTCCGACGGGAGACTGTTGATATGGGCCGTGAGTGCTCCACCACAACTCGCCTCCCCACAAGCTGGAAATCGAAGGGTCGGTGGTAGCCGAAGAGCAAATTCTATATCTTCCGGCTCAAACTTCCCTTCATCACCCCAACCAAGCACAGCAAGTGCAACTCCTTTTCACTATACATTAATTCATCATATCATCCGCCCTGACTCTCCTTCCTCCACAAGTATCAGCCCTTTGTCACTTGCCGGCGTCAACTTTGTTGTTTCCTATGCGGATGCCTCCATTATTGTCTACGACACGCGATCTGGGGAAGAGGTTGTTGGAATGGCTAGCTTGGAAACGTACGACGGAACCCGTGCGACTGGTGTTAACTCCGTAGTAGCAAGCACTGTTGGGTTTGACGGAACTGCCAATCTAGATCCCAACAGGACTTTGACGGAAGAGGAAGCTATCGTGCATGGAGCCACTGGCACCAGTGGTGGGGTTGAAGGGGTGATTATTAGTGGCTATGAAGACCGTTATATTCGATTTTTCGATGCCAATAGTGGTAAGCATAGTGCCACCAACTCACCTTCTTTTCCAAGGATTAATACATGAATTTTATTGACGCTTATTCACAGGCCAATGCACATATACAATGCTTGCACATCCCACCGCAATCTCCTCTCTCGCCCTATCTCCGGATGGCCGCGAGCTCGTGTCTGCAGGTCATGATGCCAGCTTACGCTTTTGGTCACTTGAAAAGCGGAGTTGTGTGCAGGAGATTACCAGTCATCGGCTTTTGCGAGGGGAGGGTGTCTGCGCCGTGGTTTGGAGTCAAGATGGACGGTGGGTTGTGAGTGGGGGCGGTGATGGAGTGGTTAAGGTCTTCTCAAGATAATGAGAAACCGGCTGGCATTCTCTTATCTTTGTTTCATTACCTGATTTTGGTCCTTGCTTGAATTCTATGCCTGGATTCAACAGGTTTTGATGTTTTAATTCATGTTAACCCGCTTGTCACACCTTTTGAAGTTTTGACTCTAATTTCGATTTTGTTCTGTATGTTCACCATCAGCTCTCATAACTGCGTCATTTTTGCTTCGCCCTTGCTCCATTCTTTCCCGCCTTCCATCTTCTGACTGCGCCTTTGCCTGGGCGCGTTTGCACATTCTCAGGGATGCAATTGAAAATAATATAGAAGCCATCATCCGGAATTTCCATTTGACATCCTCCTGACCATAACCAAATCCTACACCAAACAGCCAATGGAGTGTTGCGATTAAAGCATTTTGTTTCCATACAGTTTCTTTTCTTTCTTGATTTGGCGATTGAATGTTCTCTAGCAGAATGAGGGTTTATATTTTGTTGGCTTCTTTTGGACACTGCATCTCGTCGAAGTGTATTACCATGTTTCTATTTATATTCGCACCGAGTGATCTTTCATTCGGAGTCAAATACTGTATCAGGCCATAAGTATTGACAACCCCCACTACTTTTCTGCCATCAAAAGGCAACATGATTGTGGTGGGGATTGCAAAAATTTATGGCCTGACACTGTCTATGTATATACATATTTCTGAATATGGAAAACTCCCTGGAGCCTGGGGCTTTTATTACATTGCTAATATTTGCAAGTAATTTGAACAGGTGATGCATATTGACACTTGACTTATTTTATTATACTGATAGATTACGGCTACACTAACTAAATTTAATAAAATCTTCATCATACTCATCAGTTGTAGCGGACAACTGTACTTAATACATCATATTATAGTGAAGAATATATATCATGTTCTCTAATTACTCAATTAAATACTTTAGCTATGTTCAGAGACAATACTAAAATCATCTCATTAAATTTCTTTTATATGGTATATATTTGAACTAGACTGGCTGTAGACTGGCTGTGTGACCATGCATGGGACTGGGACCAAATTTTTCCTCAGTCCCATTATTAGATATCTTAGTCCTGGTCCCATATAGTGTTTAGTAAATTAGTCACTTTTCACTGTTTATATTATAAATCTAGTCCCAGATCATGTTTTACTAATAAATTAGTGATCCTGGTCTCATTTGGTCTCATTTTACAAAATGGGACCAAATGGGACCATGATTTACCCTATATAGGTTGGCAGCGATAGATAGGTTGGCAGCAGTAGGTAGGTTGGCAGCGGTAGGTAGGTTGGCAGCGATAGATTAGCAGCGATAGATTAGCAGCGATAGATTAGCAGTGATAGATAGATTGGCAGTGGTAGGTAGATTGGCAGCGGCGGGTAGATTGGCAGCGGTGGGTAGATTGGCAGCAGCACTAAGCAAGATAGGGGTAATATCTCCACCAATCATATCATCAGATTGATGTATTATATAATCATCAGAATGGGACCAAACTTGAGTCAAAATCATGATCAGTCCCAGATTATGTTCTGATTTTGATAGTCAGTCACTTTACATGGAATATCAAGATTTTTTAGTCCCATTTCACTTATGTTTTGATAATTCTAGTCACTTTACACTTCCATTCTGGTCCTGATCCCACTAAAATCATGCCAAGAAATGGACTGGGACCAAACCAAACCAAACCAAATGTGTAATTCATGGTCCCAGCGGCCAGTCTAACTGGCTGTGATGCTATGCATGGCAGCATGAGATCAGAACTAAAGTTTTTACTAGTTTTAATATTTAAGAAGTTGATTTTTGTATTCATGTTTTAATTTTACTTAGTCTAATCTCAAGTTATATAACTTACAAATTATACTTTTCATTATTATACTTTTGTTAATTTGTTGATGGAGTTGAAAGATTGAATTAGTTATAGATGAGTTGGGTTACAGTGTATTTGAACCTGATTCTCACAATAACCTGATTATATGCAGAGGTGCAGTCACTCAGTCATCAACACCACTGTATATAATCTGATTATTGCTGATATGTATTCAATTTCATATTTATATATACAGAATATTTGTATTTAGTAAGAGAAATACTATTAAATTCAGATATATATAATTTTATATATAGAAAGTTATATAATCACTAGCTAAATAATCTACTTGATTTTATCTCTATTAAAAAGTTACTGATTTCAGATACTGTATAGAAATATAAATCAACTATCTGAATATTATATATAGTCTGTATAACTAGATCTAACTCTATAATAATAATATTTATATACATCTATAATAATAATGAAGAAATAAAGATTAAAAAGTAAGAATAGAATAGAACAGAATAGAATAGAAAAATGAAAACTTTATATATACTTTATTTAATAAAAATGAGATTATTCTGTGTATCAAACTGAGTATTATAATTTACATCATCTACTACTGATACTTATAGCTATAATAATTATCTATTATAAAAATCATTATATATATCAGACTGATCTACAGAGTTATAAAAAAAGCAGTATACTGTATAATTATATTATTTATAATTAATACATACTTTTTCAAAGTGACTGTATATATAATAATATAATGAGAACAGTTTAAACTCAGAAAATATATAATATTATATACAGTCTGTGATAAAAGTTCTATTATAAGATTGAATCAGAATAATATTTATATATAATAAATAATAAGACAATATTTGATCAGCTCTGATATATATATAAATATATAATATATCAAAATTAGAGACAGTAAATAGAGTATAGAATTAAAAACTATAATAAAATATACTCAGCTGAGAATTACTGATATATATTATATTTATAATAGATTAACATTCATTGATAGTTAATTTACACTATCAACCCTCTACTGTATATTTATATACTTATATATATTTATAAAGTTCTTTCATATCTTTTCATGATTCCACTCTACAATTGTTACTTGTATATATTTTAACACTCTAATAATTCTTTCATCTCATATTTCTTCAGAGTATAATCTTCAATATTTCTTTTATTTCAATTCTTTTATTTATAAGAACTCTCTCATACAATCTCTTCTTCTGATTTTTCTTTTCTTTCTTTTTTTAATTAATTTATAAACTATTATTAGAATAGTATTAAATCTGTTGATAGTGTTGTTAGAATAGATTATACAAACTGTACAAACAGTACAAACAATTTAATCTATAATATTAATAATATCTATTTAATCAGTGATATATCTATTATATTACAAATTAATTTATCTGCATTTAAAACTTAAATATCTAGTTATTAGTTTCTATACTCAAATATATTAATTATATTTAAGATCTGAATATCTCATTATCAGTTTCCACACTTAAGTGTATTGATTATATTAGAAGATTTAAGTATCTAATTATTATATAAGTTTCTTATTGAATTCAAATATTCTTATTATTAGATATATAGATTATTATATTTAAATATCTGTGATACAACTGACTGTTTTATGAAGAGATCTGAATATCTATAAATTATAACACTGTAAATAGTATTTATAAAGAAGCTTGATAAGCTTAACACTGTAATACTATAAATAGTGTTTATAAAAGTCTGAGTATCTATAAGTATTTCATTCTCTAGAATTATATATTTTTAGATATTAAAATAAGTTATCAACAAATCTACAAGTATTCACTGTATTTGAATACAGTGAATAATAATCTAAATTTATAAAATATTCTTCAGCAGTAAGTACTGTAGATAACTGAGCTACAATAATAATTTACTGAAATGAGTATATTTATATTCACTATTTCCTCTATATCTATATCTTATAAGAAGTCTCTGAAAGAGAAGCTTTCAATTCTTAATAAATATATAAAAGATTTAGTATTATATCTTATATAAAACTTAAAAATAAATATTAAATTAAATATTGATAATCAAGCAATAGACTTACTATTAAATTAAGTATGATATATTCACAGCAGATTAGATGATAATATATTAACAAAATTTCAATTCTAAATAAATCACTGCTTAGATAATCAACATATATCAAAGCTAATTTTTTAACAGTTCAATATTTTTTTTTTAATTCTATACTTTAAATTAAGATATTAAACTAGCTAAATGAAACTCATCAGAAGAATATCATATTAATAATCTATCTATTTAAATTCAATTACAAGTTTTTAAAAACAGATAGACAGAACTGAAACAATATCATTAAAATTAATATACTATTTAAAAATTTAAACTTTCAATTATATAATTACAGTGTAGAGTATCTGAAACTTTTAATATATAATAAATACTGTACAGATTTTCATCTATTTGATAATAATCTATTACAATTTCATATATTTCAAAACTGTAAAGAATTTCACTGAGTAAATATATATATCTCAAATCACTCTGCAGCAATTCTCACATCAGAATCAGAATTAATAAACTGAATTCTTTATATAAATATCAGATATTTAAAAATTCTCAATATCTTAGATAAAAATACTGCTGATTGAATTACTAGAGAAGTCTGTATACACTGCAAGAAATTAAAATACTTTATAAATCAGTATTCAAATACAGTTCTTTCAAATCAATCTTTTATATATATAAATACTGTATTATTCACAGATAAATAAGAACAGAGAAAAGAAGAATTCTTATTCTAAAATATAAATAAAAGCTCAAGAAACAATAAATCAGCTGAAGATTCAAATAAAAAATATAAATAGATATAATTATAATCTCTGTTATTATAAATAATCTAATCAATATATATACAATAATAGATAGTAGTTTTCTTTATTATACTTTTATAAATATTCAGCTGATAGAGAAGTATAAACTTCAGTATATTTTTTTTTCTGAATTATATAAACTGAGTAAATTTAATAACTCTAGAGAATTCATCTTCTACAATATAATAAGATTTAATATTGATATAGAAGAATATAAAAAGAAGAGTATTTTCATATATAAAGTACAAAATCTCAAGTACAATTTAATATTCAGTTTATTATAACTTATAGAATTTAAAATCTTATTAGATATATATAATCATTGTCTTATTTTTTCAGAAGACAACTGTATCTACAAAAAGAATATTGATAGAATTATCAATCTTACTCAGATATTGATGAAAGTATTTAAATTATTAACTTATCAAATATATAAAAAGAAAAATGTTCAGATATTCACTGCTAGCATAATAAATATCAAAAAAATATTAGAAAAATTAGAGCTCAAAGACTTCAAGAAGCTTTATAAAGAACTCTCTGAAATATATAAGAACTTTATAGATATATTTGATGAAAAAGCAGTCAAGTTACTCTTTTTTCACTGAGAGCACAGTATAAATTATATAATTGAGTTTATCAAGAAAAATAGTAAGAATTTACAATTATTTTAAAGCTCTCTCTGCAGTATATTATATAATGAGTTTCTTATTCTACAAAAAACACTCAATGAATTACTAAATAAGAATTTCATTTATATTAACAATTCATCTGCTGCAGTATTTATACTATTTGCAAAGAAATCAGATAAAGATTTATAATTCTACATCAACTATCAAAAACTCAATAAAATTATACAAAAGAATTAATATTTTCTTTCACTTATCAATAAAATATTTGAATGAATAGAAAAAATAAAATAATTCACAAAGCTTGACA